GCGCACCAGTATTCGGGCGGGTAGGGCGGGGTTTTGACACTCACACCACCTGTACGCTTTGACTTACTGCGTGTTTCCTTGGCATCCTCAAGCCGCTTGCGCATCCTAACCGTTGGATTGCTAGCAGCCTTGGCGACAATCGCTGCCACTTCTTGTGTGATTCTGCATCCTCACACCGTACATGCGCGGGGCAGGGGTACCCGCGCTGGGCATGGCTACCCCTGCCCTTCACCGTGCAATGTGTTCGTGTCCGTGCCCCCTGTTCGTGTCCGTGCCCCGTGCAGAGCCTGTCTCGCGGCGTAAGTTCTTCCCGGTGCAGGATCCCCTTCCCCGCGCTGTACCTACCTGTCTCCCCATGCCCTGCCCATGCGACTGTCCTTACCCGCGCGGCGCGCGCTTGTGTCCCCTGCCCTTCCCCGGCGGCGGCTGCCTCCCGATGCCATAAACCATAGAGCTGCCCTTCCCTGTGTGCGTGATTCCCGTGCAGTAAATTTGCGGGCCTCATGCGGCCCGCGTGGGCCTCGGTGACCTTCCATGTGCAGTGCCTGCCCCAGAATGCCCTCGGCTGTCCTTACCCGCGAGCCCCTGGCCCTTACCTCCAATGCCTTCACTCCTGCATGCACATGGGTCAGCTTTCGGGCAGGGCGTGGCCGCTGGTCGCATCGCCGAGTGTAACTGAGCAGGGCGGGGTTTTATGCACGCACGCATTGGTGTCGGTACTCGGGCAGGGCAGGGATGCATGCGTACATCACCGCGGTAAACGGGCACAATTGGTGTGCGTACCCGCATGGCAGCCTGCCTCTCACTGCTCTTCCCCGTGTGGCGCCGCGAGTGCGGCCTCCCTACCCTTCCTCGTAATGCCTCCAAGTCCCCTCACTCCTGCCCGCATACGCGCTAGTTTATGAGCACGGGATTCGGGTAGTTGACTTGCACAGGGGGTGTCTGCGTGCGCGCATTGGTGTTGGTACATGGGATGCATGCGTTCACCAGCGCGGTAGTTGGGCATGGTTAGTGCGCGTACAAGCATGGGCGCCGGTACTTGGGCATGGCGGGTATGTATGCATGTATCGCATGGGCCGGGTGGGCCTGCATTCAGGCCTCGGCGTTCATGCATGGTTGGGCGCAGGTGGCTGAGAAGGGCAGTGATGCGCGCGCTCATGGGAGCTGCTTCGTGGCAGGACGAGAGGATGTCTGCACGCTTGAGCACAGACAGCTGGAAGGAGAGGGTATGCATGCGCATGTGGGTGCCGGTAACTGGCACGGCATGTATGGCCATCACTCGGCTTTGCAGCATACATAGATGTTTGTAACCATGAATTATCGCAGGCTTTGTTCCAAATAAGATGCTGTCACAGTTGCTTTCCTTGCGTGGGCTTCAGGAGTAGCGGAGCCCGAGCGTGTTGCGTGCATGTACGCCACATCCCGTCGTTAAGCATTGGACAGGTCTGCACTCCACCACCTACCGGTATATGCCTGCGTTTTTCTTTGGCTTCCACAAGCCGTTTGTGCTTCCTACCCGTCTAGCAGCCTTGGCGACAATCGCTGCCATTCCTTTTGTGCTTTAAGCATCCTTCTGCATCCTCACGCCCTATATGCATGCGTGCAACCGCATCTCCGCGACATCACCTCCCTCCCGCGAGCTACGGGCAGCTCCCGCCGAAGGCGGGCCTTACTAGTTCATCAGTCTACCTCAGAAGCGGATGTTAACTGCAGCGATTGCGAATTGTCAGGTGAGTATCTGAAGTATGTTATGCAGTTATGAAGATGGTCATATACAGTCATGAGACATTTAATGACGACGCGCATTATACACATTGCAAATAGTGGAGAAAGAAGGATGCAAAGGGAGAGGGCAACAGACCCCCGGGTCACGCTACGATGCCATCTCGCTCGGCCTATCAATGCACGCAAATCGCAATGTTTTAAGCTTTATATTTACCAAAGTTGCTACTTCAATTATACTGAGTATATTGAGGTATCTTCACTTATCGGAATTGCTGGTTTGCCTCATCGTTCTTTCGACTTCAAAACTATGTTTGTAGCCTTGCAGCGGACCGAGACCTCACTAGCCGTCACCCATCGATCTGTACTAAGCATTTGGGCACATCATTAAGCCCGCCTTCATTCCGGGTCTGACTCTAGGTGCAGCAGCTCCTAAGATTCAAAGCGCATAGCAAGTCGCTATTTTATTGGTCCGTTACCAGCAGGTATGCCCCATCCGCTGCCAGAGCGTGCGCAACACCCCCCCCCCAGGTCCTCCAGTTCACCACTCAGGACTCAGCCCCTGCCTTAATGCCGAAAATCCCACAAGCCAGCATGCCAACCTGCCAGTAGGAAGTTAGTTGTCACCTGGGCAGTAGCTTAATTGGTGTCAATGCATAACTTGAGCGCAACTGAGCTAGAGGGTTGTACGCCGGGGATGGCCCAGTCACGTAAGCATGCTGGCCATGGGGACGTCTAACGGAGATTGATTCCTAGGCTAGCTGGGTGATGGTGATAAAGTCACATTAGCTGCTCGTGTTCCTCTTCCAGCCATGGACGTACCAGTATTTGGTAGATATCTACTAACGTACAACCGGGAATGTTTACCTGAACGTTTATCCTTCTAAGGAACCTCATGCACCTTGGCTCCTCCGTTTGCCTTCTTCCCTCCAATCCCCACCAGCTTCATATTTTCCGCGCCCCCTTCCACTCACCCTATCACACCCTCATTACCCTTCATCTCCACCCTCATTTCTGCTCCTCTTCTCGCTCCGCTCCCCTCCTGCTCTCCCCTCCTCCCCGCTCCTCCCTCCCTCTCCGCTCTCCCCTCCACTCTCAACACCAGCACTCTCCCCTCCCTGCCCATGTCCTCCCTTGCCAGCCCCTCCCGCCTGCTGGGGCCTGCCCAGACCAGCCCCCGTCAACATCCCAGCAGCTGTACTAGCATCCCCGCCCCCGCCGCTCCAACGGCCCTAACATCACCAGCACCACCAGAAGCGCATGCATTCCCTCCCTCCCTCGGAAGCGCATGTTAGCAGCATTTAGGTACTGCTATAATTAGCCATGGCCGTGCTCAAGGCAACATCAAATGCTAACAGGCTTTCAAACAAAATGCATGCAACCTTTCCCAACGGGGATTTGTTGGTTCTTGGTGTACGATATTCGCATGGGCTCTCAGGCATGGGCTGCATGCCTGGCGTTTTATTGACCGCACGGAGCAGGTCACTGCTAGCATGTGCGTATCCGCACGGGACCCCGTTCGCCACTGGCTGCCGAGTGCCGTCCCATGGGTCGCTGCATAACCATGCGCCCGTTTGAAACCCCTAAGAACCTGCACAGCTATGCATGGGAGCTAATACCGGTAATCTAAGGGCATGCTTGGCAGCTCGGCATGTGCGAGACAGGACGGCCGCATGTTTGTAGTTTCTTAGGGCTTTCGTCGGCAACGGATGGCGATGCCGCTCTCAACAATCTTAGAGCGCATAGCAAGCGGTTGCTGCTGGCCGCCGTGTTACATGTGGGTTCCTTCAGCGCTCCCTGTGTTGATGCGCCTTACGGTCACGACTTGAAGGTCCTAGAATGAGGCACGGTGTGTGAGCGCGTGTGTGCGCTTGTCATCTGGCTTGGATTTGGGTATGGACCCATGGGTCGCACCCTGGATAGTACAGACTGCATAGCCTGCGCATGGTTTCGGGGACCAACCTTTGCTTTGGGTCAACCATTGCTCATCTTCGTTGTGGTGTCTCCCCTTCGTTGTGAGTCAAGCTATGCCCAGGTGCGCACATTTGAGAGCACGGTCATAACCACCGGCCCCAGGTGCTGCAGCCCGGATGCGCTTATGCATGGTACTGCATGCCTTCAAGGTGCAGGGACAAGCTGACATAATGCAGGTGTGGAGTACCTTGAGTTGTTGAGGACAGTGCGCGATCCGGCGCGATCCAGGCTGTACAGCGTGAGTTTCACCGGAAGCAGCTGTGCTGCTGCCACTGCTATCTACAGTATTCCTGTAAGACATTTACGAACATCTCATGTACCATAGTACTCCAAACTCAGCATCATATAGGCATCCTCTCCCCACAACCTACCCCTCGCCACCCCCACCTACCTCCCGGCAGCTCCCAAACCTCCGTGGGGGCGAGCCACACGCTGGGCCGCTCAGCCGTGTTGTAGTAGGGCTTGGGGCCTGAGGACCAATGGGACAAGTAGGTGACAGTAGGCACCCAACTTTCCCCATTTTTCCTCTGAGCTAACTTTAAGCAAGAACCATTGTCCACACGCGGGCCTCGCAGGTTACGTTTAAGGGCGTCTTTGGTGACGGCTGACAGACAGCACATGGTGGTCGGAGCTGGGGACGGTTGCAGCATTGTGCACTTTCCCGGCTGGCATTCCGCAGCAGGCGTGGCCTACCCTTGGCGTGGCCCGGCAGAACGTTTTGCTGATTTCGATTTTCGACCATAAGCCGGCCGCTTTAGGTGGTTGGGACCGAAGGGGAAACGGTGCGCAAAAGGAAGTGCGCCGTGGCTGTGCAGCCATGTAAAATGCATGCAAATGGTTTGTGATGCGCAACGGAAATATGCCGGGGGCAAGATGAGAGAAGTATGGTCAGGAACGTCCACACTTCAAGTCCGCACGGTCCGGGCGGTCAAAGCGGCCTGGAATCTACCAAGGGGAGGCGCAGCTTGCCGCGGTTCATTCCTAGGGACAAGCAGATGGCAAGGGCGTATCAGAATACTCTATGGAGGGAAAGGCCTCGATATTACCGGAATAGCTAGGTTTCTGCCCTGCAAAGGCTGATCCAGTTGCCACCCAACTTGCATTGACTTGCATGCCAAGCATGTCCCGATGCCTATACCCACACAGCAGTCAGGTGTATATTCCCGCATACCACTCCTAGTATTGTACCTAGTGCAACCGCGCATATCGCGCGCGGCTGTCGCCATCCCTCTTGTTCGTTGCACCGCCCTGGAGCAATGTGTGGGGACCCCTTGGGCAGCATCCAACTGGTTTGCATTGACAGCGTAGATAGGCATAAAGGGGTACTAGAAGGCGTGGATTGCTCTTTCTTATTTGGCGGCTTTACGCGCAGCACCCAAGGTGCGACCTCTACCGTTCTTTTCTCAGCAGTGCTGCCGAACTAGTCATTAACAGCGAATTAGTCTCTATCATATTTTCTAAACTGAATTACATTGTCTTCCCTTACTCGTTGCACAAATTGTGGCCCTGCTTGCTTGGCGCAGGTTGGCAACCATGTCTCTCAGCATGCGAAGCACCCTGGCTGGACAGACACTAGCATTTAAGCCTGCTAATGTTCAGACACGCGTTGCACGCGTGCTGACCGTGGATGCCAAGAAGGTCTGTGACCTTACTGGCAAGAAGCGCAACAAGGCGAACTCAGTCTGCTTTTCTAACAAGAAGAGCAGGAAGTGGCAAGAGCCCAACCTGCAGAACAAGAAGGTATTCTGGGAGGAGGGCCAGCGCTGGGTGAAGCTCCGCATTTGCACCAAGGCCATTAAGACGCTGGAGAAGAATGGCCTTCAATCTATGGCAGCGGAGGCTGGTATTAACCTCTGGAAGCTGCCTTTTGAGGACGCGCGACCGCAGCGCAAGGCTTACCTTGCTGAGAACGAGGGCAAGGTGCCCGTGGCCCAGAACCTCCGTGCCATGAGGAACCCGGAGAAGCTGGCGGCTTCCAAGAAGCAGCCCAAGTACCCGGTGTACGACGAGGGTGGCCGCATCATCTTCATTCGCCCCGGCAGTGAGGTAGGCAGGGGCTGAGCAAGCCTGGGCTGTAAATACCGGTGCACGAGGGTATGCTGCACCCATGCCACCATACCACAGGGGTGACACGCACATGATATCGCTTACAGGAAGTCTCCCGCTCTGACGTCCTCCAAACATGCCCATCCCCTCCTCCGCCCCTTGCCCGTACAGGACTTGATATTCGGCAAGAAGGAGGAGCAGGCGGCGGCGCCTGAGCAGCAGGAGCTGAAGATCACGCTGACGGAGTGAGCAGCACCTGCAGCAGCGGCTTTGCCGCAGACGTGACGAGGACGGCGTTTTCCATGGGTCTGGAGAGCTCCAGCGCAGCAGCTGATGGTGGGGGCGACAGAGGCAGCGCGGCAGTAGCGGCAAGTAGCTGTGGCCTAAGGCCGCCCTAGGCGGAGAGGCGTCTACATGTGCGGCTGTGTACGAGATGGGATAGCTATGGAAGAGACGGTTGACGATGGTTCCATGGCGTTGGTGTCGTCTGGAACATAGCTGTTATGGCCTTGGAGATAGAGTGCCGCAGTCCTCCTTGGTGCCCTCGGGTTGGCTTGCTGAACTCAGGCCGTACAGCGCCACAGTTTTCCTGGTCCACCGAGAGCAGTGTGGACTGGTGTGTATGGCAGCGTGATGGAGACGGGGGGCTGACATCTAGTGTGGAGACGAGTTTTGAGTTTTGAAGAGGGAGCGCCGCTGTGTGAGAGGGACGCATTATGGTATGGTAGGAGCGGCAACTACAATAGGTTATGCTGCCAACCTTATAGAGCCGAGGGTTGCTTGCAAGTACCGGTATTTATAGCGTGTGTTCGAACGTGATAGCTGACCGTTGTCCTTCACCGCGTTACAAGGCCGAGGGTTGCACGGGCTTGTAGACACCCCAGTGAGACGTTCACATGAAGGACGTATTGCGGCGTGTGTCTTGGGGCGGTCATGCTGGTCCATGCAGCTCCCCTCCTCACCACCCGCGGTACTTCCGCATGTAACGGTAGATGAAGGGCGGGAGGCCCTTGTTGCTGCGGACGTTCCACTGCACGTGTCGGGAGCAGCAGGGGGGGGGCGGGGGAACCGTGAGAAGGGCAGGTGCGAGTGACATGCAGAGAAGCAGTGCGGGTTTAGGGCACAGGAGGGTGATTTGGAAAGTACACACATTAGTCACGTGCAATGCGCAAAGGTATCGTAAAATGACACGGAACGCATTAACTCTAGCACAAACCCATAAGCACTCTGAAAAGGAATGGTCCACGACAGGAGCTGCTCAGAGCCAAGAGCCGGTCCCTTCACCTCCTACCCCCATTGCTTTGCCCTAACCTGTGGTTTCCTATGGTATGGTGTGGTCTTTGACCCCCCCCCCCGTGACGCGTTACGTATGAATTTCTCTATTAATCAATGTAATCGGTTACCCCGCTGAGCCCGCTAGCCCGCTACTGGGCGCTCTGTATCGAGTCCCTGAGCTGCGTGTTTCTAGAATACAGTCTCCGAATGCGCTCACTGCATGAGTCGGGATTCGGGATTGGCACTCCGTTGATGCATTTATATTTATCTGCCCCCGACTCACCCACACCAGGATGATGACGAAGAGCATGAGGCTGGTGCTGACCAGCCAGATGAAGGCCATGATGAAGGCGTTGAAGATGTACCACATGCCGCCGTACAGCGGCAATGCGATCTCGTGCGGACTCGCCACGTCCACGATGCTAATGTTCACATCCTGTGTGTGCACCGAGTAGCCAGGAATGGGTTGCGGCAGGGTCGCCTTTACCGTACACGGCCACCCAAAGCAGACAGCCGAAACCAAACACTACTATTGGTCCTGCTAAACAATCGCCGGCATCGTTATATGCGTGTTGTGCTCCCAACGTAATGCCTAAGGCCAGAAGCCGCTACAGCTACAAGCAACTAGCTGACCACCACCACCACCTCCCAACAGTTAGTTGTTCCCTCTTTATCCAGCAGTTTGTGGTTTGGTATTCCCCCAACCCCGCACACCCACCTGCAGGAAGGGTCCGAAGGCCAGCCCCGCCCTCAGGTCCGCCAGGCTCCCGTTCCAGAAGGGCGTGTAGGTGAGGGTGAGGTCGTGCGGGTCGGGGCTGAACTGCCAGCCGCCGCACGCGCCCAGCAGCGGGACCTGTCCGATGGCGGCCTGACAGCAGCAGCGGGGATAGGAGGTGGGAAGTGGAAAGGCCAATGAATGTAATAATAAGGGAACTGATGGGGGGAGCAAAGCCTTGTGGCGTTGTGGGATCTCTGCTAGCTATTCCTGGCGCAGCCGTACAGCATCCTGCCTGGCGCAACGGCCGCCGAGCATCACACGTGTAGTAGAGCAGGGATGCCCCTGCGCCCGCCCTACGTACTCGGTACTCCCGTACACCATGCCATGTGCAGCAACCTATGTCCTGCAAGCGCTGGTTCCCCTAACCACACCCAAACCAGCCCCCCACCCAACCCAAAGGTATGGTCTACCGGTAATATAAACCCACCCAACCCACTACTACCTGCTCCTCCCTCCCCTCCCTTCTCCCCCTCCCCCCACCTGCACCGCGCTCAGGTAGCTGACCGCCACCCCTGTCGCCGCCCCCACCTCCTCCCCGCCCACCCCCGCCGCCTGCACCTGCCAGGCCGCCAGCTGCATGCTGGCAGTGGCCACCCGCAGGCTGAGGGACAGCGAGTCGGGGGACGCCAGGGAGAAGCGAGGGATCACCACCGTGGCCGTACCTGGGGGGAGAGGGGGGAGTGCAGGGTGGAGGCGGGGGAGGTGCAGGCAGGTGGAGTGGTAAGGAGCAGGGAGAGGGAAGGGGAGGGGGAGGGGAGCACAGCATGGGTCGCAAGATGGTGGTGGCTAGGTGAAGCCTTCCTGGTTTGCTGCCTTCGTTTGTTGCCAATGTCCCTTCTTCAATCCACCCCTTTTCCCCCTTCCCCCCCTTGTGCTCGCCATTCAGAAACAGCGCCTGCTCCACCGCCGTGTTCTGGCAGCGCGCGTTCATGCCGGGCCAGGGCCACAGGTTGGAGATGGCCTTGTACGGCGGCGGCGCGCGCACCCCCCGCACCGGCTCGTGCAGCAGCGACATCTGGGCGGCGGCGGGGGACCCGGCCAGGGAGATGCTGGAGCTCAGGCGGGTGCTGCGGAGGGGCGACAAAGACCACACCGAAACATAGGAAACCACAGGATGGGGGAGAATAATGGATAGGATGCAGCATGGTGCCACAAAACAGGAGAGGGCGGGGGCGGGGGGAAGACGAAGGATACCATGTTGGTGACGATATGTGAAGTTGACCCCTCGGAACCCCCTCGTCACAACCCCCCTGCCGCACCCCATTCCCCAGCCAAGCCCCTTCCCCTTCCCCCCCCACCTGGGCTGCACGTAGTCCACCTGGTCCGCCGCCACCCCCGCCACCACCCCCTCCACGAACTCCACCACCTGGCTGGAGTTGATGCTGGGCGGGGGGAGGGGGTGGGTGGGGGAGGAGGGTTGGGGCAGGTAAACACGTGTTGAGTGATACCGGTACCATCCGGAATATTCGGAGCGTTGCACCACCCAGCCATGCGGACACTGCCTCTTTCCCCCGTCTTCTCCTTGTTGTGAACCAACACCTGGACCCACCCAGACCCCTGCTCCCTCCTTTCGGGCACTGGGAACTGCCCCCCGCCCCAAACCCACACATTGGGTATTATTCTTCCCTCCCCCCCCACCTGAAGGGGCTCTGCAGCACCAGTGTGTCCCCCGTGGGCTGCTGCCGCCAGTACGCCACCAGCGTCACGGGCCGCCCCGCCGCCACCTGCATGGCGCCCACCCGCACGCGCCCAGCCCGCAGGCAGTCCGAGGGGGCGGGCGGGGAGCCGGGCGGGGAGGGCAGGCTGAGGCCCACCGCGGCGTAGAGCACCTCACGGGTCTGGGAGGAAGAGGGGAGGATGGGGGGGAAGGGTGTTGGGGTGAGGGTTGCGTGGGGGCGTGTGGGGACATGTTGGGCCCGTCAGCGGTGCGTGTGTTACCCTAGCTGGTTACGGTGTCCTGGTTGTCTACTTGTCTCCGTGTGCGGGCCCAAACCTGCGGTGGGCCCAAACCTGGGGGGTGGGCCCAGCCCCGCTCTCACCGAGTTGCATGCGGCGCTGCGGATGTCCGCACACTCCATTATGATTAAAGGCTTGCAGTACGGCGAATCTGATCCGTACGCTTCGTACGGGTACGACTCGTTGCAGGACTGGTAGTACGGAAAGTAGACAGGATCCATATTGCAGCAGTATTCCGCAAGCACGAAGTTCTTGTGGTAACGGCTGAGGGGGGAGGGAGCATGATGGAAGGAGGTCATGAGGGCAGCAAGAAGATGAGGGGCAAAGGTAACAGGGGTGACTCGTGCTCTATGGGAAGTTCGAGATGGGAAGGAGGGAACGGCATGCAATGATTCTGAACGATGGATGCTCACAGCAACCCCTCTAACAGGACCGCCGGTTAGAAGACAGGCCAACGAGTCATGGCAAAGTAAGCAGCCACGAGATTGCACTGGTGTATGGCAAGGTACGGTACGAAACAGTTCCAAGGGTTTGCAGCCCACACGGACTCAGCTGCAAGAAGTTGTAAGTTCTAACTGTACGTAACCCACTTGTTGATGTCATTGGTGATGCGTTGGTCAAAGTACATGTCTCGAAAGTCAGTATCATGGCGGTTGAGGACCTTGAGCTGCGTGTCAAGCGCACTTGCGTGCTCAGTGTCCGCATGTGGCGAACATGCAACTGCTCCACGTCCCCCGGAGGAAATGGAGCCTTGTCCTCCTACCTCATACGCCATGAATATCGCGCCAGTCGCGACAGATAGGACAATTACTAGAATCCATCCAATTAGCCGCAGGAAGCCCTCGAACCAGGACTTCACGTCAAGCGGCCTATACTTGCGCTTATTAAGGTAATGTTGCGCGGACTCTATTGTTGGCTCGGATTCCATTTTTGGCCCCAACGGCCTTGAGAAGAAGCGTTCTCCTACATCAGTGTGGGCATTTAGCAGCTCATAGGGAGACGGTGAGGTAAACTAGGTTGCCAAGGGCATTATTGCACGGGTAAACAACTATTCGTAAAGTAAACGGTAGACTCCAGCTGTATGCAACCCAATCGTCATTGCCAACTGGATCCAGTTGGATCTAGTCGAACCAATTGGCGGGTTGCTTGGTGCAACCCATGAAGGCGTTTCCGGCAAAGACGATAAGGGTGTGTTCTTTTCCGACTGCCAATTATCGTGGACCTTCGCTTTAAACTTCCTGGCAAAGTTCGTGGGACTACTTCAGCGGTTTGTTGAGGAAAGGCATAAACGCTTTATATCTAGCTTCATATAGCGTTAATATGCAGCGCAACATTAAAGGCTATACACGGCAGTTACAACCACAGCAGCCATCCCGGTGCGTCTGCAAGCCCTGCTGGACCTTGGCCACTTCCTCTCTTGCCGCAGCTACCTTAAGTCTTAAATACGGCTGGTGGCAGGAATGAGGAGCCTACAGCAACGAAATCCAACGGCGGGCGCGGCAGCAGCCTCTTAAACCTGCTTGGGCATAACCGCACTCGCAAACCCTCGACCGAGACAGCGGCGACAGCAGATGAAGGGCGAGCCCCACGCGCTCCAGCGGAGGGTGCTCCTACTACCGGCAGCATCTCACACACCATCCTTCGGATAGTCGACGTGATAAGCAGGAAGCAAGACCAGCCGCCAGGACCCCAGCATCCGACACGGCCAGGTAAGCTCGTAATAGCCCGATACTGAGAAAGTAAAGATTACGGTAGTGCTGCGCAGCTTCCTTCCTGATTGTTGTGTGCTTGGTAAATAGCTGGCTGGGTTCCCCGCTCACGCTGTCTCTGGCATCTTAAGAGGTCCGTGCCTTCCCTGGTCCCTTCCTCCTGCCCTCGTCCTCACTCCTCCCCTTACATCCATGCTGTAATTCCCTTTCTGCTGTTGTGTTGTCGCCACCCATGCAGAGTCGCAGCCGCAGCCTACCCCTCCTGCCAATTTGCAACGGCTGCAATGCCCACAGCCGCAACCCCAACCCCAATTCCACCAGTACTCCCGCCAGGACGCCCACAGAAACCAGGCCGACGAGAACCACCCAGCTGCCGTACGGCAGCCGTCCTGGGAACAACCCCCACCCGGACAGCCAGGAAGGCCCTACAACCACCAACCGCCACAAAACCAGCACTTCCACCAGGGAGGACAACAGCAGCAATGCCAGAAGCAACAGCACTACCAGCAAGGTGGGCGGCAGCAGCGCTGCCAGCAGCAGGACGCCCAACCCCGCAGAGGAGAAGCCTACCAGCAACCGCTGCAACAACGGCAACAACACCCGCAACAGGAGTACCGCCAGCAGCAGCTGAGCCGGCCCCCTGGGTCTGCTTCCCTCGGCCATCCCTTCCATGACCCGCAGCAGTGCCCACCCTCCTCTGACTACCAGCACGTCCACCAACGACACCCACCACAACTACCACAACAGCAGCAACAGCTGCCGCACTACCATCAAACCAATCACCAGCACCCGTACCACTGCCATCAGCAGCACCAGGGCTCATGGTACCAGCAGCCGCCTCCTCCACCCAACGTGCCCCGCTCCACCGCCCAGCCCTGGCCCTCTCGCCACTCCGCTGCTCCCTCCAATGCCCCCTCCACTTCCTCCTCCTCCCTCCAACCCTACTCCGGAGCGAAGCACGCTCCTGCTGCCCACACCGCGTACAGCAGGGGCGGCGGCGGTGGCGGTGACCCTGCGGCTGATGACGATGACGGCACGGTGCTTGTGTTGGGCGAGGGCAGCAAGCGCGCCGCCGCCAAGCGTGCCGGGCTGGACGGGGAGCGGTTGCGGGAGTTGCGGGCGGTGCGGGCGCGGTTGGCGGGGCCGGGTGGCGGCGGGGAGCGGCGGTTCAACCACTGGGACGACGGGGGCGGCAGCTGGGTGAGGAGCGGGGTGGTGCGGGTGGGGGTGGGGTGAGAGGTGTCTGTGGCGGGAAGCGAGGTGGCCGGCGCGGGGTAAAGAGGACAGTTCGGAATGTGACCAGGAGGGTTGGGGGTTTTAGGGAGGGAAGATAGTGAGGTTGGAGTTCAGGGGAGGAAGCTGGTGGGCTGCTGGTGGTAGGCGGAGGGAGGTGGCATGTGCTGTTGATGCAAGTCAGGGGGCAGTTGAGCTGAGGCGGCGACGTTCAGGCTGAAGTTCATGTACTATTTGCTGCACATGTTGACGTGATGTATTTGCTTCGTTTGCCTGCATTCCTTCATCAGTTGACCGCTTCCCTCCACCTCCCCCGCCCTCGCCCGCCAGGATTGCGACACACTGGGTATCGAGGGAGCGGAGGACTGCGACCTGCGCTGGGAGGGCGTGGGGCGCACCGCCGTGGGCCCGCGCATGTGAAGGCATGTCCGGCATGAAGGCGCGCCCCTGCTCCCTCGTTGAACGGCACTGTAACGGTCACCCGTCATTCATTCGTGCATGACGCGTCTAAACTCCGCTGCGCAAACCTAGCGTCATAGAGTATTTTGCATGGACACCGTAGAGCCATGCATACCTGGAGTTTGGGGTCTAAAGTCCAAACATGAGGAGCATGTTTGACACTACCGGTGGACGGTTAGGTCGTTTGTTAGTTTACAGCAGCATCAATCTGTACGCTCTATACCAAGTCGCCCGTAGCACACCCTAGCCGTTAGCTTATACACTAGCGCTCCAGCCACACAACCTCCACACCTGCCAACACCCGAACACCCTAGCCGCACACATATCGGTACCCTAGTGGTCGTGTACTCTCCTGAGCTCAGGCTTAAATACGATTAACAGTCAACAACAACTGCAAGTGTTTTGCCACCCAGCAACCCCACAACACTAGATAAGTGTACAGGTGAGTTGTGCAGTCGTCAGGCTCTACCTACCAGCCTGCATCCGCAACCCTAGTTGCGCAGGCCATAGCCTGGCACCGTGTATACCAGTACCTCCGTTTCCGCACACATGTACAGTACAAGCTTCCACACGCATCTTGACCTACCTTTTACCACAACACCACAAGTGTACGGCGCCACCGTTGGCTAAATAGGATAGCCCCCGCTGTGTAAAGCCCATGCTGGCAGGGAAAGGACAGAAGCGCAGTCGCCTCGTCCTCAAACGGGCTACACTATTAGGGTATGGTACCCTACGCTATTGTTCGTACATCTTGCATTCAGCACCACGCATGCGGGAGGTAAAGCAGGCCCCCGGCAGCCGTGCGCCGCGCGGGACCACGCACCTCAAACAGCTACACCCTCCCGACCCGACAGCCGTGCAGCGAACCAACCCCAATCCCCGGCCATGCCCCATGCACACATACATTGATGTCGTCCAGTTTCCCAAGCCCAAGCAAACTCCCTGTCGTACACCAAACCCCTCCTTGCCGTACACAAAATCCCTCCCTGTCATACGTAAACATCCCTCCTTGCTGTAGACAAAAGCCCTCTCTGCCGTACACCATAGTCCTCCTTGCCGTACACAAAAGCCCTCCCTGCCGTGCACAAACAGCCCTCCTTGCCGTAAACACATTACTAGGGTAAGTCCCAACGACACCACATCGTGACAATTACTAGTTAGCAGCACTAGAGCCAAGGCACGGGGCAGACGGCATATGTTTCCCGCCACGCACCTAGATAGCAACTTACAGCCCGTGATCTTCGGCTCTACGTAATCTAACCCACTGTCACGCCAGCGTTGTGTAATGGGATGTCACTTTAACTGCACGAAACACATGGCACAGCGCTCCGCTACTGAACCTACATTGGTCGGTTTACTTGTTCCTGAACATGTGCGGGTTGGCTCCCTCGAAGTCACTGCGCAGGGTCCTGCGCGCATACGAGGCATGCATTACGGCGCTGGCCAGCCGGCGCAAATCCTCTTCACACATCGCTTCCAGCCCCGAGGCGCCCTCCCCAAGCGTCGCCTCCAAGTTGGGGCTAAGGCTGCACAGCTTGAAGACCTCCTCGCCGTGCTGGGCGCGGCACCAGGCGAGGAAGTCGTACAGGTCCTTCCTGCTTGCGGTCTCGACCAACACCTTCCACTTGGCCCACAGGCCCTCGTCTGACACCACGTGCTCATCCGTGACCTCCTCCACGTCATCGTATTCGTCATCATCATCATCAGCAGTGCTGCTGCTGCTGCTGCTGAAGGAACTGCGCTGCTGCTGGCGCTGCTGCGGCTGCAGGACGGGGGTGTCAGGGTACTGCTCAGGGGCGGCCTGGGCGGGGGCGGCAGCAGCCTTGATGCTGCTGGCAGCAGCAAAGCCCTGCTACGGGGTAGGAAAGCAAGGCAGGGCAGGGGAGGTCCGTAGTTAGCCAGGCATGGTGCATTGTTCCGTCATGTGCTGCTGGCAAGCATGACAAGCACGCAAACGCTGCAGTGGCCAGATGAAGTGCTTACAATTTATATACCGGTATAGCGAGCTATGGTTGTGCATGCAAGTTAATCTGCCCATGCGGCCATGACCTCCAAAGGCACTAGGGCACGGCTTAACCTCCCACCTCACCCCCGCCCCCTTTATTCCGGCACCGAGTTAACCAAGCCATCTTCCCTAGCACCAATTCACACTTCAGCTCGGCCTTCTGCCCCACGCGCTTACCTGTCTATGGTACTCGATTTCCGCAACTATCTGCGACAGCGGGGCGCCCCGCCAGGCCGTGCGTCGCAGCACGGAGCCCAGCAGCGGGCTGAGCCGGTCCACCTGCCGCATCATCATCTCTGCCTCCATGGGCGTCCATCTCCGCCGCCGGTCGCTGGGCATGAGTAGGCGCTCCTCCACCATGTACTTGCGCCAGAAGACCTCCAGGGTGCGCAGCAGGACCGCGTGTACCCCACACTGCAGCACCTCGTCGTCGTCCGTGTGCTGCTTGACGTAGCCGTGCGAAACTTCACGGAACGACCCCCCCAGAGCGCTGCGCACTGTGGGGAAGTTCGTGGTGAGTTCCGAGCTAGTGAGTTCCGTTGCGATTTGCTGCAGGTCTTCCAATGGCAGGGCACCGAGGTTGTCCAGTAGAGCAGTGTCCAGATAACGCAAGCGCCGTATGAACCCGCAAGCCTCCCGCCCTTCCTTGAGTTCCTTGATTTTCCGCCGACGCAGCAGGTATTCGGCGTTCTCTGGGGACGCCTTTGCCCTGACGGGTCTTTCCTCCGGACCGCGTCCCTGCTGACCCACGGGTCCGTCGTGTTCTACCTCGGCGCTGCCAGCCCCAGACGTGATGCTTGGTGCACCCAGACGGGTATGCTCCTGAACCGAGAAAGGGAGTTAGGAAATGACAATGCTGTCTCTTGCATGTATTGGCGCAAGGCCATGCCACCAAGATAAGATGGCAGCCAGCAAGCGTCTAACAGCTACCCCTCGGAAGGAAAACGCCACGCTGGCAAATCCAGCCCATGCAATGTGCGACCAACCAAGCTAGGGACCCATACACGTACGTGCACAGTCCATTCCAGCGCACGCACAATCAGATTCACAAAACGATATCAACGTAGGGCTGCTGCAATGAACAGCGATCTAAGGCGCTAACACCAAACATGCGTGCGTGTACGGTACCGTATGTAAGGGTCGCATGTGAGTCCATACGTCAGTTCCCTACCTTGAAAGCATCGGGCCCTGCCGGCGGCAGCCGTTCAGGCGGCGACCGCTCTGGTGGCGTGGAGTTGGCGGTGTCCTCCACGCCCGCTATGGATGCATCCCGCTGCGTTGAGCCGAGCTCCGCTGGTGCCGCAACCACACTTTGTGCGCCGTCCGGATCGCTGCTGCCGGCGCCGTGTTCGCCGCCTGTTGGAGGGCTGCCCTCAGGACTGCTGCTGGGCGGCACGCTGATCGACGTGTCCTGATGGGGTGGGGTGGGGTTTTCATGCAGGGGTGGGAGGGGATGTTTCCTTTAGTTTAGTTGTAGTTCCGGTAGACTGGTAACCTGAAGTGGATGCCGGTGTTGCCGGTAGATAGATACAGTACAGTTCATGTAGTATAGCGTCCTAGGCAAGCTGGATGGATAGAATGAACGAAGCGCTGCTGGGCAGGTGGCTATGCTTACGGTACCGGTATCAATTGCAGGGACGCAGCCACCCGTACTGCTGTGTGGTAACTCACTACTGTATCGTACTTACGGCAGCAGCAAGGTATTGGTCGCGGACAGCCAGCAGCGCGATATGAACATCCTCCCACACGCCACCCATCCTCTGTAAGGTGTCCAGGAGCGCCTAACAGGAGGGGGAAAGCAGGCAGAGGGAAGCACAGGGTAAGGGGAATACAGGAGTCGGATTTCGGAAAAACGGGCAGTACGGGCAAGGTATTAGTGGGGTATACGGTTCAGCAACAAGGGGGGGGGGGTGGCAGTAGAAGCAACGTAAGTACGTGACCCAAGCAAGCCACAAGAGCAATCCCGACAAACCCAACAAACAAAACCTAGGGCAGCGTACGCATGAATGAATAACGAGCCGTACCAGCCAACCACGCACTTACCTCGACGTTCTCGGGGCTGAGGTCCTCCAGCGCCGAGAGGAGGTCCGCCACCAGCTGCTCGTTAGAGCAATTCCACCAAGCCGTCTGGCACAGCACTTTCTCGGCAAACTTCGCGCTGGCCTCTGCAGCCGTCTTGAACATCTCCAGCTCGGTCTCACGCTTCCAGCGCCCTGAGCCGCTTTTGGTCATGAACTCCTCCTTTAGGTGCGCACAGTATGCGGCAAGTACCGTGCTCAGTGACCCATGGGTCACCGGCTGGCTGACGCCCTCCCCATCCACGGCACCGCCGGTGGCCTCCGCCGCAGGCGACGGGAGCTCACCGTGCGAGGCGTTGTCCAGCAGTTGCTTCCTAATTTCTTGGCGCTCATCAGGTGACAGCTTCTGGATGAGCCTGCTGGCGGCGATGGCCTCACAGAAGGGCAGCATTGCTTTTGGCCACCTCAGCAGCTCCAACACCAGTTGACGGAGGAGGAGCTTCTGGTCGCGGCGCAGCGAGCCGAGGATCTCCATTGGTGTTTCACCTTCTCCCAGCTCGTCGCCATCGTCGGCTGCTGTTGCACCGCTCTGGGACGTCATCTTGGCGGCAGCACTGCAGACGATCTGCATGACATGTACATAGGTGTATGGGGAATGGAAGTTGGAGTGGTGAATTGATTTGTTGAACTGACGGGCAGGTGTAACTGACAATATGTTGGCTTCCATAGCAGGCAGTCGTACAGTTGGTAGCAGTCACACACGCTAACTTGGCAGCGCAAGATTACTGAGACCTAGGAGCTGTCATGCACCGTGCGTGGGAACAATAACGCTTAACAGCGCAAGTCATAAAAATGAAGCGATATAAATAAAGCTCGTCAAAATAAACAAGGTCACAAAGGTTCATAGGCACAGGCCGGCATACGTGTAAGGGGTTCGAACCTAGCCATCCCCACGCACCTGCCATGCCGGGTTAGCACGGCTCAGCGGATTGCGAGCCAAAGAGAACGCCAGCCCCATGTTGCCGGCGGGGGAGGACGGCCCAGGGTCTGGGAAGTCTGCCATCGCCACCAAACTTCTCAACGCATGCGAGCGGCAACCGTTCTGCATTGAAGGCAGGTAATGCGAGTGTGGCATGGTAAGCAAGGCAGTAGTTCTGGCCACCGGTACTTCCCTACCGCGCTGTCTCGCGGACCACATGCATCCAAGCAAGGCACTCCCTCTTGGCCCACAGGTACCGGTAAAAGGTTTCATCCACATCCTACCCCAACGCATGCGGGTCACTACCTTGCACCGGCCCCCGCCAGCATCGGTCCCCGCCGCGGACCTCGTTCCTGACCCCACGTGCAAAGTATCGCTCCCCTATCTACTTCTGGCCGATCGCCGACAGGAGTCCGGGGTCCCCCATCTATCCCCATGGCTTATACAGTTGCGAGCTTGCTGGCCTATCCACATGCGGCTGCCTGGCTTTTGCCCCTCACCTCGGTGGTGCCGTTGCTGCCAGTGGCGGCGGCGGCGGTGGCGGCGGTGGTGTCAGAGGTGGTGGCGGAGGTGGTGGCGGAGGTGGTGTAGCCGTCCTAAGAGGAAGTAAAGAAAGGTTAGCGTAAACAGGACTAACGCGCTGATGTACGTCCGGCATGTAATAAGTGACTCACGTCAGAAAAGTCCGTCAGCGTTCGCAGCTTGAGCAGCACCCGCTGGCGCATCTCCGCCAGTGTCAGGCCGCTGGCGGGCACAGCAGCAGGTGGCGCCCCAACAACGCCCTCGGGGACCAGCTTCTCGTACAGGGCCTGCATGCCGTACACGCCAGGGAGTTGTGCGTACTCTGTCAGTAAGCAGTTCTTGCGACACATTTCGTTTGGTCATCATCGCCATGTACGTTGGCCAATAAGGCATTAACCCAATGTAAGTATGATTGCGGGCCCCAAATGATAAACTGATTGTATGCATGCATGTCTGTCACCCTATAGCCTCCCTATTCCAGCTACACCTCACTCGCCTGCAACTCCTCGGTCGCAGCAACCTCCAACACCTTCTCCATCTGCTTGACCAGGATTGAGATGCAAGTGCGCTCCAGCAGCATCCGCAGGGTGGGGCTGGCCGCCTGCGCCAGCTCCAACACAGCCATCAGCCTGCTGCTGCCAAGGCCCTGCTGCTGCTGGCTGCTACCGCCGCTGCTGCTGCTGTTATCGCTGCTGCTGTCCATAGCAGCTGAGGCCGCTTTGTACGCCTTCAGCAGCCTATACTCGAAGAAGCCGTGGAGTGCGTTGATCCAGGTCCCAAGCTGCGCAAACGTCTCTGGCCAAGCCTTAAACTTGTAGTGGTCAAACATTACATTTCGCCAGGGCTCTGCGTAGGGCCCTTTGACGAGCTGCACATGCAGGTCAAAGAGGAGATCCAGGGCAAACAAGCAGTTGTCGTCGGGATCATCCGCACGGAATTGCTTGCGGAAGTGCGCCACCGTGATGTCTTCTGGCTGCAGGTCGCTGGGCAAGGCGTCCGCCGCTTGATGCGTGATGAACTCTTTGAACAGCTGCGAGCTTGCAAGGGCAACGCGAAGATGGTCGGCGTGGCTGACCACCTTGACGTAGTTTACGTGGCTGGCTATGATTCGCTGCGCCTCTTGCTGGCTTGCGTAGGCCTGCTGCTGCTGCTGCTGCAGCTGCAGTTGCTGTCCAGCCAAGGATGTAGGCGCGTCCCCAGCAGCAGGCGGAGTGGGCGGGCCAGTCAGGTTTGCAGCCGCATGAGCGTCAGCATCGGCTGCTGCATTAGCTGCATGAAGGCGGTCTGCGTCTGAATTGGGATCAGCCTCATGTTGCTGTCCGGTGGTGCCACATCGCCTCACACCCCTCAAGCCTGAGAATGCCGGGAGGAATGGGCGGCCGCCAGGGCTCAGGCCGCTTGCAAGCTGCCCGCTACCACCAATCGCCACGCTGCTGCCAATCTGCCCGATTTGCATTGCAGGCAATTGGATCTGTAGAGGTTATGTAGGTTTCAAGGGAGTCGGAACTGAGCAGGCGCCAGCGCCGGCGCCAGACGACGCCTCTCCTGTGCAAACCAGGGCATAAGATTCGTGTTAGCGGCAGCAAGCATAGGTCCAAGCAATGTGGAGAACGTTCGGCAGGCAGGAATGAATGCACCGGCAGGCAAGAAAGTGCGTGGAAGCGCGTGTGGCAGCTATCCTCAGATACCAGGACAGATGTAACTCCACAAAGCTATGCAGTACGACATACTTGTTGCAAGCGCTTGAAGGAAATGTCTCTTGGTGTCTTGTCTGGCGTCCCTTAACGGGAAACGAGAAGGACCGTCACCCCCTTCAGCTTCAAGTTAGTTGTGACATAGTACCTAACAGTGCTGCCTTCTGTTTCCAAACTAGTAATATCTGTATAAATATACCATCGTCGTGCGTAAATCTGTTTATAACGTCACCCTAAGGGCCTTTGACTTCGCCGGGAAACTGGGCAGGCGGGAGGGATACGTAAGGGCACCAGTTAACCACTAGCCGGGGAAACCTTGCTCAGCATGTGCATTATCCAACAGCACGTAACAACACAAAAAGGATTAGTTCTGTGTTATTATCTTATAAAGGAACCATAGTCTACTGTAAATGCGTTGGGAGAAATGATTTTTGAGACACTAACTGCTTAACACCTTTATGGGCGTGGACCCCGACGCGAAAGGGATTGAAAGGGTGACAACTGTGCGCCGTCCCCGAACACATGGACATTCCTCATCGGCTCGGCGTTGTGACTACCTGTGTTCTTATGTCCATGCGTGCATGTGTAAAGGCAAATCATACAAACTAGACAGAAATAATAATTGCAACATTTAAACCATCACTAGCTCTATTACCATATCCTTTCTGCAAGTCCAGAAAAAATATTTCGCTATGGAGAAGATCTTGACCAGCCAAAGACCAAGGACCACTGTGGCCATAATGATAAGCGGTGCGACATAGCGCTTATTAAGTGTTATGAATGGCGCCTGGTAAATTGAGAGCCCGTTAAAACTGACAGGATCATGCTTACGTGTACCCGTGCCTGTAACGCAATGCCGCTGAACTGGTAGTTGTATAATGTGGTGCCTAGTAATCACACAGTTGACGTGCATCTAGAAGGCAAGCCAGCATTTAATTATCAAGACCACTGCGACATGCCTGTCAAATCTTCACCCTATGCATCTAACACGATAACTGCTTAACCCAAGCCCTCCAACGAAGGCGTGTGTGCTTCCCTAGCAGGGATGTAAGCCTTTCAACAAAGGGGTTTCAAATTTACAAAGAAGAGCCTTCTCCCTCCCATACAGCGTGTCAGCTCTTCTAGTGCTGAAAAGGCACGGGTACACATGCATCGCCACGCTCCAAAACTTGCTTGCTGCGAGCTTCACATAATCGTGTCCAGCCACCCAACCGAACCTCTCACGCCATGCTAATGGACGCATGACAGCAGGCAGAAGAGGACGTCAGCAGGTATGACTAAGCACGCACTTGATTGGGACATTGTACGACAGCGCTGACCACGCCTCTCAATCGTGAACCCCCCCGCCGTACAATTCATTGCTGTTCCTACCTTGCCCGCCATAGCCAACACCTTGCATCCAACGTATAGCTGATGGCATGCCGCGCTCTAACGCGGCCTGCGGAATCAGGCACGAGACGGAGCTCAGCGAGGGTCGTGCTTTGCTGATTAGGCGCAGTGTCAAGAGGGCTAGTCGAAGCCATGAAAAAGTGGCGAGAAGCTGGATGTCCAACAGTCGCTGTGAGGGAAACCAAACGCCGTGGAATTCCTCAACGGTGCAACCGTTACTTCGTTTGCCCGTATTCGGATCGCGGCAGTCACGTCTGTACGGGTGACATGAAAGGAACGTCATGCATCACGAGCGTTCGCGCCTATATATTTCGGACAATACATAGTTAAGACACGCCACCGTTGAATAGCTTTACAGATAAGGAGCAAACAGCCACCCGCTGCTGCCCTCCACACTTCGGACTTTCTGTTGACCTTTGCGAAAAGGGTTTATTGCTTTAGGTATACAACAAAGAACATGTCGGCGGCATTTCTCGTCTCGGCGAGGTTCGCGCATCCTCAACAGCGACCCATGGCACCGCGGCGAACATTGAGGTGTGCATCGTCAATACTCCTACATGAAATAATGTCTTTACACCCCTCGGCGACGTTTCAGAAATTTATTCTCAACGCTCGCATGCTCGGCTGCAAACTGCTGTGCTGTGCGTGACGCTTTGTTGCTCCCACCTATCGTAGGCTGCACTGCGCTGCCGTCAGTATGAACCCGACAAACTTCTCGCTGGTCAAGCAAGTTGTCCTGTCAAAGGTGGGTGTGAAGCTCTGCAGTCAGGAGTTGGATGGCTAGTGGTTAATGGGCACTGCTGAACCGCGACGCACAGCGCGAATGGCCTGTTTACGCGAGTCCATCCTTTCTCGCCTTTACACGCTGATGTCACGGCCTTTCTATGGCTTCCCTGTGGTCAGTTGCTCACTCCATGGCAGCTCAACCAGCACTTAACACCCCGCATCGCATCCCTCTACCTTCCCCTTACCTCCCCAACCCAACCCAACCCAACCCAAACGCCCACAGACCAAAATCCCTGAGCACGATTGGGACCCCAACGAAGACGAGCGCAAACGGCTTTCAACCATGTCCGTACAAACCGTCGCAGCCAAGCTCGAGGAGCTCCAACAACTTTTGCAACCGCCTTCCGTTAACCTCCTCATGACTAAGGTTCCCGCCAGTACCCTGGCCCGGCCGCCCATCCGCGTCCGCGACCAGGTGCTTGCGGTTGCCGACATGCTGGGGCAAGCCACCGAGCTGGATGCGGCGAAGGTGCTGGCACTTACCCGGCGCACCATGGGCAAGCCGGATGAGCACTTTCAGGAGCGCATAGACGCGCTGGCTACGATTGGGTAGGTGCGGGGGCGGGGGTTGCTGCGCGCGGAGGGCCCCGCGCGGGGTTGCTATGTTTCGGGCCCTGTGTTGACGAGCGTAGTGGTGCATGCAACCTACGTTAGCTCTCCCACACCTTCAACAATACATCATGTCTCTGTCGCTACCTCCCTTGTTGCCACCTGCATCCAGACTTGTCCTGCCTTGGGCTCCCCCTTCCTTCGGTTTCTCCTCCTTCTGTACCCTTCTATGGTCACGTCAGAACCCACCGCGACCCCTGTTTACTTACTCTGTAACCCCCTGTCCCCTGCACCCCCCCGCCCCATGCAGGGACCTGGGTCTGGCTCAGCGCACGGTCATCAGCCGGCCCAAGGTCCTGGAGCAGACCCCGCAAGCCATCCAGCTCAAGATCTCGCTCATTCGGCAGGCGGTGCAGGCGGGTGGCAGCGAGGAGATCAGGAGGGACCTGGAACGGATGTCGGCCAGCCAGCTGGGGTACGCCCTGACGCGGGGTGTGCCGGGAGTGCTGCGGCTCAAATACCTGGCGGAGAAGAGGTGGGGGCTTGGACTTGGGAGGGAGTTGTTGGTGTAGGTGTTGGGCTGGTAGCTGGTAGCTGGTAGCTGGTAGGCCAGGTGGTGCCGGGCGGTGCTGATTATGAGGGCTGGGATGTGAAGCCGGTGGTAATGTGCCTTGAAGCCCAGCTGAATTGTAACTGGTGCCGCGCAATGCGTTTGTGGGCTTCAAGCCCTACCGCGCTTGCTCTTAACCAAATCGAATACCCGCATGCCTGCATGCGTACCCGCCTTCCGTACATTGCACGCCGTACTAATAACTTACCTGCCGTACATCTTGTCGTACAGGTACAACGTGACCGTTACGCTTGATACCGTACTGCGGTACTCGTCGGAGAAGTGGAACAAGATGCACCCTGATTATGATGCCTGGTTGGAGGAGCAGGAAGCTGTCATCCAGAGCGAGTATCTGGACATGTAAGCTTGCTGTCGCTGCGGAGGGGAGCCGGGCACGGCGGGTGCCGGTAATCGCTGTACGGTGGGGGTTTGCTGGGGCCGGTCGACAGAGGTGGCGGGGAGCTTGTAGTGTGGTACATTGTGTATGAATAAGCGAAGCTATGGCTGGCCCTGGCTGTAGGCCGAGAAAATAATCTATGTATGAAGTAAGTTAGAGGCTGTTGGCGGTGGTGTTGCAGTTCTTAGCGCTGTTCATGCGGATGGAGCCATTGACGCGGGTGTTGTTGAGGTTTAAGGATGAATGAGCGATAGTAGTTTAGTGGCTCTATTCCCTTGCATCCCTTGGTGTGTAGCTGTAGCGCTATCCCGTTCTATGTGTGCCTTGCCAAATCCAATCGGGTTGTATTATATACGAGGAACAGTGTCCAAGTGCTTAGCTAGCTATCAACGGTTCCCTTTGGCTATATGTAGCCGGCCGCGCTTTGGGTTTTTGCACATACATGCAAGCGCTGTGCCGCGCATGGTGATGGATGGTGGATGGCTACTTCATTTATCAATAGCAGTAAGTCAATCCAGAGCACTCTGTTTGGTTTTTTCGGTGGAATTCGGCTGCAGACTTCAGGGCCCCGTGCAGTGCTGCTGATGTAAGGTCGAGGGGGAATGGAAAGACATCGTCGTACACCACGGCCTTGGTCGACACTAAGCGTACCGGTACAAGCGGTAACTATTAACATTCCGCACCTTTGGAAACTTGACGAAACCTAGCGAAACCCCAAGTACCTCTTGTTTCATAAGAAATGGCAGTTCATCACATTCCTGTGTCTCCCTTGCGGTACCTGACACGTCTAGGCACTATTGTGTACATTCAGCCGGCTGGTCGCCCTTGTAACCTTCGCATTCTAGACCCAAACTGATAGAACCACCATGCATCTAACACGATAACTGCTTAACCCAAGCCCTCCAACGAAGGCGTGTGTGCTTCCCTAGCAGTGATGTAAGCCTTTCAACAAAGGGGTTTCAACTTTACAATGAAGGGCCTTCTCCCTCCCATACAGCGTGTCAGCTCTTCTGGTGCTGAAAATGCACGGGTGCACATGCCTTGCCACGCTCCAAAGCTTGCTTGCTGCGAGCTTCACACAATCGTGTCCAGCCACCCAACCGAACCGCTCACGCCATGCTAATGGACGCATGACAGCAGGCAGAAGAGGACGTCAGCAGGTATGACGTAAGCACGCAATTGGGACATTGTACGACAGCACTGCCTACTCATCCGTGATCCCCCCGCCGTACAAAGGGCCGACGAGAACAATCCAGCTGCCGTACGGCAGCCGTCCTGGGAACAACCCCCACCCGGACAGCCAGGAAGGCCCTACAACCACCAACCGCCCCCAAACCAGCACTTCCACCAGGGAGAACAACAGCAGCAATGCCAGAAGCAACAGCACTACCAGCAAGGTGGGCGGCAGCAGCGCTGCCAGCAGCAGGACGCCCAACCCCGCAGAGGAGAAGCCTACCAGCAGCCGCTGCAACAACGGCAACAACACCCGCAACAGGAGTACGTCCAGCAGCAGCTGAGCCGGCCCCCTGGGTCTGCTTCCCTCGGCCATCCCTTCCATGCTCCGCAGCAGTACCCACCCTCTGACTACCAGCATTCCTACCAACGACAACCACCACAACAACCACAACAGCAGCAACAGCTGCCGCACTACCACCAAACCAATCACCAACACCCGTACCACTGCCAGCAGCAGCAACAGGGCTCATGGTACCAGCAGCCGCCTCCTCCACCCAACGGGCCCTCCTCCACCGCCCAGCCCTGGCCCTCTCGCCACTCCGCTGCTCCCTCCAATGCCACCTCCACTTCCTCCTCCTCCCTCCAACCCTACTCCGGAGCGAAGCACGCTCCTGCTGCCCACTTCGCGTACGGCAGGGGCGGCGGCGGCGGCGGCGGTGACCCTGCGGCTGATGACGATGACGGCACGGTGCTCGTGTTGGGCGAGGGCAGCAAGCGCGCCGCTGCCAAGCGTGCCGGGCTGGACGGGGAGCGGTTGCGGGAGTTGCGGGCGGTGCGGGCGCGGTTGGCGGGGCCGGGTGGCGGCGGGGAGCGGCGGTTCAACCACTGGGACGACGGGGGCGGCAGCTGGGTGAGGAGCGGGGTGGTGCGGGTGGGGGTGGGGTGAGAGGTGTCTGTGGCGGGAAGCGAGGTAGCCGGCACGGGGTAAAGAGGAAAGTTCGGAATGTGAGCAGGAGGGTTGGGAGTTCTAGGGAAGGAAGAGAGTGAGGTTGGAGTTCAGGGGAGGGAGCTGGTGGGCTGCTGGTGGTAGGCGGAGGGAGGTGGCATGCATGTGCTGTGGATGCAAGTCAGGGGGCAGTTGAGCTGAGGGGGCGACGTTCAGCCTGGCGTTCATTCGTTGCACCTGCCGACATCATGTACTTGCTCCTTTAGCCTGCATTCCCTCATCAGTTGACCTCGTCCCTCCTCCTCCTTCGCCCCCGCCCTCGCCCGCCAGGATTGCGACACACTGGGTATCGAGGGAGCGGAGGACTGCGACCTGCGCTGGGAGGGCGTGGGGCGCACCGCCGTGGGCCCGCGCATGTGAAGGCATGTCCGGCATGAAGGCGCGCCCCTTCTCCCTCGTTGAACGGGACTGTAACGGTCACCCGTCATTCATTCGTGCATGACGCGTCTAAACTCCGCTGCGCAAACCTAGCGTCATAGAGTATTTTGCATGGACACCGTAGAGCCATGCATACCTGGAGGTCGGGTCTAAAGTCCAAACATGAGGAGCATGTTTGGCACTACCGGTGAACGGTTAGGTTGTTTGTTAGTTTACAGCAGCATCGATCTGTACGCTCTGCACCAAGTCGCCTGTAGCACACCCTAGCCGTTAGCTTATACACTAGCGCTCCAGCCACACAACCTCCACACCTGCCAACACCCGAACACCCTAGCCGCACACATATCGGTACCCTAGTGGTCGTGTACTCTCCTGAGCTCAGGCTGAAGTACGGTTACCAGTCAACAACAACTGCAAGTGTTTTGCCATCCAGCAACCCCTCAACACTAATTGTACTGGTGAGATGTGCAGTCGTCAGGCTCTACCTACCAGCCTGCATCCGCAACCCTAGCTGCGTAGGCCATAGCCTGGCACCGTACATACCAGTACCGCCGTGCGTTTCCGCACACATGTACAGTACAAGCTTCCACACGCATCTTGACCTAACGTTTACCACAACGCCACAAGTGTAATATGGTTACGGCGCCACCGTTGGCTAAATAGGATAGCCCCCGCTGTGTAAAGCCCATGCTGGCAGGGAAAAGACAGAAGCGCAGTCGCCTCGTCCTCAAACGGGCTACACTATTAGGGTATGGTACCCTACGCTATTGTTCGTACATCTTGCATTCAGCACCACGCATGCGGGAGGTAAGCAGGCCCCCGGCAGCCGTGCGCCGCGCGGGACCACGCACCTCAAACAGCTACACCCTCCCGACCCGACAGCCGTGCAGCGAACCAACCCCAATCCCCGGCCACGCCCCATGCACACATACATTAATGTCGTCCAGTTTCCCAAGCCCAAGCAAACTCCCCTCCTTGCCGTACACAAAATCCCTCCCTGTCGTACGTAAACATCCCTCCTGGCTGTAGACAAAAGCCCTCCTTGCCGTATGCCGTATGCCGTATTACTAAGGTAAGTCCCAACGACACCACAACGTGACGATTATTAGTAAACAGCACTAGAGCCAAGGCACGGGGCAGACGGCATATGTTTCCTGCCACGCACCAAGACAGCAACTTACAGCTCGTGATCTTCCGCGCTACGTATCCTAACCCACTGTCACACCAGCGTTGTGTAATGGGCTGTCACTTCAACTGCACGAAACACAGCGCTTCGCTACTGAACCTATATTGGTCGGTTCTCTCAGAAGGAGCGGATGGCTGTGCAATTCGTTCGTACGCATGCCTGATCGGTGATCGCCGTACACAAACAGGTAAAATGCCAACGAGGTCTTGTCGTAACCGGCGAAGAATAGGGCACTCAGAGGTAAGGCACTCAAATGCATGTAGCCAAACCCCTCAACACGACGTTCCAAACCAAACACCCATGCCCCCGCCATAACCCGAGAATACTATACGCAACCCATATTCCAGCCACACCCTTCCCCTCATAGCCCCCGGCCCAAACCCTACATCCCGCACCCCGACCAGGAGCTCTCATGTTACCCATAAATCTACATTTCCTAGCAGCCATACCAACGGGATAAAGCTGTCGCCCCATCAGGCTGCGCTGCGAACTACCCGCACAAGCAACCACGCACCCTCCTTCGCATGCAGCTCTACTTGTTCTTGAACATGTGCGGGCTTGCTCCCTCGAAGTCACTGCGCAGGGTCCTGCGCGCATACGAGGCATGCATTACGGCGCTGGCCAGCCGGCGCAAATCCTTTTTACACATCGCTTCCAGCCCCGAAGCGCCCTCCCCAAGCTTCGCCTCCAAGTTGGGGCTAAGGCTGCACAGCTTGAAGACCTCCTCGCCGTGCTGGGCGCGGCACCAGGCGAGGAAGTCGTACAGGTCCTTCCTGCTTGCGGTCTCGACCAACACCTTCCACTTGGCCCACAGGCCCTCGTCTGACACCACGTGCTCATCCGTGACCTCCTCCACGTCGTCGTATCCGTCATCATCATCATCATCAGCAGTGCTGCTGCTGCTGCTGCTGAAGGAGCTGCGTTGCTGCTGGCGCTGCTGCGGCTGCAGGACGGGGGTGTCAGGGTACTCCTCAGGGGCGGCCTGGGCGGGGGCGGCAGCAGCCTTGATGCGGCTGGCAGCAGCAAAACCCTGCTACGGGGTAGGAAAGCAAGGCAGGGCAGGCAGGGGAGGTCCGGAGTTAGCCAGGCATGGTGCATTGTTCCGTCATGTGCTGCTGGCAAGCATGACGAACACGCAAACGCTGCAGTGGCCAGATGAAGTGCTTACAATGTATATAGCGAGCTATGGATGTGCATGCAAGTTAATCTGCCCATGCGGCCATGACCTTCAAAGGCACTAGGGCACGGCTTTACCTCCCACCTCACCCCCGCCCCCTTTATTCCGGCACCGAGTAAACCAAGCCGTCTTCCCTAGCACCAATTCACACTTCAGCTCGGCCTTCTGCCCCACGCGCTCACCTGTCTATGGTACTCGATTTCCGCAACTATCTGCGACAGCGGGGCGCCCCGCCAGGCCGTGCGTCGCAGCACACGGAGCCCAGCAGCGGGCTGAGCCGGTCCACCTGCCGCATCATCATCTCTGCCTCCATGGGCGTCCATCTCCGCCGCCGGTCGCTGGGCATGAGTAGGCGCTCCTCCACCATGTACTTGCGCCAGAAGACCTCCAGGGTGCGCAGCAGGACCGCGTGTACCCCACACTGCAGCACCTCGTCGTCGTCCGTATGCTGCTTGACGTAGCCGTGCGAAACCTCACGGAACGACCCCCCCAGAGCGCTGCGCACTGTGGGGAAGTTCGTGGTGAGTTCCGAGCTAGTGATTTCCTTTGCGATTTGCTGCAGGTCTTCCAATGGCAGGGCACCGAGGTTGTCCAGTAGAGCAGTGTCCAGGATAACGCAAGCGCCGTATGAACCCGCAAGCCTCCCGCCCTTCCTTGAGTTCCTTGATTTTCCGCCGACGCAGCAGGTATTCGGCGTTCTCTGGGGACGCCTTTGCCCTGACGGGTCTTTCCTCCGGACCGCGTCCCTGCTGACCCACGGGTCCGTCGTGTTCTACCTCGGCGCTGCCAGCCCCAGACGTGATGCTTGGTGCACCCAGACGGGTATGCTCCTGAACCGAGAAAGGGAGTTAGGAAATGACAACGCTGTCTCTTGCATGTATAGGCGCAAGGCCATGCCACCAAGATAAGATGGCAGCCAGCAAGCGTCTAACAGCTACCCCTCGGAAGGAAAACGCCACGCTGGCAAATCCAGCCCATGCAATGTGCGACCAACCAAGCTAGGGACCCATACACGTACGTGCACAGTCCATCCCAGCGCACGCACAATCAGATTCACAAAACGATATCAACGTAGGGCTGCTGCAATGAACAGCGATCTAAGGCGCTAACACCGAACATGCGTGCGCGTACGGTACCGTATGTAAGGATCGCATGTGAGTCCATACGTCAGCTCCCTACCTTGAAAGCATCGGGACCTGCCGGCGGCAGCCGTTCAGGCGGCGACCGCTCTGGTGGCGTGGAGTTGGCGGTGTCCTCCACGCCCGCTGTGGATGCATCCCGCTGCGTTGAGCCGAGCTCCGCTGGTGCCGCAACCACACTTTGTGCGACGTCCGGATCGCTGCTGCCGGCGCCGTGTTCGCCGCCTGTTGGAGGGCCGCCCTCAGGACTGCTGCTGGGCGGCACGCTGATCGACGTGTCCTGATGGGGTGGGGTGGGGGTTTCATGCAGGGGTGGGAGGGGATGTTTCCTTTAGTTTAGTTGTAGTTCCGGTAGACTGGTAACCTGAAGTGGATGCCGGTAGATAGATATACAGTTCATGTAGTATAGCGCCCTAGGCAAGCTGGATGGATAGGATGAACGAAGCGCTGCTGGGCAGGTGGCTATGCTTACGGTACCGGTATCAACTGCAGGGACGCAGCCGCCCGTACTGCTGTGTGGTAACTCACTACTGTATCGTACTTACCGCAGCAGCAAGGTAGTGGTCGCGTACAGCCAGCAGCGCGATATGAACATCCTCCCACACGCCACCCATCCTCTGTAAGGTGTCCAGGAGCGCCTAACGGGGGGCGTGAAGCAGGCAGAGGGAAGCACAGGGTAAGGGGAATACAGGAGTCGGATTTTGGAAAGAAAACGGGCAGTACAGGCAAGTTATTAGTGGGGTATACGGTTCAGCAACAAGGGGGGGCAGTAGAAGCAACGTAAGTACGTGACCCAAGCAAGCCACAAGAGCAATCCCGACAAACCCAACAAACAAAACACGCACTAGATAAGCAACCTAGGGCAGCGTACGCATGAATGATTAACAATCCGTACCAGCCAACCACGCACTTACCTCGACGTTCTCGGGGCTGAGGTCCTCCAGCGCCGAGAGGAGGTCCGCCACCAGCTGCTCGTTAGAGCAATTCCACCAAGCCGTTTGGCGCAGCACTTTCTCGGTAAACTTCGCGCTGGCCTCTGCAGCCGTCTTGAACATCTCCAGCTCTGTCTCACGCTTCCAGCGCCCTGAGCCGCTCTTGGTCATGAACTCCTCCTTTAGGTGCGCACAGTATGCGGCAAGTACCGTGCTCAGTGACCCATGGGTCATCGGCTGGCTGACGCCCTCCCCATCCACGGCACCGCCGGTGGCCTCCGCCGCAGGCGACGGGAGCTCACCGTGCGAGGCGTTGTCCAGCAGTTGCTTCCTAATTTCTTGGCGCTCATCAGGTGACAGCTTCTGGATGAGCCTGCTGGCGGCGATGGCCTCACAGAAGGGCAGCATTGCTTTTGGCCACCTCAGCAGCTCCAACACCAGTTGACGGAGGAGGAGCTTCTGGTCACGGCGCAGCGAGCCGAGGATCTCCATTGGTGTTTCACCTTCTCCCAGCTCGTCGCCATCGTCGGCTGCTGTTGCACCGCTCTGGGACGTCATCTTGGCGGCAGCACTGCAGACGATCTAGCAGGCAGTCGTACAGTTGGTAGCAGTCACACACGCTAACTTGGCAGCGCAAGATTACTTAGACCTAGGAGCTGTCATGCACCGTGCGTAGCCACAGTAACGCTTAACAGCGCAAGTTCAGAAAAATAAAGCGATAAAAGTAAAACTTGTCAAAATAAGTAAGGGCACAAAAGCTCATATTCACAGGCCGGCATACGTGTAAGGGGCTCTAACATAGCCATCCCCACGCACCTGCCATGCCGGGTTAGCACGGCTCAGCGGATTGCGAGCCAAAGAGAACGCCAGCCCCATGTTTGCCGGCGGGGGAGGACGGCCCAGGGTCTGGGAAGTCTGCCATCGCCACCAAACTTCTCAACGCATGCGAGCGGCAACCGTTCTGCATTGAAGGCAGGTAATGCGAGTGTGGCATGGTAAGGCAGTTCTGTCCACCGGTACTTCCTACCGCGCTGTCTCGCGGACCACATGCATCCAAGGCAAGGCACTCCCTCTTGGCCCACAGGTACCGGTAAAAGGTTTCATCCACATCCTACCCCAACGCATGCGGGTCATTACCTTGCACCGGCCCCCGCCAGCATCGGTCCCCGCCGCGGACCTCGTTCCTGACCCCACGTGCAAAGTATCGCTCCCCTATCTAGTTCTGGCCGATCGCCGACAGGATCAGGGGGTCCCCCATCTATCCCCATGGCTTATATAGTTTGCGAGCTTGCTGACCTATCCACATGCGGCTGCCTGGCTTTTGCCCCTCACCTCGGTGGTGCCGTTGCTGCCAGTGGCGGCGGCGGCGGTGGTGTCAGAGGTGGGTGGCGGAGGTGGTGTAGCCGTCCTAAGAGGAAGTAAAGAAAGGTTAGCGTAAACAGGACTAACGCGCTGATGTACGTCCGGCATGTAATAAGTGACTCACGTCAGAAAAGTCCGTCAGCGTTCGCAGCTTGAGCAGCACCCGCTGGCGCATCTCCGCCAGTGTCAGGCCGCTGGCGGGCACAGCAGCAGGTGGCGCCCCAACAACGCCCTCGGGGACCAGCTTCTCGTACAGGGCCTGCATGCCGTACACGCCAGGGAGTTGTGCGTACTCTGTCAGTAAGCAGTTCTTGCGACACATTTCGTTTGGTCATCATCGCCATGTACGTTGGCCAATAAGGCATTAACCCAATGTAAGTATGGTTGCGGGCCCCAAATGATAAACTGATTGTATGCATGCATGTCTGTCACCCTATAGCCTCCCTATTCCAGCTACACCTCACTCGCCTGCAACTCCTCGGTCGCAGCAACCTCCAACACCTTCTCCATCTGCTTGACCAGGATTGAGATGCAAGTGCGCTCCAGCAGCATCCGCAGGGTGGGGCTGGCCGCCTGCGCCAGCTCCAACACAGCCATCAGCCTGCTGCTGCCAAGGCCCTGCTGCTGCTGGCTGCTACCGCCGCTGCTGCTGCTGTTATCGCTGCTGCTGTCCATAGCAGCTGAGGCCGCTTTGTACGCCTTCAGCAGCCTATACTCGAAGAAGCCGTGGAGTGCGTTGATCCAGGTCCCAAGCTGCGCAAACGTCTCTGGCCAAGCCTTAAACTTGTAGTGGTCAAACATTACATTTCGCCAGGGCTCTGCGTAGGGCCCTTTGACGAGCTGCACATGCAGGTCAAAGAGGAGATCCAGGGCAAACAAGCAGTTGTCGTCGGATCATCCGCACGGAATTGCTTGCGGAAGTGCGCCACCGTGATTGTCTTCTGGCTGCAGGTTGCTGGGCAAGGCGTCCGCCGCTTGATGCGTGATGAACTCTTTGAACAGCTGCGAGCTTGCAAGGGCAACGCGAAGATGGTCGGCGTGGCTGACCACCTTGACGTAGTTTACGTGGCTGGCTATGATTCGCTGCGCCTCTTGCTGGCTTGCGTAGGCCTGCTGCTGCTGCTGCTGCTGCAGCTGCAGTTGCTGCCCAGCCAAGGATGTAGGCGCGTCCCCAGCAGCAGGCGGAGTGGGTGGGCCAGTCAGGTTTGCAGCCGCATGAGCGTCAGCATCGGCTGCTGCATTAGCTGCATGAAGGCGGTCTGCGTCTGAATTGGGATCAGCCTCATGTTGCTGTCCGGTGGTGCCACATCGCCTCACACCCCTCAAGGCCTGAGGAATGCCGGGAGGAATGGGCGGCCGCCAGGGCTCAGGCCGCTTGCAAGCTGCCCGCTACCACCGATCGCCACGCTGCTGCCAATCTGCCCGATTTGCATTGCAGGCAATTGGATCTGTAGAGGTTATGTAGGTTCAAGGGAGTCGGAAACTGAGCAGGCGCCAGCGCCGGCGCCAGACGACACTCTCCTGTGCAAACCAGGGCATAAGATTCGTGTTAGCGGCAGCAAAGCATAGGTCCAAGCAATGGGAGAACGTTCGGCAGGCAGGAATGAATGCATCGGCAGGCAAGAAAGTGCGTGGAAGCGCGTGTGGCAACTATCCTCAGATAACCAGGACAGATGTAACCCCACAAAGCTATGCAGTACGACATACTTGTTGCAAGCGCTTGAAGGAAATGTCTCTTGGTGTCTTGTCTGGCGTCCCTTAACGGGAAACGAGAAGGGACCGTCACCCCCTTCAGCTCAAAGTTAGCTGTGACATAGTACCTAACAGTGCTGCCTTCTGTTTCCAAACTAGTAATATCTGTATAAATATACCCTCGTCGTGCGTAAATCTGTTTATAACGTCACCCTAAGGGCCTTTGACTTCGCCGGGAAACTGGGCAGGCGGGAGGGATACGTAAGGGCACCAGTTAACCACTAGCCGGGGAAACCTTGCTCAGCATGTGCATTATCAACAGCACGTAACAACACAAAAAAGGAACCATACTCCACTGTAAATGCGTTGGGAGAAATGATTTTTGAGACACTAACTGCTTAACACCTTTTCTTTATGGGCGTGGACCCCGACGCGAAACGGATTGAAAGGGTGACAATTGTGCGCCGTCCCCGAACACATGGACATTCCTCATCGGCTCGGCGTTGTGACTACCTGTGTTCTTATGTCCATGCGTGCATCTGTAAAGGCAAAACATACAAACTAGACAGAAACATTAATTGCAACATTTAAACCATCGCTAGCTCTATTACCATATCCTTTCTGCAAGTCCAGAAAAATTATTTCGCTATGGAGAAGTTCTTGACCAGCCAATGACAAGGACCACCGTGGCCATAATGATAAGCGGTGCGACATAGCGCTTATTAAGTGTTTTTCAATGGCGCCTGGTAAATTGAGAGCCCGTTAAAACTGACAGGATCATGCTTACGTGTACCCGTGCCTGTAACGCAATGCCGCTGAACTGGTAGTTGTATAATGTGGGTGCCTAGTAATCACACAGTTGACGTGCATCTAGAAGGCAAGCCAGCATTTAATTATCAAGACCACTGCGACATGCCTGTCAAATCTTCACCCTATGCATCTAACACGATAACTGCTTAACCCAAGCCCTCCAACGAAGGCGTGTGTGCTTCCCTAGCAGGGATGTAAGCCTTTCAACAAAGGGGTTCCAAATTTACAAAGAAGAGCCATACAGCGTGTCAGCTCTTCTAGTGCTGAAAAGGCACGGGTACACATGCATCGCCACGCTCCAAAACTTGCTTGCTGCGAGCTTCACATAATCGTGTCCAGCCACCCAACCGAACCTCTCACGCCATGCTAATGGACGCATGACAGCAGGCAGAAGAGGACGTCAGCAGGTATGACGAAGCACGCACTTGATTGGGACATTGTACGACAGCGCTGTCCACGCCTCTCAATCGTGAACCCCCCCGCCGTACAATTCATTGCTGTTCCTACCTTGCCCGCCATAACCAACACCTTGCATCCACGTATAGCTGATGGCATGCCGCGCTCTAACGCGGCCTGCGGAATCAGGCACGAGACGGAGCTCAGCGAGGGTCGTGCTTTGCTGATTAGGCGCAGTGTCAAGAGGGCTAGTCGAAGCCATGAAAAAGTGGCGAGAAGCTGGATGTCCAACAGTCGCTGTGAGGGAAACCAAACGCCGTGGAACTCCTCAACGGTGCAACCGTTACTTCGTTTACCCGTATTCGGATCGCAGCAGTCACGTCTGTACGGGTGACATGAAGGAACGTCATGCATCACGAGCGTTGGCGCCTATTATATTCGGACAATACATAGTTAAGACACGCCACCGTTGAATAGCTTTACAGATAAGGAGCAAACAGCCACCCGCTGCTGCCTCCACACTTCGGACTTTCTGTTGACCTTTGCGAAAAGGGTTTATTGCTTTAGGTATACAACAAAGAACATGTCGGCGGCATTTCTCGTCTCGGCGAGGTTCGCGCATCCTCAACAGCGACCCATGGCACCGCGGCGAACATTGAGGTGTGCATCGTCAATACTCCTACATGAAATAATGTCTTTACACCCCTCGGCGACGTTTCAGAAATTTATTCTCAACGCTCGCATGCTCGGCTGCAAACTGCTGTGCTGTGCGTGACGCTTTGTTGCTCCCACCTATCGTAGGCTGCACTGCGCTGCCCGTCAGTATGAACCCGACAAACTTCTCGCTGGTCAAGCAAGTTGTCCTGTCAAAGGTGGGTGTGAAGCTCTGCAGTCAGGAGTTGGATGGCTAGTGGTTAATGGGCACTGCTGAACCGCGACGCACAGCGCGAATGGCCTGTTTACGCGAGTCCATCCTTTCTCGCCTTTACACGCTGATGTCACGGCCTTTCTATGGCTTCCCTGTGGTCAGTTGCTCACTCCATGGCAGCTCAACCAGCACTTAACACCCCGCATCGCATCCCTCTACCTTCCCCTTACCTCCCCAACCCAACCCAACCCAACCCAAACGCCCACAGACCAAAATCCCTGAGCACGATTGGGACCCCAACGAAGACGAGCGCAAACGGCTTTCAACCATGTCCGTACAAACCGTCGCAGCCAAGCTCGAGGAGCTCCAACAACTTTTGCAACCGCCTTCCGTTAACCTCCTCATGACTAAGGTTCCCGCCAGTACCCTGGCCCGGCCGCCCATCCGCGTCCGCGACCAGGTGCTTGCGGTTGCCGACATGCTGGGGCAAGCCACCGAGCTGGATGCGGCGAAGGTGCTGGCACTTACCCGGCGCACCATGGGCAAGCCGGATGAGCACTTTCAGGAGCGCATAGACGCGCTGGCTACGATTGGGTAGGTGCGGGGGCGGGGGTTGCTGCGCGCGGAGGGCCCCGCGCGGGGTTGCTATGTTTCGGGCCCTGTGTTGACGAGCGTAGTGGTGCATGCAACCTACGTTAGCTCTCCCACACCTTCAACAATACATCATGTCTCTGTCGCTACCTCCCTTGTTGCCACCTGCATCCAGACTTGTCCTGCCTTGGCTCCCCCTTCCTTCGGTTTCTCCTCCTTCTGTACCCTTCTATGGTCACGTCAGAACCCACCGCGACCCCTGTTTACTTACTCTGTAACCCCCTGTCCCCTGCACCCCCCCGCCCCATGCAGGGACCTGGGTCTGGCTCAGCGCACGGTCATCAGCCGGCCCAAGGTCCTGGAGCAGACCCCGCAAGCCATCCAGCTCAAGATCTCGCTTATCCGGCAGGCGGTGCAGGCGGGTGGCAGCGAGGAGTTCCGGAGGGACCTGGAACGGATGTCGGCCACCCAGCTGGGGTACGCCCTGACGCGGGGTGTGCCGGGAGTGCTGCGGCTCAAATACCTGGCGGAGAAGAGGTGGGGGCTGGGACTTGGGAGGGAGTTGTTGGTGTAGGTGTTGGGCTGGTAGCTGGTAGCTGGTAGCTGGTAGGCCAGGTGGTGCCGGGTGGTGCTGATTATGAGGCTGGGATGTGAAGCCGGTGGTAATGTGCAGGCCTTGAAGCCCAGCTGAATTGTAACTGGTGCCGCGCAATGCGTTTGTGGGCTTCAAGCCCTACCGCGCTTGCTCTGAACCAAATCGAATACCCGCATGCCTGCATGCGTACCCGCCTTCCGTACATTGCACGCCGTACTAATAACTTACCTGCCGTACATCTTGTCGTACAGGTACAACGTGGACCGTTACACTTGATACCGTACTGCGGTACTCGTCGGAGAAGTGGAACAAGACGCACCCTGATTATGATGCCTGGTTGGAGGAGCAGGAAGCTGTCATCCAGAGCGAGTATCTGGACATGTAAGCTTGCTGTCGCTGCGGAGGGGAGCCGGGCACGGCGGGTACCGGTAATCGTTGTACAGTGGGGGTTTGCTGGGGCCGGTCGACAGAGGTGGCAGGGAGCTTGTAGTGTGGTACATTGTGTAGACGGATGAACAAGCGAAGCTATGGCTGGCCCTGGCTGTAGGCTTAGAAAATAATCTATGTATGAAGTAAGTTAGAGGCTGTTGGCGGTGGTGTTGCAGTTCTTAGCGCTGTTCATGCGGATGGAGCCATTGACGCGGGTGTTGCTGAGGTTTAAGGATGAATGAGCGATAATAGTTTAGTAGCTCTATTCCCTTGCATCCCTTGGTCTGTAGCTGTAGCGCTATCCCGTTCTATGTGTGCCTTGCCAAATCCAATCGGGTTGTACTATATACGAGGAACAGTGTCCAAGTGCTTAGCTAGCTATCAACGGTTCCCTTTGGCTATATGTAGCCGGCCGCGCTTTGGGTTTTTTGCACATACATGCAAGCGCTGTGCCGCGCATGGTGATGGATGGTGGATGGCTACTTCATTTATCAATAGCAGTAAGTCAATCCAGAGCACTCTGTTTGGTTTATAACGGTGGAATTCGGCTGCAGACTTCAGGGCCCCGTGCAGTGGCAAGTGCTGCTGCTGTAAGGTCGAGGGGGAATGGAAAGACATCGTCGTACACCACGGCCTTGGTCGACACTAAGCGTACCGGTACAAGCGGTAACTATTAACATTCCGCACCTTTGGAAACTTGACGAAGCCTAGCGAAACCCCAAGTACCTCTTGTTTCATAAGAAATAGCACATTCCTGTGGCTCCCTTGCGGCCCCTGAAACGTCTAGGCACTATTGTGTACATTCAGCCGGCTGGTCGCCCTTGTAACCTTCGCATTCTAGACCCAAACTGATAGAACCACCATGCATCTAACACGATAACTGTTTTACCCAAGCCCTCCAACGAAGGCATGTGTGCTTCCCTAGCAAGGGATGTGAGCCGTCCAACAAAGGGGTTTCAACTTTACAAAGAAGGGCCTTCTCCCTCCCATACAGCGCGTCAGCTCTTCTGGTGCTGAAAGGGCACGGGTACACATGCATCGCCACGCTCCAAAACTTGCTGCGAGCTTCGCACAATCGTGTCCAGCCACCCAACCGAACCGCTCAGGCCATGCTAATGGACGCATGACAGCGGGCAGAAGAGGTCGTCAGCAGGTATGACGTAAGCACGCAATTGGGACATTATACGACAGCGCTGTCCACGCCTCTCAATCGTGATCCCCACGCCGTAAAATTCATTGCTGTTCCTACCTTGCCCGTCATAGCCAACACCTTGCATCCAACGCCATTGGGACATTGTACGACAGCGTTGTCTACTCAATCGTGATCCCCCCGCCGTACAAAGGTACAATGCACTGCTGTCCCTTCCTTGCCCGTCATAGCCCACAGCTAGCTTCCCTAGCGCTTCCCTTACCGGCCACCCAGCTTACTTCCCTCCCAACCTCCATGTCCCCGCATATCCTCCTCCCCTCTTCCTTCTTTCCCTCCGCCTTCCCTCCCACCTCCCACCCACACTCTCCTCCCTTCTCAAATATCCCCCGCCAACTCCGCCAGCTCCAGCCATCGTTCCGACTTGGCGTCGATCTCCTCCTGCATCGCCCCCATCTCCACGCTGGCATCGTGCAACTGAGCAGCCAGGTCCCCACCACCCCCACCCCCACCCCCACCTCCCCCGCCACCTCCGGCCAGCTGCATGATCCGCTCGTTCAGCGCGTCACGTCGGGCGCTGAGCTGGTCAATCTCGCGACTCAGTTTCTGCATGCGGGGGGCCGCGTTCATGCGCGGGGGACAGAGCAGGGCAAACGTCCGTACATACCGGTATGAATTACGTTTGTGCATGGCAGAAGCCAGCCAGGGTGCAGGCAGTAGGAAAGGAAGGGGGCAAGGGGAAGAAACAGGGCAGCGTGAGTACCGCAAGCAACAACAGCACTGCCTGACGGGCCCCGTGAGGGTGCGGGTAGGGTGCGGGTAGGCAGGCCGCGGAGGAAGGTACGAGCAGCGCAGACGGCGGCAGGGAGCACAGCAGGCGGGTGCGGGGCCAGTGGCAACAGCCCCGTTGCCAACACACCAGCTGCTGCTGCTGCTGCACCCGCCATGCATGCATGCAAGCAACAGAGAGCACACACACACACACACGCTGTGCTGCACGCAGCAGCCGTCCCCAGCGCCCTAGCTCCCGGTCCGCAGCCCGCACAGGGCCCGTCAGTCCCCACCCTCCCGCCACCAGACACACGCTCACACACCTTGTACTCCTCCTGCTCGTAGTACCCCAGCTTGCGCGGCTTCTTGGGCGGAGTCGCAACCGCTGTTGAGGATGAGGATTGCTGCCGACCCCTGCTGCTTAGAGCCCTTGGAGCCCTTCCCCTTACCTCCACCCCCACCTCCTCCACCTCCACCACCGCTGTCTGACGTGCTGCCGCTGCTGGTGCCGGCAGCTACACTGCCGCTGCCGCTGCCGCTGCTGCTGCTGGTGCTGGCGGCGGCACCTGAGGCTGCCCGCTGCTCCGCTTGGGCCGCTGCCTCTGCCGCCGCCTCCTCATCCAAGAGCTCCAGGTACTGCAGAGGAGGGCGTGAGGAAGAGGAGGGGTGAAGAGGGGGAGGAAAACGAATATCCAATGTGTGGTGTGATAGTGGTTAACTAGCTCCACTCCCAAAGGGGAGGAAGGGGTGAGAGAAGGGGTGCCGCCGCCGCAGCAGCAGCAGCCATGGATAGAGGGCGGGCAAGCATCATCCGCGGCCCGCAGTTGCACCTTACTGGGGGCTACAGTGCTTCCAGTCCTACACCCACCTCCGAGTAGTTTTCCCTCGAACAGCCGCACCCGCCCCGTCCCCCGCAGCACCAGCAGCCGCGGCGCCACCGCGTCCATGAAGGCCCTGTCGTGGCTGACTGCCAGCAGGCAGCCGCGGTAGGCGCGCAGCTGCTCTTCCAGCACCTCAACGGTGGACAGGTCCAGGTCGTTGGTGGGCTCTTGGGGGGGGGGAGGGAAAGGGGAGGGGAGGGAGGGAAGGGAGGGGAGGGGAGGAGGGGGTTAGTCGGGATACATATCCTGCGTTTGGCCGGAGGGGAGGTTAAAGAAGTGGGAGGGGAGCGAGGAGGGACAGGGAGGGGCAGGGAGGGAGATATAGGGAGCAAGAAACCTGAGTGTGTTGGGGTGAGGCTTTGGAGCTTGGCAGGCGGGCTGGAGGAGGAGTCCGCACAGTTTTGCCAAGCACCCGTGACAGGCATATTCTGTGCCGGGCATATCAATTATCCTGTATCGCTCCCCCCCCCCAAGCCCCCCCCCACCCACCATCCAGAATGAGCAGGTTGGGTCGCTCCACGAGTACGGAGGCCAGGTGCAGTCGCCGCCGCTCGCCGCCGCTGAGGGAGGAGACGCGCTGGTACTGGCGGGGGCGGGGGAAGCCCAGCTGCGGGGGGTGGGGGCCGGGGGCGGGGGCGGGAGGAGAAGGGGTTGGGTGTGTCCAGGTGAATGGTCGAGTTGGCAGCATGGTGGGGGCCTAAGGAAGGCTACCAGTAACACGCCATGTGTGATGCAACAAGGGAACAGCAGGTATTGCCGCCTGCCTCCTCCTTCACCTCTACTTGTTTTATCGTTGCCCTCCCTGATCTCCCCCCCTCCCCGCCCCACCTTCTCCAGCAGTACCTCCGGCGTGTCCCCGCCCTCCTGCTGCTGCTGCCCCCCCGAGGAGGCTAGCCGGGCCTTGCGACCGTCCGAGATCTCCCGAATGTAGTCTGGTGGAGGTGCGGGGTTTGAAGAGGAGAGGGGAGGGAAGGCGAGGGTGGGAGGCGGTGAGGGTGGGACAGGAGGGAATGTGGGGGCTTGGAACTGGATACGTCGTATCGCACCCGGGAAGGCAAGCAAGGGGCAGGAACAAGGGCAAGATTAAGGTGCCGGGCGGGATGTGGGAGTGGTATGCACGCCTGCTGCCACGTGGCGAGCGTCCGCCACAATTCCCACCACACCTCCGGGGCCGGGGAGGCGGTACGGTAGTTCCCGCACACCGCATTCACTCTCGCGTCCAGTTCCCTTAACACATTCCTCCCAACCCACACCGTCTCCAACGCCCCACTCCTCCCAACCCCAACCATATGGGTATACACACTCCTCCCACCCCCCAGCCCCACCCTTCCCACCCCACCCGCCACCCACCAATCACCCGCATGTCCTCCCGCACGGGCGGTGGCGACTGCGAGAGGTAGCCCACCACGCAGGTCTCCCCCACCTCCCGCACCCCGCTGCTGGGGGCCTTCACGCCTGGGAGAGCCGGGGGGTGAGCGGGGGAGTCAGGGGGGTGGGCCGTGGCATGTGTGTGCGCCTGTGTGCCTGTGCACATGGCGGTGAAGGGGGTTGGTGCTGGTTGGAGTGTTGGTGCAGGCGGGCGGCGCTTCTGTGTAGCGGCGGACATGTGGGGTCCATGGCTGCCAGACCAAGTGCGGCTGGGCAGTCGGTGAAACCTGATCCGCTCAACTTCCCTGAAAAACACACCTCCCCCTTCCCACCCGCAATGAGGTCCAGCAGGGTGGTCTTGCCAGCTCCGTTGCGACCTGCAGCGGCACAGTCAGAGTCAGGCAGAGCCACCACGGCAGAGCCAGGTCACATCGCAGCCTTGTGTCATCTCGCGTTTGCACCACCTCAAGACACCGAAGTAATCATATTCCAAACACCACCAAACAGCCCCCAGCACCTCAACCCCGCATGCATCACACCCCAACCCCACCCCCCCCAACCCACCCACGACCCCCAGCCTGCTGCCCGGCTGCAGCTCCCAGCTGAAGTCCTCGATGAGGGGCGGGCCGGAGGAGCCGGGGGGCGAGTAGCTGAGTCGGGAGCAGCGGACCACCTTGTTACCTGAGGGGGGGAGTGGGGGGGGGAGGGAGAGAGGGAGGAGGCAATGGTGCTGGTTATCACTGTGAGGGATTGTGTTTCGTGCCTGTTGTGCAAGGGGGGAAAGGCCTTGGTGTGGTCCATGAGCTTACCAACCCATCGCACCATGCCAACCCGCCAACACTCACTCGGCTCACCTTTCCACCACCAACCCCCCCCTCCTCCCCCTTTCCTCTCCCGCACCCACCCCCCACCCACTGGGTCGAGCCGGGTTCAATTAGCAACCCATAGTTAAGCCTCACCATACAGTTCGTCAGCTTACTAAATTTGACCCCCACTCCCACTCCCCACCTTGCCGCGCCATGCCCCCCGCCGCCGCGGCCCCAAAGTCCACCCGCATGTCGGGCGGCGGCACGTCCCGCGCCCGCTCCGACAGCTCGTAGAACCGCTGCTGCCGCGCCATGCTCTTGGCTTGGCGCGCCTTGGGCTGACGAGACATCCACTCGGCCTCCCGCCGGAACAGCGTGCGCGCGTCGGCGGCGGCGTTGGCCTGGGCGCGGCGGCGGAACTCCCGGGCCTGGTGGCGGAGGGGGAGGAGGGGGTTTCAAAGCGGAGGGGGCGTCAAACGTCAAAGACCATACGGTACCAAACCGTAGGAAATCTCAGGTTGGGGCTAAGCAATGGGGACAGGAGGCGGCAGGGTGCCACGATACAAAGCGAGGGGTGTGGATAAGACCCGGGAGGGAGTGAAAGCCATGGTAGACAGTGACAAATGATTGGGGCCGGTGACTGTAACTCTGTCATGCAAGGGATCAACATAAGGCTAGCGTTACCTTTCACACACACAAACCCGCACCTCCCAGCCCCTCCCCTCCCCCGCCGTCCCCCCCGCACCTCCTTGAACGCCGCCCAGCTGCCCGCCCCCCCAAAGTTGTGCACGAAGGCCCGGCCCCCGTCCAGCTCCAGCAGCCGGTCGCACACACCCTCCATGAAGTACCTGGCGGGGGAGGGAGGGAGGGAGGGAGGGGAGGGAGGGAGTCAAAAGTAATACCAGAACCACAGGTTAGGGCAGGGGTGAGGGGAGGGGGAGATGGGAGGGGCAGGTAGACAGCTAAGAAGACCTCTATAATACTGAAACCGCAAAGGAAGGAGAACCCAGCAGAGGGGAAACGGGGCAGGGGGGCGGCCCAAGATGTACGGCATGTGCAAGTACGCCCAGTTCCTTGCATCACACACACACATGCGACCAGAGTACGGCGACTCCTGTTTGCCCCTGACCGCCCCCCCCCCCGTGATGCACATCTCATCCATCACCCCCCCCCCTCTCGCCACTCTTCCCCACCTGTCGTGTGTGACCAGCACCACCGCCATGTCGCCCCCGCGCAGCTCGCGCTCCATCCAGCGGATCATGTTCACGTCCATGTGGTTGGTGGGCTCTGCGGGGGGGGTGGGGGTGGGGGGTGGCGGGGGGGGAGGGCAGTAACAAATTACTGGGTTGCTCTGAAGAACATTTGGTAAAGACTGACAACGTTGTAGAAGTAGGAGGTCGTGAAATGGCGAAAGGAGGGAAGAGAAAGAACGAATCCCTTGCCACGTGGTTCGCTTCTCCTCCTCTACTCCTCCCCCAGCCCCTCCACACACGCCAGTTGCTGCACTTCTCGTTTATGTTCCCCCCTCCGCTCCCCCCCTCCGCCCCACCATCCAGCACCAGCAGGTCCGGCTTCCCGAGCAGCGCAGCAGCCAGCGCCACCCGCTTGCGCTGGCCGCCGCTCATCTGGGCAGCAGCAGCAGCAGCAGCAGCAGCAGCACGGCAACCGGGTGAAGTGGGGGGGAGTTGGGCAAGGGTCAGGAAGGGGGTGAGGAAGGAGGTGGAGCATGGGATGGGGCAAGAGCGCAGGTCCGGGCGCGCCCCCACCCCGCGCTCACCGCATGAGTCGGGATCGGGGATTGGGACACTGTTGCTGCACGTATCTTTCATTCCCCCGCCCCCCATCCCCCCACCCCCTCATCCCACCTGGTCCACGCTTGCCGCCATGTCTGTGATGCCCACCGCCTCCAGCACCCGCTTGGCCTCCGCATCCACCTCCCAGGCGTTCAGGGTGTTCATGCGCTCGATGGCCACCTCCAGGTCCTGTACAGGGGGGGGCAGGGTAGGAGGGAGCCCCGGAAGCACTGAGGGATGGAGGCGGAAGATGAGGAGGATGAGGAAGAGGAAGTGAAACCCCCGGCCTGACGAGGAAGGTAGGGCGCAGTTCCCCGTGACGCTCAGCAGGGATTGCGGAGGCCCACACCCACCCACCCTGCACTACCCTCCATCCATTACCCCACTCCTGCTCCCCTCCCCCCCTCCCAGCCCACCTTGGTGATCCTGCTCTGCGCCGCCGCCAGCGCCGCCTCGTACGCCAGCACCGCGCGCGCCATGCTGCTGCCGCCCGGCCCCTCCGCCGCCAGCACCGCCTGCAGCACGGAGACGCCGGTGGGCAGCTGCGGCTCCTGCGGCAGGTAGCCCACCCGCGCACCCTTGTGGCGGCTCAGCGAGCCCGCGTCGAAGTCCTCTAGGCCGGCCAACACCTGGGGGGAGGGGCGGGGACGCGGGAGGAGGGAGGAGGGGCGGGATGGGAGGCGGGAGGAGGAATGGGGAGAGGGGTACCCAGGGGAAGAGCGTTTAGGCAAAAGGAAAGCCCAAAGCTGGAGTGCAGGTTTGTATGTGTCGGTCCGGAGGGGGTGGAGGGGCTCCCCAGCACAGCTGCCCCCGCACACGCATGCGGCGCACCTTGAGCAGGGTTGACTTGCCGCTGCCGTTGGGGCCCACCACCGCCAGCTTGTCGCCCGCACTGGAAGGGGGCGGAGGGGACAGAGCGGACACAGCAGAGACATCCATGAGACGAAGGCAGGGAAGGGGCAGGCGGTGGGTGCAGCGTCCCAGAGCAGAGCCGACGGAGCACGCGCGTGTCCGTCCGCCTCCTTGACCTGCCAAAACCCGCCGGCTCCTGGAGTTGGTTCACACCCTTCAAGAGGCTCCCTAAACCCTGTGATACTATGTTCTAGTGGAAGCGAGCTCCCTCCATTCCGCTTACACTACGGAGAAGGTGAGGCCCTGGAAGAGCTGCTTTTCGCCGTCGTAGCTCTTCCCTAGCAAGTCCGCGATGAGCAACACCTCACCCCGCTTGGTGGCCCCCGCGCCGCACTGCACGCCATCTACGAGGCGTTGCACGTTTATAAGTGTTTCATACGCGTGTGCAACCTCAGGGCAATGTACAGCAGTGTGCCATGCCCAGACGGATGCGGCATGCCCGTCCCATATCGTCGGTTCAAAAAATAGGGTTTGCTTACTTCGTTGTAACCGCCGTTGCAAGCGGGCTGGTCGGCAGGCGAAGGCTGGCCAGGGGGGTCTGGTGCCAGAGAGCGCCTGACCAAGCATTTTTGAGACGCCGAGAAAGCTGCCGAGCTTGGTAGCTAATTGCAAAGTATTAAGCTTAAAACTAACCAAGGATTAATTACACGTACAGCTACTCGTGCAAAGCTGCAATTAGTCGGCCATGGGTGCAAGGAAATATAATTAGCGAGCGAACGGCCGTGCAGAACAGCAAACAAGAATCAGGCTGCAAGGGCGCACATGAGTAAACACCGAGTTAGCAATCGGCCGTCCGGCAATTCGCAAACCGTTGCCGGCTGAGTCAACCACCACGCACTGCTGTATTTGACGGCATATGGCTGCGAATCGCGGCTTTCATCGCGCGCGGCTCCAACTTATTGACATTGAAGGCTTGCTTGGATCCAAGCGATTGGGACGCTTGGGACCAAACGTCGTCGTCAACGGGCAGAACCGCAGGTCCAGGCATTCACCCCGTTAACCAACCGGCGTTATCACTTCCTGAAGCCTACACTCAAAGCATCCAGGGCCTTCTGCGCTTAGGGGCCTTTAGGGTTTGGGTCCCTTAAGTGTACCGGTAGCCGGCATACTGCGGACAGCTTGGGCACGGGCAGGTATTTTTGTCTTAGGGCTAAGCACGACAGCTGAATGCTTATTACAGTGACATGCCAGCCATCCAGTTAGAGCTAACCGTGCCTTTTGCTGACATACAACAGGTCAACTGGATGTCATGGGGTGGTGTGGACAGTGGAGTGCGGTGACCACAGCTGTTGGAGGTAAGCACGCCAGGAAGACCACTCGGAATCTAAGTATACCCGCCTCACACAGGTTAAAGGGTTCTGGCCATGCACGGGCCCGCAGAACAACTGCTAGGTGATGCATTTACATACTGTTCCTGTGATCCCACGTGGATGATTACCTCTGAGCTGAGTGAGTGAGTATATATTACCGGCACTGCAAACTCCGAGCTAGTGGTACCCTACAGGCTGTGTTGCACGGGCTGCATCGCGTCAGCAGCGAGTGCTTGCACATTGCACTAGGAACAAACGCTTACTGACATTGAAGTCAGCGGCCTCCCGATATGCTATTTTGCCCTCAGTGCCTTCGCCGTAAAGGCCCACCATGAAGATCGTTCAGTTGCCGAACGTCGTACCTAGCAGCGGAACGAGATGAACACAAACCTTGCGTAAATGCCCGAATGCTTCTGATATGTAAACACCGACGCGTCAAATTGCCCATAGCACCCTCATACATGGCGTTGAAGGCCCAGGCTGAACTCATATTGTTGCTTCGCTAAAACATCTGCCCCACGCCTTAGGCAACCAATATACCGGCTTAATCTTTTCCTATGTGGGAAACAGGGTGTACTGGTTAGAGAATTCTATCCTGTTAACAATAGCCATGCGGTCCGACCGGGGACCAGTAAGCCTGCAAGTCCCGCAACGCTCTGTGCTCGAGGAGTATAAAGCGGCATCCCCTGGCAGCTTTTCTGGAGGCACGGTGAGCCTTGTCATATCCTGGATTCCACGGACTGTCGCGTCTTTCACAAACGAATACTTAAGCACCGCGTCCTGGCTACACGCACCATGAAACTGTATGCAGCGTCAACCATCTGCGGGGAGGAAATTGCCTGGTGGAAAGCCTTTGCTGCCGGAGTTCCCAAGGAGGCAAGCCTTGAAGTGGTCGCATGCTAGGGCTTCACGTTCACCATAGGTTGAGGGCTTGTATGGTCCATAACGTGCAGGGATGAGAACGGGGCGTACAGACAGGGCTTAATATCTGCAATATTAGGCGGTGCTGGTTATGAATGCGAGCATCCCCGGTAAGCACCTGTAGTTTGCCAGCCCAGTCCAGATGGAGGGCTGTACCTGCTGCGTTTTTGACCGACAGCTCAGGGTGAAATGCTGCCCTTCTGCCGTGTCCCCAGGTCCGGGGGCGGGAGCGCTTCCTATGCCAGCAGCAGCACCGCAGCACCTGGGCGCTCCACTTCAGTACCACGCCCAGCGCCGCGCACCTCATCCACGCAGACCAGCGCTGGGCTTATCGGTGCCGGCGGCAGCAGCGGGCCCGCATCCGCGGCTGCCGCAGCAGCAGCCCTAAGTTCCGGCCCGGCCAGTCCCCGCAACGTGGTGCGATGCCCGGTCCCGCCCAGCAGCATCCTGGACGGCCTGCGCGCCCCCTCCCTGGTGGTGGCGCTGGACTCCCTGAAGACGCCCTCCGTGGTGGCGGCCTCCCGGGCGCAGCGGGTGAACGGCAGCAGCGGGCTGGACTACAGCTCGCTGCAGGGCGGCACCAGCGCCTCCAGCGTGAGGTGAGCAGCTTGGGCATGTGGCGGCCACATGGCCACGCGTGCTCCGGTGCACGCGTGTTATGTGTGTTGGGCTTACAGCGCCTAGTTCAACGCACTCTGCTCTTGTAGACTCCCATGCGTGGGACTTCAGATGAGCTGGGGTAGTGCAGGAGTGGGTTCGGCGACATCATGTCTGTGGGATAGTTGGATATCGGAGCCATTGCGTCCGTCTGTGGTTAGCTGTTACACCCTGTAACCCACCAATCCCTTGCGCAGGCTGAAGCGTCAAGCGGGTATTGGTTCCGAACCACCCGTCGGCATCCCGAGCATGCCGTGCTCACCATCCTGTCACGTGCCACAGCAGCACTACATGCAGCCAGACCCGCTGAGGCCGGTGTACCTGTCAGGCCCAGCCGCCGGCACGGCCGCTGGCGGCGGCGCTGTCGGGACGACATCAGTGTCGTCCGCAGCCGCGGCAGCCGCGGCAGCTGCTGCGAACGCCGCAGCCGCGGCGGCAGCTGCTGCGGCGTCGGCCTCCAGCCGCCGCGTGTCCTTGGAACGTTCCGCCGCTGAACGTGTTCTGTCTCGGCCATCCAGCTTCTCCAGCACAACAGCAGGCATGTACGGCGCCTCTACCGTCGGCGGCGGCGGCGGTAGCAGCGGCAGTGTCTCCGCCAGCGGTCTGCCCAGCCCCTCGGCGCCGCCGCTGCCTGCCGGAGGAGCCGTGTATGCGTCGCAGTACGCATATCAGTACGGCAGCTCTCCAAGCACGGTATACATCCCTGCTTACAGCGCGGCGGGACACTCATCGTCAGGCGGGACGACTGCGACGTACGTGGCCTCTGCCGGCTCCTCATCCATCAGCAGCTCTGGGGCAGCGAGTGCTGCGGCGGCGGCGGGCGCCGCAGCCTACCTGGCAGCAAGCGCCGGCCTGCCGCCCCGCCCTTCCAGCCTCAATGTCGCCGGCGCATCCGCCGCTACCTCCTATTCATCACTCTTGCCGACACCAACTTCCTCCGTGCTCCCCTCCGCGCCGCCGCTCATGTCACCCCTCTCTCCTTCCACCCCAAGCGCGCCCCCGCTGTTCTCACCCTCGGCAGCAACACACGCGCCGCCGCTCCCAACCGACACCGTCGCCACTCGGTCGGTCCAGCGCACCTTGAGCAGCTCCCTGCCACGCCCCCCTGCCGGCGCCGCATCCGTCGGCGCCAGCGTCCTCACAGGAGCCGCCGCCGCCTCCATCGGTTCCGCGACCACAGTAGCGACGGCAGCGGCGTTGGCAGCAGCCTCCTCGGGTGCTGCGGGCGGCAGCCGGCTGCGAGTCGTGACCGTGCCGGGAGAGGAGCCCAGCGGCGGTGCGGACGCCGGCAGCAACTCCAGTCTCCGGCGGGTGCAGCTGGCGGATGAGCAACTGCGGTACACGGGATCAGGCGCGGCACCGCCGCCGCCCGCAACATCCGTTAGTGCTCCGGTTTGCAGCGCGAGCTCGGCGGCGGTGACGTCAGCGCCAGCAGCTGCAGTTCCGGCGGCCACACCGGTTCGGCCCATGCCTCCGTACGGCAGCACAACGGCGACAGCAGCCGCCACCATCACCACCACCACTGCCTCCGTCGCTGCCGCCGATAGCCAATACCACAGCCAACATGCCCAGCTGCCCCATTCACACCCGCAGCAACCCCAGCACCAGCAATCCCAGCAGCAGCATCCCAGCAACCCCCACCCGCATTACAACCCATCCCTAGAGGCGGGCGGTGCCAGCTACAGCAACGCAAGCACCAGTAGCACCGTCAGCAGCAAGTCCAGTGTGGCGGTTGCGGGCACGGGCGTGTCAAGCGCCAGCAGCAGCCGCACGGGTAGCAGCACCTCGCAACGGAGTGCCACGCAGGACGTGCCCTCCCCCTCGACGGCGCAGCAGCAGCACTCACATCACCAACCGCACCAGACACCACACCCCCAGTACCACCAGCATCAGCAACAACACCCGAGCCAACTGCAACACCAGACACATGCGCCGCCCTCGGCTCATGCGGCTGGTGCGAGCAGTACCACCAGCAGCACCACAACCGCGCGGCATGCAGCGGCTGCAGCTACAGCCCCATCCGCGGCTGCTGCAGCGCACGCGGAAAGCGTCTCGAGAGCAGCGGCTTTGTCGGAGGGTGGGGCCTCAACGGGGGCCGCCGCCGCCGCTGCAGAAGGGGGCCCAGCATCTGGCGGGGGCAGTGCAGGGAGCAGTGCAAAAGCTCATGAGGAGCGCGGCCTGGCGCCGGTGTGCGGTCCGCTGCCGGACCTGCCCGTGGTGCTGCCCTCACGTGACACGCCGGCGGGCCGGGGCTGCGTGGGGCTGCAGAACCTGGGCAACACCTGCTTTATGAATTCCATCCTGCAGAGCCTCAACGCGGTTCCGGAGCTGGTGCAGCAGTTCTACAATCCCGCAGAGCGCAACTGGTGAGTCTGGTGGGGGTGCGTGTGGCGAGTGAGGTGGGTGCAAGTAAGCATGCGTGCTGGATGCCGAGCAGCTCAGGGGGGCTTGGAACGAGGGCAGCATCTCGACGCTACGTGCTGCGTTGCCGTACATCCGGCGGGTACAGCCTTGCGCTCTTGCCGTCCAGCTTCCCGTCCCCTCTCCTAATGTACATTCCGTCCTCCACCTATCAATCCCTGCACCCACTCCCACCCCACAGGTCTTCTAAGGCGATCGTGGCCCCCGCCTACAGCAGCCTGGTTCGCGACATGATGGCGGGTTCCCTGGGCGGTGTGGTGAACCCCGGCGCCTTCCTGCGCAAGGTGTCCAAGCACGACGGGCGGTGGGGCGACGGGCGGCAGCAGGACAGCCAGGAGTTCCTGAACAGCCTGCTGGAGGTGCTGCAGGTGGGGGGTGGGAGTGGGTGGGGGAGGGTGGGGAAGGAGGGGTAGAGGGATGAGAGGAACAGAGGATGGGCAGGAATGAAGGAGGGGTGTGGCTGCTGGAGGCAAGGGAGCAGCAGGTACATGGTTGTAAGGTTTCCCCTCTCTCCACATCCCCACGCCTGGTCCCTTCACTCCCTCTCTCTTCCCATCTCCCCATCCCCACTCCTCCCGCCCCCATCCCGCCCCACCCCCAGTCCGAGTGCAATCGCATCACCAGCAAGCCCACCTACCGCGAGCTGCAGAGCAAGGGCAGCGAGGAGGCGCAGGCGGCGGAGGCCTACGCCTACGCCCGCTCCTGGAACGACTCGCTGGTGGACGACATCTTTGGCGGCCTCACGCAGTCCACCATCCAGTGCCACGCATGCAAGCGGCTGAGCCACACCTTTGAACCCTTCCTGGGCCTCGCGCTGCCCATCCCCGGCTCCTCCTCTTCATCCTCTCCAGGAGCGGATCGCGACCGAGATCGTGATGGTGGCGGCGGGAGTGGTGGTGGCTCGGTGTCGGTTGCGGACTGCCTGCGCGCCTTTGTGGAGTGTGAGGAGCTGGAGGGCGACGACAGCTACAAGTGCGAGGCCTGCAAGCGCCGGCAGCCGCACAGCAAGCGGCTGCAGATCTTCCGACCTCCCCGGGTACTTGTGCTAACGCTCAAGCGCTTCGCACAGCGCCCGGCAGCCCCTGGCTTCTTCTCGCGCTTCCGGTCGCCGGCGAAGAACAACACCCCCGTACGGCTGGATCCGGAGCTTCTGGATCTCACGCCGTACTGCAACCCGCTGGGGCTGCGCGGGCTGAGTATCCGCGGGCGGGGCCCGGTGGCTCCCGTGTACCAGCTTGTGGCTGTGTCGCACCACAGCGGTAGTCTGGAGGGCGGGCACTACACGGCTCAGGCGCGCAGCTGCCTGGACGGGCAGTGGTACAACTTCAATGACAGCACGGTGCGGCGGGAGGCGCGACCCAGCGGTGCCAGCAGCAGCGCGTATGTGCTGTTTTACCGGCTGGCCAACCTGCCGCCCAGCAATTTGTAGGTGCTGGGAGAAGGAGGAGGAAGAGGAGGTGACATGGGGTGCAGGTGCCGTGCTTGGGTAGGTGGGTAGGTCAGGAGGCGATTTGGGTGGTGAGGGGTTGTGGCTTGCGAAAGTTTAGGAGCGGTGGTGTGCGGCGGTATGGCTCGACGCGATCTGGAGCATTCCACAAGAGGCTTTGTTGGACTTGGAGGGTAGCGGTTATTGGAGGCCGGGATTTCTGTATGTAGGTTGACATAACACCGAGTATTATTAGTACATAGGCATATTACTTTTGAGGGAAAGCTTATGGGGTTTGGGTTACAGCAGGCGGGGCAGTGAGCGGTCCGGGCGCTAATGTTCTGCTCTTAGCGAGATCCGCACAAAGCAGGACAGCAGATGTGAGCCGTATGCGTGTATGGTATTACCTTTTGTAATGTGCCTTGCGAGTCTTGCGGTGGAGGGGGAAGTGTAGAGTTAGTGAGGCTGGCGGGGCTGTGTGGCCGTGTGTTTGGGCTTTCGACCCGCCTGTTGGTCTGGGGGAGAGGCGAGGTAAGGTGGGGCGGCTTGGACTGAAGGATTGCATAGTGCACGCATACGGGATTTTGTATTAAGTATAACCGTGATAAGAACTGGCGTTTAGCGGTAGATACATAGGTGTTAGGAGGATACAGCCGGCTTACGGATGCCATGGGGATGACCCTCCAGCGAAGGTTCATGGTGTCATGAAGTTGGGTGCGTTAGGTGGAACGGTACACGGATCGTGACCTGGTCTGGACAGCGTTGATAAGGACCCTGCGGAAAGCAGGTGCGGGATGTCATGTCCCCATGTGCCTGTGGATGCTTCAGGTGCAAGGAAACGTACCGGTATCAGTCCTCTCCTGGATCTGTGCCGTACTGTTCGGCATCCGGTGACGTGTGCAGAGTGGAAGCGGTTGACCGCTGTGACTGTCTTGTCCATGGCCCCTGTTAAGAGAAGACAACAGTGCATGAGGCCGACGGCTGCGCGTGGAAAAAGCGGTGGTTGGAAAACGAGCCTCGGGTCTCTTTTCGTTCCGCTACAGGCTTCACTCTTGCCGAATGACAGAGGCCGGTGCCTTGTTTTGTCACTGTTGGGCTGCAGGGCACTGGTTGACAGGAGTGATATCGGCATACATTGGAGTGATGGCCACTGCGTTCCCGGGCAGTGTGTTTGCATGGGAAGCGCTTGCGGTGGCAACAGTGAGAGGCGGACAGCTGCCCTATGTCGCGATGATTACTGACAGGGCAAGGGGATAGCTTTTGGTGAATTGTTGCCAAACAAACCGGAGCGAAGGCGGTGGCGGTGCGGTATGAAGAGGAGCGCTGAGGAAGCTGCTTGTATCTGCTGTGCCGCTGCTTTGGAGGGTTTTGGAGGCCCGGGTGGGGTTAAGGGCGTGATGTGTTACCGTAAGCGAACTATTGTAGCAGAGGCTGTGGTGTTTTGCAAAGTGCGGGGCCTGCTTTCGTGGCATGGTGAACGACTGAGCGGGTGCGGATGACAACGTTATAGGAAGGTCAATGAGTGTCTTGCGGAATAATTAGTTGGGCAGTCAGCTTTAACGCTGACGGGCCAAGGCGCATAACGCACACGTGGTAATATCTTGCGCCAGCGGTTCTACAGTTGGAAACCTTCGCGCCATAAAATTAAAATTTGGTGGCTAGTGTGGCAGGTAGGCGGGCGGGGAAGCCAAATGTTGCTCCTCATGCCGCACCCTTAACATTCGGTACTTCAGACGTGATCAGGTGCATTTTGGTGCTCGTCTTTCAATTTTTCAGAGCCCCTGAAGCCTCTTGGGTGGTTTGCTGGCGAGTTATGATGTTCAAGTATGTAGTTGGGCTGTCCCTTTGAATGCCAAGTCTTGTGATTATGGTTCTTGCATGGTGGTGGTGGTTTAATTGTTAATGGGGGAAAATAAATGGGGGAGGGAAAGTCCTATCTGGGCGGCCGGAGGAAGGACTGCTGTACACACCGTACGCCCGTGCACATACGCCCGAGCGCATGCACCGGAATTCGGGACGACGGTTTCAATGCTACAAGCACGCCCATAGCATCGGCATGACGTTGTATAAACTCTGGTAGGTTGCTGCTTGCAGTTATGCTTACGAAGACAAAGGCGTCATCAGGCCGTTCGTCATCAGGCTTACCCGCTCAGGGTGTGGTACTGGATGTTTTTCCTGCAGCACCTCTCCATGCCCAGCCGCTGTCCTGTCCTATGCGTCCTAAGTCCTTGTCAATGGGCCAGCGGCATACACCAGGAGACAAGGATCACGCCTTTCCCAGTCGTCTAATGCAGCAACGTACAGCCAGTCGAATCAAAACGGCGTTTCACTGCTCCGTAATACCGGTACGACACACGCCAATGCTCGTCTCAGCTTCCTTACCCGCCACAGCCCCTCGCCCACACAAGGATTTGCCCTACAACATGGATAATGTTTAAACCGCAACCACACAATGACCGCGCAAGTATTGTACACTACCGTCTGCGATGCCTCGCGCCCGCCATGCCCACGCCACCATGCACCTCAACCCCACCCACCAACACGCATGCAGCCTGCACTCACCCACCTCCGCAACCGCACATCCAGCTGCGCCCTCTCTCGCCTGATGCCCCCACTGTCCCAAGCCCTTCCCGTGCATACATCCTGCCAATGCACCCTAACACAACACCATGCCGCCGCCCTCACAACCCACACTCCTCCTCAACGCTCGCTGCTCACAACCACGCCGTAACCAGCCTCCACCGCTCCTCCTCCTCCCACCGCTCCTCCTCTCCTCCTCCTCCTCAGTCCTCACGCATCCTCCACCAGGCGCTCCAGTCCAGCCACCAGTCCGGGTTGCCGAACTCCGAGACCGACACCAGCACGGTGACCCAGCCGCGCTGGGAGAAGAGCTTCAGCAGCGGCGCGAAGCCCCGGTCGTCCGACACCAGGCACAGCACCGGTGGGGGAGGGGGCGCAGGCGCGGCGGGAGGGGGCGAGGAGGAGGAGGAGGAGTCCGCGGGTGCGGGCGCTGGGGGTGATGGCAGCTGTACCTGGGGGGGTGCGGAGGTGTGGGGAGGTCTTCCGTCTACCGGTAGGCATGGGGGCTCTAAGACACAGCCGCAGGCGGCAACGGGAGGCAAAGGTGATGTGCATTGACGGTACCAAATAATTCTCCAACATGTTCCCACGTCGCCGCCACACCAACAAAGCTAGGAGAAGCCGCATCCTCCTTCCTTAGACCAAGTCGGAGTCATGTGCCGTTGAGCATGCCACATGTACGCGTGCCAACGACAATGACGCCACAGGTGCCGGCTCTCCACCTCACCACCTCACCAGACGCCACTTTGCATCTCGGCCCACTGCTAAAACCATAACGCAAACCCTGTTCACCCACACGCACACCTCCCCTTGCCACGCCCCCCTTTCCAACTCTTAACTCCTACAAAAGTCCCGAACCCCCTGAACCCCACTTCCCCACCTGAACCATTTTCAGCAGCCCCCGCGCATGCTGCTCCAGTGCCACATCCGCCTTCTGCGGCCCCATCTGCACCGGCTGCACCGCCACACCCGCCAACTTGAGGATATCCTCCAAGCCAAACCCGCGCCGCTTCGGCAGAACCACATTCCTGGCGTTACGATACCTGAGGAGCGAGGGGGCGATGGCGCCGTACATACGGCGATTAGAATGCAAAGGTTACAAGGGGGGTACGGCGGTTAGTACGACAGAGGACGGTACGCGGCGTACGGCGCAACGGGATGTTGTGGTAGTGGGATTCACGCATGGCGGGATTAATCGTTTAACAGAGCTCCTAGCCCATTGCTACTACCGTACTAAAGCCCCTGTGCTCCTGTGGCGTGGAGGCAACAATGCTAATGGTATGGGTCATACCGTTAATGTGTCATCCGTAACTGGCAAAGAAGCACCCCGGGTCTCCGACTAGGGCTTCACCGGTCTCACAGCATGCATGCCAGGCCCCCACGTCTCACCTCACCCACTACCGCATCCCCGGAAACACCAGAGCCCTTAACCCAACCGCCAACCCAGTTCCCCCACCAACACCACCCACAAGCCACAACCCACCCTCACTGCTCACTCACCGCTCGAACTTCTCCGACTTGACGTATCTCTTGACGGCCCAGCTGTTCCTCATTCGCTTGCCGTGCTCCCGTTCGTGCAGCTGTTTGAAGTGCCGCTCCAGCTTGTCTTCACTCTTGAACTTGTTGCCACACAGCGGGCAGCGCAGCTCGTCCTCGTCGTGCATGTGGTCCAGCGGATGCTGACAAACGGGTGTTAAGAAAATGGGGGTGTTATCAAAACTGGAACCGCCGCGTTAGGAACGGGTGTGTTGAGAAACCTTGCCGCGAGGAAGACCGTACTGGACTGTCGGAAGATGATGTCGGGTGTGTGTTTGAGTAGAACAAGAGGAGCAAGCAGTTGGGATAGGTTCGCATGATGGCGGGTGTGTGTGTGATGGAAGCCATGTGGGTAGCGTGTGGGTAGGAAGTTAGCGGCAAGCAGTGTGGGTTTGGATGCGGAGGGCGGAGGGTGCAAGTGTGCGGAGGCAACTGACTGCAGCAGGTGTGTGCCGGATGCAGGGCGCATGACGAGAGTGGATGGTGGCCTCAGTTGAGAGGCGCGGGACGCGCGCCCGTACCCCTGCTCTGTCACAGCATCTGGTGGGGCCTGCTTGGCTCCTTGCCGCTAGCTTGGTGTCCCCCTGCTGACCCCGCCCAGCCACTCAACCGCCCAGCCACTCAGCCACCCACCATCATGCCCATTTCCTGGGCCTCCTCCCACAGCTCTGGCACGTGGTTCAGGGTCTGGTAGTTGCAAAACGCTGTGATCTCCGCAACCTGACCGAACCTCTGAAGCTGATTCCTGGGGAGTATCAGATGGGAAAAAGAAAGAGAGGGAGGTCAAAGACCATACCGAACCGTAGGAAGCCACAGGTTGGGGGGGCAGTGGGAGCGCAGGGGAGTAAGTAGGTTACTAATTACGGTATGATGAGCACAGGAGGGGGAACACAAGACAAGGAAAGCAGAGCAGCTGGCAGCACCTCGTTTCGGCGTGGTTCCTATTAGCCGGCGCGGTAGAGTCTGGTTTACAAGGGAACAGGCATGTCCCAACGCCCACCTCAAGTCTTGCACCACGCTGGCGTGGTCCAGCGTGACAGGATACTTGTTGTCCAAATCCCACAAGACGTATACAGAGGCCGGTTTCACATGTGACGTTCCCCGTACGGAGCCCTTCTGGGAAGGCGAGGGAGGAGTTGCGGGCGATGGTGAATCGGTGGGTATTGAAGCAGAGGTGGTGCAAGGGGAAGAGGAAGAGGGCGACGACGTCGATGGTGAGTGCGACATGTCCGAGTCGTGAAGAGCTGGTGGTTGGGTTTGGCTTGAGGCTGAGGAGCTTGCCTGCTGAGGTGGTGATAGTGCCACTTTGGCTTTTTGGCTGGACTTGCTGCGCTGCCGACGACCCTGTCTTGAGCTAATGCCGGTAACCTCCTTGCTTTCAGTGTCATGAGTAAAGAGGGTTCGGCGCCTGGTTGCCGCTGGTACATCAGCGACACTATTTTTAACATCCGTGGCACTCATATGTCCAGCTCCATATGGGCCCCGCAGTGTTGAGGGCAATTCGCCCTCATCTTGCAGATGACCTACTGGAGGGGCCTGGTCTTTATCTTCATAAGGACTGCTGTGGCTGTCAACCGTCAAAGGCCGGAAATCAACAGGCGATTCACGGCTTTTATGTACATCCGCAGCCCTCAAGCTCGATGTCCTGCTCCCAGACTCTGTTCTCGCCGTTCTATGGCTCCCGGATGTCGTCGGCGTTGCCTCGCTACGATTCTGTGAGCGCACCACAACGACAGCTCGGCAGGCCCTCGCGCCTACGTTTGCGCCGATGCCGCATGGAGACGACAATAATGCAGTAGCAATGTGTCGTCCTATCGTATGCCGCTGCATTCGCACTAGTCCTTGATACGCTGACATTTGCCTCGCATCGACCCCAGCAATTGGAATGCAATTTTATGCAAGTAACAAGATTAATGCTTGGATTACTTTAGGGCCAATGACGCCAGTTGCGGGGGTTCCAGGGTTCCATCAAGTGTACGAAAACAGATGTGAGTCCTGGAACAAAACGGGGAAAACAAAAGAAGACACGGCACAGACGCTGATTGTAAGATTATACCCTTCTCAATGTATCGCTGTATCCTTGTTTGCTTTGGTTTCCTTATGCTGTACGGAAATGTGCTAGACCGCATTCCTGGCCTCCGCACCCAAAATCCACACCTATCTGAACCCTTTTTATTATAGCCAGCGCAAAGCTGGCAATTCAGTGTCATTGCTACCTCTCGTCAACTTAGCTTCCCAATGCCCATGTGACACGCCCCTCAAGACGCCTCTCCCAACCAGAGCACTATCTTCGCAAACCTAGCCACGCCACCATGTCTCCCTCCAAGCCACCCCAGCCAAGCACCCCAGCCGCTGCCTCCGACCCTGTGGCCTCCCCGATCCGCTCCTCGCCAGCAGCTGCCCTGCGTGTGCTGTCCCTGCTGCCAGCTGCCACGGAGGCTGTGCGGGCGCTGGGGGCCGCTGAGCTGCTGGTGGGCCGCTCCCATGAGGTGAGCCATCCGGGTCAGCAGCGACAGGTGCAGCTAGGGAAGCTGCTGCTTAACAAGCTACGGCTAGGTGCCGTGAAGCCCTCCTCCATCGCCCGCCCGCCCATCCCCTGCTGCCCTGCTGCTAGTTTGCCATTATAATCGTTCACCGCATCGGGATTCTTTCATTTCGCCTGCTGCCCTCCATCTCCACCTCCACCCGCAGTGCGATTGGCCCCAGGCGCTGCCGCCCCCGCCGGTGCTCACAGCGGACAAGCTGGGGGCGCTGGGCCCGCAGGAGCTGCTGGCAGCCAGGGTGAGGCGGGGTGGCGTGCTGGTGTCGGGTGGAGGTTCTGCCAGCAAGGCTGTTCGGTTTTCCGATGTGAAATGTAACAGAGATAGCTGGTATTTATCCCATGTGGAATGTTGCAGAGATAGCTGTTGGGGTCGCCGCCTGGGGCTGGGGGTGCTTGGGAACCGGTACATGGCATTCCCGCATGGTAGGGAACCGGTATTGCATCCTCCTTTCACCATGCTTTCCTTTCCCTTATGCTCTACCCTGCACACACCTGCATCAAGCATTCAGCGCTCTCTCCCTACACACCTGTACACCTCCAGGCCGCATGCAACAACGCGCTGCTGACCCTGAGCTGGTGTGGCGGAGGTGGCGGCGGCGGCGCGGGTCCCGCGCTGCTGGATCTTGGGCTGTCACCGTACCGTACAGATCTAGATCAGCTCGCATCAGTACGACCTGATGTCATCCTAACGCAACTGCAGGTACCGGTGGGGTAGTGTTGGTCACATGCCAGGTGCCGATAACCGGAATGCGAGCGGCTACGGATCACTCAGCAGCTAAACTGTGCTTGCACGGAGTGGTGGCAGCATGCATGAGCTGTTACTGCACCTGTCTATTTACATTATGACGGCATGCACTGTGACAGCGCGCCTGCATGTACCGCTACGCTTATCCTAACTTAGACCTAAGCAGGCTCAGCCGCTCAGACCCCATCTTCCTGGGCGTTGCCCCCCCCCCCATCCACCGATCACTTACCTCCGCATGTGCCGTAACTTACCTTGCCGTACCGGTCTGCCACCTCCCCACCTGCGCTCAGGGTTTGGGTCCGGAGCTAACCTCGGAGCACTACACCGCCGCCCTGGAGGAGCTGCTGGGCTGCCGGCCGGTTGTCGTACACATGGGCTCCCGTGATGACATGGCGGGCGTGTGGTCAGACATGCGGGCGGTGGCGGCGGCGCTGCGGCTGGGCGAGCAGGGGGAGAAGGTGGTGCGAGGTGGGGGCATGGCACGAGGTGTGTGATGTTTGGGGGCCCGGTGAGCCCGCCTTGCTCAAGAGCACACAGAGGAACTGCACGAACATGTTCCGGACGTAGGATAGCAGCCTTCAGCCCTTCAGGACATGACCGTCGCTTCTTCTTCCCGCTTTCACGACCCACTCGCGGCAGCGCTGCAGGGCTGCAGCGGCGGCTGCAGGCGGCGGCGCAGGCGGCTCGCGGGCGGCGGCGACCCCGGGTGGCGCTGGTCCGCTGGCCGGCGCCGCTGCTGCTGGCGGCTGCTGAGGCGGGCGGCGGCGGTGGCTGCGCGAGTGAGGTGCTAGCGCTGGCGGGCGGGCGCGAGGTGGCTGTGGGGCGAGTGGCGGGGCAGGAGGGGCAGCAGGAGGAGGCGTGGGTTGAGGGGAAGGCCTGCACTCCGCAGCAGCTGGCAGGTGGGTGGGTGTGGAAGTGTGGGTGTGAAGAGCAGGGAGGGCGCACATGTGTGGGATGCTGCTGCGTGCGAGTGGTTGTTGTGTCCCCTTGTCTACCGCCTCGGCTGGGAATGAACCGATCCATCCGCCCACAGCTTTCGGATGCTTCTAGTGGTAGGTTGATTGCCGTATACCTGCAGGGCAGCCTCTACATGAACCCTGCCCTTGCAGCCCGTGCTAGTTTTCCCCGTTGCCCCTCCTTAACACCCGCCTCACCCGCCCCTGCACCCCCTGCACCTTCCCCCCTCCAGCCACCCGCCCCGACGTGCTGCTCTTCGCCCTTTGCGGCTTTGACCTGACCTCCTCCCGCCGCCTGGCGGCTCAGGTGGTCAGCCAGCAGCTACAACAGCTCCAAGGGCAGCTACAAGGGCAGCAGCAACAGCAGTTTCCGCAGCTGGTGCAACGGGCCACCCCAGCGCGCAACAAGGCCGCTGCTTCCCTTCCGGCCGCTGCTGCCTTGCCTAACGCTGCTGCTGCGGCTGTTGCTGCCACTGTTTCCGCTGTCTTGAGAACCGCGGGAGCACTGACATCCGCCGTGTTGGCCACCCTACAGCCGCCTGTGACCGCAGCCGCCGGCCCGCCCGCAACCACTACCGCAACATCGGTAAAGATGAGCGCTGCAAAGGAGGCAGCATGTGCAGCCTCTGCCTCTATCGCTTCTTCCCTAGCTGCTAACAGCGGCGGTAGACCTCCTGCTGCTGCCGGCGCTACCACAGCAGCTGCTGGCGCCCCGGCCTTCCAGCCCCGAGTAGTGGTGTGTGACGGGTTGCGGGTGCTGCGGCGGCCCTGCAGCGGCCCGGGGCTGGTGGCCTCCCTGGAGGTGCTGGTGGAGTGCCTGCATGGGGAGGCGCAGGGGTACGGACACGAGGGCGCGCTGTGGGTGGAAGGGGGGAGTGAGGGCGCGATGGGAGGCCGGAGTAAGGGGGAATGAGTGTAATTAGGTAATTGTGCTGCTTGTTAGCACTGCATGACGCTGCTTGCTTGTTGGCGCTCGCTCTTAGAGCAAGGTTGCCCACAGATGGAGGGGCATTCCGCATTGCCCGAGGCCTTGTGTGGTGGAGGCTGCCTGCGACATCATGGGGAACTACCGGTATAGTTCCCTACAGGCGGACTGGCAAGCAAAAAGGCCGGAGAAGTGTGCCAGGCCTAACAGTACTTTGTGTAAGATTTAGCGAGGTCTGACTTGCCAGCGGCAGAACAGCGGCTAGCTCTCGCATTCCTGATTAGGCCAAGCAGCAGCAGCAGCCTAAACTGCGAAAAGTGGTGTCACTTGATTAATGTTATGCATAGGAGTACTCCACATCGATACCTACAGCCTCAGAGCCCAGTAAGTACTCCACTACCGGTACTCGACTCAACCTCTAGTAGAAAAATGATAAGCATACCGCGAGCTACCCTTATAATTACTCACTATTATACATTGATTCAGAAACTGTTTCCAAATCTGTGGCGACCTATAGCAGGCGAGCCAGGGTGCACAATAGGAAATCGCATGGAAGTGTAACCAGAGCAACATTGCTATGTTCAACGGCATTCTATAAAAGTTGAAACAGAACAACGTAGCTTAGCAACGTAGTGAAACACAACCTGGAAGGACGTTACCTGGACAGCTTACAGCATGTAATGCACATGGATGGGTGAGAATGCGGCGGCACATGTAAACTGCTGGCCAGAGGCTTTCTCACAGGCCTTTGCGCATCTTGGCTCGTTTAGACTACAAAACACCCCGTATGCACACCAGCATGCGCCCCCCTTGATTTAACATAAAGCACTGTCCATGTCCACGCCTATCGCACTGTGGTGTCGCCACAACCTTCTTGCTACATAGCGACAAGCGGGCCGGGGCAATGTATAGCCGCGGTATTAAACGGCCTGCACATGGATGCAGCCGAGCCGGCGAGAAGGAATAACGAGCATATTGGAGGGGGTTCTGCTTGGTCTCACTCCTGCATGCGTACCTAACCTCCGGGACCCTGTGCGCGGAATGCACGACTCGCAAGGCATGAGCGACGTCATGACCTGTGCAACAGTGTCGCGAAACCGACGCAGATTGATGTCCGCTTGTACGGCACATGGCAACCTGGTAGGGGCCGGGCTAGGGGGCATGGGCGCTTCACAAGGACATTTCATCGCAAAGTTGGCTAGAGCACGTCATGCAGGTCAACGCATTGCACGCATAGGTATTGTGCAGTGTGGGTTAGCACCCTTAGCCAACCTGCACGCGGCGTTTCGCGGTGCAACTCATGCCGCCAAGGCGAGCAGTGCCGCTGTGTACGTCAGCACCATACACTAAGCAGCGATGCATGCCGCGCTTTCTCAGTGTACGTGTGCGTCCCTGAGTTGCATGTGGGCTGGGTATAAGACCCTGGCGCGGCCTGGAAGGTGAAGCAGCGCGAGTGGAACTGAGGAGGCGAACGGCGAGCGGGCGTGGACCGCCAGATTTTGGTTACACATTGTAGACGTGTCGCTTAGAAGATCTTGCTCAAGGAATGGAGCGAACACGTGCATGTCGCGTAATGAATACCGCATGCCGGTAATCAACTTCAGAGATTACGACACGTTTGTGGTTTCCCTAATAGCGGCTTTATCCCCAATCAAAGAGTATCAAACTCCTTCAGGTTACGGAGCTTAACTCTTGTGCGATGTCTCATTCCCGTTCAACAAAGTCGGTCACGGCCTTGCAAATCCTTTTACTGCGTCACTTTGCCTTCTTTTCCCCGACGCGACTTTTACAACATATATATCGCTGCGTATAAGCAGGGTTCCAGAAAGTGCCATTCAGAAGCCTTTCCAGTCGCATCGCCCAGTTAAGTGCCAAACAAATATTAAGCACTGTGGCATATTTAAAATATACATTTATAAAAGCTGTAAGCTCATCCTGTTGCCTGGAACCGGCTTGCGATGATTGCGTCAGCAGGCGGTTGGGGCGATGTGAGACGACGATGAACGGATGGCACTCCGAAGATGCTGGATGCATAGCTGCTTACTACCTTTTCACTTTAACTGGTCATCATTTACACCTTAGGGATAGGTCCGAGCCGAACGGAAGACCGTACGTCTGACTTGAACATGACAACTTGTTACCAGCGACGGCACCTGTCCCAGAGAGCTTACTTACTATTAGTCCTTACGTTATTGTCTACAACATTTGCAACTGATATTGCGTTCGCGAAATCAGACGTATCGACCAATATAAATGAACGTGTTCTGCATACGCGTGGCCCTAACTTAGGACATTAGCCCTATTGAAATTAACATTGCACCGAGACCTTGGAATTAGGACCTGTGCGTGTGAGCAGTGGCCCTTAACTTTCCTGGGCGAGGCTCCCTGTCGGGCCGCCCGAGTCCTGAGGATGGAGGAGGCCGCGATGGGCGAGGATTCTCAACCTTTACCGGGTCTTGAGGAAAGCGGAAGGACTGACAAGGTAGGAGCTACCCGTAGGTAGTTCGTGGGCCCATTTGAGCCTAACTACGAAGGCCGCAGTGGCGGTCCATTCGCGCATCCTGGATGGACAGAGCAGCGGATGAGCATGCCGATTTGTGCTTTGGGGACTTGCTTTTGGAGATTAGTGGTTTTCTGTGGTTTGCAACGGCCGCGGGGGGTGGAGTAAGCCCCAAGTCGACTTCTTTCGATGAACCTTTTACAAATAATTTATTTGACATGCATAGTTTATAGGGGCGCTTTCATCCTTTGCTCTCTGTGCACACGTGCCCCCTCTCTCGCTGGCGCTTGAAAGATGGCGGAAGCAACACTTTAGGGTGTCATGGCATTGTTGGATATAGGAATAAGGTTCCGTGGACAGCTCAACATGTTGACTTGATGCTGCGCTGCCGCTTTCCAAAAGACCGACTATGGTCAAGGGATACGGGACTCCAGAAACCGACCGACACAGCGTCCAGCAAGATGCGCACAGCAGTATATCGAAATAATAGCAATGAATTAGCATGGGCAGCGATTGCTCCCGATGGGGGTTAACTGCCGTTAACATATATAAGACAACTTCATGCCACCTGCCTCCCATCGCAGGCCTGCTACAACTGTAAGACGACACGGACGCCACTGTGGCGAAAAGAAGGCCCATTCTGTTTATGCAATGCTTGTGGCATCTACTTCAAGTCCCGAGGAGTGCATCGGTAGGCAGGCGAAGGGGTACGGGAATCCCTTGCCGCGATCAAGGATTCGTTCTCGGCCAATACTGACCTGGTCTTCGCTCTATTTCAGGCCCGTGGAATTAATAAAGGCGCAGCAGAACCACACCAAGAGAGTCTACAGCGCTGGTGCTGGGCCCGATGGCAGGTACGCAGCCGTTTGCGTAATCGGGTCGCACGGCCAGCCTCCATCCTCGCCCATGGAACCTAGCATAAACCGAAAGCATGTGCCATGAAACTACTTGCCCTGCAGTCGCGCGCGCATGACAGCGAGCCAGGTCATCCGCAAATCCTCTCGCAAGCGCCATGTTAAAGTTATGTTTGGAGACGAGGAGACGGACACAGACCAGGTGAGACCCCAGCCCCTGCAACCCGCAGCTTCCTGTTAACCCGTTTCACGTCATTACATGCCCGAACCGTGAACTGAGGGCGTCCTCGTAAACTTTACTCCGTGTTGACAACCATTTTCGATATCGGTAGCCATGCTCCGTGCAATTTGTCACTCTCTTGTGTTACTCTGGTGCTGCTTCGCATGTCGCTGGACAGATGCGGCCAGCGGGAGCCCCGGTCGCCAGGCATACCGACGAGGCCAGCCGCCTGCACCCGCAGTCCGCTTGGAGGTGTGTCCCATGTCTCCTAGTCCGCATGCCACACCCCTCATGCGGGGATGGCGGTCAGTCGTCTTGTCTTGGTGTCTGACCTTGCATGGATGTTCCTGCTGCTCCTTGGGCTTATCGGACACGGTGCATAGGGCAAACTGTCGTTCACCGCTCCGTCCTCGGCCGGAACGCCCCGTTGCAGGCTTGCCTACGGAAGCGGACATGGCCGGCAGCAGTTCCCCGGCAGGCCGCCAGGTTACGGCTATGGCCAGGGCCCCTCCCACTACCTCTCCCCTGATGAAGACCCACAGCTCGATACGGACTATGGCGGCCTAGGGGAGGGTGAGGGACTTCCATATCACATGCAGCAGCAGCTTCGCGGCAGCAGGCGCGGTGACGAGTCGGCGGGTGGCGGCTCAGACGGCAGCGACGGCGCGCCCGTGAGCCCCGCCCAGAGCAGTGGCGAGGAGGAGACGGAGGAGCTGCGGGAGGATGACGATTTTGGGGTAGCCAACTTCCTCCTAAACCTGCGTTTGCGAGCTGCGGGCGAGCGGTGCGGGCCCCACCACAGGTTGCCGCCTCAGCAGCAGCAGCAGGCGGGTCCCGGCGGCCACGGTGGTAGTGACGGCGGCGCACGGCGTTGCAGCAGCTGCCCCACCAGCAATGACGAAGTGGGGTTGGTTGAGGAGGCCAAGGGCAATGGCCTGGGCTGCGCTGCCAAGGCGGAGGAAGCGAGGCGCAGTGATGCTGCGGCCCCTGGGTCCCTTGTCGTTGTGGACCGCCAAGCGGGTCTGCTGGTGAAGGAGGAACCCCGGGATGTGGCGGCGTGCCGTGCAAATTGCACAGCTGCTGACGGCGGCCTTGCTGAGGGCGGAAGACTTCAGGGTGGCGACTGGCGAGATCGGGTCTGCAAGGATGAGCCGGGCACCTCCATGGCTTATGCTTATGGCGACGCACAGCAGGCGAGGGCCGACGCCCTAGGACTAGCTCGCCTAATCGCGGAGGGCCGCCTGCCCGAAGGCTCATACCGCACAGTGGAGGAGTTGCTTGCTAGCCTGGGTCGCAGCAGTTCAGCAGCAGCAGCGGGGGCGGCAGCGTTGTCTGCTGCACCCCTTCGCTCCGCACCGGCGGCTGTGGCAGCCGGCAGCGGCAGCAGCACCCAGAGTCACGTGAGCCTCGGTGACGCCCAGCGGCACCCCACCCCTCCGCACCAGCCGCCGCCCAGTCCCCCCAGGACTGACTCCCTGGGCCAGGCCAGCGGCGGCTCGGGACCCAGGCTGGGCCCCTGGGCTGCTGCGCGGCTGGGTCTCACTGGTGATGGTGCTGCTGCTGCTGCTGCTGCTAGCTCACAGGCGCCCTTGCAGGGTCTGGCGGCCCAGCAGGCAGCCATTGCGACGCACCAGCTGTTGCCGCCGGGCGGCGCACACCTCCGCGAGCACGACCTGCATTTTGGTCATGGACCGCGCGCGGGGTCCGTCTTGGATGCAATTGAGTCGGGAGCAGGCGGGCCGACCACCAGCGGTGGTGGTGGAGTGGACGGACGCAGCCAGCAGCAGCAGCAGCAACACGGCATGTCGCTGTCCTTGCAGGGGCTGGCGGGATGCAGCACAGCAGCAGCAGCGGCGGCGGCGGCGGCGTTGGTGGGAGGATCTTCTGCGTCCTGCGCTCCCCCGCCTGCCCGGCCCCCCCGGAACCACAAGGGCCCGCTGCTGTGCTCCAACTGCGGCACCACGCAGACGCCGCTGTGGCGCAAGGACCGAGAGACGGGCTGCACCATGGTAGGTATGGGAAGAGGGCTGATGGGCTGGGCGGCGAAGAAGCGCTGACCCTGTAAGGGGCGAGTTCGGGGTGGGTAGGGTAGCTACCGATATGTACGAAGGGAGGGGTGAATCCTAAAATGTTGGGTACATGCGAGGAGGACACGGAACGAATTTCAGCCTGATGTTCACCAAGGCAAGGGAAGCTAAGCCGCATGTGCCACTCTTCCCTTATTAACGTTCCTCCCCTCGCTCCCACGCGCAGTGCAACGCGTGCGGCATCTACAAGCAGACCCACGGCTTCAACCGCCCGGTTGGGGCGCGCAACCAGGCGCCGCAGCCGGTAGCTAAGAGGTACCCCGCGGCGCGCACAGCTCAGATACGCACCATGCAGAAGGCGCAGGCAGAGGCCAGCCGGGCTGCCGCGGCCGCAGCGGCTGCGGCTGCAGCAGCGGCAGCTGCAAGTGTGGGTGTCATCGCTGGGGGGCCAACAGCCACAGCTTCAAGCGTCGCTGCAACCGCCACAACTGCCACAACGTCCCACAAGGACCTTGGGGACCGCGTCGCAGATGGACAGCCGGTACCGCCAGACCGCTCCCTTGCACCTGTCGCCCATGGCACCACCTGCACCCCTCGCGAGAATGATGACGAAGAGCCAGATGCCCCACGTGTCGCCGGCATTCACCCTTCCAGTGGCGGCGGCTGCGGAGGAGCTATGAGCTCGGGTGAGGGGGAGCTGGGGCAGCGGCAGGCGCTATCATCACATGGCCCTCCAGTGCGGGAGCAGCCGGCGGTGTCAGCTACCTCGGAGCAGCGAGGCGCGAGTGGGCGGGGAGGACCCGACCAGGTGCAGAGCGCTGCAGAGGGCGCGACCGCCGTTTTAGGTTCACCCCTGCGTCGCGAGCTGGAGGCGGCTGCACTCAAGCGCGAGAGTCCCCGGGGCATGGTCCCCGGCCAACACGATGCGGCTTTGGGGTTGACCGGAGCGGAGGAACCGCAACAACAGCAACAGCAGCAGCGCTCGGATGGTATTGTTGAGCTACACCAGCAGCGCAGTCCTCGAGCAGGGTCGCTGGCTCAAGCTGTAGCGGAGCAACTGAAGCAGTTGCGCAGCGGCCTCGGCAATGGCGATTCGTTTGGTGGCGACGGTTTTAAGGCGCCGTCGGCGGCGGCTGCAGGAAGGCAGTGGGCGGTCGCTGACGCAATCGACCTGCAGCAGCAGCAGGCGGAGGCGCGTCGGCGGGACCGGCAGCGACGCGAGCAGGAGGCTGATGCCGAGGAGAGGGAGGCAGGGCGTCGACAGCCGCCTGCTTCTCTACTTCAGAGCCATCTAGATTCGCAGCAACAAGCAAAGGCTGGGGGCGCTACGTTGCGCTATGCGGCGCCTGGAACCGAGGAGGGTGTACCGCCCTACCTGTTGGCAATCCAGGAGGCAAACGCTGCAGCGGCGGCAGCTGCCTCGACGCGGGTCCTGCCCTCGGAGGAAGCCCGCATCGCCCGAACAAGTACCGGTGCCGATGACCCAGACGTCACTGGTGGCATCAGCGTGCAGCAACAGCAACAACCGTTACAAAAGCTACAGGAACAGCAGCAGCTGCTGCAGACACTGCAGCAGTTGCAAAGGTCTCACGCACGGCAACCTGTTGCTGACATGCAGTTGGGTGGAGTGCAGTCCGCATCAGCCTCGATGGCTGCGGATACACCCGCAGCACCTCTTGTCGCAGCAGCGGCGGGGTCGGCCAGTGCCAAGAAGCCCGGTCGAGTTGCAGACATACCGACGCACCTGGAGGGTTCGACCTTGAATCTGGCGGCCTCAGACGGCGAAGAGCACGACACGTTGCTGCGGCACATTAGGCAACAGCTGATGAAGGCATGTCAGACGACGCAGTCGCAGGGCGTTGACCAGGGCGCGGTTCCGGAATTTCTGGCGCAGGTTCGGCGGATCCAGGAGCAGGAGGAGCAGCAGCAGAGGGAGCAGCAGCAGCGGGAGGAGATGTTGGCTGCACAGGTTACCCGGCTGCATGGGGCGCGGGACTTGGGGGCTGCGTTGGAGGCAAGGCAGCACCACCAGCAACAGCAGTCGCTAAGCAGCGTTGCACCTCAGCTGCTGGAGCAGTTGCAGAAGGCGATCCAGGCCCGGCAGTCCGCAGCTCCCGAGGGGCTCTTTGCGCCTGAGCTGTTGGAGCAGCTGCGACGCATCCAAGGGCAGGAGCAGCAGCAGCAGCGGGAGCAGCCGCCCCTCGTGCGGCTTGCAGCCCGGCAGCGGCCGCCCCAACTTGAGTTAGACCTGGAGAGGCCGCGGCCGCAACAACCGCAGCAGCTGGGAAGCGGCGCCCCCCGGCTGCAGGCCTTCCGCTATGGCGCCGAGCTGGACGACCGGGCGCACCGGGATGTCTTGGATGACGACTTCAGCAGCACCACGCTGGCAGCGCACAGTGCTCGCATGCTGCCGCCCCATCAGCAGCAGCAGTTGCTCCGGCAGCAGCCCCCACGAGAGCAGGTACATGCCTCTCAGCACCCGCACCACCACCAGCAACAGCAGCAACGTCAACAGGAGCTAGTGCAGCAAACGCTGCCGCGGCCAACCATGGCTCCATCCTCCCATGAACATCAGCAGCACCAACAACACGCGCTCCACACCCCACGAGCGGCTGACATGCCCCGGTTAGGGACCAGCCTTCACCTGTCGCCCCAGCAGCAGCAACAACAACAGCATTCGCAGCACCCTCGCGCGACCACAGTGATTGTGTCCGGTCACGGCACGCAGCAGCCCCAGTGCGTGCGAGTGCACCCCAAACCCCTCACCCCACGGGAGCTGCAGCACCTGTCCCACCTCCGAGCCGCGGGTGTGACGCTGAGCCAGCACCTGCTAGTCCGCGAATCAGACGGCGACCGTCACCGTCATCAGCACCACGAGCACTCCCAGCGACAACATCAGCAGCATCACCGGCCCGGGCAGCCTCAGCAGCCGCAGGAGCAGCAGCCGTCGCATGTGGCAGCACAGCAGGAGCAGCAGCGCGACGCCTCCCGCCACCATCCTCACCATCGCCAGCAGCAGCAGCAGCAACTGCTGTCGAGGTCCCATGTGACGCACCGGGCAGTGCAACCTGAGCAGTCAGCTGCAGGGCCGGCAGCGGCTTCAGGTGCGGGTGCGTCTGCGGCCACCCTGGCTCAGGGTAAGGTCCCAACTGGGGCAACTTCGGCCGCTGCCGCTGCTGCTGCTGCTGCATTTATGGAAGCAGCAACAGGTGCAAGGGCTGCGCAGCAGCAACAGCACTTGATACGGATGTCGGGGCAAGGCATTGTTGTGGGTGGTGGTGGCAGCGGCAGTGCTGCCGCTGGCGGAGGTGAGGCGGTGCCGCTGCTGACCTTGCGCCAGGGGATGGCCTTGGGTCGTGCCGTGCCTGCTTGGCTGTAACATGGGGAAGACGTGGCTCGCGCATTGCGATGCTGTATCCGTGCGACTGATTGCGGGTTGATGAGCGATGGTGATGCCTTACCAAGGTGGCGGCCAATTGCTGCGGCGTTGTGTGTAGATGGCACATGGCAGGACTGAGGTTGATGTCGGGGTGCGAAGCTTGTGAGCTGATGGTTGATAGCTTCTCGTCGCAGAGGTTGCTGTCTTTGCTGTTCTTGCTGCTGGAGGTCCTGTGAGCCGCTGGGGTGTTTTGTGTGCCGGTGTGCCCTCCCGTGATCTGTAACAGTATGGAAAAAGACGGTACGTGTGCGGTTTTGCGCGTGTGAGACTAGGTGTGTCATGCGAGCGGGCGACGATTTTGTACATACCTGGCGCTGCATGCGCAAGAACAGAGGGAACCTGTCGGTTGTCTATACTTCTCTTTTGCCTGTAGGACAGACCATGCGTTCTACTTTGGGCGTTTCCCATGTTTTCTGAAGTGCTGTCATTCCTTTTCTTAACGGCCGTTCGTTGAGCTACGATGGAACTTGACTTGAAGCGCGCACAACCAACCGCAGATTGGCGTATCCTAACCCATGGGCAAGGCCCAAAGAGTTTACGCACTTTTGACATGCACGGACACTTGCGAGATGATCCTGACTGGTTTGTGGTTACAGGGCGAATCGACAGTGGATTTCGTGATAAGTGAACATGGCCGGCTGACGCCAACTTTATGCACCATTTACACAGTTTTCCTTCATGCATCTCTTCGCTCGAAGGGTACATAGAGGGCACGAAGTATATGGCTGTTTTAGCGCTAATGGTCGGTATCCCGTTGCCTTATGGTAACCACCTAGTTATACATTCATTTATAGCCACATGGACGTTCCATGCCTTTTGCGCTGGGCAGACCTAGCACCCAACTTCTCACCGCTTTGCACTCCCGACATTGTTCGACCTAGTAGGACATGGTGTACACGTCGGTGGAGACACGTGGACTAACGAGGTTAGACTCCACATTCCGTAACAGGGCCCTGAGAGGTCTGCCTGTAGCCGAGTTAATCCATGATGGCTGAGTAGTTGACATGTGCCTACTGTGTTGTTAAACATCTAATAATGGTCTGTTTCTTTTTTAGGTACCTCTTCTAACTTGGTAACAGTTCACTACTAGCGTGAGGCAATAAAGGTCTTCATTGCGCAGCTAGCTTAATCCGCTGCACTTGTAATTGTACACTGGTGCTTGTACCCGGGCTTTGATACCTCGGTACATGGCAATACTAGCGCTTTGGTAAGCCATTCCGGCAGTCAGAAGAGCGGCATTCGCGTACGTGACACAGTGGCATGTTTTGCCACTTGCTTGGGCGGGGTATCGTGGTCCCACCGGAGGCTGGATTCAAACATATGGTTGACCTTAACACCCGCTATATATACAGTTACAATGCATCAGCACTTATTGTGCCAAGAGCTCATGTCCTGATGTGCAGAACAGCCTCAGTCACGCAGCCGTAACACCAACGTGGCTATCCGTACATGGCATTCCAGATCCTCTGGGTCTCCGGATACTCAAGTCGCACCTGGAGCCGCATCAGTTCGCACACCGTACGGTAGGAACACTGTGGGATACCGTACCTTTGCTGGCAGGCACCGTACAAGGCACCGCCAACCCACTCTACCCAGAAAGTGCAAATGAACTCTAGGTGTTCCCCTAAGCCCCGCAGCTAAGGATTGCGCTACACCACAGGCGTGGCTTGGCTCTTGCAGCAGTACCGCTAGCAGCCTTAGCTAGCGCCGTGGTGCTGCCGGAGTCCAGTCATGAGCCGCCAAGGTACCCGTGGGAAGCAACCGCTCAGCGTTTAAGCCGCCGTGCGACCCATGGGTCACTAGTGCCTCACAAGCTGTGAGGAGCTAAGAGTGAGGCGCGAAGCCAACGCAGCTGTTGGATAGGAAAGAGGTGCTGTGCAGGGCCTAGATCCAGCCGGCGGACTGTTACAAATTCATACGCGACCATCAAAACCATCGAAGAAGCCCACCCATTTACCTATGGGTGCAGGCGAATGTGCGGGTTGCAGGCAGGGGCAAGGAGGTGAGTTGTCATGGTTGGCTCGCATGGGTGCCGACGGTGCCGAGTGCAGCACGTGCAATTGCCAGGACTCGGTAATACCATGGGCCAGGGCCCCACTCGTGCAACACAGAGTTCTGCTGCCTCTGCTGCCTCTGTTTGCCCGCCGAGCCACCGGCTGTCAGCCGCCTGCCAACAATCTCCTAGACACACCCCTCCCACATGCAGTACCCAGTACCTTGCCTAAGGAGAGCTCCGATCCTCATCCTCCACGTCCCGAACTACCGGTATTCCGCATCCCCAGCCTCCTGCTAGTCACCCCACTCACCCTCTCCCTCCAGGGGTGCCAGCTCCAGCGCGTAACGGCCCCAGGGCGGCGCCCCGCTGCCACTGGACCGCACCCGCCCGTCCAGCCGCAAGCCAACAAATAACCTGATTGTGCAACACGGGTGGTTGGGATGGTGGGCATACTGGCAGGTGGCATCAGCCGCCAAGCAACTCCCAGGCTTCCCAGGACAGGGGGAAGGCGGAGCGTCCTAGGTCCGTCCTAACCTCTCCCTTCCCTCGGCTCAGTCCAAACATGCACACACGCAGGGTCCAGTAACCTCCAGTTCACTCGCCCATTAGCTGCTGCCCGGGAAAAGTAGGCGTGGAGAAAACATGCACAGCAGTCACTCACCTAAAAGCCCGTGCGCATGCACCCACGCATCCATGCACATGCGAGCGCATCACACACCCTACATCACATGCCCACATGCATGTACCGGTACCGGTACCCACCCGTTCTCCGGTTTCGCCTTTGCACTGAACGACAGCTGCTGCGAGAACCAGCCCCGCCACTCCGCCAGCCGCACCGGCTCCGCCCGCCAGCGCTGGTCGGCCGCGCCCAGCGGCGGCAGCTCCGCCACCTCCGCAGCCTCCGCACTGCTAGCCTGCGCGGCGGCCTCCGCAGGCGCGCCTGCGGACTCTGCACGAAATGCGGTGCGAAGTGAGGAGCAGGCTGTTGCACACTCAAGCAAAACAAAAGAGCGGCGGGTCACGACACAAGGATATAACATATAGAGATCCGCATAGGTATACTCTGCCAGTGCGCTGCCGGGCACTCGGCTTGCAGGCTCAGTCTCGACGTCTCGCGCCAATTTCCCGTAACCTGCATACTGCCTGTAATCCCACTCCCAGCCCTCCCACACCTCCTTCTCCTCCCTCACTTTTGCCTCCTGCCGCCCGCCCACTCGCCGCCGCCTCTCCCTCCCCTTCAAACAGCACCAGCGGCACCACAAGCACTCCCCGCTGCTGCAGCTCCCCTCGCAACCCCTCCGCCCCCGCCACCGCCGCCGCCACCTGCGCCCGCGTGCCCGCTGCCACCACCACCCGCGCACTGCCCCGCAGCTCGGACAGCGGCAGCACCCGACCGCTGGCCAGTCGCACTGAAAGCGCCCCCAGCGTCTCCTCGCGCTGGAGCCGCGCCAGCTGCCGCTCGCGAGCCTGGTGGGCGAGTGGAGCAGGGATGTGGGGTGCGGGCAGCGTGGGAGGTTAGGGAAGGGTGCAGGGGCGGGGGTCAGAGGGTGTAAGGTGGGTTGCATGGTGGGAGAAGGACTGGCAGTTGGGAGAGGTTAGGAGCGGGCACGTGGTGAAGAGGCTACCGATTGCTGCTGCCGCCGCCGCTGCTGCTGCCGCTGTTGTGCGTGTATTGCCTTGGCACATTGAAACCTCGAGGCAAGGATGTATGCTCCAAGCGTCATGTGGCATATCCTCGCTAGCTCCGATACCAAGCCAGTAACATGCTGCCTCGGGGCCTTCCATTAGTGCACTACCAGACTGAGTGAGACAGGCCACCGACCCACCGACCCCCCACCCACCATCCAGTCCTGCCGGAACAGGAAGGCGAACAGCGCCACTGCCGCCGCGTCTATAGCCAGGTTCTGCAGGTAACGGGTGGGATAGGGAGGGTCGGGGGGAGGGAGGGAGGGTCGGGGGGAGGGTCGGGGTCGGAGGGAGGGTCGGAGGGAGGGTCGGGGTCGGTGAGGCGCAAAGGTCACAGCCAGGTAACACATAACGGCGCACCACACGTGTCTAACTGTCTGCCTTCAAGCCGCACATATCACTACCGGTATTCACGCACAGCCCGGATGCCGCCGGGCTTGTACGACGGATGGAGGATGCACCACACAGATCTGTGCAGTACGGCCCACCCACCTCTCCAACTTGCTCCAGGGGCAGGGCCCGAGGTGCGCCCCCCAGCGCCCCCAGCAGCTGAGGAATGCTGATCAGGAAGCCCATGCCCGCAGATGCCGCGAAGAATCCGCAGAGCACTAGGCGAAGGGATCTGCCGGTGCGGGTCAAGGCAAGCAAATTGAGCGTTTCAGCGGAAGACGAGGAGCGTGGGAAGAGATTAAGTAAACTGGAAAGAGACGTTGTTCGAGGGTCAGAGTGCTGTTGCTGTCATTGAATGAGCCCGGTTAGGGATGTCGGTACTGGTACTTGTGCATGCCCCGGTGTGTTACCCAGAACCGTGTGAGTCCTGCAGCGTTGGCATGTAGGGGTGTGGCACATGTGCATGCAACCGTGCATATGACAGCACTGCCACGCCACCTGGACAGGCACCGAGAGTGGCGGGCTTTGGTTGGGAAGTACCAGTAACAAGGGTGCAGTTCGCGCTTAGCTGTGGCGTATGCGCTCAGCTGGGGCCACGTAAGAAAGCAGGTGGGGACATGGTGAGGCCCTCGTGCCCCCACACGAACCTGAAGGGTGCCTCCGCTTCAGCGCGCATTTGTACGGCATCTTCCTTGGGGCCCCTGGCAGTGGGGCAGGGGTGTAGGTATGGCTTGGTTTATATGCGTGAGTTTAGACGAGGAAAGAAGGAAGGAGAGCTGGACGGAGGCCTCGCATGGCGGTCTGTGCGTGGTTACGGTTGGTTGCACGCCACAGTTGGTAGCCCCAAGCTATGAGCGATCATGGCAACTAAACCTACATAAGCGGTCCGGAGAAGCACTCTCTACCTTGCGCGGGAAGGCGCCTTCGTAGCGCCGCTGTCACCACGTGCCAGACAGACATGCCGGCCTCTCGTTTGGCTGGTCAGGAACGGACGCGGTTGACACAAGGGCGCGCTAAGCGTACATATATGCGGTTTCATTAGATTATTGCTTCTACTTAGCATTGTGGCACCTGGCGACATGTTGGGTTACGTTGTGCAAGCGCCTGCGTTCTTTGTATGTCGAATGGAATGACCACGCGCGCGACCAAACAGGTCCTCGCTAAGCCTAAGCAATGTCTCTGACAGTATGCAATGTAACTGCCAGCATAAACGTTCGCCAGCCGTGGGCCGAAACAAGCCAGCCAGGGTGTACGAAAAAGTGCCTTGCAGCCTGACGACCTGACTTCCGACCAACATTAGGAACCGGAGTAATGATGGTAACCAGGGACTAGCATAAATTGCAAGCGAGAAAGGCATGTGTGATCAGTTGCATTTGCTTGCAGTCCAACTGGGCATGCTGAAGTAGCACACAAGCAGGCTCAGGAGAAAGCGTAGTGAACAATCACAGTGCTCTCCGTGAAAACCTGACATATAGGATGACCATTTTTGTCCACCAGCAGTCAGTTACCGTTAACGAAGTGGGTTTCAGGCTAGGGTGAAGCGTACTTGACGATGTCATGCTATTGTAAACCTTCATTGTCGGAAAGTATTAAGGCAAGAGACGTTTGTATGCTGCACAAACTGCATGTGCCGCTGTAAAATATCCATCCCGACATGGCATGGACTTTCCGCGTAGAGCAGTCTTCAAATGTATGACTGCAAAAAGGCATATGCAAATTGCAGTTAATACTTGTGCACTCAGCCTCGCTTGCGCCTCGCTCGATCACTTGTCGACTGCCTTGTCAGCACGCTCGGGATCCGCGACGGCCCCTGCTTCCACCAAACGCTACGACATTGTGTAGGGAAGAGGTGACGCGGGAATATGTCTCCGTTCGCAGGTGAAGAATTGCCAGGCTGGTGCGCCTCGAAATGCACTTCAATCGCACCCCGAGTACCGGTAGCCGCAGTCTTCGTTCGACTGCGGCGCTCACGGGCGACCATCATGAGGACAGCCAACACAGTTACCCCTTGCTGCTGCAACTGCCCAGTTGCCTGTTGCAGAATAAGAGCGCAAAGACTTAAGAGCGCATCAAGAAAAGGGCATGACCCTCCAAGTTAGACTTCGATACCGTTCTTACTCCCGTCTACTGGACGGTCTTGATGATACCGTATCAGCACCAGCGAGAACCTAGAAACGTACGTCGTACAGTCGAACATAGGTGTCAGGAAACATCTGCGAAACTTCAGGAAAATTACGATACCAGACCGTCAGTGAAGCTCCTTCCAGAAGCCTTCTAGAACATTACATCTGGAACGTTCGGCATAGAACATCTGTGTGTATACTACCACGTGTGTCTCATGTGCGCTACAACATCTGCCGCCCCCCTTCACTGAGCAGCGTCCTCGCTGCGCCTTGAAGCTTCAAATGCTTCACTTAAATGTCATGGATATCTGATTCGTGAACCTAGCTGTTGTCCGTGTGACCATAGCTTTGTCATTTGACGTAGTAACGACGTATGGTTCGACGTCGAAGGTTACGGGTTACAACATGCTCAACCTTTGTGCCGGGAACGGGCTCCTGGGCTTCACTGTTCGGGACCCGGAGTCGGCGAGGTTAGTAAAGCAGGCCTACGCTCTGAATACATTAGTTTAACACGATAGGACTCTGGCCTATCTGTTGGTCTGTAGGACCGGAGTCAAGATAGTCGGTAGTCGGGGGCATTCGTATTCGGTTGTCAGAGGTAAATTCATGGATTTACGGAAGCCGAACATCTGCGAAAGCATGTGCCAAGGATGCTTTCATTGATCAAGAACGAAGGTTGGGGGCTCGAAGACGATTAGATATCGTCGTAGTCTCAACCATAAACGATGCCGACTAGGCGGGAGAGGTGCAGGAGATGGCGGTGCGGGGCTGGGCGGGGCTGGGCGGCCCCGGCGAAGGCGGCGGAACGCCAGGCGGGTGCGGTGCAGGAGATGGCGCTGCGGGGCTGGTCGGCTCCGGTGAAGGCGGCGGCACCTTAGGCGGGAGCGGTGCAGGAGATGGCTGTGCGGGACTGGGCGGCCCCGGCGAAGGCGGAGGAACGCCAAGCCCCCCTCGATGCCGCTTCACTGCGGGGGCTCCGCCCAACAACAGTGATGACGACTGCTAGCAAGCATGCTGGTTATTTCGAGTGGGGCTAGGATGGAAGACGTTACGCAGATGGGGCCAACACAGGAAAGCTACCCACGGCACAGCAGAGAATGATGGTGACTACGGGACCTTGGTTGACAATGTGCATGATAATGTGAACCCGTGAATAGAGTATAGCCTTTAGCACAAGGCGACAGGCCTATCTGTTGAGATTTGTTATTCCTCGCGCACTCGCCTTTTGAACGGACACGCGTCGCGAAGAAGGCTGGATAGGGCTACCGAAATGTAATAGTCAGCCACGTAAAGAACTTTGAACATGTTGCATTTAACTGCAGGCTTTCGATGTTCATTTCTCGGTCGCGAGTTTATAAATAAGCGTATAAGAAAGCGCGTAAAACCAATTTATAACGGTGCACAAGCCACGCCACGTGCGGCGAGGCTAACGAAAGTACTTCCTTGCCTGGAAAGTAGTCCTAGCAGAGCCTTTGGCTTGCTGCTGCTGTTTTTTGTTTCGTTGTTTGGTATAGAGCTACCGCTTTCCGAGCTGGGCACCATGGGAAAGGATGATCAAGGTGTGTGTGGCGAGCGCATGACGTTCGGTTATATTCTGGCGCTGTACCAGCCTTTCCCTTGGGCGTGTCGCAGGCGCGGGTGACCCGCTCGACAACGTGCTCTACTGCAGCGGCTTACGTCGGCTCAGCGTGTGGCCGTGGTTCAAAGCAGTTGCCAGCTTGTTGCTGACCGAGCGTCAAGGTTTGCCTCCTGGCGCACCTGTAAAGGAACACAGGAACGCTAGGCTAGGGATTAGATACTCAACAACAGCTGCTCCCTTTCACCCGTCTTTGCTGGGTACGACGACAGCTGGTCGCTTTTGCCCGTCAAACCCTCTGCATGATTACAGCTGCTCGCTTAATCCGTATGTTGCTCTGCATGCTTGCTGACTTCCGGTGTTTCTGTATATGATAACCACACTGCTTTCCATTCCCTTGTTCCGTGCAGCTGGCCCAGCGGGGCGACGACCCGGATGTGGAAGGCCCGCCGGACGAGCACGATGGTTCAGAGCTGCTCCCCATCGGTTTGAACACGGTGCCCGAGGACGGTATGGACGCCGTTGCAGCTGCAGCTGCGCAAGCGGCAGATGCACTCCCGGACGTGGACGCTATGGCTGGTTTCGACATGACTAAACCGGAGGGCAGGTACGCGTACGACGCTGTAACCCGCTGTAGTGACGTGCACCTTCCAAATGGCCATGGTGCGGACGCGGTGTCCTTTGTTCGGCGAGCCACCCCAGAAGACGGCCCCATGCTGCGCGCCGCCGAACAGCGCCTCAAACAGTTTGTGCTGAGCGATGCTGAAGTAGCTCCTGCAGCAAACAGCGACAGCCACCAACGGCTGCACGTTGCCGGCGGCCATCATGGCGACCCCGTCCGTGCGTGGGTCACCACAATCGATTCCATCACCGGAGCCAGCACGGACATTCACCTGCGCCCTGGAACCGCGCCGCCGTACGTACACATGGCGACGCCGCCTACACCCGAGCAGACGATCCAGCTCTTCACGCTGTCAGCAGAACAGGGCGTAGCGTTCTTGCTTATCCACCGCGCATTCATGGCTGACATCCAGCACCAACCGCAGCCGCCGCTGCACCTCATGGTGGTGGGCGGTCCGGGTACTGGCAAGAGCCAGACCATTAAGGCCGCTCTGTGGCACACCTTCCAGCACGGGCACCGCGATTGGCTAGCCACAACCGCTTACACCTGGTGCGCGGTGATCACGGTCAACACTCCCTACCACCGGGGGCTGTCGACCAGCACCATGTTCCAATTGGGATGGGGCCGAGGTCGTCAGCAACAATCCTCACGCGCTGGCGAACAGGTGCGCACACCGTGCTGACTAGAGGTAGTGTACTCCGACCGCATGCCCTCCGCTTTAAACCCAGCTTTGCGTGCCCTCGTTTCCCTTTGCCCCTCCCTCCTTTTCGCACCTCCTCGTGTTTCCAATTCCCTCTCACGCTCATCTTCTCCCTCTTGTCCGCTCTGTCCCTCCTGTCCTGCTATTTCCCCCCTCCCTGATTCTACGGCCCTCCCTCCTGATCCCTTCCAATGATTAGGTACGAAAGAATGTTCCCGGAGGTGCCGTATCCTTCGATGAGCTTAGCTTCCTAAGCCTGCAGCACCTAGGGCAGATCAACGCATCGGCCAGCAGGTGAGCGCTAATCTGGCTGATTACTCCTATCTGGCGCTATACCCTCCCTCTCCCTACTTATCTTCCTGCCTATCAATACGTCTCCAATCCGTAGTTACACCTTTAAATCTAGTCTTGGTGCTTGACCGCCCGCTAAACGTGCTTTCGCAGGCACCTCCAGCGACCTCCCCACCTGTCCCGGAGTGGTGCCGGCTACAGCATGCTTGCTGGTCGGCACGTCATCATGTCCGGCGACATCCTTCAGCACAGGCCGCCCAACGGCAGGCCACTTTACACGTTTGCAGAGGGCCTGGAGAAGGACCGCAACTACCTCGCTCGGCTTCGAAGCGGCGACACCACAGCCCCACGCGGAATCCCGCCGCTGCCAAAACAGAAGAAGCCCAGGCCGCCCACCCGTGAAGAAGAGGCTGGCCTGGACTTCTACCGCGCCATCGCTTTCATTATACTGCTCTCCAAGCAGCAACGCCAGGACGACACGCCAAGCGGCCGCCTGCTAACACGGCTAGCAAGTGTATTCAGCGGCGGCCAGGATGTCAACCGGAGAACGATCGAAGAGCTCGTCCGCCAGTTGAATAGCCGCGTCGTACCCGACCTGGCTGCTCTCGGTTCCAGCGACCCACGGGTCGTCCTGCAGCGAAACCAACCCCGGCACGGCCTCAACATCCGTCTCATCAAGCTGCAAGCAGCACACCAGGGGAGGCGGCTGGTCGTGTGGAAGGCGCGTCACGCTCGTACGGGGCACAACGCACTCCCGCTCAATGAAGCAGGCCAGCGCGCCGCTTCTATGGCGCCTGACGAGGGCTATGAACAGTTCACGCCTGACACCTGGTACTTCGAGGGCGCCAAATTCCTCGTCCTGGACAATAATGGCCCTGATGCCGGCAGTTGCCACAACAACACTGTGGTGACGTGCGGCCTGTTGACGGACAAGGAGGAGCCAGATGACACGGGAGAGGGACCTTACAGGCGCCTGCAGTTCGTCCCCCGTGCGGTATTCGTATGGCCCGCTGCCGGGAACACCGACCTCTCCGTCCTTCGCGGCCTGCTTGACTACGACGAGACTCGTGCCGCCTTTGTGGTTACCCCACGGTGGAGCGGCGCCCAAAAGGTGGTATTCCCTGACCGTACGGTTGTCAGCGATGGTGAGCCCGCTGTCAACTCGGCCAGCCTCAAGCGCTTTAACATACCCCTAGGCGACGCGTACGCAGTGGAGGAGTTTGGGGGTGGGGAGGCTAGGGGGTGGGAGGGTGAATAGGGCTGCGTCATTCGGCGCTGTGGGGCTGGGCTGGGCGCATGCAAGCCCTGCAGCTGTTGCGGCGGCTACTGAAGATTGCTAGGTACTGGATGGCGGTCAATGATGCCTGGCGGCTCGTAAAACACCGCATGCATCTTGCATATCTCACTTGCTAGGGCTTGCTGTAAATCTCCCTCGGTCGGGCTTGCGCGTGCTGCAGCTCTTGCGATGACTACTGAAGGTTGCTAGGAACTGGATGGTGCTCAATGATGCCTAGCGGGTCGTAAAACACCACATGCATCTCGCATGCCTCGCGTGCTAGGGCTTGCTATAAGTCTCCCTCGGTCGGGCTTGCGCGTACTGCAACTGTTACGGTGACTACTGAAAGTTGCTAGGTGCTGGATGCTGGTCAATGACGCCTGGCGGCTCGTAAAACACCGCATGCATCTTATCGGTGTGGGTTGTCCGTGCCTCTCTTGCTAGAGCTTGCTATAAGTCCCCCTTAGACTTGCGGGTACTAGCCGCACTGACGGTGCTTATTACTGACGCCACTGACTGCAAACCTACACGCTTTAAGTACGCCTCGTAATCTATTTAGCGTCTTCTTTCCGATGCATGCCAAACAACCAATATGAACACGACATCCGACATAACCGTTTCTTACAACAAATCCTCCTCTGTTAACGCTCTGCTGACTGCAACACATACAAGCAACCGCGGGCTAGGCAGTAGGTACTACCCCCTTCTCAATCAGCGCCGTACGTATCCGTCGGCGCGCCCACTACAACCCCCGCACCAGTTCGCTAATAGCTACAAGGCGACCGGGTGCCCCGTGACTTCTTGCAGCAGTACGGTAACGGTAACGTCCACTAGATAACGACCTGCTGTACTTTTAGAATGCGAAAGTTACAAGGGGGACCGGAGTTCCTGAAAGCCTGAGAGCCGTACAAGAGACCCAATCGCTAGCGGTACACGCTAGGCAGCCGCAACAAAGCAACCTACCCCAGGGACATGCCTTGCAAAAAACAAGGAGCCATGCCAGGCACAGAACCACCTGAAACCAAGCCCGCAAGGCCACAGCTCCACAAACACCAAGCCCACGAGGGGGAAACAGCACTCAGGCGAAGCCCGCGACAGAAGCAACAAATTATTGTACAGAGCAACTGCCAAGCTGCTGCTTTGTGACACAGCAGTGCCCAACTGTCACCAAGTCTGACGACAACGGCGTGAGCCTAAGGTAAGAGCACCCATAGGGGTTGTCAATGGCAAAACAATCCAGGGTCAGGGGGAGGCCGGCGGGGACGCAGTATCAGGCGGGCCAACAAACCGTACACGGCCAGCCGCATTCGGATCTATCTGTACTTTTAGCATGATAGATCCGACGGCTGGTTGCACGGCACTGGGTTTGGTTGGTGTCCGTTTTGCTAGGGGATACACTGCTGGTCACATGCCACTAACTAGACTGTTTGGCACCATACCAAGCTGTTCAGTTGTTGTTGACTTGTTGCCAGTTGCCAAAAGACTGGCGACAATTGAACCAGGTTGTACGCTTGGCAGAGAATACCTGCCGGCCGATTGTACGGAGATTGACTCCTTGTAGCAGCAACATACCGCCCATACATTTGTCGCCTCCTCCCGTTCCACACCACATACCCAACCTAACTTTCAGCTTACATAACTCGCTTCCCTTGCCGAGCTACGGGTCGCTCCCGCCGAAGGCGGGCCTTACTTGTTGCATTTAACTGCAGGCTTTCGATGTTCATTTCTCGGTCGCGAGTTTACCGGACGGTCGTTACTGTGGCAGTTTCCCTGTCGTTTCATATCCACCTGCCCAGCGAAAAGGCACTCATATAAACATGACGCTTGTGTCTATACGCGAACCGTATCCATTGCTGATCATACCGGTATCAGCAACACCAAGCAAGCAACTACAGTACTCCACGTAAAGTGCACGAGAAGGTGCGCATAGCACACATTCTTACCAAGAAGACTTTGTGCTGGTTCCTGCGCTTATAAAGGAACCCGTATTGGTTGTGTTGTTCAGCCCCATGTGAACGCGTACCGGTAACGTGGAAGGGGCGTGCGTTGGAAATGAGCTGTCCCTGGCGCTGTGTAATGTTAACGCCATGTCTCATATGCATCTTACTGCTACTCGCAATGGGGACCCAATACTATACCTCGTAAATGCAGGCCACGCCTTGTCGGTGCCATGGGAAGCGCATCGAAGGGGGCAACGCTGCTTTGGCGCCTCGGCAGCTTGGCCACCCGTTCAGGGCCCGCATCGTGCAATGGGCTGCTGAGTTACACAGCCGCACAGCCGGCTCTACCGCAAAAGGTGCTGAGCTCACGCTTTACTCGTAACGTCCCATCACGGTTGCTCGCAGTCTCCGTGCACGCGAATTCCCCTCAGCTCCACGCTCTCCCCTCTCCTCTACGCGCCCTGCCCCTACTGGAGCGCCTAGTGGGCATTGATGCGACTGCAGCAGCCAGCCAGGCTCTCCCAGCCAGCAGTGCGTCCCTCGCTTCGGTCCGCCCCATGACAACTGCTTCCAGCAGCTCCTTCACCCAAAAGCTTCGGGCGAAGGCTGTCGCCGCTTGGAAGACCTTTAGTTCAATATTGTAGGTTCCTCGTAGCCAGCCTTTGTGCACATGGTGCAGGCTCTAGCACTCATTCTTCTGACCTCACCTGCTGAGCAGGTGGCTGTTCTTCGAGTGTCTCATGGTGGGCTTGCTATACAGCCTTCTTGGATTGAATGGACTTGGCATCATGTGCGGCATTGGGAGCTTGACTTGGTCGTCTATGCTCTGCTGGCGGCATGGCGGCCTAACTAGGTGAGTTGAAGTGGAGCCGGAAGCTGGCTATACCTGTGGTATAATAGCATCCATGTCTTACCACCCCTCCATGCGTTACCTCTATCCAACTCACAGTCAACCCCCTTCCTACTTGTTGATTGTTCTTGCCTGCACTGCAGGGATGCTGCATTCCTTTTGATTTTGTCCCTGCTATTCGCCGGTCATACCTACGCTATGTGGCCGAGGCTTGAAAAGGTGTTCATGGGACACATGTACGGGTGTATGTACGGTGTACACATGGTTGGGTGACGTTGTTATGTTGGCATTGTGAGCTGGTGCGGTCTCCTCCTGTTCGCGCTAATCAGACGTTGTCCCGTGTTGCAGGTGCCGTACACCCATCGGCGGCATGAGGTTGCCACGAAATCCCCAGCTCCATCGCGTGGCGACAAGTACGTCCCGCGGCGGCCATCCGAGATGTTCTTCGCTGTAAGCAACAGTTTGCTTCCGCCGTCCGTGCGTAGTGGTTTGGGGAAACCTAGGCCCAAAGTTCGCAGCACGGCTGCACAGCAGCATAATAACAACACTTAGTTAATAGCTAATAACCCGTAGAAGTTGCCGTGCGCCATATCCCCTCATGCTGCACGCAACCTTGTTGTGGCTGCAGTTGAGTGTAGATGGCTGGAGCTGCCAGTCTCAGGGCCGCTGGAGCCATTTCGCCATACCGTGATGGGCTGTGGATGACTGTTACCCGTCATCAATGTTGTTTTGCGCTTCATCTAGCATGACCCCGTCCATACATCTCAATCACCGCCTCCCTCCACAAAATAGGATAGCAGGATGTAGTCACCAATGGTAGCCCTCGTGCTGCAACCCTTCGCAGCGCCCTCCTTCACCAGACTCCCAAGTAACCTCCCTAAGCTTGGTGCACTGCCAGCAAGGGTGCACCGTAACATGTTTGGCTATATAGGCCCCCTGAATCCTTACGCGCTTTGGTGGCTGCCTCCCTCCACAGAACGCCAGGGCCTTGGTGGGCTGGTGGAACCAGCTGCTCCCCGCCGACCACCCTGACGTGGTGCGAGTGCGGGGGGTGCTGCAGCGGCTGGCTGCTGCGGCGGCTGCGGGCCGGGGTGGGGGCCGTTACGACCACATGCGGGCTGACATGCCGTGGGCGGTGGCGGTGGTGGAGCCCGTGGTTGGAGCCAGCGAGGAGCAGCTCAAGGGGCGGGAGGAAGAGCGCGAGTCATACATTACATTCCGTGTGCCCGCTCGCGAGACCTGGCTAGCATTCGACTACCCGACCTGCGTAGTCACTTCAGGCGAAGACTCGATGCACGAGGTTGGTCATATGAACTGGGGGTATTGAGAGGACTGATGCGTGAGGTTGGTTATGTACTTTCCTTATATTGGAGCTATTTAGCAATTTAGGGGACGAGCCAGCTCTTGCCAGCATTTGATTGTCCTGGGGACATACAGCTGCATTGTGCCCTGCCTCTTTCGAACCCCGCGCCTGCCCCCCCTCACCTCGCCTCCCCAGGTCCTGCTCCACCAGCGCACGCTGCAGCTGGCGGGGGAGGATGAGTCACTGCTGGCCGCAGCGCTGGCGCACAAGCTGGCGGGAAAGCTGGCACAGCACGAGGTGGGAATTCGTGCAGCAATGCCGCCTTAGATCTGCATGGCGCTAGAAGGCCAACACACATTTGGTCTTCAATTCCTCCAAGTTACCGGATATTTTGGGAACGGCATATGACCGGATTGTCCTGGAAACCATTCATGCACCCCCTGCAACTGTCCATGCATGCCGGCGGCTAATCTGTTGGTTGCGTGCCTTGTGCAGATCGAACACGCCAGCTCCGACACTGGTAAACTGTTCGGCTACGTGGGAGAGCTCCTGGAGCAGTGGCTGCACCCTGAGGATGTGGGGGTGACTGAGAAGCACAGGTACGGACTAGTTGAACTTTACAGCACACCACATTGTTAGGGGTAGGCAACGAAGACTCTGTTACCCTGCGTTCCCCGGTATACCGTCTTCCTATACCGTCTTCAATTCGTCTGCAAGGGATGCTGGTTTCAATTAAGGAGTACTCAGCAAGCGACCGACTACGAAGTCCCACCTACGATACCCCGCCCTTCAACCCTTCGGTCTATATCTGACCTCTCTCCCTTAGGCGCACGCACGAGGCCGACCTCATTGCCGTACACCTGCTGTCCGAGGCCGGGTACGACCCCGCGGGTATGGTACGATGGCTGGAGCGCATCCAGGAACAGGAGCAGCGGGAGCAGGTGAGGATGACAAGCGTAAGACGGGAGAGTGCCCTGCATGCCTTACAAGGTGACATGTTGCTTGGTTGTAGGAATGTATTTAGGTTGTGCCTTCAGGCACATGGATCCGCGATGCTCTTACGTTTCCAGACGCCAGAGTCCTTCCAGGTGCTGAATCAAGTATAAGATGGTGGCATCTTGTTGCAGGGGGAAATGAAGGATGGTACATGTTTTCGGAGGGCTTCACCTTTACGTGGCGTTTACATCTATGACTAGGAATTAGCGTCGAAGATAGGATCTGTAAGAAAGCGGCAGCTTGTGACACTGCGCACTAGCATAGGGGTTACCATGCTCCACGCACGGTCCCCGTACATGCTGGTCCATGTGTCGCCCACCAATGGCCAACTGCCACCCCTGCGTTTCCCCTGAAAGCAGCGCAAGAGCCCAGCCCCCGAGGTGGCGACGCCGCTGGCGCAGCAGATAAGCACTGCCAGCCGCGACCGCCGACAGCGCGATCTGCATGTCAAGGCGGGCACTCTTTCCAAGGCTCTCGACCTGCCGCCCGTCCTGGAGCGGCTAGAGCGCGTGCAGCGGCAGCTGAGGCGCATGGAGAAGGGAGGCCAGCTGAAGCCGCGCATGCAGCAGCCCTCCGAGCCCGCCCAGCAGCCCAGGCCCATTGCATGAGGAGCCGCCCGCCCCCACTGGCGCGCGTTTCAGGCGTGTCAGTGACTGCATGGGGCCATATTGGTTGTTATGGTATGTAGAACTCTGTACACAAAACGCATGTTGACCAGTGGGGGGTCAGCGGCGCCTTGTATACATAGCAGCATGAAGTATCGAGCGCCGTTAGCGAAACGTGTTTATATGGTTCTTCGTATGTACATGGATGGGTTTGTGGCTATGTTGTTCCGGGCGTGGTTTATTCGCGGCCTGGTTGGTACGGCCGTCAGTTCGTAGTCTGACATCCACATCGTACAGCCATCAGTGCTCTTAGGCCACGCAGCTCCCAGCAGACTCAGGGCCGCAATCTATCAACCTGAACATATGCAAGGAGGACAGCGGTTGTTGCCCTTGCAAACATGGACTATGCGGCAGCCACCACTTCACAATGTGCTGAACAGGCACACGCAGGGTAGGCCCGTCCTTCTAGTCTATAACCGTTCACGCCATTGTAATTATTTATTTCTGGCGTAGCTTAAGACCTAGTTTGAGGACCCGTAGAGGCGAGTGCATTGCTTGTCGTATAGGTGTGCTTCAGTGTGCAGCTTGCGATTGGAGTGCCAACTCTCTGCTTGCTGCGGTGTGTTTGCGTCTCGCCTTGGTTGCCTACGTCGTTATATGACCAGTTGCTGCCCTATTACTAATAGTCAACGCTAGTCAATCGCATGCAGCCCTTGCTGCGTAGGGCTTGGACGCCTGCGTTTTGACTTGTTATTTTCCCACCCACCCGCCCTTCTTTGTTGTCTGGTTTGGGACTTGGTTGGCGCCGTCTTCTGCTTGAAGGCCAGCGGTTGTGGTTTCGGCACCGCATGGGGCCCCGAGGCGTTTTGCTGGGACCGTGGTTAGCGGTGAATCGGCAGCCGCGCATTGCATGATGAGGGCGCCACTGAGGGTGGTGTCCCGGTTCGCTGGGGCGGCGGTGCTTGTCCGCTGCACAACAGGGCAGGCCGTGGCAGTGATCACCCACGGCCCGTCAGCCAGCAGGTGGTAGAGCTAGCGATCAGGCATGGGTTGGAGCTCCGGGCGGAGCACATTACGGGCGCTGAGTATGGACGAGCAGGCCGCCTTGACCAGCGGTTCAGCGCTGCCAGGGACGGGTGCGGCACAACAACCAGGAGCTGAGTCCCCATCGTGGTCTTCGTCCAGCTGCAGCTGGAAGGGTCAGCAGTAGATGCGTGCGTTGTTAGCAACGTAGACGTGTGGCTTTCGCGAGTTGTAAGCCGCTAGGCGGGCGATGGTAGAGCGGCGGTAAAACGGGATAGGGAAAGGGGGGGTTGTCTCTGCGTGGGCTAAGGGTAGGAACATGCCAAAGCAGATTGGGTCCGCGACCGTGCCATTGGTTATAGAGTTAGCACGGAAGGCACAGTGAGCGCGTCAGGGACCCGGGTGATTTATTTCCCCATTTTCAGTCGACTTCTCCCGGCGTGTTTAACCTCGTTTGCTTGGTTGTTGCAGTGTAAGGGTCCAGGGCTGGTTTGCCTTTGGAGGACTGTGTACAGGCTCCCATACACCACCTTGTATTGAGGGGAAATATCCGCAAAACGCATGTGTGTTTGTTTGGACACCTCCAAGGAATTGAGCAGATTCGTACGCAAATGCGACTTTCCGGTCCCAGGACTTGAATAGCGAGGATAGATCGGAGAAGTTAAGTGGTAGGAATCAACGAAAGGATGTGTGAGAAAGGAGTACATACCGTTATTGACGGCCCCGGGACTCCCAGGAACCCCTTCCCATACGGCACCCGGAACCGGTACCCCGAATGGCGCAAACCGCGCTGGAAAATTGATTGGCAATTAATAGGGGAAATGTAATTCTTTCAGTCATGGCAATCGCGCTGCAATGCTAAGCGGCCAAGGCACTGACAGTTAATGGCGCTGCCCATGTCAGAGAAAGAAAGAGCGCGCAGTCTTTCCTGTTACACCAAGGGCATAGTTAAACTGAGATAACATTCCCAACTGTAGGACCGGAGTCGTGATTAAGAGGGGTAGTCGGGGGCATTCGTATTCCATTGTCAGAGGTGAAATTCTTGGATTTATGGAAGCATTAGCCAAGGATGCTTTCATTGATCAAGAACGAAAGTTGGTGGCTCGAAGACGATTAAATACCGTCGTAGTCTCAACCATAAACGATGCCGACTAGGCGGGAGAGGTGCAGGAGATGGCGGTGCGGGGCTGGGCGACCCGGCGAAGGCGGCGGCACCCCAGGCGGGAGCGGTGCAGGAGATGGCGGTGCGGGACTAGGAGGCTCCAGCGAAGGCGGAGGAACGCCAGGCCCCCCTCGAAGCCGCTTCACTGCGGGGGCTCCGCCCAAAAACAGTGATGACGACTGCTAGCAAGCATGCTGGTTATTTCGAGTGGGCCTAGGATGGAAGACGTCACGCAGATGAGGCCAACACAGGAAAGCTACCCACGGCACAGCAGAGAATGATGGTGACTACGGGACTTGGTTGACGGACATATACCACAAACTGCCGCACACTCAGCAGTAACAGAGGTGCTCTGCACCTTCCAGCTGTTAACGGAGCTGCCGCCGTGGAAATGTAGCGAGAAGCCACTCACACACACTCCCCCACCCCCACCCGCATGCTGCTGCACATTACGGCGCTCACACCACAGTCAACACTCAACATTTGGGCAGGTCATGAGATCGCTTCGGTCTGGTATAAGGAGCCATTTCCTGCAGGCGATAATGTACATTCAACAGCTTGCAGAGCTGCCGCCCATCTCCTTTGCGACAGCATTAATTATGGACGCAAGCATTCTTGTTCATCCAACTTGCGAGCTGCTGGATACTTCGTGTAGGCATACATATGATGTGAGACGTTCCGCAGGTGGGGCTAAGACAGGACAGCAACCCACGGCGCAGCAGAGAATGTTGTTGACCACAGGACTTGGTTGACGGGCAGGTACTACAAACAACCGCACTCGCAGCAGCACCACCTGTTCTCTGCACCTCCCTGTCAAAGCAGCTGCCGCCGTGGAAATGTACTGGAAGCCCCTCGCTTGCACTTCCCCACCCACACCCGCATGCTGCTGCAGATTAGGGCGCTCACACCACAGTCAACGCGCAGCATTTGAACAGGCCATGAGATCGCTTCGGTCTGGTCCCTGGATACGCATGTCGGGCTGGGGCAAAGATGCTGATTGGGTGGCGGGTAGGGTAGGTCTACCTAGCTGACCCCATGGACCAGAGGCTCTACCCAGCCTGCCTGCCGGCACCTAGCCTTTCCCGCATGTCCATAGCCCCCCTATACATATAGTGACACCTGACAGGGGTTGGGACCCATTTTCCCTGGATACGCATGTCGGGCTGGGGCAAAGATGCTGTTTGCGTGACAGGTAGGGCTGAACCCACAGACCTACGCCCTACGCCCTAGAGTCCTAAGACGGGTCATCTTCTTACCCAAGGGCATGAGCATTAACTTGGCTGGGAGCTACAATGTCATATCGTAGCAGGGGCTGCAGGAAACAGAGAACCAAAGCTCGCTCGCATTGTTTTGCAGTTCGCCGTTGCCTAAGCCCAGGTGAAGTTATTCACAAATAACGTAATATGTGCATGATAATATGAACGCGTGAATAGAGTATAGCCTTTAGCACAAGGCGACAGGCCTATCTGTTGAGATTTGTTATTACTCGCGCATTCGCACTTTGAACGGACACGCGTCGTAAAGAAGGCTGGATACGGCTACCGAAATGTAATAGTCAGCCGCGTAATTAACTTTGAACATGTTGCCTTTAACTGCAGGCTTTCGATGTTCATTTCTTGGTCGCGAGTTTACCGGACGGTCGTTGCTGTGGCAGTTTCCCTGTCGTTTCATATCCACCTGCCCAGCGAAAAGGCACTCATATAAACATGACGTTTGTGTCTATACGCGAACCGTATCCATTGCTGATCATACCGGTATCAGCAACACCAAGCAAGCAACTACAGTACTCCACGTAAAGTGCACGAGAAGGTGCGCATAGCACACATTCTTACCAAGAAGACTTTGTGCTGGTTCCTGCGCTTATAAAGGAGCCCGTATTGGTTGTGTTGTTCAGCCCCATGTGAACGCGTACCGGTAACGTGGAAGGGGCGTGCGTTGGAAATGAGCTGTCCCTGGCGCTGTGTAATGTTAACGCCATGTCTCATATGCATCTTATTGCTACTCGCAATGGTGACCCAACACCATACCTCGTACGTGCAGGCCGCGCCTTGTCGGTGCCATGGGAAGCACATCGAAGGGGGCAACGCTGCTTTGGCGTCTCGGCAGCTTGGCCACCCGTTCAGGGCCCGCCTTGTGCAATGGGCTGCTGAGTTACACAGCCGCACAGCCGGCTCTACCGCAAAAGGTGCTGAGCTCACGCTTTACTCGTAACGTCCCATCACGGTTGCTCGCAGTCTCCGTGCACGCGAATTCCCCCCAGCTCCACGCTCTCCCCTCTCCTCTACGCGCCCTGCCCCTACTGGAGCGCCTAGTGGGCATTGATGCGACTGCTGCAGCCAGCCAGGCTCTCCCAGCCAGCAGCGCGTCCCTCGCTTCGGTACGCCCCATGACAACTGCTGCTTCCAGCAGCTCCTTCACCCAAAAACTTCGGGAGAAGGCTGTCGCCGCTTGGAAGACCTTTAGTTCAATATTGTAGGTTCCTCGTAATCAGCCTTTGTGCACATGGTATGGGCTTTACCACTCATTCTTCTGACCTCACCTGCTGAGCAGGTGGCTGTTCTTCGGGGGTCTCATGTGTGGCTTGCTACACCGCCTTCTTGGAGTGAATGGAGTTGGCATCGTGTGCGGCATTGGGAGCTTGACAAACTCGTGTGTGCTCTGCTGGCGGCATGGCAGCCTAACTGGGTGAGTTGAAGTGGAGCCGGAGCTGGCTATACCGGTATATTAGCATCCATGTCTTACCGCCCCTCCATGCCGTTACCCCTATCCAACTGATAATCAACCCCCTTCCTCCTCGTTGATTGTTCTTGCCTGCACTGCAGGGAGGCTGCATTTCTTTTGGTTATGTCCCTGCTATCCGCCTTTTTTACCTACGCTATGTGGCCGAGGCTTGACAAGGTGTTCATGGGACATCAACATCACGGGTGGATACACGGTGTACACATGGTTGGGTGATGCTGTTATGTTGGCATTGTGAGCTGGTGCGGTCTGTTCCTGTTGGCGCTAATCAGACGTTGTCCCGTGTTGCAGGTGCCGTACACCCATCGGCTGCATGAGGTTCCCACGAAATTCCCCGCTCCACCGCGTGGCGACAAGTACGTCCCGCGGCGGCCATCCGAGATGTTCTTCGCTGTAAGCAACAGTTTGCTTCCACCGTCCGTAGTGGTTTGGGGAAACCTAGGTCCAAAGTTCGCAGCACGGCTGTACAGCAGCATATTAACAACACCTAATTAATAGCTAATAACCCGTAGAAGTTGCCGTGTGTCATATCCCCTCATGCTGCATGCAACCTTGTTGTGGCTGCAGTTGAGTGTAGATGGCTGGAGCTGCCAGTCTCAGGGCCGCTGGAGCCATTTCGCCATACCGTGATGGGCTGTGGATGACTGTTACCCGTCATCAATGTTGTTTTGCGCTTCATCTAGCATGACCCCGTCCATACATCTCAATCACCGCCTCCCTCCACAGAACAGGATAGCAGGATGTAGTCACCAATGGTAGTCCTCGTGCTGCAACCCTTCGCAACGCCCTCCTTCATTACGCTCCCAAGTAACCTCCCTAAGCTTGGTGCACTGCCAGCAAGGGTGCACCGTAACATGTTTGGCTATGAAGCCCCCAGTGATTCTTAAGCGTTGAAGTTGCTGCCTCCCTCCACAGAACGCCAGGGCCTTGGTGGGCTGGTGGAACCAGCTGCTCCCCGCCGACCACCCTGACGTGGTGCGAGTGCGGGGGGTGCTGCAGCGGCTGGCTGCTGCGGCGGCTGCGGGCCGGGGTGGGGGCCGTTACGACCACATGCGGGCTGACATGCCGTGGGCGGTGGCGGTGGTGGAGCCCGTGGTTGGAGCCAGCGAGGAGCAGCTCAAGGGGCGGGAGGAAGAGCGCGAGTCATACATTACATTCCGTGTGCCCGCTCGCGAGACCTGGCTAGCATTCGACTACCCGACCTGCGTAGTCACTTCAGGCGAAGACTCGATGCACGAGGTTGGTCATATGAACTGGGGGTATTGAGAGGACTGATGCGTGAGGTTGGTTATGTACTTTCCTTATATTGGAGCTATTTAGCAATTTAGGGGACGAGCCAGCTCTTGCCAGCATTTGATTGTCCTGGGGACATACAGCTGCATTGTGCCCTGCCTCTTTCGAACCCCGCGCCTGCCCCCCCTCACCTCGCCTCCCCAGGTCCTGCTCCACCAGCGCACGCTGCAGCTGGCGGGGGAGGATGAGTCACTGCTGGCCGCAGCGCTGGCGCACAAGCTGGCGGGAAAGCTGGCACAGCACGAGGTGGGAATTCGTGCAGCAATGCCGCCTTAGGTCTGCATGGCGCTAGAATGCCAATACACGTTTGGTCTTCCATTCCTCCAGTTACCGGATACGTTTGGAGCGGCATATGACCGGATTGTCCTGGAAACCATGCATTCACCACCTGCAACTGTCCATGCATGCCGGCGGTTAATCTGTTGGTTGCGTGCCTTGTGCAGATCGAATACGGCAGCTCGGACACCGATAAAACGTTCGGCTACGTGGGGGAGCTCCTGGAGCAGTGGCTGCACCCTGAGGATGTGGGGGTGACTGAGAAGCACAGGTACGGGCTAGTTGACCTTTACAGCACACCACATTGTTAGGGGTAAGCAACGAAAATTCTGTTACCGTGCGTTTCCCGGTATACCGTCTTCCTATACCGTCAATTCGTCTGCAAGGGATGCTGGTTTAATTGAAGAGTACTCAGCAAGCGACCGACTATGAAGCCCCACCTACGATACCCCGCCCTTCCCTCCTTTTGCGCGGTCCAAATCTGACCTCTCTCCCTCAGGCGCACGCACGAGGCCGACCTCATTGCCGTACACCTGCTGTCCGAGGCCGGGTACGACCCCGCGGGTATGGTACGATGGCTGGAGCGTATCCAGGAGCAGGAGCAGCGGGAGCAGGTGAGGATGACATGCGTAAGACGGGACAGTGCCCTGCGGTGACATGTTGCTTGGTTGTAGGAATGTATTTAGGTTGTGCCTTCAGGCACATGGATCCGCGATGCTCTTACGTTTCCAGACGCCAGAGTCCTTCCAGATGCTGAATCAAGTATATGATGGTGGCATCTTGTTGCAGGGGGAAATGAAGGATGGTACATGTTTTCGGAAGGCTTCACCTAGTCACCTTTACCTTTACCTTGACATCTATGACTAGGAATTAGCGTCGAAGATAGGATCTGTAAGAAAGCGGCAGCTTGTGACACTGCGCACTAGCATAGGGGTTACCATGCTCCACGCACGGTCCCCGTACATGCTGGTCCGTGTGTCGCCCACCAATGGCCAACTGCCACCCCTGCTTTCTCCCTGAAAGCAGCGCAAGAGCCCAGCTCCCGAGGTGGCGACGCCGCTGGCGCAGCAGATAAGCACTGCCAGCCGCGACCGCCGACAGCGCGATCTGCATGTCAAGGCGGGCACCCTTTCCAAGGCTCTCGACCTGCCGCCCGTCCTGGAGCGGCTAGAGCGCGTGCAGCGGCAGCTGAGGCGCATGGAGGAGGGAGGCCAGCTGAAGCCGCGCATGCAGCAGCCCACCGAGCCCGCCCAGCAGCCCAGGCCCATTATTGCATGAGCGAGGAGCCGCCTGCCCCCACTGGCGCGCGTTTCAGGCGTGTCAGTGACTGCAAGGGGCTATCTTGGTTGCTATGGTATGCAGAAGTCTGTACATGAAACGCATGTTGACCAGTGGTGGGTCAGCGGCGCCTTGCAAACACAGCAGCATGAAATGTCGAGCGCCGTTAGCGACACGTGTTTATATGGTTCTTCGTATGTACATGGATGGATTTGTGGCTATGTTGTTCCGGGCGTGGTTTATTCGCGGCCTGGTTGGTACGGCTGTCAGTTCGTAGTCTGACATCCACATCGTACAGCCATCAGTGCTTTTAGGCCACGCAGCTCCCAGCAGACTCAGGGCCGCAATCTATCAATCTGAACATATGCAAGGAGGACAGCGGTTGTTGCCCTTGCAAACATGGACTGTACGGCAGCCACCACTTCACAATGTGCTGAACAGGCACACGCAGGGTAGGCCCGTCCTTTGAGTCTATAACCGTTCACGCCATTGTAATATTTTTTTTGGCGTAGCTAAAAATGTAGTTTGAGGACCCGTAGAGGCGAGTGCATTGCTTGTCGTACAGGTGTGCTTCTCTCTGCTTGCTGCGTTGTGCTTGCGCCTCGCCTTGGTTGCCTACGTCGTTATATGACCAGTTGCTGCCCTATTACTAATAGTCAACGCTAGTCAATCGCATGCAGCCCTTGCTGCGTAGGGCTTGGACGCCTGCGTTTTGACTTGTTATTTTCCCACCCACCCGCCCTTCTTTGTTGTCTGGTTTGGGACTTGGTTGGCGCCGTCTTCTGCATGAAGGCCAGCGGTGGTGGTTTCGGCACCGCATGGGGCCCCGAGGCGTTTTGCTGGGACCGTGGTTAGCGGTGAATCGGCAGCCGCGCATTGCGTGATGAGGGCGCCACTGTCGTGGTGTCCCGGTTCGCTGGGGCGGCGGTGCTTGTCCGCTGCACAACAGGGCAGGCCGTGGCAGTGATCACCCACGGCCCGTCAGCCAGCAGGTGGTAGAGCTAGCGATCAGGCATGGGTTGGAGCTCCGGGCGGAGCACATTACGGGCGCTGAGTATGGACGAGCAGGCCGCCTTGACCAGCGGTTCAGCGCTGCCAGGGACGGGTGCGGCACAACAACCAGGAGCTGAGTCCCCATCGTTGTCTTCGTCCAGCTGCAGCTGGAAGGGTCAGCAGTGGATGCGTGCGTTGTTAGCAACGTAGACGTGTGGCTTTCGCGAGTTGTAAGCCGCTAGGCGGGCGATGGTAGAGCGGCGGTAAAACGGGATAGGGAAAGGGGGGGCGTGTCTCCTACCCTGCGTCCTAAGGGTAGGAACATGCCCACGCAGATTGGGTCCGCGACCGTGCAATTGGTTAGTAGAGTTAGTTAGAAGCTTAGTTTGGTACGGAAGGCACGGTGAGCGCGTCAGGGACCCGGGTGATTTATTTCCCCATTTTCAGTTGACTTCTCCCCGCGTGTTTAACCTCGTTTGCTTGGTTGTTGCAGTATAAGGGTCCAGGGTTGGTGTTTCACGAGCCACTACGGCAGGCATCAAATCTGTCGTTAGGAAACCTTCAATCTTTGGCCCAGTCCTTAATCCCGCGAGACCCGCGCCATGGAAGCAAGTGAACAGTCTTAGTGATACCCTGCCTGCTGGCCAATTATCTCAAATATTTTCAGCCGCCATCAAACTTTCACGCTACAAACATCTCTTCAAGCATTTATAGTATAGTGTCCACACACGGTACGTGTGCCAAAAGGAAGGGAAATGGGTAGGAAAGGGCTTTGGCGCAAGACCACGTTTGCCTTTGGAGGACCGTGTACAGGTTTCCATACACCACCTTGTATTGAGGTGTGATATCCGCAAAACGTATGTGTGTTTGTTTGGATAGGAACGTGCAATGACACGAGGCAGGCGCCACGCGGGGAAGGGCATGTGTAGATTACTTCGCTTCTTGAAGAGCGACGGATCTACGTCTACACTGAAAGGTGAGGACACGTCCAAGGACGTGGCGTACCCGCACCACGTTCGGACACCGCTTTTCCTGAAACCCAGATAAGCTTTAAGCAGGTGTGGACACCTCGGGGCACCAACCGTTACATTATGTAAATTGGCAACATAACATCTACAGCTACAAACCCATCCATGCGACAGGGGCCGAGCGATGCCGATGATTTAGACGAACCGAGGGGCAGATACTTACGCAAATGCGAGTTTCCGGTCCCAGCAATTGAACAGCGAGGATAGAACGGAGCACTTGATTGGTAGGAATCAACAAGAGGATGTGCGAGACGGGAGTACATACCGGTAAGGACTTTGAAATACTATTTGACTCCCTTCCAGAAGTAGGCTGGCTTATATGCCACACGCAGAAACTTGTTGATTGATTCAGCTTAATTTTTATGGGTTGAAGTCGTTGGCAAGCAGGCCCTCTATTAGCTTTGCAGCTGATAGTACCATTGCTTGCCGCACGCGCATGGGCCTTCTCGGCAAGCAAAAAGAGACGACAAGACATGCCAGAGAATTGTTTGATGGCATTTATACCCACGGGTATCCTGAAGTCAGGCAAAGCGCAGCTGGTTGCACAGGCGATGCATGGTGGTAACCGAACCGCCGGACAAGCGAGCGAAGTGGCGCTCCCAGGAAGATGCTAGTATTCAGAGAGCAATAGGCAACAGAAGTTATTGCAGTAACGCCACAGGCATCCATAACACCTGAGTGAACCCTGCTGCATGTATGCATCTCCACGCAGCAGGGGTTCCGAGCAATTGAGAGAGCAGGCCGTGAGATATCGCTTCGTTCGGATATACTCGCCTACGTATCAACATCCGCGGCCATCTAGGATAACGGCCAGTCGTTTCAGTAGCTAGAGTAGGTTCTTCAAGTAAGACCATTGAAACGACACTTCCGTTGAGGCCTTATAAAGGATATAGTTAAATACTTCCGCTGTGTTCCAACACAATTATTATACTGCACCATATGCTGGCAGCGCAAGCGTCGTAAACGTTCGCCCGTCGCTGGTCTCAGAAACAGCTAAAGCGGAGGAGCCTACAGCTTATTCATAGTAACCTCAGGTGCGCCGAATAGGACTATCTATACTAATAAAAGCAAGAAACCGTGCAGTGACAAGGTAACGACTGACATTCCTCGCAGTTACCGGTACCGGTATAATATTGTGTCCCAGCAGCAACCGCCAAGGCTCTGACTTGCGTGTGAAAATTACTGCAGGCCGTACACTCCAGGTCCAGTTCTATGGGAGGCGCATCACAGAAGACAAGGCTGCTGCAGAGCCTTAGCTGTGTGGCCGCTCATGCAAGGCCTGCATCGCTTGGCGGGCTGCTGAGCTCCACCGCTGCCTCACGGCCAGCTCTACTGCCTCAGAGGGTGCCCAGCAGTTCGCTGTCCACCTGTAATGTCGCATCACGGTTGCTCCCGGTTTCTGCTTTCCAGCCCGCCCTTCCCTCTCCCAGTCGCACGATGCTGCCCTTGCTGGAGGGGCTTACGGGAAACGCGGCTGCTGCAGCAGCAAGTCGGGCTTTTCCGGCAGGCGGTACTTCCCTCACCGCTATTGCGCGATGCATGTCGACAGGATCTAGCACCCACACCCACTCTCCCTGGCAGATATTTGCAGCGACTTGTAGGGCTGCCTACGTGCTCTTGTAAGTTTGTCTAAGACCTGTTGGGTGTACAGCACGTGCTGCCTGACTCCTTCCTTTCCCACCGCAGGAAGGCAGTGCTTGGGGTGGTCTTCTCGATGGTCCTGTTTTTTGTGAGCGTAGAAGCCTTTGGGCCATTCCTATGCGGTGCCCTGTGCCTCGTTCCGGCGATGGCTAGAATCCGACGTTTCGGCAACCTAACGTAGGTTCTCACCACATACAGAGCTGCAGCACAGCGTCTAACCAGTGTTAACTGTCGACCTATCTACTGGACTGGCTTGCCTAGCCGTGGTGCCTCTCGTGCCGTCTTTACTGTATACATGGTACATGTTAACATATATCGGTAGCTGAGGAACGCCTTTCCCATCCCCTTCCTGCAGATCCCGGTGGACGTTCCCTGACAACTTCTATGCTACATGCTTGGCATACGCGGGCGTGTCTGCCGTTGTGATAACGGAGATCGAAAAGGTAACGAGAGGCTGGTGTACGCCTCATGCCGGGCATAGCAGGTTACCAACCCCGCAACAACGCAGGTGCCGTACACCCTCCGCCTGCATAAGATCAAGTCAATGGCGCCCAAAACTGGCGGGCAGTACGTACCGGCACGGCCACTTGAGGACTTCTTCGCTGTAAGCAAGCGGCGGGGGCAGGTCACCACCAGCATTCCATTCACCAGTTGGACAAAGACGCCTGCAGTTCGCATGTGGTACCTGGAACGCGTCCTGTGATAAGGGTATAGTTTTGACGTAGCTACGCTCACCTATACTCCAGCCAATGCCTTGATTGTCCAGACGGACTAACGAACTAGCGACTAACGAGCTAACGAACGGCGCCATCTACCTGGTTATGTGCATGCACCTAGTTCGTTACCTTAATTATCTTACTGCTTCTGTGCAGGAGGCCAGCTCCATTGTGGGCTGGCGGAACCAGCTGCTCCCCGCCGACCACCCTGACGTGGTGCGAGTGCGGAGGGTGCTGCAGCGGCTGGCTGCTGCTGCTGCGGGCCGGGGTGGGGGCCAGTACGACCACATGCGGGCTGACATGCCGTGGGCGGTGGCGGTGGTGGCACCCGTGGTTGGGGCCAGCGAGGAGCAGCTCAAGCAGCGCCGGGAAGATTGGATGGCCGGGCGCGATGACAGCCAGAAGTTTGATACACCAGCCCATGAAGTCGGGTTGGCGTATGACTACCCAATCTGCGTAATTCCCCGAGGCGAAGACAAGATGCACGAGGTTGGCCGGTGCTACCGTTGGTGGGGAATGTCGCCCCCCTACTAAACATGCAACTAAAGGGAGTAACGGTAGTCCTCAGCGTCTGTACTCTCTACGCACTACCCTCCGCGCCGATCACGCGCCTGCACCCCCCCCCCCCGCCTCCCCCAGGTCCTGCTCAACCAGCGCACGTTGCAGCTGGCGGGGGAGGATGAGTCACTGCTGGCCGCAGCGCTGGCGCACAAGCTGGCGGTAAAGCTGGCACGGCATGAGGTAGGCAGCAGATCACAAATGGTTTATGTACAAGACTGCGACTACTACTGCTTGAGCCCATCCCGAACATTCAGCTCACGTTTGTCGCATCAAGTACATTCCATGCAGACCTTTTATAATTCTAGTTCCAGATGCATGAGCCCGGTTGGTCATGCATGTGCACAGGTTGAGGACCGTAAATTCCATGTGCTTGGACACTTGGGAGTGATGCTTGAGGACGAGGATCCCGAGGTTCCTGTGTGGCACAGGTGTGTGCTTCTTGCCTTCCTGTCATGGCGTTCAGAAGACTTGTATTTCTATGTGTACACCCTTTATGCAAGGCATAACTAATTGTTACTAACAAACAAATGACTGTTAGTTGGTTGATCCCCTTCGAGCTCGGGTAGTCTTGGCGGCATGCATGAGCAGCTGGTGTCCAGCATTTTTGTACAGCACAGCTAGCTTCCACGCATGCATGATGCATGTACTCTTTACTCAGGCGCACGCACGAGGCCGACTTCATTGCCGTACACCTGCTGTCCGAGGCCGGGTACGACCCCGCGGGCATGGTACGATGGCTGGAGCGCATCCAGGAGCAGGAGCAGCGGGGGAAAGAGCAGCGGGAGCAGGACCAGCGGGAGCGAAAGCAGGTGAGGAACTTATATCTTTGCACGTCTGTAGCAGATGGGCTTTCCAGAATGGAAGGGTTGTATGTCCTCGTACAGCTATACAGGTTCTACAGCTACATGGCATGATGTTAGCCGCCTTCACCTTCGACCCATGGGTCAGTAAATGCCGCACTTGTAGACGGCACGCTCGCGCGGCGTACCACATGAAAAGGGGCAATAAAATAGGTCATTGGTAATGTAACACACGCATGGAAGGTGTACGCCGCCCCTGTTAACTGCTGCTGTGACCATATGGAGGCTGTCGACCCTGTGGTGGAACTAACATACACTTTTATTGTAAAGCCCTGATTGATGGCAACTGACCAGTAAATGCACCCCCCCAAGCTTTCCTGTGCGCTTGAACTGTGCCTACACTCTGCTGGCATGGGGTCTACGTGGCCATTCGCACCTCCACTACTGCCATAGCCTCCTCCACCGCCACAGCCTTCTCCAAGAACCCTTGCTTGCTTGCCCCTTGCAGCACAAGAGTTCACCCTCAGAGAAGGAGACGGGGCAGCAGAAGTCTGCTGATGACCCGGTGGCACTCAACCGCCAGCAGCGTGACGCCACGTATGCCTCTTGGCCCCTATCGGACGACCTGTTCCTGGCGCCTGTCAAGGAGCGGTTGCGACGGGTGCAGCAGCAGCTTAGACGCATGGACGAGGCCGGCCAGCTGAAGCAGCAGCGCGCACAGCACACCGTCAACTCCTGAGCGGAAGGTTTGGAATTATGGGCGGCCGGCGGCGGCTGCAATGTGCTAGCTTGATCGCGAGGGCCTTAACAATATACACGCTAGGAGTACTTGGTTAGGGTGGCAAGGGATATGCTTCTGTGTCGATGTTGGGTCAGTTACAACGAAGCGACGTGGCGGTGGCCATGGTGGCTGTGTCCTGGAAATGATAGTAGCCATAAGCAGCAGCAGGGAGCAGCAGCTGGGTATAAGCTATTACTAGGAAACAGTGGGCTCGCTCACGCACACGTCGGCACCTGCCAAGGCGCTGGATAGTAGCCTTCTTTTTTTGCTGTGGTAGGTCGTGATGGGACATGAGCTAGCTGTCTCCCAGTTAGAAGCAGAGCACGTACAAATCTGCAAGTTGTGAGGGGCTCCCATAGTAATAACCAGAGCGTACATGGATGTGAACAAAGAGGTTGCATGCGGCGCAGTGCAGTTTATTTACAACTACCGGTGAGATGTCTAGGCACGTAGATAACGCTGTGCTGCAACTAAACGCTCTTGGAATGTGTTAGAATTACGACTATACGAGCCCTGTGGTGCTTTGCATGGTGCCCTGTGATCAGCACGGTATGCGTACGAGTGCCCCGCAAAAGCCTACCGTGCAGATGCCGTACGTCAATGTGCCCCAAAAGGTTGTCTGTGGCTATTTATGTTGGGCTGTCTTGAGGTAATTGACTTGCTGGGTTCCTGGCAAAACCAAACCTCGATAACTGACGGCATGTACGACTCTTAAAGCCTTTCTGCGAGCAGGCAACTCACTGGCGCTGAAGCCGCTGGTTGCCACCGTGTCTGCAAACCGGCTCTGCTGTCGTGCGCACAGGCAACTGCACTGCTGCCTGCCAGCGGGGGCTTTGCGCCACCAGTGGCAGGTGCTGTACACTTCTCTTGTCCGGCAAGTCATGCCCACTCCCCATGCTTGACACGGGTCATAACCTTTGCCAACATACAGCCAACCTATACCGACAATCCCAGGTAACCTTGCATGCACGTCCCCCGCAGGAATGAAGGCTTGCAAGCATTACATTACGTAAAGCACAGCAGCAGCCCTGCAACTGGAGCTACCACCTGGCGACGCCGCGTGCCGACCAGGCACTGTTGGCATCACGCAACCTCCGCACAGCAGCCCGCAAGCGTGTCAGTATAAGGCCCGAAATCCGGCGGATTAACAGCACCAGGCAACTGTTAGCAAGGTGTACGAGCTGTGTCAAGCAACCATTTTCTAGCGCGCGCGTAAGCTTCCCCCTTAGTACAGCCGACGCTCCACAAAGTCAAATACATTGTACGGGTCCATAATCCCTTCACAAGTGACTACTGGCACTGCAAGGCCCCATGCCCAGCGGCGGAGGCGGGGGCATGCCGTATGAGGGCGGCGGTGGCGGCGGCATGCCGTGCGGCGGGGGCATGCCGTACCCTTCAGGCGGCGGCGGCATGCCGTAGCCCGGTGGCGGCGGCATTGATGGCGGGGGCGGCATGCCGTAGGGAGGCGGCGGCATGCCGTACGGTGGCGGATAGGATAACCACAGTAACGCAGTGTAACGGTATCGTACTTCTCCTTGTTGATCTTGCGAAGTGACCGGCATGCCCAGCCGGCAGTAGCCAGCATGCGGCCTGAAAGACGTCAAACAGCAATCCCTCACGGTGAGTGGTTGAGTGCCACACGCGTTTGCCCAACAACATCTCAAAGAATGTGTATATCATCACAACCGGCGCAGCCTGTGGCTAGGCTTCTTCCCTCTGACATCTGCTACCGGTGTACCGGTATACCTCAAGCCGCCGCTTCATGCACTCAGTTTCCCTGCGTCAAGCCCCCTGTCGGCCAGCTCAACCATTTTAGACGCCTCGTCGGGACGCCGCAAAGGAAATGGCAGGGAGAGCAGTGCAGAGCCGTGTCTACGAACGCCGTGTCTATGAACGCCGTCCAAAAGGGGCATGACCCTTCAGAAAAAGTTCTTTGTACCGTTCTTACTCCCGTGTACTGGACGGTCTTGATGATACCGTACCAGCACCAGCGAGAACCTAGAAGTGTGGCTCGAACAGTCGTACATAGGTATCAGGAAACATCAGTGAAGCTTCAGGAAAAGTACGATTCCACACCGTCAGCAAAGCTCCTTCCAGAAGCCTCCTAGAACAATACATATGGAACGTTCGACACAGAACATCTGCGTGTGTATTGTCACGTGTGGCTCATGTGTGCCGCAACATTGCCCTACTCTTGCCTACAACGTGCATGTGGGACCTTACGGAGAGCAACCAGACAGCGTTTGAGACGCAGGGAAAAGGACCACAGCACGTCTGAGGAAGGTCACATACGTGCAAAAGAGACCAGATGACGTTTGCTGGGAAGACACTTACAACGAAAATGTCTGGCAAGTCGCAAACCAATGGCAAGCCCGAGGTTGTCGAGCATACCTGTAACCTACAACCAAACACATTTGTGTTTCACAAGTCCGTCGGCACGAACACGAAGGCTTACACCAAAATCCGTTACTGGCATGGTTAAGGAAGGTTTTGGTCCATAAGGACTACGGTACGAAATGGCGGGGCACAGAATCCAACATGGCCGCTGACGGAGCGGCTGACAGATTAATCTACTTGGATCTACAACGGAACAACCAACCGTTCACTGACGGCCAATGTGCCGTACCCAACATGCATGACCAACAGACGTGGCATAGGCAACAAGCATAGCCCCAGCATACGCAAATAAAGCGCTTACCAAGGGTTTTACTTGCAGCAACTCGCAAAGTGTTCACGGTACTGGTACATGTGATGTGCATTCGCGGCGCCTTCACAGCGCGATGTCGCGGGCTTGGAGCACCCGCAGTCACAGCGGTTGCAGGACGACACTGGGAAGGGTACACCAAACGAAACGAAAGAGGCATACTGGGCACACTGCTTAGTGTATGTATGGCAGCGTTTTAAGGCCCGCAAATCGACTAAAACCCAGTTAGGATAACCCCTAATAAGCCGTTACACTCGCATGGAGAGGCCCAAAACTGCTCAAAAACCATGCCCCATCGCGGGGTGAACAAAGCAAAAGCAAACCACCCTCTCAATGCATGGCAGCGTCTCTCCTTCCTGCCCCAGTAAATGGATGGATTTACAGTACGCAAGAGCAGGCGCCTCCTTCACCGTCCCCGCCTGCCTCCAACCCCTCCTGCCAGCCAAATGCCAACAAACCAAATCTTCGTTGACTCCCCGTACACGCTGCCTCTTGCTTACGCTTGCAGGGCCTTCTTACATCGAAGCCGTCTTCTCCCGCTTTAGCTTTACACAACCGTTTTCACCTTGCAGTACCGGCCCTTGCCACTCCTGCCCACCACCGTAGGCCCCACAGCTTATCCGCCAAGCACAGTTATCCATCTCGAAGGCAGTTATGACCCATGGGTCGGACATCATGCATTAAGCATCAAACACCTTTTCGTCTGTTGCCGTCACCACGTCGCGTGAACCTGGTCCTTTACATACCACATCCCTGCTTCAGTTGGGACGACTGGTGGTACTTTCACGCAGCTCCTTGCAGCCCGCCCCTCCCAGCAGCCGCCAGACAACCCACATGCGGAATCAGATACGGCAAGCAACGCATCCGCAGGTGGCCCCTGCTGCTGCTAGCGGTAGTGCTGCTGGAGGGTAGTCGATGCCAAAGCCAGCCGCTTGACCGCCAGACATGCCTCTGCCTCCCTCGACGCCCACAGCTGCTGCTGCTGCAGTTGCTCAAGCTCCTCCACCCCATGCTGGTAGCAATGCGTGCGGTACTGATGGTGCTGCTGCTGCTGTTGTTGCAGTGGGTGCAAACCATGTGATTGCTGCACGCGCTGCCCCTCCTCCCTGCCGTCACTGCCGCTGTTACGTAGCGTGTTTGCGAGCACCAGCCGGAGTTGCGTTAAACGGTCCAGGTGCGTCTGTTCGTCCAGCTGCGGGAGCAGAGGCTGCTGCGGGTGCGGGTGCGGTGGGGGCGTACGACGCATCGCATAGTCCCATTGCGCCTGCTCCACCTGATGTTGCTGCACGCTGTGAGGCGGCATGGACGTGTAGGAGAATGGACCACTTTCACGCCCCTCACCCGCATCCCAATCAGGAGTAGCCCCGCCAGGTCGCATGAGACGTGGAGGCTCCTTGCTTGCAGCCGGCACCGCCGCGGCTGTACCACCACCGCTTCCAAAGCCTGACGCGCGCAGCTCGATCCCCTCTGAATGCCCGCCATAACGACCCATGCAAACCTCATCGGTCTGCTGCTCTGGCTCCTGCTGCTGCTCCTTCACCACCGGCAGAAACACTAGCCGGCCATCCGGCAGCCTCAGGCAGATGCTACCGCGCGGGGGTAGCATCACTGGCTGCTGGTGGTGCTCGGGTCCCCACTCCTCACGCTCGACCCTCTGCTCGACACGGTCCCCTGCACGGCCCCCTGACTCCCGCCGCTGCTGCTCTGGCTGCTGCTGCTGCTGCTGCAGGCCAGCGCGGTTGGACTCCACAAGTGCCTGCAGCCGCAACAATATCTGCTGGTGCTGCTGCGCTTGCTGACGTGGATGTGCCGGTGGGGGCGACAGCGTCATGTCCCGTCCTGAGCCACACCGTTCATCACCGCCTCCGACGGGAGCGGAACACCCGCCGTCCGTGATCGGGGCTGCCGAGGCCTGGGGCCTAGTTGCCTGCTGCTGGCGCTGCTGCTCCCACTGGCTCTGTGGCTGCTGCTGCTGCCGCTCCTGCAGAGGAGGACTGGGCCGGAGACGAAGAGCCACGTCCCTCCTCACATCCTGAGGCGGTGGGAGGTACGGCTCGGACAAGGAGGCGGCGGAAAGGAAGGACGAGGAGAGGCCGCCGGTCCCAGGCGCGGGTGCCGTGGGGATGATGGTGCGCCTGGCTTGGGGCTGTTGCGGGACCTCAGTGCGGGGGGATGGCGCAAGGTTGAAGCCGAGGGTAGGGCAGCCGGCCTCCGCCGGGCCACCACCACTTCGGGCAGCAAGGCATGTCGCTTGTAGGCCGCCAGCTGAACCCTCCCGCGGCGGGGCGTACTTGCGCGGGGAGTCCGCAGCCGCCGCAGTAGCAAAGGGAGATGTCAGCGGGGAGTCTTCTTGCATGTGGCGGCCGCAGGCGTCCACACGAGTGGCGTAGCGCTCCTGCATCTTGGGGCACTGGCGTCGTTGCAGCAGCGTTGGCGTCTCCTGCACTGCTCCAGACGGACGCATGGCCAGTGTCTTCTGTGATTCTGCCGCCGTATGCGCAACTTGCTGCAGCGGGATGAGCTTAAGGACCTGCTGCGGTGCTGTAGGAGCCGCGGCGCTGCCATTCCCGCTGCCCCTCCTCACTCCAACGTCAGAAACCAGGGCTGCCGTTGCGCACGGGACGTCCCCTTCTGCTGCAGATGCAGGCCAGGATGGCAGTGAGAGGCCCTGTGGCCGAGCAGTGCACGTGGACGCAAGCGAAGCAGCCACCTGCATGGCTGCTGCCAGCTGCGCCTCCGCCTCTGCCGCAGCAGCAGCTGCGGCTGCAGCCGCGGCGGCAGCGCGATTGACACAGGATGCGCCGTTGGGCGCAGCCGCCTTGAAAGCGCCCGCTGGGAGGACATGGGCTGGGAGGTGGGACAGAGGGGAAGCAAACCCCAGCGCGATCACCCGCAGGCGAGCCAGGTGGGCTGGCGAAGGCGCGGTGCGTGGGCGGTGAGGCGCGGAACGTGGCCCACGTGGCACGAAGCGGAAGGGAAGCTCCTCCTCGACCCAGTCCTGCTGTTCGCAGGGGAAGAGGGGGAGGGCGCGTGGGGTGTGACTGCTGGCATGGCTTTCTTGGATAGGTCACCCTACAAGCACATACAGGTGGCGGGGCTAGAGCCCGTAGCCATGAGCTTAACGGTATGAGTCAAACTTGGGGTAGGCTGGGTCAGTCCAATTTCCTCTGCCTGGTATGGTTGCGACAGGTCACACATACAACTCGCGGAGGGGCCATTGTTGTTTAGGACATGCCCGCAGCTCACGATGAGCAACCCTCCCCGAGCTCTGTACCTGTATGCCAGCGTCACCCATGCCGTTTTCCGCTTCAAGTGAGGAGAAGCTTCCCGATGCTCCTCCCAGGGAGCTGCAGTTGGAGCCCTTGCCGCCGTGGGGGCTGGCTGCGGCATTTCGCATGTGTAGCAGAGCAGCCGCGGCAGCAACAGCTGCAGCACTGTCGATATCATCCTCCTGCTGCTGCTGTGACGTGCCACTTCTCACAGCGGCACAGACAGGCATGCGGCCTGGGAACTTGGGCTCCTTAAAAGGTACCTGTCGCTCCGGTTGTGGGAGCGCTGAAAAGAACTCTGGGTATGATGGAGGTGACGGTGGGCTGGAGGGCTGCTGGTCCGTGGACAGCCTGGGCGCTTGCTCCTCAACGTCACTTGCGGTGGCTTGACGCAAAGCCTGGGCCGACGGCTGCTCCATGTCATAGTGCGGACACGTCAGCGGGAGGCTTGCGCCAAAAAGGTGCTCCGTAGTTGATGGGATATTGCGCCGCTTAAATGCGGTTCCGCCATCGTGCGCCACTTGGTCGGAGTCAGCGCAAGTTACTGTCGCGTACCGCCGCTCCGCATGTTCCATTTCGTTATGTGCAAATAAGTCTGGACGCGGTTCTCGGAGTGGCAACGGATTTTGCTGTTGGAAATCCTCCAGATGGCGGACCATCGCCGGATGAACAGCAGCCCACCCGGGTATCACGCAGCTCTCATAGCCACGGCTTAGATAGGGATAAATGCTGCTGCAATGTGGCATAACACTCGCAGACGGGTTGACCGCGCTTTCGTCATGTTGCTGTTCAGGCACCTGCACCTGAGGATACAACCACACAAGAGACAGCGAGGCGCGCTCATAAGTACGATTTTTCATGATCAAGTAGACGTCTATCTAGGCAAAATGTTTTGGAGTAGAAACTGCTTATCATACGGACTCACCTCAGCTGGCCGTGCGCGTTTTTGCGGCAGGAAGGCCATAAGGATAATGTATAAACACTACAACGGCTCCGCGTTCCGTCCTTAACGGTTGAAGCGTGTAGCTTGTGGCTGTATACGGCCTTCGTAACGGGAAGCGCAAATGGCTTTGCCTATCCGTCTGGCTGGATGCGTCACAAGTGACAGGTGCGAACTCGTTCTCAATCTGCACCAGTAAGAAAAGGAAGTCAAAAACGAGTTAATGGAGACGGCCTTTTGGGTTCGACTTCCCGTGCGTCCACAGGCATATGCATGTATGCAAGTCGTTAAAGCGAAGACGTCAAGCCACAGTGTTTATCATAGGAAAAGAACCACAGTAGCGCGCATGGCTGCGAAAATAGAATGGGCCCGGCCAGGCCGATAATCCCTGACCCGAATTTCAACTCTTGCACAGGACCAGCCCATTCTGTCACTTACCGTTGCTCAACAGCTTAAGGGATAGTTGGAGGTGTCGCGGCGTGTTGGGCGTCTTCACAGTGCGACTAATAGTCACGGCGACTTATGCATTATGGTGGGCGCGATAGCTACGATGTAAAGTCTCTGTTTGCTTTAAGGTAAAACCATAAACCTCGCGTCTAGCATGCAAACGGATAGTGGTTCATCATCACCACAGTTGTACGGCCGAATGTGCCACTACATAGTCGCGCTCTTGTCCAATAGGAACCCAGCCTTTGCACATAAAAACTGAAGTACGTGTGATACTTGATATAGTGGGCCCTGATGTGCTAGCAAGCGCGCAAATCTGCAAGCTGCGCCAATGCCGCGGGTTCTAGTAAGCCGGCAACGGGTGCGTGTTGAGCCTGGATTACAAAACGCATTTCGTTTATGTTTTCAGCATTTAGCAAAGTCGTTTTACTGGCAGAACTTCAATTAGGTTGTTGACGTCGGTACCTGAATCAATTAAACAAGCATGTGATGCGTACGTTTAAAATGCTTCGCAAAAGCGTTCGTTGCTTTTATGGAATTTGCTACGCGTGCCCGCCGCTTAGCGCTATGCGCAGCATCACCTGCAGCACCTCTACAACACTTCTACAAATGCAGGGTTCGGTTGTATACGAATGTATTTTAACAAGGAGGCAAGTCTGGAAGCCTCGTTTCCACGTCCTGTAGGCCACTCTTTTCGACTACTGCGCAGCGAGTTGTTAGATTTGTAATTTGACGGATAGACGTCTTGCAGTCAGCAACAAAATAGTACTACTTGTGGTGAGTACTAGACGTGATAGGGTTGGTAGTTGTTAATTCGCAACAGTCGTGTCGGCCTTGCTCCCTCGGCCTGCAACAGTGGGTTCCTTGAACGGGCAGTGCGGCTTAAATACGTATTTCCACTGCGCTTCTCTCCCACTGGAATAGCGCTCCTCAGGTCATCAAGAGCACCTGTCCTTTAAATCCTCAGGCTTGTCAAGAGGCATCTCGACCAACTGCCGGCAAAATCTGTTGTAGCTTTCTGCCATCCAAGTTGGCGCATGCTACCGTGCTTCTGCTCTGTACAGTCCTGACTTATGCACTATACAATTGGAATGCCGTCTGTTGGAGCGGCACGTCTCCCTGGAAGAAACAAGGATTGATTGCTATTCTAGTATGCGCTCGGATGTCATCCTTTCACCAAAACCATTTGCTAAGTGCAAATAATACATGTAACACACGTCGTTTGCTTCGAACTGCGGCGGCACATTGGATGTAACGCCCGCTGCTCCATGTACGGCGGCTTCGAGCGCTGGCTCTGGACTTTACACGCCCGGCTGCAAAACTGGGGCCACAGGAGTGTCAGCACTAACGATATAATGCTGTGTAGTCGTGTGGCTCGCCTTGCGCGCTTTGTCACGAAGGATTTCCGCTTGCTTGCTCGCGCTAGTCCGGACGCGATCACCCGTATGCGGGCGCGCGAGATCCACTGCGCAATAGGTACTATTCTCTTAGTTCATATACGTGTTTAAAGACGACATACGGCGCGCGCTTTGTACTACAGCTGCCACGCCACTTAAATACGTGTGGCCCTCCATTGCCCTCCCGTACCGCAATCGCCGTCGTCTCTGTCTTTGAGCTTCATCCTTGTGTCCGATCTTGCAGGTTGCAATGTGTACATCTCAGAGGGGCGCAACAGACCGCTCATTGTCAGCCTCCAGGTCAGGGGCATGAACCCGCATGGAGGGTATTTCGGGGCAACACCCCCCACATGTATCCCTCCTAGGGCTTCCTCAAACATTATGCCAATGACCCAATGTGACCTGAAGGATGACATGTTCCTGGACTCGTTAGTGCAACCCGCTCTGCGTCCTACCTGTGAAGGCCAACACGCAAGTGCCGTTAAGATGAAGACGCAGTACGTACGGCACCTCTAACCTCTACCTTTCCTTATCCCCGCAGGCCGAGGCTGAGACCACCCCCGGTGTCGTACTCGCACATACCTTTGTGGACGAGCCGTACAATCGTACGGGGTTCACATTCGTGAGCCATAATCCCGACCAGGTACAGTGACCCTTTGACCCTGTCGTAAGTTTGACCACAGTGACATTCCGCGTGACGACGCATCCCAATCCAACCTCAATCCACTAGCCATGCGCGATTCACATCATCCTTTGACCGCTCGCTATCCCCCCTGTAGCTACCGGTGGTATTTTAATGTCCTGCCACCTCCTCCGCTGTCCAACTTGTCGCTTTCCTAGGATCTAACTCTCCTGCCCGCCTTCTTCCCGCCAACCTCGCTGCCTCACAGCTCGCAGCAGCAGTGGTGCGGCTGAGCCACTCCGCGCTGCTTCAACTGGACCTGCGCACCCATGCAGCCAGCCACCCCCGCCTGGGCGCAGTAGACCACATCTCGCTGCACCCCCTGCAACTGGGGAGCCACCACGGGTGTGCCCCTGGTAACAGCAGCCGCAGCCGCAGCCGCAGTGGGAGCAGCAGCGGCAGGGATGGCAGTGCCAGCAGCGGTCATGGCAGTAGCCGCTTTGCTGCTGACGCCGCTACAGCCGTACCAGCGCCCGGAGGAGGGCATGATGGCCCTGCTGGTAACACTGCTGGTGGGGACGCCGAACAGGCGGGTTGCATGGCGGTTGCCGCCGCTTGTGCCCAGGACATCGCCAGACAATTGGCGGAGGGACCCGGCGGCGGGGTGCCGGTGTATTTGTACGGACACGCGCACACCGGGCGCCGTACCCTAGCGGAAGTACGGCGACAGCTGGGTAGGTACGGGGATCACGCTGGTACGACATACGCGCTGTGTAGGAGATACCCATCCCGCACACCCTTCCCTCTCCGACTGCACCTCCCTCGCACTGCCCGCCCTCTTATGCCCCTCATTCCGCCCGCCAATATGAGTCCGTGATGGGCCGACCCCATGGTGGCCACCCCCCGGTCGCCTGCAGGCTACTTTCAGCGCTCTCAAGCCGGCAACTGGCAGGGCGCATTAAGTACACTGCCACGAGCGCACCCGCACCCCCATCCGCAGCACCAAGAGCAGCAGCCAGGTCCTAATCAGGAGCAGACTCGCAGCCAAGACCAGGGCCAAGAGCAGCGCCAGGTCCCAGCAGCAGCCCAAGCGCTGCCGCTGTTGAGCTGTCCACCCGACCTAGGACCAGCGGCGGCGCCGCCTCGTTCAGGCGTGGTCACGATCGGCGCCGTCCCATGGGTCGTTAACTACAATGTGCCGCTTGTTGGCGTGGAGCCCGGGCAAGGTAGGGTGCTGCGGAAGCCGCAAACGAACACTCCTGGCTCCTGGATGGTCCCATGCATTAGCAAATGCGGAATTGAGGCTCGCGACGTGCGGTTGCGTGGCAATGGAGGAAGCCGTGAGTTAGAAGCCTGGGAGCCATTATGAGCGGGGAGCTGTGTTAGGAGGACATTCAACATAGCTGCAGTACCGCACTGTGTCGGTGACCAGTGTAGGAGTTGTTGCCTGGTGAGGTGGCTGACCTTCGTCTCACCGCCGGCGGGCCCAGAGCTTCTTAGCTGCTCCATGCCTTCCGCGCCGCCCGCCATGTAATATGGTTTCACCTCCTGCGCTCTGCTGCCCCGGCCCCCCCGTGCAGCTCGTCAGCTGGCGAGGGCCCTATCAGAGCGGGGCGGCGGGCTCCCCCATGTGCAGGTGAGGGGGCCGGGGTGGAGAGGCTGCCGTCTGGTGGGGAATTTTCCAGAGGAACCCAAACCATTCCTGGGACACAGGGCGCTGCATCGCCCCGCACCTCCCCGCTGCTGTAGTAGCTGCAGTCGCCTACACCGTTCCAAGTGCTAACACCCATTACTAATCAATCCAGCCTAAAACCGCACCCCCAAAATTCCCCCAAGCTCCTAACCCCAAGCCTGCCCCACCTCCCCTGTCCCGCCCCCCGAAGGCCATGGCCCTGCTGCATGCCGACGGCTGTGTGGAGGTCGCATGCAACCTGCTCGACGCCGCCGTCACGCCGCCGGAGGTGCTGCAGCGACGACTGGCGGAGCTGGCGGCGGCGGCGGGGCTGCCGGCGGCGGCAGTACGGCGGGGCTACTGTACGAACAAGAGCCCGGAGGAGCTGCTGCGGATAGCTGCGGAAGCGGCGGCGGCGGCGGAAGGTGCAATCTGAGAGGTTGCTGAGCGGGAGTGAGCCCTAGCGCGGCGGGCGTCGTGGGGCGTCATGAGGAGGGGCGGTGTGGCCATCGCAGGGCTCCCTTCTTAGGGTGTGTGCGGTAACTCCGCCGCGTGCGCTCATGTGACATGAGTCATGTGACACGTTTGGACCGATGGCTAAGTGAGGCCGATGCGACCTGGGCAGGGAAGCTGTGACCTGGACCGCTGCCGGTGCCAGCATCGGCATGGGTAAGCGCCTAAGCGGGGGGATGCATGTGCGCATGGCAGCAAGAGCTGTGCGGCTTGGGTGGCACGGACCAGCCAGCGGAGCGGTTTAAACGAGGCACTAGGGTGGATGGATGGAGGAGCTGCGTCTACGACAACGGGCTGGCAGTGATTGTTGCGTTGGTTGCAAGGCCCGGGGCTGTGAATGGAAGGGGGTTTGGCGGCTCTGGGTGGCAATGCCAGGTTACTGCTTAGCTATCTTTCATGAGAGACAAAGGGTACGAATGAGAGGTAACGGGTGCGACCGGTAGTGGACGCAGGGCTCCAGGGCGCCGTTTCGCCGTGAACGGAATATCCGCTGTTGCCGAATCAGTTAAGATGCTCGTCCAGCTGTTGGTTTTCATCCGCGTGCGTTCGTACTAATTGGCCTGACGTACAATGACTTCGGGCCGCAATGCGCTAGACACGCGCCTGTGACTCATCAAGACTGCTCTCGAATGAAGAGTCATCTTCAGCTTGTGACTAGAAGCCAAACGGCCGAGCAATACAGCGCTCTGGCGTGTAGTAGAATTCGGTTAGAATAGACAACCCATCAAGTCCTACAAAACAATTGCACCTCCTTTTCTGTCTCGTTGACTAGAGCAGCCTGACACCTAATGCTAAAAACATTATTCGGTGACCGGGCTCGAGCCGCTAAGGCGGAGGAAGCCAAAGCGGCTAAACAGCAACAGCAACAACTTGATGAACCCAGCGGTGATGGCGGCCGCGCAGATGCTCCTCGTGACACCGCAGCTCAACACGACCAACAAGAAGCAGCTGCTGCCTCAAGCTCGGCTCCAAGGCCGGCGGGAGCTGGCGGCTTGTTGCTGAGCCTGCCTGGGCCGGTGCGTGCGAGGGATGCCTTGGTTGCTGCTAAAGGGATCCGCAGGGGCTGCTGCTGTGTCAGCCCGTACTTGATCGCTTTGCGTCGCGGCGAAGGAAAATGACAATGTTGGCTTCTCTGCTGATATATATCCAGATAGTATGAGTAAGACTCTCCTGTTGTGTACTTGTAATGTGACATGAAACTGCCTAAGCATCGGTTGCTTAGCATCAATACTGCTATTGCCGGTGCAGCTGCTCGCCTTGCACACAAAGCTCCCAAAGCTGAAGGCAACATCACCCAATATTTTAGCTCGTCAGTAACTTATGTAATTACTGCTACCTCCTGCACCCTACTTGCACGTGCGTGCAGGTGGAGTTGCGTGAGGTCAGCGGCAATCTCGACCGCTCCCTGTCCCGTGGAGCCATGAAGATCTACGCGGCAGCGCCCGGGCCCGCATCCAAGGACGGAGATGTCCCCGCTGTGGGAGTGCTGCGAGTGGGCTCCACGGATGTGGGATTCGGGCACAACCGCTCGAACACGGGCGGGAGCGGGAGCGCATACCCGGTGGGTCTTCCACTGGTAGTGACCCGTGGGTCAGTCGTGGGACGGAATGCTCCATGGGCGCCCGGGACGGCGGGGAGGGCTGGGTTGGATGCTGGTTATAAATACCGGTATGCCGTTCTGCGGGGCAGAGTTTGGGTATATGGCTGTGGCTGTGGGTTCAGACGGCCTGCAACCCTCCCAGGGAGCAGGCGGACAGCCCCTCGTGGGGCAGGTGGTAGGGGCGGCCAGTCGGACACGATGGTTTGGCGCTGAGCAAACCAGCTGCCGGATGTCCTCTTGCGCTTGAGACGCTCTTTCGACGGTCCCCTCTGGTAACGCTCCTCCTCCTCCCTCTCTCCTCCCTTCCCTCCTAGGGCCCCCTCTACCAGCGAGTAGACGCACGCACCTTCCACCTCACCGCCTCCTCCACCTCCTCCGCCTCCTCGCCCCCCTCCCGCCTGCTGCTGCTGTTCCCCATGTCTGTCCCCGAGTACGACCTAGCCCGTACGGAGGCCGTACTGGCGGATCTGGCAGTGGGGCGGGGCGGCATGCAAGCAGCGGAGCCGGCAGGTGTGGGTCGGTGGGTCGGTGGGTGCACACGTGGGGTGTATTGCCGCCGACACACACGCAAACACCTCCTCCCTGCCTCCATGCTTCCCTTGCTGCTGATACTGCTTTCCAGCATGTGCCGCATGCCTGACACAGCTACCCCTCGCCGCAACCCTCCCTGCTGCCCCACCCCACCCTGTTCTGCTACCCCAGGCGCCGCCGGCTACCCTTCTCTCTCCCCCCGCGGCCGCCACACCGCCGCCGCCTCCCCCGCCCCCCACCCCTCCTCCTCCTCCTCCGCCCGCAGCAGCTCCCAGGCGGTGTTGTTCCACGACTCCGACCCCGCCCGCTCGCTCGGCTGGAAGAACTCCCAACCCGTGAGGCTCACACACCTGGAGCGACTGCCGCCGCAGCGGCTGCAGCAGCCACAGCAGCAGCCACAGCAGCAGCAGGGGCAGCAGCAGAGGGGACTCATGGCGTTGGATGGAGTGAATGGTCAGCCCGCAGCGGATGGAAGCAGTGGCGGTGGAGGCGGGGGCGGAGGTGGTGCTCGCGGGCTGCTGGTGGGGCCGCAGGGCGGGGCGGTCCTGATGGGCAGTCCTGGGGGCACTCGGAGCGGGCGGCTGGGGGGGCTGGGGCTGGGCGGGGTGTGGGGAAGTGTGGCGGTGGCTAACCTGGCGTATGAGAAGGTGGGGGCTGGGGGGGGGAGACTGGGTGGAGTGGGGGGAACTGGGGGGAACTGGGAGGATTTGGGACTGGAGAGGTGGTTCGCTGATGGCTCTGGCGGCACGGGGTTTGTGTCATGTTGAAGGGTATTCATTCATGCCCTGCGCTGACCCTGCCTCCCTACCGCCCCCTGGCCCCCCTCCCCTGTCCCTGCGCTCATCACTGCATGAGTCGGGACGTGGGATTGGAATCCTGGTTGCTTCACTTGTGTCACTCATTGGTTCCTCCCCTGCCCCCTGCCCCCTGCCCCCCCCGCGCTAGGATGTGCGGGTGCGCTATACGCTGGACGGCTGGAAGTCGGCCGGAGAGGTGCGGAGGAGTGTGTGGATGGCCGTTGCAGCGACGGAAGCAGCTGATGGAGGGAGGGAGGGAGGGAGGGAGGCCCCTGTTGCCGCGATTCGGGGACACATGCCACCCTCTTTCCGTCTTCCCCTCCCTCCCCCTCCCTCACCACACCCAGCTTGCCGTCCTGTTTGCCACCCTCATTCAACCCATTGGGTAATCTTCTTGTCACCCAAACATCCCCCCCTACCCCGCCTCCGGACGCGCTGGCGGCTTCCATGCTACATCCCAGCTGGTGAAGCCTACATGTCTTACGGTTCGTTCCTTTCCTCCTCTCACCCTCCTACTTTATTTCACCCCACCCACCGCTCTCCAGGTTTCCGCGAACTGGGACAAGCGCCTGGGTCTGGGCGCAGACAACTTCAACTTCTGTATCGACCTGGACGCGGCGGCCGCCACCCACGGTGTGGCGCTGCGCACCACCCTGGCTGCGGGCACCCATGTGACCCTGGGTCTGGCGGTGCATTACGTGGCGGGCCGGGGCGGGGCGGGGGGGCAGCACTGGGACAACAACGAGGGGGCCAACTACACGTTTGACCTGCCGTGCGAGTGAGGGAGAGAAGGGAAGGGAGGGAAGGGAAGGGAGGGAAGAAATAAGGAAAAGGGATGGAGGGAGGGGGCCAGGCAGGCAGGGGAAAAGCAGGCAGACGTTGAGTTGTGCTGAGAGGTATACGGTGGAGGAGGAAAAGGGTGGAGGCGGGGAGTGGGGGCTTGCGGCTGATGGGAGCGAGGGGTGCTTTGTAGTGAAACTAATAATAGTGCTAGTTGTGCGCTAGGCGACCGGGTGCGTGGTGACACTCGTGATGTGTTGTGGATTAGTCTCTCTGTGGTAGGGTGGCGGCGGTGGGTGGCAACGTGTGGGCGCTCACGGCCATGTATTGGGGCGGTTGGGGGTGGGTGGGGGGGTTACGACGAGGCACCCCGTGGCCGGAGGTGGCCGGCAAGGAGCGGAAAAGTGGTGTTGGTGTAGATAGGAAACTGACGAGCTTACAACGAGGATGGTAGTGGGGGGAGGGTGCTGTGGCTGCGGCTGCACCTTACCAGGTGAGATTGAAGTGTTGGGTTGCGTTGCGGTATGTTGGGGGGCGGTGGTGGGTGGGAGGGCTGCCGGGGTGTTGGTGGCAACAGCAGCAGACGAGGAGGGTGGGACTCCGGGACACCCTGGCTGTTGTGTAACATGTAAGATGTGAACTCATCTGCCCCTCTTCATGTGGTCGTACCTTCTTGTGCTGACGACGAAGCATGTGTGGTCAGGATGGAGGATGCGGGCAGCTGAGCCGAGCTAAGGAGTGAGCAGTCCCCAGCAGACCCCAGCAGAGCCTCGCAGCCTGTACAACATACCGGATACAGCATCGTACCCGCTTTACAACACCGGCTACATTGCAAGTAACCAATCAAAAGCAGCAGGTCGTGCCAGTTACACAGGGCAACCGGCCCACAGCTCGTCAAACATGCGTACCAACCCTTTGGCCCACACCGTCCTCACCCACCGAGGAAGCAGCAGCAGCCCAGCCCCGCACCCCCGCACGTCCCCCTTCGCGCCACGCAGCGACAGGCTCCCCCAGCCTTTCTAAAGTAAGGAGCACAAAGAGGATCCAAGCGGGCTGCAGCAGCTCCCAAGCAAGTCACTGTCCCAGCGCTTGCCTTCCCTAACATGCAAAAAGAAAGGAACGCCCATGTGCTCCCCCCCAGCGCCCGTATCGAAAGACGCACCCATGCTGGCCCACCAACCCCACCGACCGTCCGCCATGTGCCTCCCTCCCTCCCACCATCCACCCAACCTCCCTCAGCAGCAACACACTACAACATCTGCACCAACCCGAACAACAACACCCCCATCACAGCGGTCGAAGCACCTTCCCTCCCTGCTATAGCTTGCCACATACTCCCATGCGCCGTCCCTTCCCTTCGCTTCTTCACCGCCGCCAGCCGAACAGCGACGACAGCACCGACTTCTTCTCCGCCTTGCGCACCCTGTGCTCCAGGGAGGGGTACGACAGGCAGTTGCTGGCCGTATCCAACATGATGGGACGAATGGGTATGGCTCCGAAACCGTACGGTGCCTTGTACAGCCGCGGCGGCGCCTTGGCACCTGCCGTACCGCTGCCGCCTGCTGCGGCTGCTGCTGCCGCCCCTCCCGCGAAGCTCTCCCAGCGGTCCAGTGCGTCCAGGAGGTACTGTGTTTGCTGTGAGGGGGGCTGGGGGGGCTGCTGCGTGTCGGTTGGCTGCAGGGAGAGGGCGCCCACCCCCGCCTGAAGCTCCTCCCGCGCACGCTGGTCGGCAGCGGAGAGCTCCGCCTGGGCCACCGCCCTGGGGGAGGGGAGGGGAGGAGGAGGGGAGGAGGAGGGGAGGAGGAGGGGACGGAGGGAGGGAAGATGAAGGAGAGAAGAGGGGGTGAACAGGAGGCCAAAAGTAAGGAGGTCCGAGCCGCCCTTGTGCATGGCGCCGCATACCCAACCCAACCCGACCCGACCCCACCTCCACCGCCCCAACCTTTCCACCCCTTGACAGCTCACACACCGGCCACCCCAACCCACTCCTCCCTCCCCGGCCCCCTCCCCCCCACTCACTTGTACGCCTCCGCTAGCCCGCCCAGCTCCCTCATCTCCCGCACCAGCGCCTCCCGCACCCCCCCGCCCAGCACCGCCGCCACACCCGCCTCCTCCGCACTGCCCCCGCCTCCACCTGCCCCTGCCGCCGCAGGTAGCGCCTGCAGCTGCTCCGCTGCCGCCGCCGCCCGCTCCTGCGCCCGGTGCAGCAGCGCCCAGGCCTCCAGGGCGCGGGTGCTGTGTGCGGCGGAGGCGGAGGAGGTGGAGGCGGGGTCTGAGGGGTTGGTGGCGGGGGTGGAGGCGGGTGCGAGGGCGGCCAGCAGCACGTGCGCCACGTGGTAGGTGCGCTGGGCCCGGGCGGCGGCAGCCTGCAGGGGGGGAGAGAGGGGGGAGGAGAGGGGTTGGAAGGCCGGGAGGAGGCGACTCGACGATGTCAGGAATTGCAAGGAAGTCTTAACGTGGGAGCTGCGTCGTCCTACACGCCCGAACACTTCTTCTCGGCCTCTTCACCTTCCTGCCATCTATCCCTTCAGTCTCTAACCCCCTCTCCTCCCCCTCCTCACCCTTGCCGCCGCCGCCTCGTGCAGCGCCTCCCCCTGCCTGCCCCCCATGCGCGCCCCCAGCTCGCCCAGCTCCTCCAGCTGCCGACCCAGCTGGTCCAGCAGCCGCAGCACCTCCTCGGGCCGGGCGTGGCGCTCCTTGTCCTGCAGGGGGGGAGAGGGGGGCAGGTGGGGTGGTGATGGTGTTCAGGTGAGCAGCGAGAGGGGGGATACACCCGACCATCACAGTACGTTCCTTCTTAAACCCCTCCCGCTCCCCTTGATTGAAACCCACCTTGATTTTCTTCCCCAGCGCCAGTCTCTGCAGCCCCGCCGCGAACCTCCCCGCCGTGTGCGCCAGCAGCAGCTGCGTGCGCTCCACCGCCCGGACCAGCCGCTGCCCCTCCACCGCGCCCTCCAGACCCTCCAGCTCGCGGTAGTGGGACTCCGCGTCGGGACCTGGGGGGGAGGGGGGGAGGGGGCGGGGAGGCAGGGTGGTAAGGCAGGGTGGGGCATCATAGGGTGTTAGGGGCGGGTAGTGCTGCTCCGCCATCGCACACCTCTCTGCTGTATGCGCACGGGGAGGCGCGTACAGGGGGCCAGGGGGGGCCCTCCATGTCCCCATACCCCCGCCCGCCCCGTTTCCTCTTTCCCCCCCCCCCGCAACCTCGCGCCCCCACCACCTCCTGTATGCCGGCGCACAACGCAATGCAACGCGACCCCTAAAGGTCTCTCACCCCCATGCCCCCATGGTAGAAGTCTCGTCCAGTTTGTCAGTTTTCCTCATTTCTATCCCCATGCCTCCCCCCACGCCCCCCCCCAACCCCCCTCCCCCTGCCTCACCCGACAGTCCCTTGGCCGCATTGCGCACGTGGCTCCTCGCCTCCGCCAGCGCGTTGATCGCCTTGTCGTACAGCGCCAACCGGGCGTCCAGCGCGTCAGACGAACCCGCGCCCGCCCCGCCTGCAGCTGCAGCTGCTGTGTCGCCCTCGTTCATCATCTGTAAGGGGTGTGGCGGCGTAGGTGGGGTAGTTGGGTTGGAGTATGGGCAATGTGGCACGGCATGGCATGGCATGGCATGAGTGCAGGTGTTCCGAGAGGCGGGGAGCACTTGACAACACAAGTTACTGCTCCTCCGCACACCCGCCTTCCCTCCGCAGCCCCGCAGTCCTCACCCACACACACACACACACACACGTTTCGCCTCGCGGCCAGTTCTTTTAACACACACACACACGCCGCCCTACTCGCAGCCAGTTTTATTACCACACCGCTCCCTCTCACCCCCGGGGCATGGGCTTAGGATTCCAGTGCTTCACTCTAATTTCGCACCCCCCGGTCTCCCACCCCCTCCCCCTGCTTCACTCTATCCCCATTGTTTCGCCCTAACCCGTGGTTCTGGTACACCTCTGACCCCCTCCCCACCCCTTTCCCCCCACCTGCTCCGCCTGCTGCGTGTACTCCGCCGCCTGGTGCAGCGCCAGCTTCACGCGCTCGTGGCGCACCGGGTGCCGCACGCCCAGCCACTCCAGGGAGGAGGCGGAGGCGGAGGCGGCCAGCTGGGCCTCGGCGGCCAGGGCGGCTAGCTTGGACTGGGGGGAGGGAGGAGGGGGAGGGAGGAGGGGGAGGGAGGAGGGGGAGGGAGGAGGGGGAGGGAGGAGGGGGAGGGAGGGCAGGTTTTGAGGGGCGCAAGTGGGTAACACCGTGCCTTGCATACAGCAAGTCAGGCCAACCTGCAGGGGGCGCACATGTAGGCTGCCATCCTTGCACCCATTGCCGCTCCCCTCTAGTAATCCCTCCCTGTCATGCCCCCCCTGCCACACGGATAGCCTGCCATGTCTTTACCCACCAGCCGTTCCTCGTCCCTCCCTCCCTCCCTCCCTCCTCTCAGTTAGTTGTTTCCTCTTCACCCTCCCCTCCCCCCACCTGCAGCAGCTCCAGCCCCGCCCCCCCTCCCGCCGCCCCGCCCGCCTCCGCCAGCGCCAGCAGCTCCTGCGGGTCCGCCGGCACCGCCCCACCCGCCCGGCTGATGCGGTAGGTGCAGTAGCGGATGTTGGGCTCCATCTCCTCCACCTGCGCCAGACACAGCGACTGACCCTCCAGCTCGCCGCACGCCTTGGCCAGCTCCTGCCACAGCTTCCTGGGGAGGGGGGGGGGGCGGGAGGGAGGGAGGGGTGCGATGAAGGAAAGAGAGGAGCCGGAGAATGGGTGGAATGGATAGCCATATGCACGTGCATGCCGTTAGGCGGCGCACAAGCTGTGGCTCGCTCCCTGTTGTTTATAGCCCCTTTTCCACCCACCCCATTCCACACACACCCCCTGGTCCCCCTCTCCCCCCCCTGCTCCTCACTTTGCCCTGGAGAACTTTGCCAGCGCCACCTCCCAGTCGCTCTCCCGCTCCAGCAGCAGGCAGCCGCCCAGCCAGGCGCAGTAGGCCTCCGCCTCCAGGCTGCCGCGGGTGTCGGAGCGGGCAGCGGCCAGCCGCACCAGCTCAGACGACCACTGCACGGCCTGCGGAGGGGGGGGCGGGGGGAGGGGGAGGTGGCGGGGAGTGATGTTGGTGCTGCGTAGGGTAGCGTGTTCTCAGCCGCCCCTTCGCTCTCCCCTCCCCGTTGGCCTCCCCATGCGAGGCCACGCACTTCGACCCTGCCACAGCCACCGCCCCTGCCTCCCCTCAAAGCATCATGAGGACTGGCAACCATGGCGCAACACATGGGTGGAGCCGTGTCACACGGTTACCAGTTAGTCCTTTCCTCTGTACCCCCTCCCCCTTCCTCCCCTCGCGCACTTTTGCCAGCCTGCCGATGAGGTGGTGCCGCTTGCGCGGGTCCACCCGGCCCGCCTCGCCGCGCGCCTCCGCCTCCCGCTTGAGCTCCATGGCGTAGGCCCAGGCGCGCTCGGCGCTGAAGAGGGTAACGTAGAGGTGCCTGTGCGGGGACATGAAGGATGGGATGTAGAGGGAGGGGAAAGGAGCGGAGGACCGAGCGTGGACGAGGGTATTACTGGGTGGACACCCCAAGCTCCGTGCGTCTAGTGCGTCTCTGCCAAGGTAGGGGAAGCCTAGAAGAAAAGGCGTGGAAGGTAGCCAAGCCCGCACCTGACGTCGGTGACATTGTGGACGTCCAGTTTACGCTTCTGGTATTTCGTGCGACCATGCTGCATTTTCAGCACCTTGTACAGAGACTGGAGACGCGAAGCGCAGTGTTTCCTGTGCGAGGCACATTGATCGGCATTAAGGGAAGGCCCAAGCTGAAAGACTTTAGCTTTGATCAGCACCTGTAACGCATATAGTCTCCGTGCCGAAGTCCATTTTCTGCTTGGGCTGTTTTAATGGTGCTAAGGAGGTTAAGGGGCAGTGGGCTCAATTGGACAGGCGCCGGCGCTGCCTCCTCCACAGCTTCTTGGGTGAGATCAACCTCCATGACATCCGGCTGGTCGTCGGCCATCGCGTCTAAGGCTTCTCACCCTTGAGGGTGTGGCTGCAAGTTTGCAACTATCGATCAGATGCTGTTTACTAGTGCTTGCAGCACCCCTAACACTGTCTAGAGTACTTGATCAACGGTAATAATTTCTTGGTATAGTTGTTGTTTGCGGGAAATGCTTCGGTGTAGCAATATCCACTGCAAGTTAGGGTCTGCCTGTGCGCACGCTTGCGCAGCAACGAAACAGTTCCCTCTTGCGCAGTTCACTAACGAAATGTTTGCGCTTGCCTACGTAGACCTACGTGCTCGGACCATGCCGTACGCCTTCAGGCCCCTAACCGTGGCACACCCCTCTCCAGCCCTTCAGAGCACCCGCATGTGATACTCCCATGTCGCTGCATACTGTGCATTATCCCTATGGCCAGTCCGCGGGTAACACGCTTGTTTACACTACTTAGGAAGCGGATGTTACACTGTTACGCAGTTAACTGTCCTCGCCCCCAACGTTGTTCTCCACAGTGCACACGCCCCACACACCCTGGAGCGTTGACCCATGCAGCGCCACATCGCACGTGCCTTGGCTTCATATCCGCGTTGCTCACCCCCGGGCGGCGCAGCAGCACCGTACAGACGCGTGCGGACAGCAGGCGGCACGCACTCGTACGGCGCTCATCTGCTCAGCGCGTGATGTGGCCCGGGGCAGGATTCCGGAACTGCCGGCGCATGCCTCAGGGCGCTGGCTGGTGGGTACAGGTGAGTACCGGTACGGTAACTGCCCGGCAAGTGCCCCACGCGTGCACCGGGGCGGAGGGGCCGTTACAAGCCACGTACCAGCCGCAAGCTCCGCAAGGAGGGAAGCATCCCCCAACCCGCAACCCAACCTCGCAAGCACCTTTGCTCCACCTCTGCCGCCTCCTGCACTAACCCGCACATCCCAGCCACTCCTTTCCCTCACCGCCCCTCTCCCTCCTCCTCTTCCTCCTCCTCCTCTTCCACATCGTCCTCCTCTTCCTCTTCCTCCACCCGACCACCCTTCTTCTCCCCTGCCGCCCCCCCCTTCCCTGCCCCCCCCTCCCCCCGCTCCTGTATGCTGCTGCCCTCCATGTCGGCCCGAAGCCGCTCCATCTCCCGCCGCTGCCGCGCCTCCTCCTGCGCCGCCTTGTCCGCCCGCCGCCGCTCCAGCTCGGGCACATAGAACTGCTGGTACTCCTGGGCGCACTCGGACACTTGCTGCGGGGGGGGGGGAGGGGGAGGGGGAGGGACAAGGGGGGGAGGGTGAACTAGGAAAACTGAGCCGCGAGGGACAGGCACAGGGGGGTCAGCGTTGGGGGAGGGAGAGGTGGGGGTGAAGGCAGGCAGGCGAAGCGCCCGAGTCCCAGTGCCTGCGGCTGGAAGACGGGGAGGAGGGCGAGGGCAAGCGGAAAGAGAGGCGGTGTGCTACTACCTACCTACCTACATGCACTATTCACAGCCGCGCCTCGTCCCATTACCAGAGCGTCCTTTCCAGCTCACCTTCCTATCCCCTTCCTCCACCCCTGCCCCCTTCCTCCACCCCTTCCCCTCCCCTACCTTCAACATGTCGTCGAACCCCTCCCCCGTCACCGCCGACACCCCCGCGTTGCGCAGGTTGGTGTAGAACGAGTCCAGCACCAGTGCCAGCGAGCGGGACAGCGTGGCGGCGTAGGAGGAGTCGGCCTCCAGGGCGGCGGAGTAGGCGTCGAAGTCGGCCATCCAGTCGAGCGCAAAGTCGTGCCGCGCCACATCCACCTTGTTGAAGAGCTGGAGGGAGGGGGAGGCGGAGGGGGAGAGGGGGAGGGAGGAGGGAAGGTGTGGCATGTGGGGGATTAGAGGAGGGACGGGTGTGTCAGGGGGTGGGTGCGAGTGACGTGGAGTGGTGTGCCTTGGCAGCGGTGGCAGGACGCCCCCCCCCTGCACTGCACTCCTGCAAACACACAACACTCAGAGCAACAACAACGATAACAGCAGCAACAATAGGGGACCCAGGTACCACCCACATACCCGCCCTTACACCCGCCCCACCCCCACTCCTCCCGCCCCCCCCTACGCCCCCCTTTACCAGCAGCATGGGCAGCTTGGTCTTGTAGAGTATGGAGCAGGCCTGCAGCATGTTGGACATGAAGGTCTGCGGGTTGGCCACCCGCGGGGTGTCCACCACGTAGGCCACCAGCGTGGGGAAGGAGGAGGCGAACAGCTCCGTCACGATGGCGCCGCTGGCGGACCAGGTGAAGATCTCGATCTGAGGGGTGGGGAGGGGTGGGGGGGGGAGGGGGGACACGAATAAGTGCAGCAACTGGAGACCTGATTGGGGATGACGAGGAGGGAGGGGGGAGCATTACTACCCCATCAAGCTACCACCATCTCCCCCAGCCCCCCACCTGCCCCCCTTCCATGCCCGAGTGCACTGCGGTACGCTGTACGGCACAGTAACCCGCACGCGGCTCCCCCCCTTCCTTCCCTCCCCCCACCTGTCCGGGGGTGTCCACAATGATGTACTCCAGGGGCGGGTCGCGGGGCTTTTCACACAGCTGGATAACCTGGGGGGGTGGGGGTGCGGGGGGTGGGGGGTGCGGGTGGAGGGACGACGTGCATGCACGTGAGGTGTGGAGGCAAAGGAAGGGAGCAGGGAGGAGGGAGGGCGGGGGCAGCGGTGCGGGGCTGAGGGCGGGCAGGGCAGTAGCGGGCATGTGTCTCGGGTGGCGGGGGCAGGAGTTGCGGGAGTCCTCCGGGCATATCTGTGGCCCAAGACCGCCCCAGCATCCCTGGCATCCATCCAACTTCGCCGATGCTTCCAAACAGGTTTCGGTTCGTCCTCCTCCTCCTAACGCCTCCCACCACAGCCCCACCTTGCCCGTCATCCCTCCCTCACATCCCTCCCACCTCCCACCCCACCCCCACCTGATCGAACCGCGTTGCGAAGAGGTTGCAGGAGGTGAGGATGCCGCCGTTGGGCCCCAGGTTGTACTGCTTCATCACGTTCTTGTACTTGACCTGCACAGCGGCAGCAGCAGCAGCACAGCAGGACAGCAGGAGGAGGGGGGCCGGGTCAGTCAGGACCAGCCGCCCCCCCGCGACTCCAACCTCCCTTCGTCCCTCTGCCCCCTTACCGTTTCGAACCCCCATGCTCCTAACCCGCATCCAGGGTTCTATCCCCAACCGCACATGTAGGGAGTACCCACTTCATTTCCACCAACCCCTTCACCCTCTCGCCTCCATCTCTATTCCCCCCCACCCATTGGATATTATTCTTCCCCAACCCATTATCCTGCCCTAATTCATGGACTCCTATGGTTTGGCCTATTTCTAGTTTTTGAACCTCCCCCCACCGTGTCACGGATGTCAATGTTGGCTCCGTACGGCAGCGAGGCCACCGCTGGATCCAGATTCACGATGTAGCCCTGCCGCCCGCCCGCGTGCAGGTGCGCGTTCAGGCGCTGGATGACAGTGGTCTTGCCCGAGCCGGCCATGCCTTTCAGGGGGGAAGGGGAGGGGGGGGGGGTAAGGAGGAAGGACGCATGCAACCGTGCGACGGGGGGTTCCACCATGGGTCGCATCATGGGTGGGGATGGTGGAGGCGCATGTGGGGTGGAGTAGGAGGGGTGGGGGGGGTGGATGCGTAAGGAAGAGGAGTTAGGGCTGATGAGGATGGGGGTGCGGAGGATTGAGTACTGGGCCGAAACTTCGGGAAGAGTTGGTGTAGGAGGGTTGGAGGAAGTGTTCAGGCATCGTGCGATTTGCGTTGAGCACAGGCACACACGTGTTACAGTGGCTTCGTCGCTGGTACGGGGCTTTGCCCACAGCGCCCTTACAGGAGCTTACAGGTCGCGCTAATAGCAGCTGGTTTCGTTTCGTGCACAGGAAGCGGCGCCGTACGGACGATGATAGCAGCTTCCCGTGCCGATAACGCCCAACAAGCGGCCCAATTGGACAAGACAGGATGGGACGAGAATATAGCTGCTCGGAGACGCGTAAAGCCATCCATGGGATGGGGTCGGCGTGTGTTACGGTCTACGGGTCGGTTGTGCCGAGCTCTTTTATGCCGGCGACTTACCGATGACCAGGATTACAGTAGGTTTCGGTGCATGACTCTGTCCGCTTGTACTGGGCCCAGCGCCCGCATCCGCGCTGGCTTCTCCAGACTGCATCCTAATTACAAAGTCGGCCCCCGTGAAAGGAGTAGGAGGTCTGTGCGCGCGTGTTCGCTATCCCAGATTCTCGGTAATGCGTTTTGATCTAGGTTATGTAGGACAGGATTAGTAGTGTTCAGTGCAATAGCGCGGATTTGGTGTTGTGTGTAACCAACAACGAAACTGCTTTGCTAGAAATGCAGGAACTTACTAGATGCAATTGTAAATTAAAGCCAAAGCCTTAGTAGCGTTCGCCGTGTCCTTGCAATTGGGAAGTATACGGCAATGGAGCAGCAGTGAGGGATGTAACGAAGCCGCACAGCGTGTGTGCACGTTGCGGTCATTCATTACTTTTTGTCTTGTCTTACTAGTGTAGGACAGGCACAAAGCGGCTTAAGTCCGCTCACCTCCACACCGACTTTGTGAGCGGGCGAAAGGAGCCTTTTCCAAACATGACGTGGCCGGAGCCCCCGAACTACTACGAGGCCCCTAAGCATGGCTTCAAGGTCACGCTAGAGAACCCCACCTACCCAATTATCAACCCGGACCCCAGCATCAGCGACGCGAGTACGTGTTCGGACAATGCTTTTCCGTTAGCGATACGCTCTATGAATTAGGAATCAGAAGTATGGTAGCTTTCCTGCTGACATGAGCTTCGGGCTGTTTGCGCAGTCACGAACATGCGCCGTGAGAACTGGTCCATGGTAGCTGGTCTGGCGTCTCTGGGCTATGTAGCTGGATACTACTTTGGTAAGCCTAGGCGCAAGGAAGCAGGATGGCGACCTGACGCTAAGAGCCAATTTTCCTTCTCGTTGGCAGGGGCGAAGGTGTACTGGGCTAGGCCTACTGCCCTCTTCACCTCCATTTTCCTTGGCAAGACCGGCCTGCTGTGGGGCATGTCGGACAGCGCTCGTAAGTGCCGCAGTTCACTGCATGGGATGGACCTGCGCAGAGAACTAACGCCCGCCCGCATCTCTATTGCAGACCGCCTGATGGGCTTCAAGGAGAACGGCAAGGAGGTCTCGGCCAACATGCCCCAAGTACAGCGGGAGGCGTACTAAGCGGGAGCCTGCTTGGAAGCGCCCCGAGAGTTGTATGGATGCGAGGGAACAGCTACAATGGCTAGGGGGAAGCGGCTGGGTCTGTACGCCACAACGCCTGGTTGTACAGGGAGTCGCGCGGGTCGAGGAAAATGGGAAAATTAGATGTCAGCGTGGGTTGGGTAGGAAATGGTGGTTATGCGCACGGTGAGAGATGAATGGCGGTATAATCATGGTTCAAAAGGATGTTTGTAACTTGTCCAAGGGTAAGCTATGCCCTGGTGCATGGCCGTGCCTGGACGTGTTTGTGTTTGCTTAGCAGGTCTGTATGGCAGAAGCAGGACATGAGACAAGCAAGCCCTTGCACAGTTGTAATCGACTAACGGTGTGTGGGAATACAGAATAATTTTTGAGCTTGCCCCCCATATCGGCCTGGCTACCCCTGCACGTGAAAGGCACGCAGTACGTAGACCTGAGGCTATATTTGCAACCCCTACCATACATGAAGCTGCGCCGTACAACCAAAAGCACTACTGCCCCTGTCCAAAGCCCGCCAAGCTAACCAGCTATACTCCAAAGCCGACATACATGGGCCCACACACGTGCCACATGGCGACACCGCGAAGCCCAACCATGTAGTTCGCAACTAAACATATGTTTTCTGATCTAACCCCATCCCTCGGTAACATTATGCATCCGGTGTACAGTCTGATCGAGCGCATCGCAGCAACTCTTCCATGTGGCAATGCCTGTGCGGCCCGCAATTCCTGGTAATTGTCGAACTTATCGTGCTATCTACGCAACCTCTGCGCTACAAGCACCTCACGCCCACACTCTCACGCGGCTGGCCCAAACACATGCCGTCCATACACTTCCACACATCACAGCTAGGAAGCCACACTTCCTTTGTAGCACTTCAGCGTAGTGTGCCGGTGTGGGCTATTCGCTAAGCAGGGGAAAGGGACAATGCGTGTTGCCCACGCCTTGCTAGAAACTGAACACTCCCACAGACCCGGCCAATCAGCGCTATGCCGGGGAAGAGATGCATGCAAGTACGATGTGCGCAAGGTCATTGTATTTGGGGAACTGGGTTTATACCTAGATGACACATGCACTTTATTCGTATCAGGCGGATAAGCCCCTCTATGTGAAACCCTAGCGTCGCCCGTGATAAGGAGTCCCAGGCGCCGCTACACGACCTACACCTACACCAACACCCAACGAGGCACACCGGGGTATCCATTGGCTACTGATGCAGCTACCGTACACTTACCAACCAACCAACCGCAGCCCCACCCTGCCCTAGGCCAACGAGCGCATCTCACACTGCCCTCGCAGGCCTGGGACATCTACGACCCATCCAGCCTAATGTACAATCCAAGCGGGCACCCGCATGCAATGCATCGCTCAGACTTCCAGGGCGCTCCCTCCTATGTCTGCCACCCGCCATCCATGCCACTCCCAGCTCTCACCTCTTCACACCTGAAGTTGCCCACGACTCGACCCCGTGTTATACAAACCCGCGCCTCTGACCGACCGATCCCCACCCTTACTTGCGCCCGTATCTTTGCCGCCCCTCTTTGACGCTTGGGACCCGACCACCAGCCGCCCCCAAACAACGAAGGCGACCGCATGCTCCGACTCTGAACCGCACAAGTCACCCACCCCCACGCCGCAGCCCCTTCCCACGCACACTACCTAACACAAACACCCTAATGCCCTACCACCACGCACCCGCTTCCGCCGGCTCCCTGCCAACCCCCCAACACAACGACCCCCCTCCGTCCTCCGCCTGCACACCCTAGGCAGCCCGATGCCCAAGCGCTGCGACCGGTGAGGTGCCGCCAGCCGAACCACTGCCCGCTGGCCCTGCCACCGCCGCTGCTGTGATCGCCGCATCAGAGGGGAACGAGGTTCTGGTCGCGGCATGCGGCTCAGGGGGCAGCAGCACGCGTAGGTTGACATGGGAGGCGGAGTCGCGACGAGGCGGGAACGGCAGGGAGTCATGCAGCGGAGCCCCTATCAGTGCCGTGACGTCAGCTGCATCGGGCATCAGGTCTGGATCGCAGCCAGGTGCCGCGCCCCAAGGCCTTGTCTGCAGTGGCCATGCAGAGGAGGGACTGAGTGGAACGCGCAGGGACAGTGGGGTCTCCAGTGGCGCAAAAAGTGGCGGGGGTGGCGGAGGCGGGTTGGTCTCGCCGCCAGTCCTTGGCGTGCAGTACGGCGACGCTGTGATCCGACTGGGTGCCGGCATGGGAAGCAGCTTGCGGCCGATGACGGGTCGCAGCAGCGAAGGGTCGGGTTGCGGTGGCGGTGCTCCCGCGGAAGAGGAGGAGGTGGGCGGCACCGTAGCTATCGCAGCTGAGCTGTCACCACCACCGCCACCATCGGACCGAGTCGGACTTGGCCCCCCCGTTACGATACAAGGTATACGCAGCTCCGCCGTCGTTTCCGCCTTCGCCGTCTCTCCTGCCGGGGAGTGAGCCACAGCCGGTGCCGCGCGCGGGGAGTTCACGGCGCTCGCGCTGCCGCTGCGGTTGCCGCCGCCGCCGCCCAGCCGGCCTGATGACAGCGAGCTGGTGACGGGGGAGGCAGGGGAAGGAGATTGTGAGGCGCGACTGGCGGCACCTGCAGCGGAGCCAACCCTGGGGGAGTTGGCGGCGGGGGGCGCGAGGAGATCCCAGTTGCCGGGGGAGGCAGCTGCCAGGGCGTGGGGTGAGCAGGCGCTGGACACCGCCGCGGATGCATGCGGCGACGGTGAGGGGGAGACAGAGGCGAAGGCGGCAGAGTTGGGTAAGTCCGTTGGCGGCCAGTTTGAGAATGCGTACGGCGTGCCATGGGCGGACGTGGCGGGGCTGCCGGCTGGGGGAGTGGGTGGGTGCGTGGACCAGGAGCCCTCGGGTGAGATGGAGGTAGGCAATTGCTGCTGCTGGTGTTGCAGGTGGTGCCACTGCTGGCGCTGCCTGTTGTGTTGCTGCTGCTCCTGACGTGCTGCTCGCAAGTGCTCCCAAGCGCGAGCGACATCGTTGTTGACACCATCGTTGCTGGCGCCACCCCCTCCAAACTCCAGTGCCACTGCCGTAGAAGCAGCAGCAGCTGCTGCTGCTGCATAAGCGTTCGCAGCAACCGATCCCACACTGGTGCTCCGTACAGTTGCACGCCCCATGATAGCATGGTAGCCGCTGCCGCCACGAGCGACGCCCGACCCGTCACCATCGCTCACGTGTCGCTGGACCGCGCGGCCAGCCAGCGGCTGCTGGCTGCCTGCCGCCTGCTCCCCTTCGAGCTCGGATGCCATGGTCATGAGCGCAGCTGAGGAGCGACTGCCGCCCCATGCAGGCGAGGGCAGACCGGATCCAAACCTGAAGTTTGACCTGCTGGAGTTTGACCGGATGGATTCGGATGTGGGAGTTTGACCTGGAGTTTGCGCGGACGAGGGTTGCGGCGCTTGTGAAGCGGGGGAGGCATCGTCGTTGCCTCTTGAAGCAAGCGTGGAGGCCAGGGACTGTGGGCGCGGGGCTAGAATGGGTGAGGGCAGTACCTCCGGTAGCGGTAATGACAGCGGAGAGGGGTGGAGGGGTGAGGACAGCGGCGGGTAGCGCGGCGGCTGTGTGAACGTGGAGGGCAGCAGCGGCGGCGGGGGCCATAGGTCGGACTGGCGCGGGACCTCGAGCGCCTCCGAGGGAGGAGGCAGCAGCCATGGGGGTAGCGTGGTAGCGCCCTTGTCAGCTGCGGGCGGCTGGGGAAGCTGCATGGGACTAGGGCTGAGGAGTCCCCTCGTCCCGCTGTAAGAGCTCCGGGGCCGGCGCCCCGCCGCTGCAGCCTCGGCGGCTGCTGTGGCAGCAGCATCCGTCACAGCGCAGGGACCAATGCCGCCGTCAATGACACCAGAGCCTTCGCGGCCATAGCATGCAGTTCCGCTCCACCTAGTCGCCGCGACCGAAGCCACCACGTCGCGGGTGCCGAAACTGTAGCTGGCATGGCGCTGTTGCTGTTGCTGCTGCAGCCGCAGCGGCGACAGCGGGCCATCCTCCAGGCCGCTGCAGCTGCTGGCGGTGCCGGTGAGGCTCGCCACGGCCGCTGCCGGTGGCCCGGCATGCGGCTCATCAGCTGCGGCCATGCAGGAGGAAGAGGTGGCGGGCAGCAGCCTCGTCCATGACGTTAGGCTGCCTCGGGGCGGGGGCTGCGGGGCCTCCGCGCCGGTGCTGCTGCCGTCTAGGGAAACGTGTCGTGCAGACGAGCGGCGTGGCAACACTGTCGTAGTCGTCGTCATCGTCTGGTTTGGCGCTACCCATGTTGCTGCAGATGCTGCAGCAGCAGCACCCAGAATGGTTGTTCCCAACGCCGGGGCTGCTGTACCCGCTTCCTTTCTAGCGTTGGTGCTGCTGCTTCCTCTCGCCGCGTCCTCGGCTTCAACAACGCTTTCTCCCTCTTCCGCGTTCCATCGGAAGGGTGCGGCGGGCAGCGAGTCAACGTCTATCTCCGCCAACAGCCCCTCCTCCTCGCCATCAGCCTCGCCTTGCCCCACCGCCTTCCCATGTGACATGCTAAACCCCAGCTCGGAACCCGACGTGCCAGACAGCAATGGGTTACCATCCGAACTCAGCAGCAGCGGCAGTCGCTGGAGCGGCTCGCTGCAAGCTGCATCCGCAACTGCAGGAAGGACCGCGACCCCACCGCCGCCGCCTACGCCGCTGCCGCTAACGGCGCCCTGCCGCTGCTGCCCGACATGCACCACCCTGTTTGCACCGGCGGCAACGCTTGAACAAGTCGGCGTCGAGGATTGCGAACGAGATAAATGCCTCCCATTAGCAGCTGCATTGCCACCGCGGCCGCCGTTGTTGGTTACGGGTACAGCTCCGTCGCCGCCGGTTGTGGAGGGCGTGGAGGAGGAGCACTGCCCGGTAGGTCCTGTGGGGCCGCCGCTGGCTGCAACGCCGGCGGCGCTGTCAGTCTGCAGCTCCCAGTGTGATCCTCTCCCTGACCCTGTCAAGGCCACGGAGGCCGCCTGCTCCGCGAGGAGGTCGGATGCCGCTGGAGACAGCAGCACGTGGGCGCGAATCGGCACCGTTGCGTCGCCAGGCGTCGGTGGGGAGGGCACCGCATTAACGGCTGCGGAAAAGCCGCGGCCGCCCTCCTTACAGGCACCGCTAGCCACTCCCAGGAAGGCAGCGCCCATAGGCATTCGATCGCCCTCCCCAACAGCGCCCGGGTCGCTCATCACTCCTTGTCCAGCTGCCCCCGCCCCCGGCCCCGCCTGGTCCCCATACCCAGTCGACACTCCTCCCACTTCGGCGGCCTCTTGGTCCCTATGCCCCCGCACGCCACCGCCGCCGCCGCCACTGTCAGGGCCGCCACTGCCGGGGCTGCCGCCGCTGTTGCTTGCAAGCACTCTGCCTCCGCCTAGGAAGGCTGACAGGGAGCGCAGCACACGCTGGTGGATGGGCGTGCCGTTGCCGCCGTCGCTTTCGGAGGAGCTCTCCTCGCCGCCGCCAGCACTGCTGCCGCCACCGCCGCTGCTGGGTTGGGAGCGATGCCGGCCGCGCAGCGAGAGCCGCAGCAGCGGTGTGCTCATGGGCCGGTTGGGGCTGATTGGAGCGTCCGAGAGACCGGCGGCTTGGGTTTCGGAGGCAGCTGCCGCTGCATCGGCAGCCGTGGTGGTTGGACCTGGGGACTGGGATTGGGAGGAGCGATCCGCAAAGGTTGCAGTTGCCAGGCGGGATCCCGCCCTGGGCCTACCACTTGCGCCTGCTGCTGCCTGCTGCGCCGCGACCCCCTGGTCTGCCAGGCCTCCCGGTGAACCCAAGAAGCGTCCCTGGCCCGGATGCTGCTGTTCATGGGGCTGTGAAAGAGAAGAGGTCGCAAATGGGTTTTGCGCTTGAGCGTGCGGAGATGCCGGGTTGCTGCCGCCGCCGCCGCCCATGCTGCTTGCACGCGAGTGGGTAATCTCCGCATCAGAACGCATGTACGGAAGCAGCAGCGGCAACCCAATTGACCCGGTGATTCCACTGCCGGCGTCTTCAGCATCCGACGTTGCGGCGGCGCTCACAGAGGCGTCGCCACTGGGGGCGCCTGGCAGCGTAGGTACCCTGCTTGGGGTGCGTTCCAAGCCGGCTGGGGCTAGAATGGGCTGCTGCGTCGAGAGAGCCGTCGCGGGATGTGTGGGGTCAGCGCCATACGGGCCTGACAGTCCCGACAACGTCGACTTTGCTGCGTCAGCAGCGCCGCTGCGGGGACTGCTACGGGCCCCATCGGCCTCTCCATGGCCACTGGAGGAGGTGCTAGGGGCCGCGGTGCTGCTGCTGCCGTCGCTGTCCTTGCTACTGCTACCGCCGTCACCCTCGCTGTGCGCCCCGGGCTCAGGTGGGTGGCAACCGCAGCTGCTGCTGGCGGCGCCGTCAGTGCTTACATGCGCATGGGGAGTCCTGGCCGACCCGCTGGGATGCCCGTACGCAGCCGCTGGCGGTGGTGCGGGCGCCTCCCGACGCAGGAATACCGGTACAGGCGTGCCTGGGTCCGTACATACCCTGCTGGCAGCAGCTCCCCCCGTAACAAAGCCCGCCTGCATGACCCCTGTGCCGGCGGCCCTGCCGCTGCCGCTGGCATGATCAGCAGCCGCTTCGACGGCCCTGTCCACACCAGCGCCATCAGCGCTATCAAATGACATGGCAGCAGCAGCACCAGCAGCTTCCTCGCCATCCGCCTGCTTCGTAGCTGCCAGCGCACGAGCTACCTTGTCGGGAAGACCATCGCTGGCGGAGCGACGAAGCCCCTGCCGCCTGCTGCTAGCAGATGACCGCAGTGACGTGGTCGTGACGGCGGCGGACTCCGTTGCAGCAATGGCGGCTTGCTCCGAGACCTCGAGACCAATGTGCGCGGCATCCGTACGGTCCTCATCCAATTGCGTCAAACGAGGTCCAGGTGGCTTTGGAGCATGGTGGTGATATGGGTACTGAAGCAGCAGCGGCTGCAGCTGCGGCGACTGCCCATGCAGCTGGGGCGGTAGCGGGGTCGGCGGCGGTGGAACTGGGTTGCGGTGTGGATAGCGCGAAGCATCCCCAACCCCAGCCGGTGGCGTCAGGCTCACAGAGCTCAGCGCCTCGGCATGCCGCATGGCGCCGGGTGACTGCGCCAGCGCTGCCGCAGCCGTCACGACGCTATCCGAGGCCATACCCACAACCCCGCTGCTGCTGCTGTGGCCGCCGCTGTCAGCATTACCGTAGGAGTGAGCCCCGTAGCAGTACCGCGGGTAGTCGTCTGCTGCCACGCGGCACGGAGTCAGGAGGGAGGTGGTCTTAGCCAGGCGCCGCTCCCCAGCACCCCCCAGCGCCTCCCCGCCGGATACGCCATGCGGTTCCCATGTGCTGCCACCGGCGGTGGGGTCTGCCTGGCCTGGAAACCCAGCGGCCTCAGGTTGTCCCTCCTGCGATGAGGGCTGGATGGACGAGTGCGGGCGGGTGTGCACCTGCAGCCCAGATTGCCCCTGTGCCTGCGCGGCGGGGGAGCGCAGGGACCATGACGAGCGGCTACTTGCGTCGGGAATGCCGGTGACAGTGTGGCGGGGATGCGGGGGGTAGCGCTGCGGCGGCAGGCTTGGCTCAGGCGCCGCAGCTGAAGCCCGCAGCAGGGCAGTGGGGTAGGGCCTTGCGACTTGGGCCGCAGCAGCGGTGACGCCACCCCCAGCCATGCCCACTGGCCCCTGTCCGTGTTGAGAAATAAAGCGCTGCTGCTTTGAAACTGGCTGCGCCGCTGCCGTCGAGCTGAACTCAAACGACGAACGCCTCACCTTGTCCTCCCCTGCGCCGCTTCCAATCCGGACATCTTCACCTCCCGCCGACGTCTCGGCGTGCACTTCATCCTTCGCCTCCGCCACCAGCCATGCAGCGACGCTGCTACGCGGCCCCGCGCCCCTGCCAAGCCTCCTCCCACCGCCACCGCCGCCGCTGCTGCTGGGTCCGACCCCCCGCTCAGTCCCCGACGCCGCCGGCCTGGTGGAGGGGCTGTTGAGGGGGCTCACGGAATCCTCCTGGCTCAGCTCCGGGGGGGAGACCTCGCAGGCGCCGCGGACGTCGTCGCTGGCAGCAGCAGCAGCGGCAGCGGACACCCCAGCCGCCGCCACTGCGCTCGTCGCGTCGTCACCGGGTTGCACCGCGGCACGCACCTGGGGTAGCAACGGCACGACAGGCGCGGCGAGGCAAAGCGTACCGTGATCCTCTGAAAGGGTTGCAGCAATCGTCACATGTCGAATACACATCTAGTTATTCCTCCCGCTACTCATATCATTACAATCATGCCCCTCGATTCCCCAATCCGCTCAGTTTACCTAATCCCCACTCCCGCTACAGCCCATCCACGCCCACCTCCAGGAACCGCTCCAGGCTCCAGGGGGTCCAGCCCTCGGCGCTGCACCCCGCCTGCTGGAAGAGCTGCAGCTGCAGCAGGAAGCCGGCGTTGGGGTTGATGATGGGGCGGATGGCCTTCACGGCCGCACGCGCCGCCTCCAGCGACATGCCCCCGGTTGCCATGAGGTAGCCGATCACCATGCTGGCGGACCGGGACACCCCGGCAGCGCAGTGGACCAACACGGCGCCTGCGAGTTGTTGGGGGTTCAAAGGACAAGAATTTAGGGGAGTAAGGACACGACGAACATGAATGGGCTTCGTTTGGGAGAGAGGAGACACTGGGGTTAAATGGTAACTTAGCTGACAGACCGCTTACCCGTCTCCCTCGCATTGTTCATAAACTCGAAGCATTCCCGAAAGTGCTCTACAATGTCTTCTTGCTCCAAATCGTAGATTGGAACACCCTTATAGGTGAAAGCCGAGGGATGGGTGGGCGACAGCTCCCGTCCAACCTACGTGGAACGGACATGAATAAGGGCCATGTGCTAAGCGCTTCCCCTTTACTTCATTGGGCCCAAAAATAAGGCATCATCTGCAGTGGAAGTCCGAGGGGTGCACACGACGACCTCATTTCATACTCTATTACTTTGCGCGCCTAAAGCTGACAGACCTGCAGTACGTGTGTTACACCATGTTTCCTCAGGATATCCGCTTGCGCCTCAAGGTGACAGCTGGAAAGATAGAGTCCCGGTAGCACTCTACATAAAGTGTCGCGGGTTCCAATATCAACAGGAGGCTTCCTATTAGCAAACCTCTTTGCAATTGCTTCCTTAGCTTTCCAGAAGGACAAGCTAGGGTGGTTCCCAGCCATCTGTCAAAACATTAACCAGCCAGCCAACAGTCAGCCCACTCAGGGCATGGTAAACATTTCATACTGCCCAAGTGTAATTGTATATCTATGTTACAATTACAGCGACAGCGCGATAGGTGAATCCGAAGGAAGTTGCCTCGTTGCCGGACAGCCCATGTGAACACTCCCAGCCCCGCTACCGAGCAAGCTTCGAGAGCTGCCCGTAGTACCGCGTCGCGCCCTGGACCAGCATGTGGCCGTGGCCGATAGCCTCTGCCAGCGCCTCAATCTCCTTGCGCAATTGCTCCAGCGCCTCCTGCTGCAGCTGCACCCTGCGCGACGAAGTCTCACGCGCGACGTCCACCGCCCGGAACCTGCACGCAAACACCAAGAAGCAGTAAAACTATATTTACAGCACCCCCCTCCAACGCACATACAATGCCAGAGACAGCTATGCAATGACAGCAGGTCCCACAAGACCCACGGGCCCAGACATGTCATGCCAACTTACTTTGCCATGGCGAGGCCGATCTCGGCCTCCTTGGCCAGCATGCTCTGGCTGCCCTCGTTGCTGAAGTGCTTGTGGCTGGCCTGCAGCAGCTGCTTGGCCGCGCGGTGGTCGCCCTGCGCCGCGCAGATCATGCCCAGCCGGTGCTTGCACAGCACCAACTGCCGTACGTACGGCACGGAAGTTAGCAAGGGGCGGTGGGAAGGGAAGGTTGGATGGGGAAGCGCGTCAGAGGGCTCCGAGCTTCGCATAAGAAAAGGGGTATAGCACGAAGGAAAGCCTTGCTTGCCTTTTGAGGCGAAAAGCGACCGCAAAGCACCCATCGACAGACATGCATAACCCAGATCCCATACCCCACACGCACCCCTCCTCTTCTTCCCCCACTCGCCAGTTTCCTTCTTTTCACGCCCCTCTCCTTCCCGCCTCCCCCACCATGTCATGGTCCTCCGGGTAGTGCACCCGCATGGCAATGGCCGCCTGCCGCACCGCCGCCGCCGCATCCGGCAGCATGTCGTGCGTGTAGTAGTACGTAGCCAGCTTGTACCGCGCCACCGCCACGTCCTCCGCGTCACCCCCCGCCACCTCCGTCAGCAGCGCGATGTGCTGCTTCAGCAGCGCCTCCCCCACGCTGAAGTCCGACTGCTCAAGCGCGCCGTGCACCAGGCGGCTGTGCTGCGACAGCGCCAAGGAGAGGATCATGCTGTCGGCGCCGTACGCGTCCTTCAGGCCGCGCATGTTGCTCTTCAGGTTGGGGCCCAGCGTCTCAACGCCGCCCGCATCCCGCACGTGCGCCAGTGCCACGATATCCAGGTAGAACCCCGCCTCGAAGCGACTGCCCGGGTCGGCGGCGGCGGCGGCGGCGGCGGGGGAGGAGGCGCCGGCGGCGGCAGCAGCGCCGCCTGCGGACATGAGGTCGTAGGACTCCCGCAGCAGCCCCGCAGCGTCTGAGGAGGAGGAGGTGTGTATGTGAGAATGTGATGTTGTGTACGACATCCGTGTTGGTATCGCATGTACGGCCATCTTGTAGCATGGCTTGCACGTGTGCATGGAGTTGGGAGGTGTGGGTTTCCTTGCATGGTGTGCCGTGCTGGTTGCACGGCAAGCAGTGGTTCAGCGGTGCAAGCGGCGCACAGGGCTGCCGGAAGCGGCTGTGTGTGTTGTGTTGTGCCTTACCTGCCAGCTTGCCCTGTGCGAAGCGCGCCACTCCCAGCCGCAGCAGGCGGTGGCCGGTGAGGATGCTGGTGGCGCCGAAGTGGCGCTTGGTGGTCTCCAGGCTGACCTGCGTGTGCGTGGGTGCGTGTGCGTGTTGTGAGGGGGGCCGAGGAGACGGGATGGGGGCGGGCAGGGAAGGTGGGTGAGGGCAGGCCAGCATGTGGCGGTCTCGCAGTTAAGAACGGGAATGGTGCTATTAGAGATGAGCCCAGGAGACCCGACAGGCAAGGCGGTTCATCGTTCGGCTCCCTCGCATCGTCACATTGTCCGCCAAGTGTCGCGCCTCTTGTCCGCGACATCGCACCCCATGTCCCGCAATCACACCCCGCAACCAGCCCTCGCCCCCCTACCTGCGCGTGGTGCGCGGCCTCCTCCGCCTTGTTCTGGAACAGCAGCAGCAGCGCCGCCTGGTTGTGCAGCTCGCCCAGCTCGGGGCTGGGGCGGGGGCGGGGAGGGAGAGGGAGGGAGCAGGGGCGGCGCGGGGGCGGGCGGAGGGGAGGGGGTTGAGGAGGAAGCCCAGCTGTGATGACGAGGCTACGGTATCTAGATCAACAATCATGACTGGATGTGTGTATCTCGGCATATGGGGATAGTAAGCAGCTAGCGATAAGGAGTGGGGTGATGAATATCGAGGGCATTGAGAATATTGCCATATCACTGGGGAGTGAGAGGGAAAGAGTCTGGTTCACAAGGCTGACGGATGAGGTGTTCTGTCGCAGTGTGATGACATGGACCCCTGGCCACCTGGATAACAGGGTTATCCAGGAGTCAGGAAGTGGCGAGGTGGCCCGCACCACCGCTGCTGCTAGCAATCCGCTCCAGATGCTGCTGCACGCCAGCGCTGTGCTGCTGCGCTCCGCCCATCTCAGCATTCTCAACTAGCCAGGGTGAAGCCACCGCAAAGGCGGCTGTGCTACCCGGAGCTGGTGGCAAGTCAGCTGGAGGGGAAGGCCAGTGTGAGGTTTGCAGCCAAGCAGCCCGGATAGCGGCCACGAGCAGAAGACCCAGCTTGCATGTGATGGCCCCCAGCCTTTTTTGTACCCCCGGAATGAACATTGGCAGTAACACCTGTCAAGCAAGCAGCTAGGTCCCGGCATACCTGTTGGGGAACATGGGCTCGAAGGTGTTGAGACCCTCCTTGAGGAGAGACACCGCCTCATCCATCTGCCCCACCTCCACCTTCTCAATAGCTGCGTCCACCAACCGGTTTAGAGCCTCTCCCAGAGACATCCGTGCCTCGCCGCCTCCGCCAGCACCTTGGCCGCCGGTTGGTGCTGCGCTCGCGCTAAAGCACCGTGCATGGAGTGGCGATGAGAAGCGTGGCGTCGGGGTCACGGGGGTGGAGTTGAGAAGTGGGATAAGGGAAGCCTTCCCACGCGCTCCGGGGGAAGACACGTTGCCATTTCCTGCGGACGGGCGCTGCGACGAGACGTTGACGACGGCTGATGGGACAGACGGCGCGGCACCCAGCGCCGTCAGGTTCACGGCTACGCAGGGCGCTATGGATCCATCGCGAAGGACGTTTGATAGAGGCGTAAACGCCAGGGCCACACCCTGCAGGGTTCGCCCAAGGAATATGTCATTGTCAGGGTGGCTAAGCTAAAATGTAGAGCGTTTCGATAATCGAAAGTACCGATCGAACATTTGCATATTATCTTCGCTCATCAACTTATGCAAAGGGTATGACGAAAAATTCCGGCAGTTTGCCAACGCCCTCCGCCCAACCTCACCCGCCGCGACATTGTGAAACTACGAATTCACGGAGTTCAATAAAAGGGATAGGGAGGCCTGGCGAGTAAAAAGACACCCCATGGCAATTAGCAGTACGGCAATTGTCGTCCAAGCCGGCCCCCATGTGCGTGCCAACGTAATCAGGTGTTGCAAGGCCATTTGAGTGCAATCTTTGGTTCCCAAGCACGCACGTTGCCTGAACAACATCCTCTTCAATCCAGAGCCGCCGCCCAGTACTGTAGCTGCCCACGCACAGTAGCCGCGACTGCTGTGTGTTGCGCCGATCCGACTGATCACTTGTTTTCAGAGAGAGCTTCAAAGATGCTAAGCTACACCACGGCTCTTTCAGCTGCACCGGCGCTGGCAGCGGCCTGGACGTGCGGAGCTGTTCGCGCCTTGTCCTCGAGCGGTGCGTCCGTTGACCATCTGTCTGTCGTTACAAGCGCTATGCTGCTGGGCTGTAGGATAATCTAGCTCACAATCCTGCTGGATCACACTTGGATGGCTGCCTTCAAGGACTGCTTGACGACCTTCGCATGGGCATGTTGCTTAGGAGGATACCTAATTTACTTTACCCAAACCCGCGTCCATCTTGCAGCTGCAAACTTGGAGGCGCTTTCTTTGGGCGACTCGGATTCTCCGTTGCTGGTCAGGCTGCCATCTCGTCCGTGGGGTGCTGCCGCGTCCATCAGCAAGGCTGAAGTGCAGGCGGCTGCCGGTAAGCCTGCAACATAGTAATGAGTACTAAATACTTCTGCATAAGTACATTGGCTTTAGCACAAAACGAGCCAAGAAGTTCAGCCGTCGGGTTTAGCACCGGTAAGGAACGGGTAGCTTCGTAGCTACGTACCAACCCAATTCGGGGCTTAAAGTCTGCTGTGTGGATCACCACGCCCCTTAATCATGATGATCTCATGATGATCCTGAAGGGCCAAACGCGTTCGTTGGGGCAAAGGGACGGTGGCCGCCTCAGCTGCAATTTGGCACCTTTTCCCCCGCAGCGTCTTGAGTTGTCGTCTAGCCTGTCGCTTCCAGCTGACCTTCCTCGTCAATGTAAGAGCATCGTTGTCATACCCATATCGACCCTCACCTGCCCTCACCCATTTTTCCACACCTCCTCCCACAGGCCCCTCACCCCCGGCGCGCATCTCCGTGGTTCGCGACTGCTTCGCCTCCTTCGATGCCACACAGCGCCCCCTGAGCCAGGTGCGACACTGAAGACTGAACCCCCTTGACGCGGACGCCGCATACACTCCCCTAGCACACTCTCTCCCGCGACAGTCGAGTTCCCTCGCCCTAATGCTGCCCACAAGCCACTCGCCTTCACTACCAAACATCATTACATGCGCACGTGCATCCGCACCCACGCGCCATCCACTTCATCACCACGCCGTGTTGTCCCGCAGCCCCGCAGCCCTCCTCTTCCCCTTCCTGCCACCCTCCACCGCTCCCCTTCATCCACCCCACCCCCCAGCAACTTGTATCATTCTCACACCACACTTTGGAATTTCTTTTCCCCCCCTCCCCCTCCCCCCCAGCTGCTGCGCCCCCTGAGTCCCTCCTCCGTTGCCGTGGCCGCCTCGCTGGCCTCCGCCCCCGAGGAGCGCGCCGTGGTGGACAGCTACCGACTGGCGCCCGAGGGAGACCGATACGTGCTGGAGGCGGGGCAGCAGCAGGAGCAGGGGCAGCAGGGGGGCCCGGGTGCGGGGGGACATGGCGGGGCGGTGGCGACCGACCTGATCAGCTTCCTGCGCGCGCACCGCAAGCGGGTGGCGCTGGTGCCGGATGTGGCGAGTGTGGCGGCGGAGGCGACGCCGGTGGTGGGAGCGAGGAAGGTGGGGGGGGGCGGGTGGTGGGTGAAGGGGGAATAGGGTGTTAGGGCGTGTTAGGGCGTGCACCGGTAGGGGGGAGGAACATGAGCTTGATATACATGCAGGCAGGAGTGCGCTAGGCGGGGAGGGGTCATGTGGCCACTAGCCAAAGCCTTCAGGGCTAGAAGGTTATTAGGGGGATCATGTCCCATGTGGGTCGTTGAGGTCGTTGGCACAGAGGGTGATTTGTTGTTTCACTTTTATATAATTTTTTCCCCCCTCCTCCCTACCTTCCTGCGTGTTCCTAGAACGGTGTCTCCGTATGTGCTCACTGCCTGAGTCGGGATACCCGTTTGGGATGCAAAGGGAAGCAAACCCCCCCTCCCCCCCTCTTCCCCCCTCCCCCCCAGTCTGTGCGGCAGTCCACCAACGAGGTGCTCATGGTGGCGCCCACCGCATTCGGCTTCAACGAGCAGGCGGCGCAGGACAACTCCTTCATGCACGCAGCCAGCAAGCCGGGCGAGGGCGGCGGGCAGCTGACGAGGCAGGTGCTGCGCGAGTTCGCGGGACTGCACCACCAGCTGACGCAGGTGGCGGGAGTCAAGGTAGGGGGGGAGGGGGGGGAGGGGGCGAAAACTGGAAGATATAAGGAAAACTGACGAACTGGATGACGAGGCTTCACCATGGAGGGGGCGGGGGGGGAAGAAGAATACCCAATGGAGGGGACAAGAGAAGGGGTGGGTAAAGAGGAAACAACTAACTGACTGAGGGATAAGACGTGAGAAATGGTGGGTGGTGGGGAGCACCGGGAGCACAGCAGCGACGTAGTCCGCGCATGGAGTGAAAGGGCAGGAGTGTTGTGCTGCGAGCACATGACTGGGGTGGGTTACTGGATGAGACTCCTCTACCGATGCCTTCTACCACCGAACCCACGTTTGTCCCAACTTGGATTGGGACTCCTGTGTGATTCACTTCTCATTTCCCCCTCCTCCTCCCCTCCTCCCCTCCTTCTTTCCCAGGTGAACCTGTACGAGCACAGCCTGGCTCACGGCACCCCGGACGCCTGCTTCCCCAACAACTGGTTCTCCACGCACCCCGCGGGCGAGGCGGCGGGCGGGGTGGCGGCGCCCACGCTGGTGTTCTACCCCATGAAGTGCCCCAACAGGGCGGCGGAGAGGCGGGAGGACATCATCAAGGTAAGGGGCGGCAGGGGTGGGGGGGAGTATAAACATAAGTGCAGCAACAGGGGGTGTGGAGGGATGGAAAGGAGGAGTGAGATGTGAGCCAGAGTTTCGGAAGGGCGAGGGGCGGGGTGGGGCCTCGGAGGATGGGGAAGGCGTGTGTGGAGGCTTGGACTCTGACCCCCCCCCCCAGCGTACCACCCCCTGCCCCTCACCCCACCCCACCCCTCAACCATGATGAAGCCTTATCACACGGTCAGTTAGATGTTTCCTCTTTACCCCCCACACACCCCAGGTCCTCCGCGGCAAGGGCTACAGCCAGGTGTACGACATGGCAGCCGCACATGAGGCCAACAAGAAGTACTTTGAGGGGACGGGTGAGGGGGTGGGGTGGGGCGCTGGGAGAGGGCAACAAAAACAGCGACAACGACAGCAGCTGATCAGTACTCGTAAAACACCATCATGGCCACCACAGCATACCTTACCCCCGCTCACCCTCCTCCCTCCCTCCCTCCACCTCCTCCCCCCCCTCAAACGCCCCCCCCCTCCCCCCCCAGGTGTGTTGGTGATCGACCGCATCAACGGAGTGGTCTACGTGGACATCAGCGAGCGGGCGGACCGGGGACTGGCGGAGGAGTGGACGCAGCGCATGGGGTACAAGGAGCTGGTGGCGTTCAGGTGGGGGGAGGTAAAAAAAGAAATTCCAAAGTGTGGTATGATAATGAGACAAGTTGCTGACAACCCCTGGTGGAATCAACCGTGAGTCGAGCCGAAATGGTGGTTAAAGCAATGCGAGCTAAACTTACCGAACTTACCAATTATGGAGCAACCTTACCGTAGTCTTGGGCATGTGTGGAGGCTGCTGAAGGTGAGCTGGAGACCCACCGCGCCGTTGGGCAAAGGCAAACAACAGGAACAGCACAACACGAGCACGCATGAAAAACAACACAGACTGACACACGATAAAACACGTACCTGCGTGCACAGGATATGTGCACCATGAGACATGTCCATGGCAAGCCGCCAGGACCATGGAGTAAGTTAGGTCGAGGCGAGTTGATAGCGATGTCCAGCGGAGAGCCAGATATGCGGAATGAGGCAAGGAAAGCGAAAGGGGAAGTTAAGTATAAGTTAAAGAGGACGATGGTGAAGATGCGAACAAAGAAGTACTAAGGTAAGCCTAAGACACGAGACGACACGACTAGGACGGCGCGGTGGGGTGTATGGGGATGGAATAATGGCGGAAGGTACAAATAGGGACGGAATTGGTGAAAAGTACGGCATATCGGGAACAAGGCATGATGTGCAGTGATAAAGGGGCACAACGTGATACTGTGACGTAGGGTGCGGGTGGGGGGAGGTGGGGGGGCGGGAGGGGTGGGGGGGGGGCTAAAAATGGGGAAAACTGACGAACTGTATGACAAGACTTCACCATGTGGGAAGGGGGGAGGGCGGGAAGGGGGGGAGGTGAGGTCCCCTTTTCTCTGTCCTCGTTTGGTCCCCTTTTCTCTGTCCTCGTTTGTTCCAAGTCGTCACACCTTACCGTTATCAAAACGTCTACCCGCACCTGCCTCCCTCCCCTAACGCCCCCTCCCCCCAACCCGCCTCCCCCACTCCCCCCCAGGTCCACCGACCTGCGCGGCAAGTCGGTGTACCACACCAACGTGATGATGGCGGTGGGCACGGGGGTGGCCATCGTGTGTGCCGACAGCGTGGCGGACGACAAGGAGCGGCAGCACCTGCTGGTGGGGGGGGAGGGGGAGGGGGGGGGGTACTGGTGGTTTTTGATGGCATGCTGTGGGGTACTGGCAGTGGGGTAATGGCTGTGGGGCGGGTTGGGGTGAGGTTGGAGATAAGGGGGTGGGGCACACGTTGCCGTATGGTTGCCAAGAGTTGTCTCACATGGCACCCCCCCCTCCCCCTCCCCCCTTCCCCCCAGTCCTCCCTGCGCCGCACGCACGAGGTGGTGGAGATCTCGCTAGCCCAGATGGACGCGCTGTGCGGCAACGCGCTGGAGCTGGAGGACGGCCGGGGACTGCCCGTCATGGCAATGAGCACGCAGGTGGGGGGGGGAGGGGGGCGGCAGGGGAGGCCAAGGACACTACCAAACCATGGGAAACCGCAGGAGGGGCCGAAACAGCGGGAACGGGAGGGAGGAGACCCAGACGTGTGTGCGGACTGTACAGCAACGTACTCTTCCCCCCCTCCACCCCCCCAATATGGGATATCCAATATGGGATTGGGACTTTAGGTTTGCATTTCTTATATAATTTTTCCCCTCCACCCCCCCCGCAGGCTTACAACGCCTTCACCCCCGACCAGCGGCGGGTGCTGCGGCGCCACGTGGCGGACATCATCCACGCGCCCATTGACACGCTGGAGCGGGTGGGTGGAGGCGGCGTGCGGTGCACGCTGGCGGAGATCTTCTGAGGCGGGGGAGAGGCGAAGGGGGGCGTGTGAGGCGGAGGGGGGCGTGTGAGGCGGACGTGGGACGTGAGAGGGGGACGTGTGAGGCGGAGGGCGGCGTGTGAGGCGGAGGGCGGCGTGTTGAGGCACTGATCCCGCCATACGCTTGAGTGTGCTAGGAGCGAGAAAGTGTGTTTGGCGACGCAATGGGGGGCGGGTTGGGATGAGGGGGCAGCGTGCTGCTGTGGAGGCAAGATGGGCACGGGGGCGAGAGTGTAGAGGAGGTAGTGCCGGTGGCAGAAGAAATTGTTTTGGCAGGCAGGTCATGACTGATGAGAGGGCACGGCCAAGAGCTTAGTGTGGAAAGGGAAAGGAGGCGCGTGGTGTGGATTGTGATGCTGCCAGCTGGAGGAGATACGCTGGGGGTTGCGGTACGGGAGGGTTTGTGACGGGGTTGGAGCTGGGCTGCACGGCGGGAGGGGGTATGTGTGTTAAGAAAACTGGCCGCGAGTAGGAATTGTTCAGGGGGGTGAGAGGCGTGTACGGGGAGTGTCACGCGGCAGCACCGCTGCGGTCTGTGTGTGAGGGACAGGGCCCTTGCGTGTGTGATCCTCGTTACTCCTTATGCGCGCTACCAGCGTGTTCGGACAACGGGCCTGTTTGCACATGGGTGTGCCCCGGTATCCCCTCGGACGACTGTGAACGACCCATGGTTCTGTTTGATGGCGCCGTGATCACCGAGTCTCCCGAAGCTCGCAGCGAGCACATCGGTTTGGCTCTTCCCTTGTTTGTGCTGCACGATTGGGCCCCGAGGGCTGTTTTTGTTGTTTGGTACGCAGTTCTGGAGGGAAAGACTAGACCATGCATATGAGGGTGAGGGGGCGGCCGCAGCGTGTGGCATTCCCTGCCATGCAACCGGCGCGGAGGCAGGCAACAGAGAGGGCTTATACGGTACCCCGCTGAGGATACATCGGGACTATAGAACCTTGGTTTGGCCATGGTAGGCCTAGGTTGGTCTCGCCAGGCCTTGTACGGTAGTAACGACATCACCTCGCTTAGCTGTCCCAGTTCCGTCGTCCCGGCCACCAGCAAATGGCCGTCACTGACATCAGCAGTGCTACCCGCTCACGCCGCTTTGCGCGATTGCACCGCCACCCTACAACGCCACCACTGTCTCGTCAGCAAGGTGAACCGGAGTGGATCCGTAGTCGTACAAAGCTTAGCCAGCCGTCGAACCAACAAGGACAACAAGAACCTGTTTCCCCATGCCGCCGACGCCTCAACGGACCGCTTCTGTACTGCAGCCAGCCATCACGCTGTTGCACTAGTCCAACACTCGGTCCGGAACACCTCATCTAGCAGGGGCAACCAAACCACAGCGTCCATAGCTCACGCACAGCCCCGGCTCACCGAATACACAAACCATTCCAACTCCTCACCGCATCAACCCCAGCCGGAAGTTGATGTGGTAGGTGCCACCCGGTGGGGCCACCTGTGTGTCGCATGGCCCCTCCGCTTGTCTTGTAGCACTGCTGGCTACTGCTGGCGCGTTGTAATGTCGTGCGTCAGCCAAGAGGCACCCGGCACAATGCCAAACTGCTGGCTTGCTCCATTACTAAGGCGTCGCATCATACCGGAAGCTAAGCAGGCAGGGAAACGACGACTGTGCACTGGGGTGTTTGCTGCTGAACACTCATTCAGCATCCTCATAATGCAAGTCGGTGATGCATGTCTGTGGTCTCAACTAGCCAACGTTCAACATCCCAACCAGCACACGTCTCCTGAACTCCAATCTCCGGACAAGCACCAAATTAAGCATGTACGGATTCACTGCTGTGATCAAAAAGGCAACTTCCACGCAACTTCACTAACCTGCACATCACGAAAGCTTAAGCTCTTAGTAACTCTTCAATCTTCGTACGACAATTATTATTGCTACATAACGCTACCAACCAACCAAACAACCAACAAAGCCAAAGGAACCTTACCTAAACACCAACACAGCCGTGCTACTGATGCTTGCAACCAAACCGACATGCCTTGCCTTGTGCAGTTTGCTCTTCTCCCTCCATCTCTCATGCATTCCTCCAACTGGAACGCCTCACCCTCGTGCTTGCATACCAGAACATACTTCATAGTCCCCTAATGCGCCATGCTCCTGTTAATAGCTACTACAGTGTTCATAGCTACTAACTCCTCTCATACTCAACACGAATTCTTGCTTCATTGTACTACAGTCAACTATCGACGTACTACAGTCAACTACCGACAACCAATTTGCTGATCACCATACCACGGGTAACGCTCAAACACGGTACAATGCGTCTTGACGATAATCACGAGGTGATTGCTGCATCATGCTCCCATCAAGAACAGCTCACGACATTAGCAGTTAAGGGGCACTGCTAAAATATAAGACTCCACTGCTAAAACCAACACACTGTATAAAACCCACTTTAAGCCGCGTTCCTTCGCGTGCAAGCCCCGTGTACATGCGCACTACCGTTGCTGCATGCACTCAGACCCATGGGTCATGGGAGCGCCTAGGACAACCCTACTCCCTCTCCGGTAGCGACCCCAGGTCCCTCGCATAATCCACCCGCCCAAAAGTGGCTTTTCAAGCTGCTACTGCTGTTCCTACTGCTGCTGCTAAGACTGAGGTTTGGCAGATCACTCTGCACTCTCTAGCACTATCTGCCGCTGTTACTTCTCTCCGTGCCTCTCCTCACCCCAACGGCTACTGCTACGTACAACAGCGCTTCCATTCATCAAGGGGATTAGCAGCCGCCACCAGGGTCCAGTCCACGTGACGTTGCAGCTGACACCAAGGCTGACACCCTTGCCGGTACTGCAGCCGCCACATCCGCCAGAGCAGCTCCCAACGGCGGTGAAGCGCCGGCAGCATGCGACACGGCACCGCCGCCCTTGCGCCTCCAGGCGACGATCGCACTGCCTGCAGCACAGGGCGACGTCAGCAGTCGCTACACTCGCAGCTGCCGGCGGCCTGCAATCCACGGCAGTGGTGCGGTAGCCAAGCTTAGACAGGCTGCAGGGCTTAATCAGCTAGACCAGCTGGCCAGCAAGTCAGAAACGGATCGCTCCTCCTCCTCCGTGCGAGCGATCCACTCGCTCCACTGTCGCTGTTTCCGTCGCCGCAACACAGCTCGACGCGACGGCGCACGGCGCGACGACAAGGATGAAAGCGACAACGAGGTCGGCTGCGGCTGCTGGTGCTCGTGCTGGTGCTGGTGCGGGAGCGGCTCTGAGCTGCTGCTGCTGCAGTCCAGCAGCTGCCAGCCCTCGCACGCCACACCGGGCAGGAGTGCCGGCGGGGGCGGTGACGGCGGCAGCAGCGGCGGCGGCGGCAGTGGAGGTGGTGACGGTACCCAGCCCTCCGTCCCGACAGGACCAGCAATTGCGGTTGCGGTTGAGGCTGACGTCGAGGGTGAGGGTGAGGGCGAGGGTGAGGACGAAGCTGCCTCCACAAACACGAACGGGGCTGTTTCCCCTCCACCAGTGCTACCGCCGCCGCGGGGGCCGCTGAGGGCGGCAGCACCGCAGTCGCCGCCACCGGCGCCGAGGTGGGGTGCGTGGGAGGGCAGGCTGGCGGGCCGGTGGCAGGCATGCTGGGGGGCCGTCGCCGGTGCTCGGGCATCAATGGCGGCAGCAGTGGCAGCGGTGGCAGCGGTAGTGTCCGCCAGGTGGTGGATGTGGGCCTCCATGTGCGACAGCGCGGACAGAACCTCCTGTTAGTGGGGTGGGGTGGGGACTAGTCAGGCGGACGCAATGGGTGGCGAAGGAGGGTACATCAAGGGAAGGAGCATCAAGGGAGAGGTGACCATCGTATGAGGGGCGGGGAGTAGACAAGTTGGTTGCATGGAGCTGAGGGTTGCGAGGTAGGGGCGGGAAATAAGCTTCCTGAGAGGGCCTCTACAGGCCACGGTTCCCGCGGCTTACCCACCCCCCCCCACCTGCACCGAGGGCCGTTCGGCGGGCTCCCGGCGGCAGCATGCCTGGCCCAGCCGCAGCAGCGGGGCCGGGGTGGCGGCGGGCCACTCCAGCGCCAGCTCCCCTGACAGCACCCCCACCGCCACTTGGGCTGAAGAGGGAGACGCAGGAGGAGGAGGGTGTGCAGGTGGTTGGGGATTGGTGGGTTGCTCGAGGGAAACGACGCCGCGACGCGTGGGAGAGAGAAAGCGATGCGGTTGCATAGCTAGTCACCCGCGACACGCGCCCTGGCCCTCGCAAAACATGTCTGTTGGCTCCCGGTATGTCTCTTAGTGAAGTTACCAATGCTTGTGCATACGGCTTCGTCAAAAGAAGGTCGTTCATTGTTGCTGTTCTGCTCAAAGCATGCACGCACCCTCATATCTGCAGTCGGCGAAGGGCGACCTGCCGGTGTACATGTGCCACAGCAGCACGCCGAAGGAATACACCTGGGCGCGGGGGGGCGGGGTGGCGGCAGCACCGGGGCGCATCCGGGGGGTGGATGTTGACGTCAGAGGGCTACTGTGGTGATGAGTGCATGTCGATCGCTTTTGGAAGGAACAACTCGGATGACACCTGCGGCTGTTCGAGCACAGGGGCAGGAAAGCAAGGGAGCACCCGCACCCACATCCGAGCACGTGCCCAGCCGGTTGTCCAGGTACTCGGGCGCCATGTACGACACCGTTCCAAACGCGCCGTCAGTTGCCACGAAGCAGCAGCTGTCAGCCGCGTGTTGGCCGTCTTCTCGCTGCTGCTGCTGCTGGCCCATGCCACTTAGCAGCACCCGTGACAGCCCAAAGTCCGCCAACTGGGTCCGGAAGGAGCGTGAGAAAGAGGAGAACAGGGATAATGAAATAACAGGTGTGCAGAGGGGCGCCCCAGGCAGCATGTTAGACAACAACAACATCAACAGCCTAGCTTACCTTGGCCTCGAAGCCCCTCCTGTCGCTCCGACAGCTCTGCAGCAGCACGTTGCCCGGCTTGAGGTCGCCGTGGATGAGGTCCAGCGAGTGCAGGTGGCGCAGCGCTTGGGCGATCTGAGGGGGGAGGGGGAGGGCGGTACGGCAGGGAGGTACTAAGCAGCAGACGTTCGGTGTACGGGGTACGGGACAGTGGTTACCGAGCTTTTCCCATGCGGCCAGTGTCGCATGCATGCACCGGTATGTCACACTCGGGAAGACCATGAAAGGTATCGAGAGCTTGCGACCCCTCAGGGTTGCACACAACAACAGGCCAACAGGTGGTGTGCATTGCTAGCTACCCAAGCAACCGACGGAAGAAAGGACCCATGGGTCGTTCAGGATTGCGCTTTCTAAAATCTTATAAAGTGCACCTAAAAAGAGCTCTCCCCCAAATCTACATGTACCTCATGTGCCGTTCGTAGCAGCGCCCTCAGCGCCTCCATGGCTGAGCGCTCGCCGTCCGCTCGAAACATGCCCCTGCGAATAGCCGCGTGCAGGGTCCCCGCGTCACACCACTCGCTGACAATTCGAACCACAAACTTGCCGGGCCCTGCCCCCCGCTGCTTCAGCACATCCATACAGTCAACTGGACGGTGTCCTTGGGTCGTGTGCACCGGCGCCGCCCCTGGCCGCTCCGGCGTTGACCAGGTTTGACCGCGGTCAAAGCTGGCGTTGACTTTGAGGGGCGCGATGGTACGTGGCTCTGCAAAGCCCACGCAACCGAGTGAGGGCACGGGACGGCCGCAGCGCTGTGCAACACCACCCATTCGATGGTGTTCGCGATCGGAGAGATCGGAGTCTTCATGGATCTTGCAGACGGCGCAGTCAAAGGTTCGGAGCACGTGGGGATGCGAGAGCATCTTGGCTAGAAGGGCTTCGAGGAGGGCGGCTGGCAGGTCGGCTGCGTCCGCGACCAGCCACTTGACAGCGACGGTGCAACCGGGTGACCATGCGGCTGCGAGGCAGTGTTGATGTTGTTGTTTGTTGGGAGAAGGTGGGAGAGGGCTTACGTTCTTAAGGAGGAGAGCGGGGTAGAAGAACAAACGCGGCGGGTATGGACCTAGGCGATTGGGCCATCTGCGTACGCTATGCACGTGGTCACATCCCATAAGCGCAAACTTTGTTTGCTGTTGTGATGGCTAAGCATTGCCCGGTCAGCGCTTGGCTTGAGCGTGGAGGAGCGTTGAGGTCCACGCCGAGCAAGTGCAATTGCCCGAGCATGGCGGTGCGGGGAAGCGAGAGAACAACACATACACCCGCATGCAAGTTGCTCACGTCCTACTATTATGCCGACATCCTTACCTTGAATGACTGTCCCTTGGGCACCCTGCCCCACCCAGTAAGCGGATGAAAGCGAACCAACAAGATCTGGCAATGTCGCGAATCGAAGGCCGCTTTGGGCGATCACTGCGGGATGTTGGCAACCGGCCTGCACCTCGGACGCAGTCGCAGGGTAGGCAGTCCCAGGATAAGCTAGGCTAGTGCCACCTCTGGGACGGGGAACTCCTTCCGGTGGATTGAGATGTTCTGATGACGGGGCCAGTTTAAGTATGCGGCGAAGGATGGTTGAATCGATAAGGGCCTCCAGCTCCGGTCGGCTCCCATACTCGCTTCCGTGCAGTGGAAGACTTGGTATGACAGAGGAACTGCATCGGCTTGCGTCGGTCTCCGTTGCTGTAGTGCAGGCAGAGGGTGAATTGGGTGATGATGATGGACCGGAATAATGGCGATCACCTTGCCGGGAGGCGTCGCTTGAGTTGCTGCTAAATATATCGAAGCGGAACTGTTCAGTTTGCTTGTGGCATCCCGACTGTATGTTCAATTGGGTAACGTTGCCTTCGCTCGCCATCATCAGCTCTTCGCTCCCGGACCTTGCGCACGCCGAGCACCCTGCCGGCGTTCCGTTATGTAGCGAAGCATTCCCTTTTAAGCAACAAAAAAGCCGCAACATTTTTCCTGTTAAAGCGCTCGCTTGCAAGATGTTGCAAGCAGCTCCTGCCTGCCTAGCAGTGCGCTGCGGCCCTTATACAGCGGGCGCACGAAAGTAGCTACCTTGCCATGACGCATTGGAAAGCCAGTTATGGCATTGAAGCTGTTAATGGGCTCCTTTGCAGATCAATATTGTACGGCAAATAGATAGATACCGGCACCGGTATCCTGTAAATATCTTTTGCCGGTACGAAATGGCACGTTGCAGACTCAACTTCATTACTCGTGGTAAACAAAGTAAAGCCCTTGGGATTACCATATGCGTACCGGTAATTGAACTGTGGATGAACTCGCTGAAGTGTGTATCCAACAGGCTACCGGTACCCATACCGCCCGGTCCCCAAACAACTGAGCCTACTAGCTGGGATGGACAAACGTCGGTACCTTCAATGGGGAGCACCCCAAGCGTCCCAAGGACGTCGGGAAATGATTGGTGGTAATGCGTGTGACCTGAAGCTTCCGAGCCTTGTAAGCACCAAGCGCGAGCCGCTTGGTCGACCAGGTCTTCCGCCGGGCTTAAGGGCCCACACTCCAGCGGGATCGGCCATCGCGGGATCTAACGAAAGGCTATTCTTCTGTACGCCAAATGCGGTACAGTACCGCCGCCGCAGCTGTACAACACGTTAAGTGGGACTTGCTCGGTGACATGACGTACAATCTTACATTTACGGTGCCCTCCGATGCTGCCCCTCCTTCCACACGACACCGCTTGCAATGCACCGCTCGGCACTGTCCTGACCCTCCTCAGCTTTGTTTGTGAGGGGCCAGTCCGTCCCAGCGTCCGAAGCAGACTGTCGGAGCCACCAGTACAGAGCGCAACACGCCAAAGACCTTGGCCTGACTCAACTTACATGCGACAAGTCAGAGGCTTCATCCTTTGCAGCGTCCATATGCTCCCCCGCTAGGTGCTACACCAATCCAAGCAACAACCCTCCTGCCTTACGAGTCCTCACCACTCCGTTAACAACGCCGCTAGGCAACCCTCCTCCTATTGCACTCTCCTCTAAAAAAAGGGTTTTAGGGTTTTAGGGTTTTTAGGGTTTTAGGGAACAACACCTTTCCCTTGTTCAAACCCCCTGCCATGCCAAGAGCTTGCTCTCCTTCACTACTGGAAGCCCAGGAGCGAAGTGTCTGGGCGCTGCCTGAACAAGACATCCCACTAGTAGCAGCAACACCACTTGCCATTGCCATTCGTTGCCTGCATCTCTCGGAGCGCATGACCCATGGGTCCGGCCGCTCCTCCTGCTCCATCATCAAGCTCCACACCGGCCATAAGCGCTGTACGTCAGCGCCATCACACACTGCACAGACAGACAAGGTAGGCAAACCACAACACTAACACCATCTCTGCAAAGCCCAGCACTCAACACATCTATAGTTGCCGTACACGCTATCGATATGCTTGGTTTCGAAGCCGCATGCAGCAATGGCCACACATGCACCTGGTTGAGGCCACGACGACTGCTGAATAACACACTATCCTGAACATCTTCACCGTCTGCTAGTCTCTCTCTTTTTGATACACAGCTGCGTGCAAACACAAAAAGTCTGGCAGCTGACCTACCCGCCGAGCTCTCACATCTGTATGTCATTACCACACACCGTAACCCGCCTGCCATCCGCAGTACCTCTCTCGAAATACAGCAACCCGCCTGCCATCCGCAGTACCTCTCTCGAAATACAGCAACCCGCGTTGCCATCCGCAGTACCTCTCTCAAACACGGCGACCTGCTCGCAATTTCAAGCCCCCCAAACAGAAGGGACAACCGCCAAATACAGTGACATAGTCAACCGCACAACATAGTAATGGTATATCTGGACTAAAAGATTCCAGGTCTTAACAGCACAGTTACAATTACTTAAATGGGTCGCACACATCAGTTTCGCACGAGTACGGTAGTTAAACAGGTCGCACACCCTGCAATTCAGGCGTCGTGTAATTGCAAACCTCGCCCGAACTCTTCCTTAACCCCCCTAATGCAAATGCTGCATTGAACTTCAGTAACCCCTGCACCCGCCCACTTCTCCAGGCGTGTCCGGACACCCCCACCCGCGCATGTGCACATGTGCATTAGTGACGCCCATGCATTATGCAGTACTGCTGCCGGTATCGTGGCCGGCGGCCCCACTGCTGCCCTAACAGCAATGACCCTAGTTAAAACACATCCACACCCTTCATCTCTCTCTTTGCAACGCGCTTCACACGCAACCGTCGCAACCGCCGCCGCCAACGCCACGCAGTCCTCCGTCATGACAGGAGTGCCTTATTGCGGTCGTGAATGAGCGCTTTATTGTGGTCGTGACGCTGAGGCAGCCTGCCCATGTCACACAATTCCCTCTCCTGCCACTCCTCCTCCCGCGTCCTGCCCCTGTCAGTATCTTTCTCCCACCCTCCACCTCACCATCACCTTGATGATGACGCCGCCCGCTTCCCACGCCATACAGTCCGCCGGTCCATGCAGCCCCGGCTCCCGCGATTATCCCCCACGTCCTGCGTGGGGACACTGACGTGGCGGAGGCAGCGGTGACCCCGGTGAGTAGTTGGTAGTTGCGGTCTGGCAGGTGGTGGTGGTGGTGGTGGTGGTGGTAAGGGGCTGTCAGGCTCGGTCAAGCTCGGCCTGGTGAGAGGTGTACAGCCGGCGGGCGGGCGGCGAGGCTGGCAGTGTGGTGCGGCTGCGTACACGCTCCTGCTGCTGCAGCGGCACAGCAGCCCACCACCGCCACCACGGCTGCTGCTGGCAGCCGTGGTGTGTGGCAGCTGCTACCTCAGCGGCCGCCAGGGCCCTTCACAGGCGGGCCTTCATGTCCATGAGGTCCAGCAGCACCTCCTGCACGAGGGAGGGGCGGGGGTGGGCGTGATGGGAGCGCATGCGTGCCCGCTAAATGGCTTGGAGAGGGGGTTGTACGGCGGGGAGCCGGCAACCTAGACGGGGCAACCTGGAGAGGTGTACAGAGCGCATGTTCATGCACCCTTTGCGCAGGTCCCGCCGTCGGGAATGCCGTACACTGGCGTGAAACTGCCCACTCCCCGCTTCCAACCCCGCGGCCTACCCCCCCTTATGGTTTTACATGGATTCATTTGGTCTCATTTGACCCCGCCCACCTGCACCGAGGGCCGTTCGGCGGGCTCCCGGCGGCAGCATGCCTGGCCCAGCCGCAGCAGCGGGGCCGGGGTGGCTGCGGGCCACTCCAGCGCCAAGTCCCCGGACTTCCCCACCCCGTACATCACTTGGACTGAAGAGGGGGCGGGGAAGGAGAGCAAGGGCTACGTCATGTAGCGGAGCGGCAGGCGGCAGGAACAGCTCGCTTGGTGGGCATGCATGGGTGGCGGACGATACCGGTACGCAGGCAGGCACGGCTTGTCATGTCATGCAAAGGCAAGGCGCTCGGCAGCAGGGGACGTGGATATAACATGTGCACATGCAAGCACATGGTCCGTGCAGTCTGTCTCATCACGCTGGGGTCCACACATTCATCAACGCAACAGCACCTTCATACCCCCGGCAAGGGGCCCACCATTTGACCCCCGCATGCCGGCTGTGCCACCCCGTCCCAGACCGGGCGGTTCAGGACCCGCATCCACGCGTGTCCTCCCCCCTTGCATTCGGGATTGGGACTCCGTTGATGCACTTAACTATATGTGTCCCCCCTTTCCCTTCCTCTTGGGGCTTGAAAGCTAGTTAACACACACTATCACACCGCACATTGAATATTCTTCCCTTCCTCCGTACACCCGTACGTACCTGTATTGAATCCTTGGAAGGGAGCCCTGCCCGTGATCATTTCCCACAGCACCACACCGAACGAGTAGATCTGCGGGGGGCGAAGCGCGCATTAGCATGCCAACACGCATGCAGCACACAATCGGTAGCTTCAGCAATGTGCAAACACGCCAGCTGACACACCAGCTGACACGCCAGCTGACACACCAGCTGACACACCAGCTGACACACCAGCTGACGAAGGGTGCTACACCCTCCGGTGTTCGAAACACGGGGAGTGTGCAGCAGCGAGCAGCAGACGAAGACATGAGCGGGGCCTCCGCAGCATGACCCATGCACACAGCCCCTTTGGGAGCTCTGGAGCAGCACCCACAACTGTGGACACGCCAGCACCCCAACAACTCACCCCGACCTCTTGTACCGGACCCCCCACCCCCTTTTGCGCATGCTCCCACATTTCCTTACCCGCACTTTACTCCCCATCCGCCCTTCCCCCCCCATAATCCCGCACCCACATCCGAGCACGTGCCCAGCCGGCTGTTCAGGTACTCGGGCGCCATGTACGACACCGTGGCACACTCGCAGGTGCGCAGCAGGCGGCAGCAGGAGCTGTCGTCAACATCAGCATCAGCGTCAGCCGCCTGTTGGCCGTCTTCTCGCTGCTGCTGCTGCCGCTTCTGGCCCTGCGCTGGGCCGCTCAGCAGCACCCGTGACAGCCCAAAGTCCGCCAACTGGGGCCGGAAGGAGCGTGAGAAAGGGGAGGGCAGGGGTGAGGTGCAGAATAACATTATAAGAGGGGCGCCCCAGCACGAGAGGTGGGTTCATCCCCCCGCAGCTGGTGTCCCCTGCGGCCAGCTTCCCACTACCCGCCCACATGTCCGCACTGCTGTTTGTATGCCGGCGCTTAGTAGCCCCCTCCCGTCAGCCACCCACCTTGGCTACGAACCCCCGGCTGCTGCATGCGTCCCGGGGGCAGCTCTGCAGCAGCACGTTGCCCGGCTTGAGGTCGCCGTGGATGACGCCCCGCGAGTGCAGGTGGCGCAGCGCCTGGGCGATCTGGGAGGGAGGGGGAGGGGTGTACGGCAGGGGGGTACGGCAGGGTGGTACGGCAGGGAGTGTGAGAGGCAGCAAGCGTGCAGGTTATGCGAAGAGCCGCACCACTTTGTTGTATAGACACCTGGGTTGTTGCAGACTCGTGCCGGCAGACCGTAAGAGAATATGCCCAGAACTCTACCCACCTCGACCGCGGTGTCTATCATCGCTGCCTGGGCGCACGCAGCCGAGCGCTCGCCGTCCGCTCGAAACACGCCCCTGCGAATAGCCGCATGCAGGGTCCCCCCGTCACACCACTCGCTGACAATCCGCACCACGACCTTGCCGGGGCCTGCGCTCAGGTGCTTTAGCACGGTCCTGCAGTCCACGGGCCGGCCCGCTCGAGGCATGAAAGCTACTTGGGTTTGTTGCGCCGTTGACGAAGTTTGACCGCCGCTGTCAGTGCTGCCCAGGACGCTCGCGAGCTCAGCGGGATCTTCAGCTGTGCAAACGGCGCTGTCGAAGGTCCTCAACAGATGAGGGTGCGAGAGGGTTTTGGAGAGGAAGCCTTCCAGCAGGGCGGCCGGGACTTCGGCAGCATCCGCGACCAGCCACTTGACAGCAACTTTGTTGCTGCCGTTTTGCCACTTTGCTGCATTACAAGCGAAAGGGTTTTCATACTAAGAAGATATTGAAGAAAGTACTGGTAACGCATACAAATACATGGTAACACTTACAGAGCATTTGTTCGCGAATGCAAATGGTGCGTGGCGACATCTGCTATGTACCTCCCAGGAGTTGCCAAACAAGCATGGCGGAATAAACCATAAGAGCAGCAATAGCCGAAGCCAGTAAATAGGTGCAAGGGTGATATGGACCCAACTGATAGATGCGATGACGAGCCATGCCATGATCACTAAGTCTGTCAATTTCGGTAAGCCTAAACTTACCTACAAGAACTGTTCCCTGGCCACCTTGTGCGACCCAATATGTAGACGAGACCGATCCAACAAGATCGGATAGGGTCGTGGCTCGCAGAGGGCTCTCCGCGACGACAGCAGGTAGTCCGCGGATTACCGACGAGGATAAGATGTTTGAGATGATTCCAAGTGATGGTTCGGCACTTGAAGCAACAAGCCGTGGCAGACTCGGGCGCCTTGATGACAAGAAATGTTGAAGAGCGCTGTCAGTCGTGAAACGCGAGAGGATAACTTCCAGCTCGGGACGGCTCCCAGCTACGCTCTCGCACGTCGATGAGCTGGATGTATCAGAAGCGCTAAGCTCCTTCGGCGCCTGCTGCAGCAGACGGGAAAGACGCGAGCGACCCGCAGAGCTAGCGTTATGGTATGCGCAAGAGGCAATCCCAACACTTGCTTTAGGCATTCCAATACTATTCTTATATGTCAGCAGGTCACCTTTCTCTCCTCATGCGCAGATTTCTGCCCACGAAGCTGGGCAGTCGTAGCTTCCTGCCCGGTCAAGCGACGCGGCGACTTGGTGCGGATCGACTTCACCCCAAAAAAGCAACAAGCCAGAGACATAATAATATTTATGTCTCCAAAGTGCGGGGCTTGGAGGTGTTGCAGCAGCAGCTTGGCTGACCGGCCGTTCACGCACGCGCTGCACGCCTTAGCGTAAAATGTGTAAAAGGTAGCGACAAATCCATCTAGCAGCCCAACTACTTATTTGCAGTGTAGTTTCTGACTCGTCAACTGTATGTACGGCGACCCCAATCAACGGACGGTTCAGGCACCGCCAAGATTTGCGCCAATGCGCATGCCCCAAAGATCAAGCCGTCCAGCAAGCAGCAATAGCACAATGGGACCTTCTTTGACCCGTAGGATGCTAACGGATCCGGAAATCGCTGCGCTATGTCGGAGCACGACCCTAGTGAGCAAAGGGAGCATAAGGAAGCTTCAAGTTAATTGGGCACCTTGGGAATATTACTATGCAAAGGTGCAACCGGGCGCCCAGTATCGGTGCTTGCGGATAGGACCGATTGCCCGATACATTGCAACGCTGCTTACCATCCTTTGCATCTAGCCAGTTCTAGCGCCTGTGTCAAAGCGCCACGGCGCAAACCGCTCACCGTTGTTACCCCACTTCGATGCGCTGTCAGCGCTGTCCGTGAGCTATCCTGCGTCTGCCTGGGACCCCGGCCAGCCAGCCTAGCGTTGGGTCCCTAAGCAGGAGGCCTTCGCGGTGCAAGTGTTGGAACGTACGGTTCATAAGCAGTTACAGATAGCCTGGGCAAGGGCCTCAGAGCGTAGCGTCACCTGCACTGTCCCGCCCCTCAACCCGGGATTCCGGCCCTCCCCTAGCCAGCTACGTTTTGGGTATCCCGCTCGTACCCATACTTCGCCTAGAGGCCCACAAATGGTCTGTCCTGCTGCACACGCCCGCGCCTTGCTCTGGTCTGATGGGGTTACAGCGAGACCACGGGGCCTTACACGGTACCGTACTGGGAACACGCCCTGGCAGTCGTTTAGTTCCGTGCAGGCCGGTCCTCCTCCAGGGGGCAGCATTTGCACCCTTGCAGCCTAATACATAGCACCAGCGGGGCCTCCCGCTTCGCGCTAACAGCGGTGCAGCCAGTAGTCAGCTAGCGACGGCAAAGCCCCTGTGACCACCCTAGTGACCACGTGCCCTAGGCGGCCAGGCCCCTACCCGCACCTCACCTCCCGCAGCGCACCGCTCCCACCTCACCGCCCGCCGCCACCACCGCCCTGCTCCCACTGCGGTACTGCTGCAGGGGCACCTCACCGGGTCAACCCCACCACCAAGAAACCGTCCCATCCTCTTCTCTTCTTGTCCATCCTTCCCCTCCTGTGAACATTCCCTGCTCCGCCCGCCTTTATCCACAACCCCTCCCAAAGCCAACACTCCTCCTTCCAACACCACTCCACCCACGCCAACGCGCGCCCCCTCCTCCTCCTCTGCGGGAGCACTCGCGCCACCCGCTCCTTCCCTTCCTCCCGCCCCCGGCCCCATCCCCTTCCGCTCCCCGCGCCTACTCCCAGCCCAGCCGGTGCAGCGCCAGCCCATTCCTGGCCCGCGGCTCCCTCGCCCATCGCCCCATGCGCGGCTCCTGCCCCACCGCCGCCACCAGGAAACGGCCGCTGCGCGCGATGGCCAGTCCGTTCACGAAGCCGCGCTGCGGCAGCGCCCCCAGGCAGCTCAGCCCGCCCGCGCCGCCGGTCTTGCTGGGGTTGACGGACCAGAGGCGGATGGCGCCGTCGCCGGCACCGCTGGCCTGGGGGTGGGAGAGGGGAGAGGGGAGAGGAAAAGGGAGGGGAGGGGTTGAGAGGGGAAGGAAAGGAGGAGAGAAGTGCTTGGGAGAGGCTTGCGGGGTAGGTGGGGGGAGGGTGGAATGACGTGTTTGGTGGGTGGGCTGGGGCGGGCCTGGTGGTTGCAGGGGTTGCCGCAGGTGGGTCGCTGCAGGAGGCGCTGGATGGGGGGAGGAGGCGTTGGTGGTGGGGTGGCTGCTTCTGGTGCACCTTGACGGCCCGCAACGGGGGAAGGACAGGCAGCAGGGAAGGAGGTGCACGGAGAGGGTGCTGCTGCCGCACATGGGTTGGAGCAGGAGGAGGAGGAGGAGGAGGAGGAGGAGGAGGAGGAGGAGGATGGAGAGTGACGGCTGCGTGTGTGTCCGGACGGCACGCACCCCTCCTCATGGAGGCCGTGCTCCCCTCCTTCCACACAACCCAAACACCTCCTACCGCCTCCTCTCCCCCAACTGCTCTCCCATGCCGCCTTCCACCCCGCCTCTCCCCCTCCCTCCCTCTCCCCCTCCCCCACTCACCACCAGGTCCGAGTTCTTGCACACCGCCACCGACGTCACCCAGCCCAGCTCCGGAGCCGCCCCGCCTCCCACCGCTCCCACCGCCCCCTCCTCCCCGCCCGCCGCTGCTGCTGCTGCAGGCGCCGCATACACCGCGCCCGCCTCCGGCCCGTGCGCCCCCCGCGCCACGAACACGGGTTTCTTCTTGAGCTGGCTCCACAGGTGCAGCCCGCCGTCGCAGCCGCCCGACACCCACTCGGTGGAGGTCACGAAGCGCACGCAGTCCAACACCCGGTCGTGGGCCCTGGACAGGGGAGGGAGAGGGAGGGGGGGGGAGAGGGAGAGGGAGAGGGAGGGGGGGGAGAGGGAGAGGGAGGGGGGGGGAGAGGGAGGGGGGGAAGAGGGAGGGGGGGGAGAGGGAGGGGGGGGAGAGGGAGGGGGGGGAGAGAGAGGTGCAGGGAGGTGAGGTGGGGGTTGCATGATGAGGGGGATGCCTGGTGGGCTGGGTTTCTTGGATTTCTCTGTCGGCCTACTATCCCGTCCGTCATTCGCACCCCCCAGCCGCACCTCGGGTGATACCGGCTTCCCACCAACCCCCCTGCTTCGTCGGGTTCGTTGGGGGCTGCTGCCACAATCCAGCACACACGACGACAGCAGTTGTTCGGCTGCACCCCCATTACTGCTGCAGCAGCTTCCTCCCATACCCATCCCCTCCCTCCGCCCGCCCCCCTATGTTTTGTTATGGTCTTTCACCCCCCTTCTTTCTCCCCTCCCCCCACCTGAATATGAGCTGGCTCTCCTCGGGTATCTTCCACAGCCTCGCCGTGTGGTCGTGCCCCGCCGTGACCACCCTCTCCGCGCGCAGGCAGTCCAGAGCCAGCACCTCCGCCTGGTGCCCGTACAGCGTGTCCATGTAGGCGCGGTCCGCCAGGCTCCACAGCTTCACGGTGCGGTCGGCGGAGCAGCTCATCAGCATGTGGGTGCCGTCCCTGGGGGGGGGAGAGGGGAGAAGAGGGGAGGTTCAGTACGAGCAACATGGGCGGGACTTGCAGTGACACCGACATTGCTTCCAAGCGTCAGGAGAAATACGCACATGAGGAGGGAGGGGAGGAAGTTACCGGTATTCCGTAATTGCTCTGCCGTCCTCCATGTACTCCTCCTCCTCCCTCCTTTCCTCCTCCCCTCCCCCCCCTTCCCTCCCTGCCCCCCTGTCCCCACCTGAACGCCAGCCCCGTCACCACATCCTTGTGCCCCGGGAAGCCCTGCACGTAGGCGCCCGACCCCGCATCGAACACGTGCACCCGCGAGTCGCCGCCGCCCACCGCCAGGTAGCGCCCGTCGCTGGACACCGCCACCGCCGCCAGCGAGGCGCGCGAGGCGGAGCGGGCCTTGCGAGCCACCCAGTCAGCGGCGGGGGCGGAGGGGGCGGAGGAGGTGCTGGGGCCGTCGCCGGGGCTGGGGGAGGGGTGAGGGGAGCGTGGAGGGGGGAGTGGTTGATTGGGGTGAAGGGGTTTGCATGGGCTTGTATGGTGGTCGGGAGGCTAGCTCCCACCCACGCAGCTGCTGCCGGTACTGGTACCAGGGCGCTCAGGGCGGAGGTGGCCGGGCTGTCTAGCGGGGCTGCGTTTGTCCGCAGTGGTACTTGCCTTGGTGATACTCTTCCCTCCCACCTTCCTGCCACCCTGCAAACCTCAGTTGCCGACCCCAGGCCCCCATGTGGCGGGGCGGCGCCCCGCTCCTCCAGCGCAACAACTCCCCCTTTGCTCCTCCACCGCCCCACCCATCTTCCCCTGTGTAGAAGCCTCACCAGGCCATCTTTCCAGCACTCCACACCATCGCCGCTCTTCTCCCCTGGTTCCCGCTGGTTCTCCTTCCCTGCCCCTCCCTACTCTTTTCCGCACCCTCCCCTCCAGCCCCCCCCTCCTCCCCTCCAGCCTCCTCTCCTCCTCCGTTGCTTCACTTTTCATTTCTTTTTCCCTCCCCTCCCCCCAGCCTCACCGGTACAGCTGCGTGCGCTTCATGGTCTCCACGTCCCAGCGGCACACGCCCCCGTCCTTGGACACCGTGAAGGCGGTGGCGTCGTCGGAGGTGAGCGCCACGGCGGTGGCGGACAGCCGGTGGCCGCGGCTGCAGCAGGGCGCGGTGTAGCCGGGTGACCCGGGGGTCAGCACGCGCACGCGGTGGGCCAACCGCCGCTGGAGCCGGCCTTGGGCCTGGGTAGGGGTGCGTGCGTGGGGAGATGTGGAGGAAGGGTTGAGGAGGGTTGAGGGGGGTGGGTGCGTTGTGGATGGGTGGGAGGTTAGTAGTGGTGGTAAGAGTAAAACACTACATAGGGAAAGGTGCTGGGTGGGTTGTATTTCAGCCTCTGCTCGTGGGAAGGAGGAGGAGAAGGAGGAGGGAGGGAGGTGGAAACGATGTGAAGCGGGTATTGTGAGCGTGGAGTAGGGTGCAAGGGCTAGAGTTGCCCTCCACACTGCAACGAAATGCAGGGTCTGCTGTGAACGGTGAACCCCCCACCGGTAGCAGCGCACCTGTGCAACGTCCTGCTGCAGGCGATCCGCTAGTCTTTGTGCCCGCGCCGCTGCGTCCAACGCCCTGCCGCCCTCATCGTCGTCATCCTCCGCATCCTCCTCCTCCTCTGCGTCCTCGTCGTCGTCGCTACCGCCAGTAACACCGCGACGTTCATCGCGTTCGTCATCCTCATCCTCAAGTTTTGTGAGGTACTCCCTCGCTGCAGGTAGAGGAGAAGCATTGCTTAGGCAAACGGATTGCACCAGCCGCCGGCAAAAGAAAGGCACGGCGTATCTATGAATAGAGTCGAACTATTACAACATAGTGTAACCGGCTTGCGCGTGGATACGGGCTCACCTAGCCGCAGCCGCAGTTGGTCCGCCGTCTCGTGGTCCTCTTCATCGTCTTCATCCTGTTCATCGGCCTTCTTTTTATCTTCATCATCGTTTAGGAAAAAAGTATCGTCGTCATCTTCGTATGCCTCTTTCTTCTTTGCTCGTTTTGTTTGCCCTTGTGGGCCACGCTTGGCTGCAGGGCGTTTACTAGAAACCTTCATTTATATCAATTATAAGATCAGGCAGATACGCAGACAACCGTGTCCTATGTGAGTAAGAAGGCGGTGTACGTCAAACGGTGAGCAGGCTGAACGTCGCTGCCCGGTGTATGCGGTATGCCTGTAATTTCTTATACTGATATAGTGGATAGGCTGCATGACCCATAGGCGACATACTAGCAAATTCGGCAGGATTTGGCATTATGCATAGAACCTATCTCCTAGTGCATTTTTGTAACTGTAATAAACGTTGTAGCAGCTTCTATATCCTGTAAATAGACAACATCAATGCAACAACACCGGAAGGGTTTCGCGAACACGGAAAGTGTATAACTGGCCTGAGGAGGCCAATTAAGGATGAGACCGCACGTTTGCATCCCATCGGGGTGTCAGCAATGGGTGTCGAAGGTGCGTCGCAAGTAGGGCGAAGGTTGCAGTTATCATCGTTGACATGCAAGCACATGCGACTTGCACGGCTGCAGACTGTTGCCGTGGGTGTCGACAAGTTTGCCTACATGAGCTCTTTAGCGATATACGTCCATTCGTCGCAAACCTACCTGCCGCTGGCTATCCTTGCCAAGCATGAGAAGCACTTGTCTGCTCTGGCTATGTCACCTTACGACGCCAATTTGCTGGCGTGCGCCATCAGTAACCATGTAAGTAACAATGGCTTCACAATTGCCCCTAGGAGGGTCTGGGTGGCAGTAACCAGGGTCTTAAAAGGCCACCATTCCTGGCTCTTGACTACGACCATAACCTCCTCAACGCGACGCGCTAGTGCACTTTCAGCTAGCCTGTAGTCCTGCCTGTTCGCTTGTACAGCCCTGAGCATGCCTCGCTGCCCTACCTAGCCGCTGTCAGTTTGCTCCGTACTCGACACTAATCGTACGGCAACGCACTGGCGGTTGACACCCTACACACCAAGCAGCAACTAACCGTCAAATCCAGTGTCTCCTGCCGTACCACCACGCCGTATAACCACTCCTACCGTACTGGAGGCATGCAACCGAACTTCAACGTCCGCCTCCCATTCCCCAGGAGCTACGGTTGTACGATGTGGATACGGAGCTCCCCATCTCCAGTGTGAAGTACTCTTCACCGAAGGCAACCGTTTCTATACTGGAATGGTGGGTTCTCCGCACGTGCATCAGCGCATGGCATCCTGCTGCTTGCAAGCTTGGTCAGGTCTGGAAGTCAGGGAGTCTGTAACCGGGGCCACATGCCCGTCTCTAGCGCCTGATACACTTGCTGACTTCGTGATTTGCATGATGGCCTTTGGTCCATGCGTTGTTCTACTGGGTCGGGTTTGCACCCCAACCCGCCGTACAACAATGCTACACCCAAGACCCAACCTGACGCATCCCTCCAACCCCAACCCCCACCCCCGGCAATCCCCGCAGGCATCGCAGCCAGCCCGGCATCCTGCTCGCTGCCGTGGGGTCTCACCTGTACGCCTGGGACGTCTCCGCCGCCTGCAGCCTGCACGGCAGCGGAACCGCCGCCACCGCCAACAGCACTGCCACCACCAACACCAGCAACGGCAACACAGGCAATGGCAGCAACAACACCAGCAGTGGCGGCGGCGCTGGCTACACTGTCGCAGCGCCGCCGCCTCCGCAGCCTGCGCCCCCTCCTCAGCCGCCCCCTCGTTCCATGCTCATGCGGCTGAAGGGCGCCCGCGGCGGGGCAGCAGCCGACGGATCGCCCTCCGCCTCCTCCTCCCCCTCCTCCTCCGCGCCCTCGGCCCCCCATGTGGGCCGCTGGGTGTTCCTGCGCGACCTGGGGGCCGTCATCACCGCCATAGACCAGTGCGCCTCTCCCGCTGCTACCACCGCCACCGCCACCGCCACCACCTCACCAGCTGCTGCTGCAGGTGCTGCCAGCGGAGGCGCCGCCGCCGCCTCCGGCGGCGCCACGCAGCTCGCCGTCGCCACCGCCGGCTCCCGAGTGGTACTGCTGGAGTTGCAGCCCTCAGGCCTGGCAGTGCGTCGTGAGGTACGGAGCATAACCCTGCCGGACGCCGCAACAGGCGGTAGCGGCAGCGGCAGCGGCTCCGCCACCACCGCCCCCTCCGCCATCAGCTCCGTGAGTTGGGAGCCGCTGTCGGGCAGCGGGCTGCTGCTGGTGGTCACCCGCGGCGGCACCATGGCGCTGTACGACGCCAGCAGCGGGGAGGTCGTACTGCAGTACGGCAAGCAGCCGGCAACTGCGGCGCGCTTCACGGCCTTCCTGCCCTCCCAGCCGGGCAACTTCCTGTGCTCCTCCAGTCGCAGCGGCGCGCTGCAGCTGTACAACGTCAGTCAGCCGCACCCGCTGAGGATGCTGAAGCTGGGTGGCGGACTGGTGCAGGGCTTCACGCTGATCAATCCCCGTCAGCAGCATCAACAGTCGGGGGCACCAGCAGCAGCAGCAGCCACGTCAGCCAGGCGCGGCGCCGCCTCGCTGGCGCTGGTGTCGTTCGGCGACGGCAGCTTGTGTGTGTACGACCTGGCTGGGCAGCAGGTGGTGTGGCGACAGGAGGGCGGACACACGGAGACCATCTTCGACTGCCGCTTCTGCACCACGGACCCGGACCTGCTGGCCACCGCGTGCTTCGATTCCATCGTGCGGGTGGGTGGGGGCGAGTGCGGGCTGGGGGGTTGGTGGGTGGGTGTGGGTTGGGGCCAGTAACAAAGGAGTGAGAATGGAAGCACAGTCCCTCATGCGCTCATGCAGTGAGCGCATTGGCAGACCCTAACCTGGGAACACGCAACCCGGGGGCTTACCGAATGCGGGTTGGGGCGGTTGGGGGCAGGTGGGAGTGAGAGCGGAGGGAGGGATGAGGCGGTCCATGACGCCTGTGTGGTGTGGTGCTTGTGTGGGCGCGGGGACGCTGCAACGTGTGTTAAGGCAACTGGCACGTGCGTGTGTGGTGTGTGGCGGGGGGCGCTGCTGAGGGGTTGGGGAGAGGGTGACGGGCGGGTGATAGCTACAACACCCAGGCAGCGGTGTGTATCTACGTGCCGGTGTTACGATGGGTGCTGGTGCTTGGAGAGAATAAGGGTATAAAGCGCAGTAGAGTCTCACATGCATTGCCTCCTCCCCCATCTGCGCCTCTAATCCTAGTCCTAAACAAGCCCAAACAAGCTCCCAACTCCCACCACCTCACCCCTCCTCCCCAGATCTGGGACGTGCGCAGCGGCCGCTGTGTGCGCCAGCTGGCGGGCGCGGAGGGCATCCTCTACTCGCTCAGCTGGTCGGCTGACGGGCGGCTGCTGGCCGCCTGCAACGACGTGGGCGCGGTGTACCTGTACGACATGGCTCGGGGGCTGCTGGTGAAGGCGCTGAGGCAGCACGCCAAGCAGGCGCTCAAGTAGGGGAGGGGGAGGGAGGGGGGCGGGCGGGAGGGAGGGGGGAGGGAGGGCGCGGGGGCGGGAAAGGGCGGAGAGGGAGGGGGGGTGCGAAGCTCGATTCATTTGCATCCATTCGTTTAGGGCTTTTACCACGGGCTACCATTATCGTTTACAGTACGGTCTTCTGAATCTTCTGGCTCTCCCCCTCCGCCCTCTCCCAGGGTATCCTTCCACCCCACCAAGCCCACGCTGCTGGCCTCCGCCTCCATCGACGGCACCGTCGTGGTCTTCTCCGCGGACGGCGACACGCACCGCACCCTGCGCCACTTCGCACCCGTGGCGGGCCTGGCGTGGAGCTGCTGGGCAGGGGGGGGCGGGGGCGGGGGCGGGGGAGGTGGTGCTCCCGCCCACCAGCTGCTGGCCACCTGCTGCGACACGGGCCAGGTGCACGTGTGGGACCTGCAGCGGCCCACGGAGGACTGCCTGGTGCGCACGCTGGAGCGGCATGCGTGAGTGGGGGGGGAGGGGGGTAAAAGTAAGGAAACGGACGACCTGCGCCACGCGGCTTCACCATTGGGGGGGCTGGGGCGGGTGGGCGGGTGGGCGGGCTTGCAGGCCTACAGGAAAAGAACCCTCCGCTTCGGGCTTTTAGAAACCCTCGTCTCTCTTCCTAAGCCCTCCTCAAACCCTTGCCTCCCCCCTCTCCCTAATCCGGGCCCCCCCCACCCCCCCCCGCCCCCCCCAGCTCCCGCGCCTTCCACCTGGAGTTCTCCCCGCTGCTGCCGCACACGCTGCTCAGCTCCTCCAACGACCGCACGGCGAGGGTGTGGGACGTGGCGGCGGGGGACTGCACGGCGGTGAGGGAGGGGGGGGGGAGGGGATTGACAGGGATACACATTCCAGAGGGTGGGATTTGGGAGGGGAGTATAGGGAGGGGCTGAGAAGGGCGGGAGGGAGAAGGGCCTCGGGGCCAAGGGTGGACGGACAGTGGGCATCGGAAGCCCTAACGACAACGGCGCTACACGAAGCGTGAGGCTGCTGCTGATGGCAACTACGATACCTGAGGTCGCAACAACCTGGTCACCGGCCCGCCACCTGGGGGGGCAGAGACGAGCCTGCCTGCCTGAACGAGCGCCTCCCCTCCCTTCGCACTTGTACACACCCCTTTTCCGTTCCAGCCCCAATACCCAACCACCGTTTTCTCCCACCCCTCCTCCGTTGCTGCAGCTCTCATCCTGCAACACCCCGCCCTTCCTCTCCCTTCCTCCCCACCCTTCCTCTCCCTCTCCCTCCCATCCTCTCCCTCCCTCCCTCTCTCTCTTGCTGCATGTTTTTTTATAATTTCCCCCCCTCCCTCTCCTCTCCCCCTCCCTCCCTCGCCCCCAGGTGCTGCAGGGTCACACTGCGGAGGTGCGGGCGGTGGCCTGGCACCCCGAGGTGGCGCACATCTGCTTCACGGGTAGGGAAAAAAAGAAATTCCAATGTGTGTTGTGATAATGATACAAGTTAGGGCAGGAGGGAGGTGGAGGGGAGGAGGAGGAGGGGTACCGGGGTGGGTTACATCAGCTTGATGGGCGGCGGGTGGGGCGCGGGCGCACAGAGGCAGCAGGATGCATGGGGGCAAACAGTTCATTAGGTGGCGGTGGTGGTGGTGCAGGCGGTGGGGGGTGGTGGGGGGGGTATGCGAGCGAGGTGGAAATCCAGCACTTCCAGCCCGCCTCCAGTCAGCCCGAATTCCCCAAACCCCTCCTCCCTTCCAGTGCGTCAAATCTACTTCCCCTCCCCCACCCTCCGCTCCCCTCCGCTCTCCCCCCTCCCTCGCATCAGGCTCCTGGGATGCCACCATCCGCGTGTGGGACGTGCGCTCCGGCGCCTGCCTGCACGTGGCCTCCGACCACCACGCCGACGTGTACGGACTGTCCTGCCACCCGCGCCGCCCCTTCCTGCTGGCCTCCTGCTCGCGCGACACCACCTTGCGCCTGTGGAGCACACTGGAGCTCACCCCGCACCTACTGCCGCAGGTGGGGGGGGGAGGGGTAAAATGAAGGAAACTGACGAGGCAACTAACGAGCTGTATGACAAGGCTTCACCATGGGGGTGGAGGGAATAGATAAACTGAGCCGCGCGGGTGGGGAGGGGTGTCGTACATGGACATAGAGCCGTGCATGCGTGTGTTAAGAAAACTGGCCGCGAGTAGGAACGTGCATGCGTGTGTATGCGCGCCGTACATGCAGGGCCGTTGTGGGGCTTCTTGAGAAGGGATTACCGGTAGAAGTGCCCTGTGCCCTTGTCCCCTGTCCCATGCCCACCCTTCCCCTTACTTTTACCACTACCCCCGCCCCCGGCCCCATGCAGGCCCTGGTGCGGCCGCTCTCCGAGCTGCGCGCTGCCCCCCAGGAGGCGCTGCAGCGGCCCCCCGCCGCCCCCGCACTGCTGTCAGGCGCAGGCAGCAGGGAGCTGGCGGAGAGGCTGGGGGCAGCGGCGGCGGGAGGAGGAGGAGGAGCAAGAGGTGGCGGCGGTGGCGGCTGCAGCCCCCTGGAGCGGCTGGCAGCGCTGTGCGAGTTCTTCCTGCCGCCAGGTGAGAGGTGTGGCGGTGGTCGGCTTGCCGCCCTGCACTGCGCGCTTGGGACAGCCTGAGGAGTGAGGACACATGCCCTGCCTCTGACTACGCCTAAACTCTCCTCCCTCGCCCGTGCTGCGCCCCCCCCCCGGCCCCCCCCTCATCAGCCTGTATGGACGTCTTCTGGGACCTGGCGCACACCGTGCGTCGCGGCGGCGCCGCCACCACACCTGCCGATGACGGTGGCGGCGCCAGCGGCGGCACGAGTGGAGGCCTGCTGCTGCCGTCCAGCCGCCAGCGCTTCAGCGGCAGCGGTGGCAACCAGCTGGCGGGAGGTGGAGGTGGAGGAGGAGGTGGAGGAGGAGGTGCTGCCGCTGGAGGGGGTTCGGGGCTGAGCAGCGGTGAGGGGTGCTCCTCGCTGCACCACTGGACGGCAGCCCGGCTGGCAGTCACCTCCTCGGCGAATCACCTGGAGCTGGCGGCATGCAGCAAGGTGCGGAGGGGCCAGGAGACTTGAGGAGACCTGAGGACCTAGGACCAGGCTGAGCCACCGCGAGGAAAGCACCCCACACTGACCCTGACCGTGCTGTAGGGGTGGGGCGCAGGAGAGAAGCAAAGACCTCCATGCAAACCGCAACAGGGCAACCATCCCCCCCACCCCCCACCCCACCCGCCATTGGTATGGTCTTTGACCCCCCAGGGCCGCGCCCCTGCCACCGGCTCCTCCGCCTCCTCGGGCGGTCGCCGCGAGGAGTTGCTGCGCTCCGCGGCCCAGCAGCACCTGGTAGCCGGGGACGTGGAGCACTGCTGCGAGCTGCTGGCGGAGCTGGGGGAGTGGGACCGAGCGCTGGCACTGGCGCCGGTGGTGGGGCTGGGGCTGTGGCAGCGGCTGCTGGCGAGGAGGGTGGCGGCGCTGGGGGAGGCGGAGGGGGAGGGGGCGGCGGCGCAGGTGAGGGGTGTGGATGGGGGGGGCTGAGTGGGCCGGGATGATGTGTCATCACTGCTGTCCATGCACCTGTTCCTATTGTTATTGCCACTGCTGCTGCTCTAACTATTGCTACTGCCATTGCTGTTGCCGTCGCTGCTGCTGCAGGGCCAGGTGGCCGATGTGCTGCCTCTGTATCTGGTTTCGGGGCAAGTGCCGGCGCTGGTGGACATGCTTTCAGCGTCAGAATTGTATGACACAGCCTTCAATGTGGCTGCCGTACATGCCAGCGGCGGGTACGCCAGCCTCTCCGGTGGCGGAGCCGCCAACGGCTGTGGCAGCGGCAACGGCAGCTGTAACGGCGGCGTTGGCCGTGAGCATTGCAACGGCGTCAGCACGCCGCGAGGAGAGGTTGCGCCACCGGCGGCTCCGACATCAACGTCAACACCCACGGCAGGCCCGCCGCAGCCGCCGCCGTCGCCTGGTGGCGGCGCTGGTGGCGCCGGCGGCGGCGGCGCAGCCGTTATTTCCCCCACGGCGGTACCCTCTTCGCCAGGCGTCGAGCGGCTTCGCAGGACGACAACTAGCGACATGGGCGGTGGCGGCTCGCTTTTGCCGCCGCCGCTGGCGATGACGATGACGTCATCCACCGCCAGCTCGGGGATCCCGCGCGCCGGCACCCTGCCCAGCCTCAACCGGACACCCTCCATGCGGCCGCCGCCGCTGGCGCCCATCCAACACTCGGCCTCCACCTCCCTCCTTTCCTCGACCATCCTGTCCCCGACGGCGTCGACGGCGGCGCTTGCCGACGCAGCAGGCGACTCCTCCTTGCATGGCGGCGGCGGTGCCGGCGGCGGTGGTTTTGGTAGCAGTGGTGCGCTAGTCCGGGGCGAATCCTCCTCGCACATGCCCAACCAGCAGTCGTACGGTTCACCCCGCACCTCGGCATCTGGACAGCTGCAGGCGGCGGCGGCAACGCCGCCGGCGGCCACTCGGCCGCCGTCAGCGACGACGCCGGCTCGGCTCCGCACCACCACCAATAACACCGCTACCACCATTTCCACCGTCACCTCCGCTACCACACCCACCAATGTTGCCACGCCCGTCGCCGCCGCTGCGGGGCCGCCAGGCCGCGACGCCTACTCCACTTCCGCCGCCTTTGAGCGTGCCGTTGCCATTCGCTGCACCCAGGCCCGATCCCTGCTGGCGCAGGGGCAGCCGCTGCATGGCGCCGCCTGCGCGCTGTCGGTGGACGATGTGGTGGGGGCCGCGGGGCTGCTGCTGCGAGGAGGGCAGGAGGAGATGGCGGCGGCGCTCGCGTTAGCACTGGCGCCGCAGGGAGGCGGCGGCGGCAGCAGCATGCTAGCGGGAGGGGGGGCGGCCTGGAGTGCGGGGTCGGGGATGTTTGGGGTTGGGTTGGCGGGGTGCGGGGAGGGTGCGGGGTGTGTGGAGGCGGCGGCGGCGGCGCTGCGGCCGCGGTTGCTGGCGGCAGCGGCGCTGCGGCGGGAGGCGGCGGGTGACTATCTGACGGCGGCGGAGCTGATGGCGCAGGTGGGTAAAAAGAAATGGGGCAGGACGTGTTAGGGACGTCAGGACGTGGAGGTGGGGTTCGCAGGTTACGGTAGTGTAGGGACAGGGTTCAGGTGCAAGGCGGATGGGGGCCTGGGGGTCATCGATGCTACACGTCATGGGCCATTGGGTAGCGAAAGGGCGTTCACGTTGGCGTGCTGGATAGCGAAGTCGGTGGCTGAACTGCAGCAAGCGGAGGTCGTTTGCGGCTGGATAGGATATCCCTCGCGCCCCTTCGCACCTCCTCCGTCCCCTCCCGCCCAGGTCCCCGGCCGCTCCGACCTCCGAGAGCTGCTGGCGGGTCGCTGCCGCGCCCTCGCCGACTCCCGCACCACCGCCCGCGTCTTCGCCTGCCTCGGACTGCAGCCGCCCGAGCACTACATACTGCCCGCCACCGCCGTCAAGGCCGGGACCACCACCAGCGGCGGCGGCGGCGGAGGCGAGTACGGCAGTAGCTGGGAGGCTGTACGGCAGTTGTTGCTGGCTGGGCAGCATGAGGCTGCGGCGGAGGGGGCGCTTGCGGGAGTACGGCGGTTGGTGGAGTCGGGGCGGCGGGTGACACTGCTGAGTGCGGAGTGGGAGCAGGCGTGGGGCGCGATCAACAGGTGAGGGTGGGCGAGTGGGATAAGGGCGGGTTTGGGGCAGGAGATGGTTGAAGGGGGCTGCACAAGGGAGGCAGGTGTTGGCAGGCGCCTGACTGGCTCCTCTCCCGGTGGCAGGAAGTGCTTTCTTCAATCGTGCTCGCATCCACCTCTCCTTGTTATCTTCCCGCAATCTTTCTCTCCAAGCACCGAGCCATGTCGTCTTCTGTGGTATGCCTCCCCCTGCGCCCCCCCCCTCCCAACTCCTCCAGCCTGCATGCAAGCGCACTGCCACCCCCGGTGTGGTCGGCGGTGTTCAGCTACGCCGCCTCCCTCGGGGCGCTGGTGGCGCTGGAGCAGGGTGACCCATGGGTCGGGATCTACCTGGTGCGAGTGCTGGAGGCCTGGACGGCGGGGGCGGGGGCGGGAGGACAGGTAGGGGGAAGGAGGCGTGGCTGGGGTGGTCCCTGAACGTGAGGGAGCGTGAGGGGAGAATGTAAGAGCGGAATGTGGTTTGGAAAGAAAGGCGGAGCAGGTGTGGGCTCCGCGTTGGTCACATGGCGGCCACGTTGTTATGCGGGGCTGCATGCTTCCAATGCTTGGGTCTTCATGCCAGGCAACCCCCACTCCACAGTGTCGATCTGCCGGTGTTATACACCTGCAGTTCATTTACACGGTACAGCAACACAGCGGCGATCATCCCCTCCTGTATCACCGCACCATGCACACACACAGGGTCCGGAGCCGCCCGTTGCCCCTGCTCGCCTCGCCGCCGAGGTGTCGGAGGCGCTGGATGCCTGTCTGGCGCTCCCGGCGGTGTACGGCAGCAGCCCGGCGGAGGTACGGCAGGTGCTGCAGGAGCTGCTGGCGGCGCCGCCGGGAAGCCAGTGGCTGCAGGTGCGAGAGGGGGGATGCTTGGGGAAGGAGACGCGGGGAACAGGGAAGGCAGGTCTAGATTTTGAGTCGGCCAAAGGCTTGCGGGGCTATGCAGCCTCGCAGGGTACCTAGCTCGCTACCTCGCGTGGTGTTCATTCCGGATGCCCGCCACGTCCGCCGCTTTATCCGCTTCCCGCCCGCAAGCACCATTCCCCCAACCCCCCTCCGCACAGGGCACCCTTCAGTCCCGTCTGGGGGCTGCCGAGGCGCGCATGCAGTACCCGCAGGGCCCCGCGCCGCCCGCCTCACCCGCCCGGTCAGCACGCTCGCTCTGCCTGCCCAACGGCAGCAGCACCGGAGGCGACGGTGCGGCGGTGGAGGGCTCCGCCAGCCTCCCCTGGCACGGCAGCGGACGGAGACTTGCCGGCAGCGGCGGTAGCATTGGCGGGCTGCGGCAGGGCCCGCTGGATTTGGGATCCACGGGCAGCCGAATGTCGGGAGCCGGCATCGGCGCTGGCGGCGGCTCGTTGGCGGCGGCGCTCGCAGCATTCGGCAGTGGCGGCGGCGGCGGAGGTAGCAGTGAGGCCGCGACCCACGGGTCATATGGCCTGCTGGAGCTGGCTCGCGGCCCTGTGGTGGTGGCGGCTGCGCATGTGCCGTCCCGCTACTGTTGCTCCACCACCACCTCCTCAGCCTCGTCCTCCTCCTGCACCACCTCCGTCAGCCCCTCCCCGCCTGCCCCCAGCAAGGGCCAGGCTGCGAGTGCGGGTCTGTCCGGAACGGGCTTGGGTCCGTCCGCGGGCTCAGGCGGCGGGGTTGCCACGCCTCGTTCCGTTGTGAGCGGCTGTGTGGTGCGCGGCGCGGCTGTGCTGCTGGAGGATGGCAGCAGCTGGGTGGGGCTGAGTGAGGCTGTGGCGCTGCGGAGGGCTATGTCGTACAGCCCGCTGGGGACCGGGCAGCTGCTGCGGTTGCCGTGATGTGGAGGCGAGGTCGCGGGAAACAATGGCTGAGTACTGTATTACTGGTATTGTAATTGTGGAGGTCGGGGAAGGTGAAGGCCAAGGACCAAGCTGCTCAGGTGAATACTTGGATAAATCGTAAAGTAGGTTGGTGTGGTTACGACGCTTTATGTTAAAGACAATGCAGGATCACTGCCGCTTTGGGACTAGCGGACAGACGTCGGTGTACCTAGCTCGCTCGCATGCGTCGAGTTATCTATGTGGCGAACATGGCACCAGGGTGCCTTGCTGCATGCAGATGAGGAACGCAAGCGGGTTGGCGTGTGGAGTGTGTCAACCTGTGCGTTCCGGGGCATCCCCTGGGTATGTGTGCATGTTACGACTTAGGAGGTGTACTTATCTTGGACGGTTACAGTACGTCAGCTCGGCAAGTAAAGAAGTAATCACTCTTGGTACGGCCTAAGGCGTTCATTACAATGTTGTGGAAGGGGTGTAAGGCCTGGGGATCTGCCCAGAGTGTATTTATTGCGTGACACGGCAGACGGCATGGCACTACCCTTGACTGCCAACCAAGTCACATGAGGACGTGTTACACGCTTGGACTATAACACTATGTTAATGTGCCGATGTCGGGTATTTGGAGAATCCACTATGCGGGGAATGATGCGCATGAATAAACAATGCAAGTGCAGGCCATGCTTGCACAATCAATGACGGCACATTGGGCCTCGCTTCGTGGCATCTGAGTGGCTGGGTGCCAGCGGGCCTGGAGCCGGGCGTGTGCTGGATGCCGGGAGGTGGCAGGTGGGCATGCATGCTGACGTGAGTGGCTGGCAAAGGGGATTTTGCTTTTGCTCCCTGGGCGATTTGGTGCTTTGGTCCGTTGAGCTGGCTGGGCTGCCAGTTCCTCATGTCTTTTAACGCACTGCCCTCGACCAGTAAAGCTGGTCTATAAAGCAACATGCGGTGGTGGTGATGCGCTGGTGTGCCACGGTGGGCGGTGTGTGTGTGTATGTGTGTGTGCAACAGTTTTTTGTGCACGCATGCAGGCGCCTCCAGTTGCAGCCTGTCTATGTGGCTGCAGCGTTGCAGTGATGCCTTCCCCCCTAATGGTAGGGTATGTTAGGAGGAACACGCCTGAACAGCGTAATGGCGTCCGGCGCTGTGTGATTGCGAAGGATGACGGGGGTTGTTAAGAACCTAACCTATGTCCAACAGGATCGTTCGTTCCGTGCCCGTATATGGAACTGGTATATTGCACTAGGGGTATTAGTAACTTTGTAGGCGTACGGCGGCGTGGATGCGCGTTGCGGTCCATCCGTCCCTGGCGGCGCATAGGGACAACGCATATTTACCACACTTCAAGGTATTGACAATCTACGTCACGTAGCCGCCTAAGACTGCATTGTGGACCTTAATAACATATTGTCGGTTTCGCGCTGCTCGTGTTATGTACGGCAACGTGCTCGCTGCGGATTGCACATTGAGCACTATCCTGCAAGGACCGTTTTATAATTCACATGATCAGCAAACGTGTTTCCTTTCTATCTGAAGGTATAACTCACTCCTTCTTGGATAGTATCCACTTCGCCGTCTAGATAAGTTAGGTATGGCGTTTTAGAGCTGAGTTACCCGCCCTGCATGACTGTCACTTACACTCGAAAACTAGAGGACAAAGGGCCGCCGCCGGCTTGTAAGCTCTGGGAGAAGAGATGCCGACGCTGACCCTTTGCCGGCGTGCCAACAGCCTTCCAGCGAATGCCGAGGAGCTGCTCGCTTCTTCACCTCCTTCCCAGCGCCTGCCGCTTGTGCAAGATGAGGTAAGTGAGGGCCTCTATCAGGTTTTGTCATCGCCGGTTTTTTCTTGCCTGGCTGCTGTATCTGTTAAGCTATCAAACTAATCGGCAAGTAACACCGAAATTACGGGAACGTTTCTGGTATTGGAAGTACGTCTGCTGGAATGGACTAGAGTTGTCCCGATGACCGGACGGGGTGTTTGGCTTTAGCCGATGGTCTCCACGTATTTTAGATCATCATGAATATGCCTCCCGCTTCCACCCGCCAATCAGGACAAGGCTGCAACATCGCCAGCGGTTGCGTTCCCTCGCAGCCCCAGTGCAAGCGCGACCTTTAGCCCCGTTTTCGACCTAGAGTTAGGAGGCAGCTGTGCGAATACGCCACAGGATCATCACCATCACAGGACGTCGCGTTATGACCGCGACCGCGACCGCAATTGCGCGGGGCCAGCCGCAGTTGGACGACCGCAGCCGGCACTTCCAACGGCAGCATCACGGCATCAGGTCCAGTTACAGCGTGTAGCTCTGGGTGCAGCGGCTGCGCCTGGCCTGGACCGCAGTCGGAGCGACCTGCAGGTCATGCTGTCACACCACCAAGGAGCCAAGGCGGCAGCTGCGCAAGGAGCGGAGCCGCTGACTCCTACTGGCGAGCGTTTGGTGGAGCTTTGTAAACCGTCAAACGAGCTGGAGTTGGATGTGAGTGTTGGATTGAGTTGAGGCTTGCTGGTTTGGCTGGTATGCTTGTCCCTGGGCCTGGCAAGGGCCCGGAATAACGCACCAACGGTAAGGTGGGTATCCACAACTTCTTCTTACCACTCATCCCCTTTCCCACCCTGTCTTCCTCTTCCCTCTGCAGTTGGCACGCCGCTTGCGCGCATTCCGCAACGCCCGCATCGTCAAACCCCACTCCACCACCAGCACAACCACCACTGCAGTTCCCGCAGCCCCAGTCAGCTCGGGCAGCGACACCGGCTCCGTGCTGTCCACCGCTGCCGCCGGGGTGGCCGCAGCCGCCCCCACGGGTCCCACTCCAGGGGAGGTTGAGGCACTCGAGTTGGAGCTGCAGTCCGCCGGCTTCGTGGTCCGCATCCTGGACGGCACGCGGCTCAGCAAGGACGCGCGCTCCTGCCTGCGCACCCTCAAGCACCGCTTCCTGGTGTGCCTCGGCTGGAGCCCCCGGGCGGGACAGCAGCAGCAGCAGCAGCGGGGGGTAGGATTGGAGGGTGCCGGTGCCGGGGTCGGTGCGGCGCCATTATCCCAGCAGCAGCAGCAGCCACCGCAGCAGCAGCAGCAGGTTGCCCTGACGGAGCCGCTGGTGGTGGAGGTTCGCTTCCGGGAGCAGTTCCTGATCGCCAACCCCACCCGGGCGTACGAACACATGCTGCTGGTGGGTGGGTGGGCGGGTGGGCGGGTGCACCGGGGGGCCTGCAGGGTGTCTGTACGACGGTGCTGCCCCTCCCAACCTTTGCAAGGCCTTTGCAAGCTGATGTTCAGATATCTGTTGGTGCTTGGACAATTCATACCCGCCCAGCAACAGTCACGCCATCTCATGTCGTTCCTTCTTTGCCTCCCTCCCTCCCTCACTCGCTCCCGCCCTTCAGGCCCTCCCGGTAGTCTTCGTGGGCCCTCTGCGGCGGCTGGACGCGGCGGTGGAGCTGGTGGCAGCGGAGGTGGCAGCTGTGTTCCGGCAGGCGGGCCGGGCGCTGCCTCCCTGGCGCACCAAGGGCGCCATGCTGTCCAAGTGGGCGCCGGAGCAGCTGGCGGAGCTGGGCAGGATCATGCAGCGGGTGCCGCTGGTGCAGGTAAGGGGGGGGGAAGGGGGGGCTGAGGATGCGGAGAGGGAGATGCGAGGAGGGGTTGCATGAAGTTGCTTGGGTCGTTACTCGGTCAGCCGTTTACCTAAATGCGCGCCCCCTTCCTTGTGTTCATCTTGTGTTGTTGACTCCGCAGCTGGGCGGCAGCAACGGCCCGCTTGCACCGCAACGCGCCTCCTCGCATGCCTCATCCGGGGTGTACGGCTTCATCGACGTGGAGGGGGCCGCTCCCAGCGCGGAACTGGACTCCAGTGAAGACAACGTCACCCCACGGAGCACCAGTGCACCGCTGGAGACCGTACGACAGGCGCTGGGAGGAGCTGCTGCTGCGGCGGCGGCGGCCGGTGCTGTGGGCGATTCCGCCGCCAGCAAGGGCAGCCTTGTTGACATGGAGGATGGCGAAGTGGGGCAGCTGGTGTACGACCAGGCGTCAAGTATCAGTCAGCCAGACCTGCTGGCGGACGCGGGGGTGGTGGTGGGCATGCGCCCGGCGGATGGCCCGTCTCCCTGGATGATGCCGGAGGGACGCATTCCCGTCGCCCCGGACACCACCGCCACCGCCGCTGCTGCAGCTGCTGCCGCAGCAGCCGTTGCGGGAATAGCAGGAGGAGGTGGCGTGCACCCACAGCCCGGCGGCATTAGCGGCTCCAAGCATGGTGGTACGGCTGCTGCTGGTGACAGCGGCTGCACGTTGAGTTTCCCGCTGCTGCCGGAGTTGGTGGTGCCTAGCTCCGCGGCGCTGCTGGGCCCGCTGGCTCCACCCACGGCTCCTCACCCTCAGCACCAGCAGCAGCTCCCGGGGGCCAGCTCGCAGCAGGCCCAGCCGCAGGCTCGCAGCGTCTTCTCGCCGTTTGCCACCGTTTCCTCGCCCGAGTGGCGCGAGTGCGAGGGGCCGGGTGAGCGGGATGCGGTGGAGGTGCCGCAGACGGCAAGCAGCATGCAGCTGCCGGAGTTCACACTCAAGGATGCGGCGCTGGGGCTGGCATGGCACCCACACCACCCCCAACAGCACCAGCAGCACCCCCATCAGCAGCAGTTGATGATTGCGGCGGGTCGGCCAGCCGCCGCGGCGATGCCGCAGCCAACGCCGCCGCGCGCCATGCCGCTGCAGACAGCAGCAACGGCTGCGACGAGGATGACGGGGCCGGCAGCGGGAGGAAAGCCGGGGTACATGCTTGACCTCCAGCCGCTTGCTTCGGGTGCGCTGGGTCTGCAGAATCCGGCTTACGCCCACGCAGCGGCGGGTGTGGCGGCGACTCCTTGCTTTCCCGCTGCTGCCCATCCAGCCAACGACCCGGCGGCTGGGGCCGCTGCTGGCAAGCCCGGTACGACCGACACGGCGGCGTCAACCGCAGCGGGGGCGGCAGCAGCAGTAGCTCCCCCGGCCAGTGGCGTCTTCCAGATGCCCGACCTGCTGCGCATTACCCGGCGCTCCAGTTCGGATCTGTCACGGGCGGCCAACAAGTTCAAGAACGCCAAGTCCCTGCTGGCGACGGCGCTGCGGCGCGCCACTGGTGGCAGCAGCAGCGGCAAGGCGGATGGAGTCAGCAGCAGCGGGGGCGGCAGCGGTGCGGCGGATGGCTCTGTGGCGCAGGTCGGCCTGGATCGGGAGTCACGGGAGAAGGAGGGCGGGCGAGCCGGCGGCAGCAGCAACCAGCCCCTCGCTGCATGCGGGGCGGCAGGCGGCAAGAAGGGGCTGGGGGGGGCGGGTGGCGGGGGCACGCAGGTAGCGCTGGCGGGGGGCGTCATGACGCGCCCGTCGGGGGATGAGCCCCCTTGGGCGCGGATAGCCACTGTGAGGTGGGGCCAGCCTGCTGCTGGCGCGACTGCGGCTGCGGGTGGTGGTGTGGGAGCGGCTGGGGGGGCGGCTGGGGGGCGTGGTGGGAGGTAGGGCGAGGTGGCTAATGTGTGAGGTGGTTGGGCTGTAAGGGTGTTGCGCACGCGCTGGTTGGGCTGGGGGCAGCAGGCAGCCTAGCCGGCGTTGGATGTTGGCGTGAGCATGAGGCGTGAGAGGCGTGAGATGACCTTTTGGATGGCATTGGAAGTGGCTTCAGGGAAGTACATAACAGTAAAGAAAACGGCCATGGCATTGTGGTTTGGTGGGAGGGGTGCAGGGCCATTGGGCATACAACACCTCAAGTCATGAATTGTCGTCGTTGGTGAACTTGATGGTAGTATGCGATGTTGTTTTGCCTTGAAGTGGAAGACATGGTTGTAGATTCCTTTGGTGGCGCGCTGTTTGAGCCTGCAGGCGCAATTCAAGTGCGGGGAACGGTTTAGGCAGCTGTTGTTGTGGTGTTGGGATGACGGAGTGCTGTCGGTGTGCTGTCGGGGTCCAGACGGTGCACACGCAAGTGCAGGACGGCCCTTGCAGACAAGTGCAAAAAAGGGAAAGTTGTATGGTGCAGTAGCAGAAAACATAACACCGTCTGGCGTTGGTTGCTCAATTCATGATATCACGAAAGATCACTGCTTGGGTAGTTGCGTTGGGTGAACGGTACGACGTTCCTGGAGAGGCTCTTCTGACGGGTCCTCCGAGTTTGTGACTGGCTGTGTACGCTCGCGGCATGGAATCCATCCAGGTGCATTGCGTACACACGCCGTGCATGAGGAGACGGGATGGTCGTGCTGGCATTGTCCGTGCGTCCGCCACGCCAGCTGGTGATTGCGTCCATATTGGAGGCATGTGTCAGCCAGGCGGCCCCATCACCCACCGACCCACATACCCGGTTCACGGCGGCACGCAGCTGTGCGCCGGGAACAAGGAGGGGGTATTGTTCGGGTCTGGGTTGGGGGAGCTCACTTCTCGAGGGCCCTTCTTGGTAATTACGCAAAGCCAGGTGTGGTGAAAGGAAGGTTGGTTTTTAGTGTGAGTTTTGTGTAGGGGCGCCAGCCTGCTTTGCGTTCTTGGGTTCCTCTCTTAACACATGTCCACGTCCGTAGGCGCTTGTGGGGTTTTAAGAGTTGTGGTTTACAGCTGGCGCGTTTGCGCTGATTGTTCTAGCTGGTTATTCTAGCTGATTGTTCATGCCCGGCAGTCCGGGTAGGGGGTGTGAGGGGGCTTGAGGCGTTGAGGGCGGTTCCGCACTCTTGACGTATTGGGGTTGTTGGATTATGTCCAACAACCCCAATATTGTTGGGTCATGCCGGGTAGCAAATCCACGCCATGTGCGTCCCATGGTGTTTGGCTAGCTGCGGGGGGGAGTGTGTGCTCGTGTGTCCAAACAGTGTCAAAAGGGGTTTCTACAAGGATGTGGTATTGGCTGCGCATGCCCTGCCCGTTGTGCGGCAGTTATAGGTTCTGATGACGCTTGGTGAACTACAATTGGGCCTTTTGGTGAGTTGACAGCTTGGCCGCTAAACCAAAAAAAGTATGCTTTGTCTTGCAGTTATACAGTCGGAAAGCAAGCGTGTTCTTGCTCCGCTACCGCCGGTTTTCCACAGACGTCACGGGTGGTCATGCTCCTTTAATCCGCATATAATTTTATTGACCACACATGCGTTTTTAGGCGGTGACCTGTCAATTCCCCGTACCTCTCTTGCTGTGCCCGGAATCCCTTTTTTGCGCTCAAGGCTCGTGTGCAGTCACGTGAGTCAGGATGCGTTGTCGGGCTGTGTGGTAGGCTGAGCTGTGTCCCTTTGAACTCCCTTCTCCAAGTGCCCTTCCCCCGTAGATTGCTGTTTGTTGCATGGGCCAACACTCTCCAGTGTCGTGCGTGCGTTTGATAGATACGCTTCATGTGGTGTGTGTGGTATTCTTGCGAATGCCGGTCGGTGGGTTTTTAATCCGGACGAGGAGTCGTTTAGAGGAGCTGCCGTTTCATTGTGCAGGCGGCAACGTCGAACGGTTGTTGGCGGGCGCGCTTTAATTTGCTGTTGCGGTGGTGTTTGGCGGCTGAGGCAGAGGCGGGAGCCATTAATAAATAGCGTAGGTGCCGCATTGGGCTGTTTCGCATTTCTATTCCTTATAAGAACCTGCGTTCCGTCCTCACGGCTGTTGTTTGCTGGAGCTGGGGGTGTTTCCACGTGTGTGGTGTTCTCTGCGAGTGCAGCTTGGCGCCTAGAACTGGGGACCCGCGCTGCGCTGCTGGTGCGCACGAGTGATATGCGCCCCTGCAACATGGGTCGGATGGGGGCGCGGAGGTGTCATGATGGGATGGGATGTGGCAGGCTGGCGTGCGCTGAGGAAGGCAGACCGGCGGCGGATGGATGGGTGACGATGAAGGGGAATCGGGTAGGAGGTGTGGATGTGCAGCATGCGAGGGGGGGCGAGGGGTTGTGGTGGTGAAGGCGGCCGCAGGCGGAGGAGGCGGCAACTGGGGGTGGGCTGTTTGCTGTGTGAGATGACTGTGTGAGAGGAGCGGTGCGGACTGGGGGGTCGTCACATGCGGCGTCCCGTCCACCCCAGAAGGAGGTTAGTGCGTGCGTGCAGGTGTGTGTGGCTTGGCATTTCATAGTTTATGGTCCGGGAACGTGAGGGGCTGATGGCTGTGGTCAATCGCCTTGCTTGGGTCGTGTGGCCCAGTTAAACTAGGGCTGCAGGTTGGTGGAGAAAATTTCGGATCCGGTTCGATTGCAGGCGCAGTGTAAGCGCGCCTGCCGTTTCCTGTTTAGCCAGTATTTTGCTGCCGTACATGCTGCCGGTATTCCTCACAACACGCTTCGAGCGGGCAATTGGTGATCCGCAGCGCTCAAGCACACTCGCACAAAGCGATCCGGATCCGCAAACGGGCTAAGCAGGGCAATAAGCACAGGACGTCTCATTCCGTCTAACTGCATTCACAACTACGGCATACACCCCTTTTCACCCAGCTGCAACCTCTTGTTGCGGTAAGAAGAGTGTGCGATCAACAACACTGCAGTTGGATGTCCACAACCCTCCTGTTGGCAAGGAGTGCCTACCACAGGAATGCCATCCACGGCAAACATGAGCTTCTGTCTAAAGCATCTACAATACTAGCCCTTGTGCTTGTGCTTGTGATTGCCCCCCTGCATCCTGCATCCCCAAAGCAACACCCCCAATCCACTCCTGCACATGCAAGCATGCAAATGACTCATCCTGCTCAATTCACAGTACCTGACGTCCCGGGTGTGGTGCCCCAAGACACAGCATTTACCCATTTAATCCCACATTTCCAAGTCTGCCCTGTTCATGAGTGCTTCCGAACAAACAAGAACAATAAGGGAAGCGCCACATGCCTTCCGTCCGGAAGACCGGCGAGACAGTCAAATGGCAAGTAGCAAACCCCTGCAGCACCTACCAACCCTACCGGCGGCAGCACCTACCGACATCCAGCCAGCACCTGCTGCCTGCGCCGGCTGCGCGTCTGTCTAACCACGCCACAACAGAAAACCTCCTCCCCCTCCGCCTCAACATCAACATCAACAGCCGTCTCAGCTCGCAGGGCGGCGGCGAGCTTCGCTCAGCAGTGACACCGCCGCCGCCGCAGCTCAACACCGCCTGCTGCGCCGCTCAGCAGTGCCGCAGCGTGAAGCCGCATATGGCCGCCAGGATGATGTAGACCAGCAGCCCCGTGGCGGCGCTCACCACCAGCCACAGCCGCACGTTCTGAGAGGCGGTGAGAGGGAAAGAGGGGGCAATGAGAGGAAAGGGGGCAGTGAGAGGGGTCGGGGAATCAGGGGAGGCGCCATTCGGGTCGGGCCTGGCTGGCCGCAGCCCTCGCCACCGCATGCCTCCTCGCATGCCCTCTGACTCAGGCGACCTCCCGACAACAAGCCCCCTGGACAGCCCCCTCCACTTGCCTTCCACCACAGCGTGTGTTTGAGTCGCCGCGCTTCCCGTCTGAAGGCCAGAGACACCTGCTGCAGCCCCTCCGTCTTGTCAACCTGGGCAGCAGGAGGGGGGTGGTGGGGCCAGGGGCCCGGGGCGTGTAGGGGTGCAGCAGCAGCAGCGGTGAGGGGAGCAGCAGGAGCAGCAAGAGAAGGTCCGGACGAGGACGGATCAAGGGGCCCCGGAATGTGCACGCGGGTGGGCCAATTTTGGGACCAGTTTTGGGACCATAGAAATTAAAAACAAAAAAGCAGGGATTCACAAGGCAGAGGGAGGGTTAGTGGCCCTGCGGGTGTGCAGGGTGGTTCGGCCCCAGCACAGAGCGAGCAGTGGGGTAAGATGACATGACGTGTTGAAGCGGTTGAGGAGCTCGCACGCACGGAGCGCATACACGTGCGCAGCCTAGGCACCCCAAGGCCGCCGGCACCCGCACCGCCTCCCAAGCGCCCCTCCCCCTCCTTACCAGCAAGTCCAGTCGCTCCCCCCGCTCCAGCACCTTTTCGATGTTCTCAATCATGATGTGCTTCACCTCCTGGAGCTCGCCCTGCAGGGGGCGGTGGGAGCGGTAGCGGCGGTGGGAGCGATGGTGGGAGCGGCAGCGGCAGAGGAAGCAAAGCCCAGCTCAGCTGTGCACAATGTGGGCACCCTCCTCCACCGCCATCCCAACGTAACCCGCCACGACGTGCCATTATCGGTACATCCCTCCCGCCCACCTTGACTCTGTTGATGGCGTCTGCCGCCGGGTCGCTGAAGAACGCAGCTCGCTCCGCCAGCACCCGGCTGAACTCCGTGTTGTACTCGTAGGCAACCGCCTGCAGGAGGAGAGAGGGAGGAGGGGGGGGGAGGGGGAGGGGGGGAGGTAGGAAGGGAAAGGGAAGGGGGATGAAGCGGCTGGTGCGGTAGCGGCGATGGCGGCAGCGCGCTTCATGCTGGGGAAGGAAGGACCACACCGTTGCCTTTCCTCCTATGAACTACACTCCCGGGACTAGGTGAAGAAGATATAGATAAGGTTCCCGCCGTCCCTCCTGCTCGGCTTCCCCTCCCGTAGCCCCGCTTCCCCTCCCCCCGCACCTCCTTGGCTGCCGCTCCATACATGCCGGCGAAGCGCCCCCTCACGTCGTCCAGGAAAGCGAAGGGGATGCGCCGCCCGAAGGACTGCGGGGAAGAACATGCATGCGCGCATGCATGCATGGCGCAGTGGATGGTCGGACACATGCAATGTATCCATGTCTCCATGTGTGGAGCCAGGCAGGCGGGCAGGCAGGCAGGCAGGCTTGCACCGGAGTCCCCAGCTCCCCGCTCCTCCTCCCTGCCCCCCCCCCATGCCTTATCACACAGCCAGTTAGTTGTTTCCTCTTTACCCCCCTTCCCCTACCTCCCCACCCACCTCCTCCGCCACCGCCATGTATGTGATGCCCTCCGCCACCATCACGTGGAACATGTGCCGCTCCTGGGTGTAGCTCACTCGACTGCAGGGGGGGGGGCGGGGGAGTGTGGGGGGTTAGGAGTAGGAGGAGTAAGAGATGGGCAAAAGACGGGTTACGGAAGGCAGGGCCAGAAGGAAGAGGCGGGAGGTACCGGTATAGGGGCGCCCTGCGTGCTGGGGAGCACAGAGGGGGCTTGAAGAGGTCCGCCCGTGAGAGGACTTGGCGGGCTGCTGCATGTGATGTTCTGCAACGCCTGTGCGTATCTTCCCGCCCCTCCTGCAACACCCTCCCTCCCCTGCTCACGTGTCCTCATGGGGCAGCTTCTCCAGGATGCGAATTGCGATGACACTTGCATTTCCGGTGATGACGCTGAGGTGGCGGGCAAAGACGTTTGGTAAGGCGAATGTAAAGGTGCGCGGAATCCAGGGAATATGAGGTATGAAGGTCACGGTACCGAAGTGCGAATTGTGCCAGAGGCTCAAGCATAGACAAAAACGGCGGGAACTTCGAAATAGGCTGGAGGTAACACTGCACAAAGGTGTGCGACCCAGGCCATGCAAATGCAGGTACGGTTGGCTGGTGCCACACCATCTGCTTTATGGTCCCATGCTAGAACAATGCGTTTAATATCCCAGTGTTTATACCTGTGTTCTGCGAGAACCACCTGTCCCCTTGCCACAAGGCTGTAGAGGATGCTGCCGGGCATTCTGCCTCGACTTCCCACCTCTCAGCGCAGGAGGCAACTATGAAACGAAATGTTTTAGGTTTTGCTGCCTAAAGCGTCTACCTAAAGGATTATGATCTAATTCTAAAAAGGGTTGAGAGTCGCAAGTTAGAAACGGCTTGCCTAAAAGCGGTCTGGTTTCAAGTCATATGCCGCATAGTTTGTGTAAAAGGTTGCCATTCGTTGAAGGCGCGCAAGCAAGTATTCTGTTCCTAGTTCGGTATGACGACATCGTACGTCTAGAAGTTGATCTCTGTGCCAGCTTTTGGGAGGATGGTGTTTCGACAGGTCGTTACGCGAGCCTACGCAGTTTCCATGGTTGCGAAACGACACACCGTGCAGCAGCTGGCAGCAGCGCATGCTGCAACCTTTGAGCCCCTGCTCCATGCCCCATGTATGCACAATGACACTAGCGGTCCTCAAACCACCTGTAAGTGTTTCCCCCTTATAAGGGTAAGATTCGTCACCTGAGTTTGCTTTAAGGGATTATTGTATATGAAATCGCAGCCCCCAATGGCCCACATTCCAATGCGCCACCCACTCCTGAAGCAAGCACGCATGGTTTACAGCGGTAATTGCCAGCACTTTCGGCGCAAAGGACAAAAACATGGTTAACAGGAAGAAATCCAGACCTGCAAGCCAAGGCAGGGCGAGCTAGATGCATAAACAGCATACGTTCGTACCAAGCAACTCGCAGCTGTTCCTCAGCGAAGGCAGCATGAGATGCATGTTCTACACCTATACTCCTATCTCCATCATACCGACTCGCAGACGCAATGCCAAGTCAACCACAGACGACCGTTTGGACGCGCGTGTAGAGGTCCTCAAGTATCGGCTTCAGTGTCAACCGCCGTACATGTGCGACAGTGTACGACGGCAGAGTCCTGTGTACGGTGTCCGCACGTCATTGCCGCAGCACACGAGCAACTCCCCCAGTGGCAACGATAATAAATGGTAGTGGCAACAATCTTTATGGGTAGTGGCAATACATGTATTAGTGGTGACAACAACATGATATGATACCTGTACGAACAGTGCGTCCCATGAAACCAAATGCCACATGTTTGTGCGTGCCACGTTGCAGGGCAATGCGTGTTAATACGTGTGGCACAGCAGGCAGGTAACCCTCTCCGGCGTAACCCCACAACCGGCTGACCCACGGGTCATGTGCGCGGTTGGCAGTCACCAGCAACCGCCAATCCATCCATCCAGGTACATCGCTGCATGCACCAAAGCCATGTATCGGCACACACAGAACGAACACATCCGGAGGTACGAGTTACATGTGCAATGAATGCGTTGTAAACCAGGATGTATGAAGGTAGTTACCAGGCGGTCAGCAGTAGGAAGGAGGAGCCACCGAGGAAACATAGATAACGCCAACAATCCTGTGTATGTGAAGGGAATATACACCACACGCAACATTGAAGACCTGCATTCGCACACAGATAGAAACCGCCGCATGATAAGATGATGATGATGACATGACGAAGAGTTACGCGGTTGCATCAACGGAGTTAACCACCGTGCGTCCGCATGGCATGCGTTTGCTGATCCATCCCATGACATCTCGCCTCGAGGGACGGTGCCCTGCCTCGGCCATACAGTCCCGCGCAGCAAGAAACCTCCAATATAGCGGTACAGCAACTGCTACGTGCGCGGTCGAAGTGCAGACTCTAGAGCTGTCCAACACTAGAGGGACCCAAATATCTGACCAATCCGTGCTGCCGCCGGTCGCTGTCGCAGCACCGCCTCCTGCCACCACCACCAGCAACACCGCCCCCAGCACTGAAGGTACGCACATACGCATGCACGCATATCCCAGCCTCCCACCCACATACCCTCATCCGGGCATCCATGGAGTCATCCACTCATCCCTCTTCGCAAACCACCTTTCGCAAGCCATCATTCCGCACCCACCGTCCTCCTCCAAATGTCGGGATTAGGTATCTCTCCGACCCCCGACTGTGGCCCGTGACCATAACTGCCACGCTCAACCACCGCCAAAAGAAGATAATGAAGTACGCCGGTCATCATCCGCACCAGGCCACGCAGCCCTCACTCGCGGCATCCAACCTGGCACCCCAAGCCCCCGGTGCTCAACCCAGCCCCAGCCAACCCGCCCACAGCTCCTCACTCGCCCTTCTTCCCACCGGCCGCAAATCCCCGCCCTCCTGCCAATTCAAACCCCGCAGCAGCCCCCGCCCCTGCCGTTGCCACCGCCCTCCCCGTCGCTGCCACCTCCTCCAGATACTCCCGCCGCTGCCGGACATCTATGATCGCGCTTATGGCCAAACCCACGCCCGCAATCAGCGCCGCCCCCGCCAGCAGCATCACAGGGCCCACAAAGCCGCCCCACAGCGCATGCAGATGTACGACATCCACAGCCGCCATGCCGATGCCGACAAGCAAGTGCGGAACCAGGCGCAGGTGGGTCAGCAGGGGGGCCAACGCAGCTCGTCCCATGAAGATCCCGAATACGAATCCCACGTCGTCCTGCCGTACATCTAGATCCGGGCGGCTGCATGTGTATGTCAGCAGGCCGAACACGCTCGCCAGCAGTCCCGTACATGCGGCTGCAAGCGTGTCGTACCAGGCCAGGTCGCGCTCCTCTAATGCCGCCTGAAGCTCTACCTCCGCCCCCATGCCCCCACCGTTGCCACGGCTAGTGCCGCTGCTACCCGCTCCATCGTCGCTGCTTCGAGCGCTGCTGCTGCTGCTGCTGCTACCACCACTGGCCGCCGGCCCCTCCCTCTCACTCATCTGCAACGCTCCCTGTTGGCGTTGCAGCCGCAGTCGCCGCTGCTGCAGCAGCTGCTGCTGCACAGCCAGCCTCAGGTACTGCCCCCCAATAGGCGACATGAGCCACAACATGCCCGCAAGGCCCTTCACAAGCGGCTGACTAATGCCGTTCAGGTGCAGCCGCAGCGTCGTCGCCGCCACAGCCGCCAGTCCGAGCAGCAGCGACACGCCCGTCAGGCCCAAGCTGCGGGCGGCTCGCCGGGCCTGCCATGCCGCGTAGGCCGCTTCGCGCGCGGGGTCGGAAAAGCCGCGTAGCAGGCCCACTAGCGCGGCATACAGCACCCGGAGAAACAGCCACGCCGCCGCCAGCCGACGTACGATGATGACGTACATATGACGACCAAGTCGACGTACGACAGATCGCAACCACAGCGGCGGCGACGGCGCGTGCGACTGGGTCGGCAGCTGGGCCGGGAATTGCTGCCGACCCTGGGGTGTGACAGCGGCGGCTGCTGCTGCCGTGCCTCCTGGGGACACTGTGAGGAGCTCCAACGTCTGCCGTACCGCCTCAGCCAGGGGTGCTGCTGCCGCCTCCGCTGCTGCCGCCGTCGTGGGTGCTGCTGCCGCCTCCGGAGTCGGGGAGCCCGGGAGTGCTGCGTCAGCGCCGGCAGCGGCAGCAGGCGCAGCAGCGCTGGGCGCCTCGGTGAGGGCTCCCGCCGCCGGGCTAGGGGCCTGCGGCAGGCCCTCCTCCTCCGAAGGCGGCACCAGCAGCAGCGAAGCTGCAGACATCTGGTCGGTCTCCTCCGCCGCCGCCGCCGCCGCTGGGAGAATTGCGGCTGGCGTCACCGCTGTCGCCGCCGCCGCCGCCGCTGTCAGCATCTCCTCACATGCCGTCATGCCCATGCTGCACACGTACTCCAGCAAGAAGACCAGCAACGCCTCGTCCAGCTGCCCTCCTTGCGGCGTCTGCGCACGCTGCTGCCGCGGCTCCTCAGGCGGTTGCTGGTACGGCGGCGGTTCTCCAGCGGACGGCGACGGCGACGTTGCTTCCGTGGCGGCGGCGCCCGTGGCGACGTCAGTTCCCCCTGTCCCTCCACTCCATGACGTCTGCGGAGCACCCAGCAGCCCCAGCACCAACGCAAGGTCCTGCAGCAGCGGCCGCATGTGATCCGAGTACACCTGGGCTGCGGTGGCGTCGAAACGCGGCGTTGGCTGCGACTGCACGGTCGCCGCCAGCGGCGGGGATGCGGCTGCAAAAATCGTCGCCTCTGCCGCCGCCGCCGCAGCGGCCTCCGCGCCCTCCGCCTCCAGTCGTGCTTCCACCATGGTGCGCCAAAGGCTGCGGAGCTCCCCGGCGGCGGCTGCAGGTAGCAGCAGTACGGCGGTGGAGCCCAGCCAGTTCGCCACTGCTGACGGAACGTAGCCGCCGCCGCCGCCGATGCCGCCGGCGCCAGTGCTGCTGCTGCCGGCGCCGCCGGCTCCGGCGCCCCCAGGTGGCGCAGGAGGTCTCAGGGAGGCGCGGAAGAGGTGCAGATGCACGAAGCAGCCTCCGAAACCATGCGGGAAAAGGCTACTGCCAGCGGCGGCAGGGGTTACAGGTACATGTACGGCATGGGCCGGTAGCAGGACGGAAACCCGTCCGGCTTCCGCATCCACGCCGACAGGGTCCAAAACCAGCCGGCTAGCGGCGTCGCCGCCGCTGCCGCCGGCGCCGGCGGCTATGGCGGCAGCGGCGGAACGGCAGGTGGTGTCAGCGGCCACCAGAAGTGCGTCGCCGGATGGGCCCCACCTGCCGCTATCGGCATCCATTTGAAAGTCACCGCCTCCGCCGCCACCGCCTCCGCCTCCGCCGCCATCGCCGACGAAGGCGATACCGTGTGGCGCGCGCGGCTGCGTCCGCAGCGTCGCCGGATCCAGCAGCAAGTTTACGAGCCAGCCCGACGGCGCGGCGCCACTCGTCGCCTCTGCTTGCGGTACGACAGAGGCCGATTCCGTCAAACCCTCCTCCAGTGCCGCCACGGGAGGATCCGCGTAGACAAGGTACGGCACCGGGCCCTCCGCTCCGCCGCCGTTGCCACCGTCACTTTCCACAGCTGCAGCACCAGCGGCGGCGGCTGCAGTCTCGTCGTCGTCGGCGGCGGCAGCTGCAGAGGAATCGGTTATTGTGGAGGTGTTGCTCTCGGAGAGAAACGGCGAGGGGTTGTTGTACAGACCTGGGGGGTGCGACACCTGGGGGCCCCTCACGGGCAACGACGTCTCCATGATGGAGGGTTGTTCGCTTGTTGACGTCGGTGAAGACGGGAGCGGGCGGCCTTGCGGTTCCTCCCAGCTGCTGGCCCTCAGCCATGCCTCCCGCTGCTGCTGCTCCACCTCTTCCTGCAGCACCTCTTGCAGCTCCTCCGCCTGCTGCTGCTGTTCCAAAGGTTGTTGCTGAAGCTCAAGCGGGGGCGGTGGCCGCCACGGGCCCTGCGGCTCCCACTGCTGCTGCTGTTGTTCCTCTTGATGAGCCCTTGGCGGTTGCGGTGGCGATGGCGGCTGTTGTTGCTGTTGTGGCTGCTGCTGTTGTTGTTCCTCTGCAGCCCCCATGACGCCGGCATGTGGCGAGGAGAGGGATGAGGACGAGGACATGGCTGGGGAAGGCGTTGACAGCGCCGTGTGACGGGGACGTCCAAGCAGCGGTAAACAATCTCCACACCCTTGCCCGCTGCCGCATGTCGGACCGCCGCCCTCCCCCAGCCGCCGCCCACAACCGATTGCCCAGTGCGGCCTATCCGCTGAAGAAGGCTGCTGCTGCAGCAATGGTGACGGCGGGGGCGTAGGCGCAGTGCCTGACAGCTGCGGTTCAAAGCTCATGCTGCTGCCGCTGCCGTTGCTGGGGCAGCTGCCGCTGCCGCTGCTGTGCCTGTGGCTGCTGGCCTCCTCCCTAGGAGCCCCTAACTGATGTGCACGTAACCGCGCGCCGTCCAACCACTCCTCTGTGTGCCCCACCCGCCCTTCAGCAGTGCCACGGCACTCACCGCCCCCATTGCCCACCAGCTGCAGCTGCTGCTGCTGCTGATGGGGACTGCTGCCCTGCAACAGCAACGCTTCCGCACGAGCTCGGACGCCACGCATGGCGCCGAGGTCAAAGCGCAGGTGCCCGAACGGCGACGGTCTGGGGGACAGGTAGAGCGCACCCAGTGCAGCAGCCGTGCTGGCCTGACGCCTGGGGAGGTCGCCGGCTTGCATGGGCCCAGCAGCAGCAGCAGCAGCAGCGGAGCCGCATGTCCCTGTGAGGCGGTGCAGGACGCTCTCAGAAGCCATTTTGCGGGGAGCACCGCGGCTGCTGCGACGTGTCGGGCCTTGGACAGTTGCTGGTTCGTCGGCAGGAGGCGATGCGTCTGGATTTGACCCATGTGACCCATGGGTCGCAGGTCGCTGCTCCATGGTTTCTTGAAGAAAACGGCACAGGGATGGAGGCCTTCGTGGGCGTTTACAATGGAGTTTTATTTTGTTGTTCGCCCAGAGGCTGTAAAAGGTGCATTGCTGTCGGGGTCGTAAGCTGGCGTATCGATTGTTGCAGTTGGCGTGTTTATTGCTCCAATTTGATAATAAAGTAATGCCACTCCGAAAAAGCTCTTTGGACCAACCAGTGGTCAACTTACGGAGCGCAAGCCCTGTGAAACGTCGCGACAGCGGAAGACGACTGGTAAGTTATTCAGGCTTGCGACAGTTGGAGTTTAAAGCATTGAACAGCAGATTGAAAGGACGGACGACGCGGCCGGTTGGAACTTGGCCTGCTGCTGCTGCTTACCAGGTCAACCTTAGCATACGCCGCGTAATCCTGTCTACTTTGCCAAAGACGCTGAACTGCACCCGGAAACTAAACGCTGATGAGTTATACCGTCTTCTGTAGCAAACCAAGCGCGTTTATATGAGATGGGCATTCATTCATTCAGTGCAGCTTAGGTGGTCGTGGAAGCAAACCACGCTGTTGTTTGTGTACCGGCAGTTGACGGCGCTGAGGGCTTTTAACGCTATGAAGCTTCTTGCCAAATAGCATCTATCTTACATGTGCAGCCCACATGTGCAAGGACCATGTGTGATATCCGATTCGGTACCCGGAAAAATCCAACTTCCGCACCTCACTAGGGTTTATGCATTGTTTGCAGAGAAGTGCAAACTTCTACTATACAACAACGACAAACCGTATGCCAGCGAACTAATTACCAAATGAAACCGCACACATCAAATCTTCCAGCCACTCATTTTCGATTGCGAGGGGAATTGTAACCGTCGCAGCGATAAAAATTAGGCTATGCATTAGCAATCAAAAAACCTGCTTCCGGACAAGCAAAGGAGTCATTTTTACTTCACTAGTATACTAACTTGCCTATCAATACGTTGAGTGAGACTTTGGGATATCGTACTATGGACGCAAGCGATCGCGGGGTATGGCAGTTCCGATTGCAACCGCACCTCTTCCTTCTCCTCGCCGCCACTTCCCCCGATAGCCACCCACCATCCGTTTGCAACCGCCCCCACGGTCAGTAAAGGACAACGTCATCACAACACCCAACACATTACATATTGTTCAATACCATGTGTCCCAAAGCAGCAACAATGTGTAGGACCCCCGTTGCGGGCAAACACTACATAAACGTACCAAACACAGCGCTTGCGCTGCACGTAGCAGGCGGATACGGTAGCCTGCCAACAGAATTTCAGCAACAACGCTAGGATAAGCCCTTCTACGTGACATCCTGTCAGACCGTCATCATGCCCTTCCGCACTCCCGATTCGAATTCAGCAACACCCCCCGCTGCCGCCGCTGCAAACTCCCGACGTTGCCGTACATCAATTGCGCCACTTACGGAAACATTTGCGGCCGCAATCAGCGCCGCCCCTGCCAGCAGCACCAGAGGGCCCACCAATCCGCCCCACAGCACTTGCAAATGTACGACATCCACAGCCGCCATGCCCAGGGTTGTAAGCAGCTGCGCCGTCAAACGCAACTGAGTTGCCAGCGGAGCGAAGATGGCTCGTCCCATGAAGATCCCGAATACGAATCCCACGTCGTCCTGCCGTACATCTAGATCCGGGCGGCTGCATGTGTACGTCAGCAGGCCGAACACGCTCGCCAGCAGTCCCGTACATGCGGCTGCAAGCGTGTCGTACCAGGCCAGGTCGCGCTCCTCTACCGCCGCCGCCAGGGCGTTGCCCACTCCTCCAACTCCATACCCCAACTTGTTGCCGCCAACGCTGCGGCAGCCGGCGGTAGCGGCGACGTTGCCGCCTGGCGCCGCCGCCGATGCCGCCGCCGATGCCGCCGCCGATGCTGCCGTTGAAGCGCCTGCCGCCGCTCCGGCCCCCTGCTGCTGGTCCCCGCCACCTGCCAGAGGGACAGGTGGGATGGAAGAGCAAGCTATCAAGGAGTTCATAAGGAACCACGCGAGCTCCAATGGTGCACGCCGCACTACGGAGGTGCCAACAAGGTTGCGAAGCCATGTGGAGACGCTGCCCGCATCGTACGCGGTCGTCCGTCAACAACCGAAAGAAGGCAGCAAAAGCTATTCATGGTTGACGTTCCGTCGATGCTGCTTGCTTATGGCAGCCTGGTCTAAACAAACACCAGATGGGATAGTATGCATAAAATCCCAGCACTTGCCCATATTAAGGTAGCTACGCCGCTCGCGGCACGCCGCACTGACCCGTGGGTCCGTCGCCCATCCGGTTCCGGTTCCGAAGCCACCGCGCCCGCAGCTGCACAATGCCCAGCCGCAGATACTGCCCCGCCATTGGCGACAGCAGCCATAGCATTCCCGCCAGCGCCTTTACGACTGGCTGACTGATGCCGTTCCATTCCAACCGCAACTTTGTAACCACCACCGCCACCAACCCGACCGCCACGCCCATCGCCAGAGGGGCCAGGCCTGAGGGTGCCTGCGCTGCGCGCCATGCCGCATAGGCTGCCTCCCGCGCCGGGTCGGGGAAGCCGCGCAGCAGGGTCGCACCGGAAAGCAGGAGGCCGCGGCGGAGAGGCCTGCCCAGCGCGACGAGCGAGCCCTGCGGCATTGGCCGGGGAGGCGGTGCAGAGGCGAACGAGTCCCGAGGTTCTGGAAGCTCCGTTCTGGCGGCCGGGGACGGCGTCAGCAGCTGCAGCGTGCGACGGAGAGGTGAAGCGCTGCGGCCAGCAACGGCGGAAGTGACCAGGGCAGCAGCGGGAGCGGTAGCGGCGGCGGTGGTGGCGGAGGCGGAGGCGGATGTCGTCGCAGCGAGGTCGTAGTCGCCGCAGCAAGCGCCGATAACGTGTCGGAGGTCCTCATTAGCCCCATCTTGGCCTTCCGCTGCTGTCCTAAGTGACGTCAGCGGCGGCGGCGGCGGCGGCGGCGGCAGCGGCGCAGAAAGCGCCTCTTGGGCAGTGCTTGCGCCGCTGCTGCCTCTGACGGCGTGTCCATGTAGCATCCATTCCCACGTCTGCCACAGCCCAAGCGAAGCCAAATAGTCCAACAGATGACTCCTCAGGTTGTTCCCGCCGCCGCCGCTGCTGCTGCCGTCCGGCCCCACGGCGGCCGCAGGCGCTGGCGGCGGCGGCGGCTGGGGTGCCGCCGCCACGAGCGCCAAGTCCTCGAGCAGCGGAGCCATGTGCTGACGGAAGGCCTCAGCGGCGGCTGGGCTGTAGCAGCTGGCGGCGGCGCCGCCACGACTGCTCATTTCTCCCGCAGGCGACCAGCCAGACGACGCCGCGGCCGCCTGCTCCGATCCTTCAAACGCAGCTGCGCCTTTCATGTGCGGCAGCCTCCGTCGCCTCTCCTCCTCCTCTTCCTCCTCCTTCTGCTGCTTCTGTGTTACCTCAGCCACCATGGTATTCCACAGCCCTCCCAGCTCCGCTGCCGGTCCCGGCGGCGCCGGGAGCAGCGCCACACTGCCCAGCCACACAGCCGTGGGGTGCTCCCGACGCCACCGCTGCTCGCTGCCCTCGCCGCCGCCGCCAGGCCCACTGCCCATGCTGGCGCTGCTGCCGCCGCTGCAAACGCTGCTACTGCTGCTTCCGCCACCGCCCCAGGCACCCCCTGCCTGCAGGCCCATCAGGTGCAGAGTCAGCAGCGCGGGGGAAGGCTGCGTGATACCGCCGACGGAGGCATCGACATCGTGTGCCTCCATCGGTGCGGGCGCTGCCGCTGCTGCTGCGCCGCTTCTGCGTCTGTCGGCGCCACCGCCATCATCGCCGGTGCCAGCCAGCGTAGCCCGACCCACGACTCCCAGAACGCGTTGCAGGTCTCCGGGCAGCGACAGTCGCAGCATGCCGCTGACGGCGGCCTCCTCCAGTTCCGGAGACGTCGCGGCGGAAGCGCGAGGGGTGCTAAGGCTGAGGCCGGGGCCGGGGCCGGGGCTGGGGCTGCGAGGTGGGCTGCAGCAGCCGACTGGGAGCATGTCTTCGCCGGGCCAGGCAGCCATGGCGGCTTCCGCGGTCGTGTCAATGGCTGCTGTTGCCTTACGGGCCGGCTGGTGGGAAAGCGGGCTAGGAGGGCTCGGGTACACCACAACGGGGGCGGCGGTGGAGCAGGGAGAGGAGGCCAGGACCATGAGGCTCCGCTGAGCTGGCGACGGCGGCGACGGAGGAAGCGGATGGCAAAGAGGGACAGCCGCCGGCGGTGAGAGTGATGGTGTCGTGCGGCAGCCGCCGCCACCGCTGCTGCTGCTCCATGCCGCTAGCAGATCCGGGGGTGCAAACAGGCTGACGGCGTGCGGCGGCTCATGACCAGTTGTGGCGGTGGCGCCGGCGGCGGGGTACGGCAGGACGGCAGGCACGACGTACAGCTCTGATTCAGGCGGCGGAACGTACGGCGCCCTAGCGGCGGCGAAAGCACCCGCCTCCGCCAGCCCAGCGGCAGCTGCGGCGTCCGACGTCGGGCTCCAAAACCTCGACACTTCGCGCAGGCCTAGACTCGTGGCGGCAGCCGTCACCTCCGCACGCATCGTCTCCTGCAAGTCCTCCTCCGCAACCCGCGCAACAGCGAGCGAGTCGTCGTCGGCATCTCCGTCGCCGTCACTGCCGCCGCCGCCGTCGTCGTCGCAGTCGCTGTTGCCGCCGGCGCCCCAAACCCCAATGTGCTCGCGCCGCGCCGTAAAGGCCGTCCTGATGCTGCCGCGCGACGGCACCTCCACGGGACGGCGCGTCGCCGTGTAACGCTTACGTCTGCCGCCGTCGCCGCCGCCGCCAGCAAGACTGCGGATCCTCGCTATCACGGACAACTGGACGCAGCCGGGCAGCGTTAGACACTCCACATCCACCACACCGCCGGGTGCCGTTGTTGTGGTTCCAGCGGGGACGCCTGCCGCTGCAACGGCGACGGCGGCGGCCACGGCCGCTGCTCCCTCTCGCGGCAGCGCTCGAGCCGCCGCCGCGGCCGCTGCGTTTCCGATATGCGCAACGACCGGTCTGTGAGCACCCGCCCCCCGCTCCTCATCATGACCTCCCGCTTCCGCCATCAGCGGCGGGTCTCCCGCAGCAGCAACAGCCGGCGCCGCCGCCGCCGCTGATGTCGACGCGCCACCACTGGGCGACGCCGCCGCCGCTGATGCCGACGCGCCACCACCGGGCGACGCCGCCGCCGCCGCTGATGTCGACGCGCCACCACTGGGCGACGCCGCCGCCGCTGATGCCGACGCGCCACCACCGGGCGACGCCGCCGCCGTTGATGTCGACGCGCCACCACTGGGCGACGCCGCCGCCGCTGATGTCGACGCGCCACCACCGGGCGACGCCGCCGCCGCTGATGTCGACGCGCCACCACCGGGCGACGCCGCCGCCCCCGTTGCGAGCAGGAACGCCCTGCATGCGCTGCGGGCTGCGGCGGCACGTAGGGCGCTGGCGGCCTCGTTGTACGGCATGCCCTGAGGAATCTTGTACTGCAATGACACGGGTGCAAGCAAACGGCAGAAAGGGCGAAAGCTTAGGCGGAGGACAAATGGAAGAAAAAGCATGTGGCATTCAGCCAATGATTGTTAATGAGTAAAAGCACTCCTCACAACCCTTCATAATGACTGCCATACAGCATTGCCAGCATCCGCCTTTTGGCTGCATGTGTCCTGGTCTTTGTGACAACTGCACATCTACGTGTATGGATTTTTTGCCAGGTTCAGATGTTGTTTAGGCCTTACCTTGGCGCTAATTACGACAGTGGTGCGCTGTATGGGCGATGTGTACAGCACGCTGCCACCACGACGACCAACGGCTCTGTTGTTCTTGCCGCTGCCGCCGCCTCCCGCTTCAAACAGCCCCGCTGGCGGCGCCGCTGCCGCTCTTCCTCGCGGCGTTTCTGGCGGTGACGTAAAAGCAGGCACTGGCGGCTCCTGGCGTGGTGACGGCGGCGTCGACGGAGGCGACAGCGGCGTCGGTCGTGGCGCCGGCGGAGGTGGCGCCGGCGCCGCCGCCGCCGCCGCCAGGCCCCCCGGACGAAGACCCCTGTGCGGATGCTGGTTGCGCTCAACGGCTAGCGGAGCGCCTGGCGCCCCTGCATCGGCCCTAACAAGCCTGCCGTACACGAACGAGCGGCCCGAGCGCGCCAGCATGCGCAACTGCTCCAGCAAACGCTGGGCCGACACGCCAGTAAGCGCTGCGCGCAGGAAGCGTATCGGCACCGTCGCATGCCTTGGCCGCAGCAGCAGCCCCTTACAGCGCCGTACAACCGCTGACGCCGCTGTAACGACGGCACCGGCATTGATGTACACGATGGGAGTGCCGTACACCAGGAACGTGGACCAGAGCACCCGCGGCAGCGATGCCAGTAAGGCGCTGCCGGCTGCGGGGTGGGCTGCCGACATTGATGCGGGCACCCAGTCGCTGTCGCCCAGTCCCACTAGCACGGGCGACAGCAGGGAGAAGGCGACGCACGCTACACCGGCCGAGAGCGCCGCAAGGGTCAGGACTTCCGGGCGAACCTGTGGTGTAACGGAGCATGCATACCGGTAGGTTAGCAGTTGGGAAGTTGCCTTCCGACTCCGACGTCTACGGTGGGAGCCTGTAATCGGTATACTTTGGCCCCGAGCAAAGGCGCCATTGATGTTTGCAGGTACTGTTCGGGCGTAGCTTGACCCAACTTGCATGAACCTCCAAAGTCCAATCCTCTCAACCTCATGACCCCCGAAAGTACGCACCTTATGGCATTCGGCGCCCATAATCCCAAGTGCCGTCATCTCGAGCCTTTGCGTTCTCATGGCCGACCAAAGCGCCGCCGCTGACGTCAGCCGCCATCGATGAGACTGACCGGCGCCGTACCGCGCATTCCACAGCATCACTGACACCAGCTGTGCGGCACCACACTTGTATGGCGACGCTGCCAGCATCAGCAGCTCGCGGCAGCGCAGCCAGCCGCACAACAGCTGCCTTGCGGCTGCGCTAGCGGCGCCTCTGCCCGGCTGACGCTGCGGCTGCATAGCGGCATGTGCTGCTGATTTTGAGAGGCACTTCGTCGCCGTTGACGCCGAGGGAAGCGGCGCAGCAGGCGACTGCAGCAGTCCCATTGCGGAGGCGCTGAGAAGTGCGGCAGTCGCGGTGACGATGGTGAGGTGGGTTGTGTACCAGGACAGTAGCACCCAGTCGCCCAGCAGCAGCGGGCGCGTGAGCATGTAGAAGTGCGGGGCGGCCAGGATGTGGCTCAGCTGTGGGAAGGGCAAGGAAGGGCAAAGGAGGAAGGAAAAGTGAGGCTGGCAGGGTGCTGGCAAGCATGAAGCAGGGTGTGATGGAGGGGAGCTGCTGAGGGGGTCTAGCGCCGGTTCCCACGACTTGAGTCATTAGCTGTTGTAATAGCGATTATGAGTATAAACCTCACTTGTAAGACGCGTGTATATTAGGACTCTTTGTACCATTACCTGTAGCATCAGCGTTGCTCCACAAGGGAATCCCGGCAACACCAGTCCCTCCGACCGCTGCGCTTCGCAGCTGATGTCAGCATCCGGATCGCCAGCCACCGCCAGGACGTGCAGGCGCAGAGGTGGCAGCAACGCCAGGAAATACGGCAACATAAGGCACAACACAGAGAAAGCAAGCTCCTTTGCTAGGACCATCAAAGCTGGAGGCTTCGGGAAGGTTGCAGACTTCCCTTCCGGCGGCTGTTTCCCAGCTGGATATTGCATTGAAGCTTTGGATAAATCAGTCAGGCTTTCAGATCCCTGAACCGGGGAAAGCGAGCTCATCCTAGGTCCTTCTCGGACCCGCGGGGCGGCATCTGAACTTTCTGCGCACCTAAAGGCGCTGGTATGTGGCTCAACCTCATCCATTTCATTACAAAACGCCAAAGTTACATGTTGGGTTCAGCATGTATTTGTTTGGCCAGATAATGGCAGGCGGCGGTAACTAAGAGCACATCTCGTTGCAATCGTTAGTCCGCTGGGCGCCCGATCGGATCATTGTCACTGAGCTCATCACGTGTGCGAGGTGTGCATGCTGACGCGTGAATGCTTTACTACGAATGCACGCTGCTACTATGTACAATGCTCAGTGACGAATCCTAAAAAGAACTGTTTAAACCATGCAATAAGTAATGCGCACCGTGCACGTCAGACATCATATCCGTATCACATCCTGTGCCGGCCAGACCGACTCCGGCATACATCACGCCTTTTCCCCAATATATTAACCACCGTCACCACTTTACTCCCAGGGCCACCGGAAGGTAACAATAGCTAAGACGAAAGCGCGCGTCACCCTTCTGCGGGCGCTGCGGCGGTGCTACCCGCTATACTTATGCTTAAAGCACGCGCGTGACTCAGCTTGGGCTTCATCTTGCCGGCCGCCGCCCTTGCGCGCAAATAGTCTCCGTCCAGCTTAGCCCGCATCAGCTTATCGTTCAGCTCAGCGAGCTGGCGCCGTAGGTCGTCAGCCTCGTGTTGGGCTTCCTGTGTGTTGAGACAGACGCAACTAAGTAACTGAAACATGAGCCGATCTCAAGAAATAACGCCTGCCCTGCTCCAAAAGAGCTAGCTTAATAAAGCGCCTTCCTCCGGTCCTTAGCTAGGAAGCACGTTTATGAGAGGTAGGCAGTTGGGCTAAAGGAACAGGCGTCAAAGTGCATGCCAGCCACATACCGCGACAGATATGCAAGGAAAGGAAACAATGCCAACATCCAATAAAGCGCACAGACCGCACCTGTAGCTGCTTCTGCAGCCGTTTCCCAGCCTCCCGGGCCGCCTCCACCTCCTTCGTCAGCGCCTCCACGGCTGCCGCCTGCTGCTGCCTGGCCTCCCGCTCCGAAGCCGCAGCCGCCTCCTGCTGCTGCTGCAGCTGCTTGCGTGCGCGCTTGAGGTCCCGAGTCGCAGTCGCCAGCTGCGACTGGCAGTCCGATAGCTCACTCTGTAGGGGCGAGGGAGGCGGGGGGCAGGGGAGAGGGGTTGAGGAAGCGGCGAAGTGGTGCGAGGGTGGGCAGTGGGCGGGCGCCCAAGCAACACAGTGTTCGGGTCCGGCATGCAGTGATGAGGGTGGGGGAAACATGGGGACTAGGCAGGCTGTCTCTAGGGTGCTACTGTCGTAAAATCCTGGCAAAGACAGGAAGGAAACGTTTCAATACACATCGCTCACTGCGCGCTACGGTGCAAGATGCGGTAAGTATGGGCGTGTGGTGCATTACGTAAGCGGGCACGGATAGATTCATTCGCAGGTGTTCATTCACACGTCCCATCAACGCGAGCTGGGTAAGCGGGCAGTCAGTAGAGCCGTACGAGCAGGCGTGTGGGTGGATGCGACGCGTCATATGGCGACGTCAGGGCAGTTGGCTTGCTGTACTGCTGCTGCTGCTGCCGTACTCGCCTGCAGTCGCTGCATCTCCTTCTCGCGCTCCCGGGCATCCAACGCTTTAAACAGCGGGCCCTCGCTGTCTGGAGGGGGGAGCAGGGTGAAAACGGGTGGGGGAGGGTGGGGGATCGTATAGGGGATAGCAGGAGGAAAGAGGAGGGAGGGGGGAGCACAAAGGCGAAGATACACACGAGAGTTGACCCGATGGGGCGTTGACAGAGGGGCGTTGGAAGAGACGGTGCGTACACGCTTTTAAAAGCCCCCGACTCCAAAACCTGCCATCTCACCCCGCCTTCTCCTTCCCTTCCCAGCGCTTCTCCCACCCACCCTTCTCCATTCCTTCTCACTCACCCGACGCTCTGTTCCCTCCCTTGCCCCCTCCGCCGCCTCCGCCTCCCTTGCCTCCCCCCTGTGCAGCCGCCAGCAGCAGCTCCAGCCCCGGGTCGTCTTCCATGAAGGGCACCCCCTGTTCCCGCAGCAGCTGCTTGGCTTGAGCCAGCAGCAGCCGCAGCCGCTTCACACCCTCGGACTGGCGCTGGGCCTCGGAACGGGACTCGCGCAGCTGGGGGGGGGCGAGAAGGCGGGGAGGGAATGAGATGGAGAAGGAGAAGGGGTAGGGTGCATTTAGGTGGGAGAGGAGGGAGCAGGGAGGTAGGTGGGAGGCAGGGTGGTCCAGAGCGTGATGGAACGATGGGAGGTAGGGTGAAGCAAACACCCGGTGAGCGGTAGGTAGCACCACATACCAATGGATGGCGACGCCAAGGAAAGGAGTCAGGAGTGAGTTACCTGGTACGGTAGGGGGTTTTTCGGAAAAGGGATCTGTAGGGGACAACACCCCACAAGCTTCCTTCTGCCCCCTCCCCCCTCCGCCCCCTGCAGCCCCACCCCACCTGCGCCTCCAGCCGCTCCTGCCGCACCCCCGCCTCCTCCGCCTGCCGCTCCCGCGCCTCCAGGTCCCTCCTGGCCGCCGCAGCAACAGCCCGGTGCCGCACCGCCTCCTCCCGCGCCGCCGCGGCAGCCGCCTCCAGCCGCTCCCGCTCCGGGGCGTCAAGTGGCGGGGAACGCGAGTCTGACGGATACCGGGTTGGAGGCAGGAACAAGGAACAAGGAACAAGGGAGACAAAACAGGAAGAGGGGGGAGGTGTGTTATAGTGCGCAGGCAGGACAGGGCTAGGGGTGGGCTAGGGGGCTGATGAACCTGGTTCGTGTGCAGCTCCCCGGGGTATGTAGCGCCCCCGCCCCCAACACACCACCACCACCAACGGTAACACACTGAGAGCTAGGCAGCGCTGTATCCTGAGAGCTCCGCCGCGACTCCTGGATACCCTCCCGACATGCACTCCCACCCCACAGCCCCTTCCACTGCAGCCCTTTCCTTTCCTGCAATCCACATCACCACATCACATTGCATATTGACCCTTTGCTCCCTTCCGACGCCCCTACATCCCCCGCCCCATACACACAGTGCCACGTTCCTACTCGCAGTTCCTACCACCTTCTCCCACACAGCGCGGCCCTCCCCCCCCACCCCACCTCACCCGCTGCCGCCAGGATGCCCGCCCGCGCCCGCTCCAGCTCCCGCTGCAGGTGTCCCACCTGCTGCCGAGCGGCCGCCAGCTCCCGACGCACCTCGGACAGCGTCACCTCGTGCACCTCGTGCTAGGGGGGGGAAGGGGGGGCGTGGGTTGGGTTGGGTGCGGCGGGGGATTCGGGGGGCGTGTGGGGTAACGACCGAAACCTGACCACCATAGTTGGGAGAGGGTGGGAGGAGGGAGACAGCGTTATGCAACAACGGATAAGGCCTATAACCCCATCTGGCACAGCAGCTACGCGGGCCCTGACTCCCAGGGCTGCAGCAACTCCCGCGCACTACCTACCTTGACCGCCTGCTCCCGCCCCCGCTCCACCACCTCCCCGCCCGCCGCCCTGCTGCGCGCCACCTCCGCCTGCAGCGCCACCACCTGCGCACGCAGCCGCAGCGAGCTCTCCGCCGCCACCAGCGCCGCCTCCGCCCGCCCGCCGTGCAGTTGCGCCGCCGCCGCTGCCGCGTCTAGCCCGCCCGCTGCCGTACCGTCGCCCCAGCCCTCCGCCGTCATCACCGCCGGCAGCAGCTCCTTGCGTCCCGCCAGCAGCACCTCACGTGTGGACACCATGAGGGCCTCACGGGCCGCACTGACGGGGGCGGCGGCGGCGGGAGCAGAGCCGGCGGAAGCAACCTGGCGGCTGGTTTGGTGTTGCTGGGAGGAAGCCGTTGTCGCAGCCGCCGTCGCCGCGGAAGAATGCGCCGCGGCGGCGTTGGCGGCAGGGTGATGAGCTCCCGTCGCCGCCGCGATCGCCTGAGCTATGGCCTGTTGGTGCGTCAGCGGCGGCGGTGGCGGCGGCGGCGGCGGCTCCGCTCCCAGAACGGACATGCCTAACTTCCGTAGCATGGCGTGACGGCCGGTCTGCCATCTCGCCAGCTCCGCCAGCAGCTGCGCATTCTCAGTCGCCAGTCGCTCGTTCATCTGTAGCAACACCGCATTGGCGGCGCCACTGGCGCCGGCGGCGGCGCCGCCAGCAGCCGCGCTTGCAGCCGCCGCCGCCGCCGCGGCGGCGGCAACAGCCCGAGCGGACGCGGAGGTTGACGGGCGGCTGCCGCCGCCGCCCCCACCGCCGCCGCTGGCTGCGCCGCCGGTTACGAAGGCGGGTGCATTGGCAGCTTTCCCCGCGGCTGTGTTGGCTCCCAGGCGGCCTGCTAGCAGCGCTGCCGTACGAGACACCAGCACTCCAAACACGCGCTCCATTCCCTGCAGGGCGTTGTTTAGGCGCGCAAGAGGACGTGAAGGCCGACCGCCCCTGTTGTACCTTCACCCTCCGCAGCAACAACCACTTCACTTTAAGATACAAGCATACGACCTAGCTTCCACATTCATTCAAGCACCGTAGGCTCCCCAATCCCGCCCACATCACGCAGCCCCCACATGCCCCCCCACCACCACCACCACACCTGCAGCCCCTCCCTCATGGACGCCTCACAGCCTGCCACCACCTCCTCCAGCTGCACCAGCCGCTGCGCGTGCTGCTCCCGGATGCCAGCAACCTCCGACTGCAGCTTCCGTACGGCTCGTGTCTGCTCGTCCAACAGCGGAGCGCCGGCGGCGGCAGTAGACGAGGAAGTCGAGGGGGCGGGGCTCCGACGTCCGCCGGGGTTGTCGCTGCCGCTGGTACCTGCAGTGCCTGTTGAGCCGCCGCTTGCAGCGCTGCTGTTTGTGGTGGTGGTGGTGCTGGTGGTGTTAGAGGCTGCTGCGGTGGAGGCGGAGGACATGGCGGCTAGGCTGCTGCCGTCTGCGAGCGCTTCGGTGGGGGCGGTCGAGGTCTGTGGGCCGGTGGCAATGTACGGTGCAGTGACGAGCGTGACTGGGAGGCGAGTGAGTGGAGGAGGACAGATTGGGGTCGTGACATGGAGGGTAGGAAGGTAGTGCAAGAAGTACGTTGCATGCGCGCTATATGCAAGTACCGGTGCACAACCTGCTGTTGCATATATAGCTGCAACCAGCTCCCCAGCTCACCCCCTCGCCTCGTGATTCCAGTCGCCGCACGCCTTCCGCCTCCGCGCCCTGCTCTCCCTCCGCCTCCGCACCACCCGCCTTGCGACTGCCTCGCACCCGCTCCAGCTCGGCCTGGCAGCAAGCCGGTCAGTCAAAGGGTTGCTATGTCATGCTGCGCGTGAAGTGGTTTGTTCCACCAAGGTACACGCGGATGTGTTTGAGTTGGGTGGCACTGTAGCAAGGGGGCTTTGGTGCTCGTGGTGCTGTATCCGCATGTAAGCCTTCATTGCCAGGATCATGTGGGCGAAGCTTGCAACACCCGACCTCCGGGCGACACCCGATCCCATCACGGTGTGCTCCCCCTCCACCAGGTCTGCTCCCTCCACCCTCCTCCGCCTAGCCCCATGCCCCCCACCCACCCACCCACCCACCCGCCCTCCCCCCTCACCTCCAGCTGCGCCACCGTGTCCCTCAGCCCCGCCAGCTGCTGCTCCCGCCGCCCGCCCTCCTCCTGCGCCGCCTCCAGGTCCGCCTGCAGCGCCAGGATGGTCTGGTTGCGCCGGGCCATGTCCTCGCGCATCTTGGACAGCGTCTCCTGTTTGTGGGGTGGGGGGTTGGGGAGGGGGCAGGTAGGGGGCCAGGTGGGGCGACGGGGAACGGAGGCGGCGGCAGCGGCGTTGCGCTGTGTGTTGGGGAAGCATGGGCTGGGTTCACGGTTGAGGAGCAGAACGGGGTTGGATGCGATGGCCAGGTGGGTTTGATGGCGCCCCTGCTGCTGTTGCATGCTTGCATGACAGCCCTCGCTGCCCAGCACTCGACACCGCAACACCCCAACCCACCAACACCCCAAACGAGCACCGCGCGCTAGCGTAACCCCCCCCAACCCCCCACCTCCCCGCCCCAACACCCCCCCCCTCTTTGTGTGCCTAGGTACGTGTTTTGTCGTGTGTCAGTCTGTGTTGTTTTTATGCGTGCTCGTGTTGTGCTGTTCCTGTTATTTGCCTATGCTTGACGGCGCGGTGGGTCTCCAGCTCACCTTCAGCAGCCTCCACACATGCCCAAGACTACGGTAAGGTTGCTCCATAATTGGTAAGTTCGGTAAGTTTAGCTCGCATTGCTTTAACCACCATTTCGGCTCGACTCGCGGTTGATTCCACCAGGGATTGTCAGCAACTTGTATCGTTATCACACCACACATTGGAATTTCTTTTTTCTCCCCCACCTGCATGCTCTTCTTCTCCGCCTCGTGGTCCTGGCTCAGCTTGCGGCTCTGCGCCCGGTGCTGCGCCTCCAGCCCCGACAGAGCCTCCTCGTGGGCCCTGCGCTGCCGCTCCTGAGCCGCCTGCTCCCCAGCCAGGCTGGACTCCAGATCGGAGGCCTGGGGCAGCCAGGCAGGCAGCGGGGGCGGGGGCGGGGCCGCATGGGAATGCGAGCAGCATGGGGAGGTGTGGGTGCGGGTGGAGAGGGTGGTGCCCATGTACAGTTAGACCCCAGGCACCCAGCCGCCACACCCAGCCACGCAGTCCCACACCTGCTTCGTCTTGGCCTCCAGCTTCTCCCGCAGCCCCGCCAGCTCCTCCTCCGCCGCCCGAGCTCGCTTCTCAGCGGCCCGCCGGGACACCTCCGCCTTGTCGCGAGCAGCCTCGGCAGACTTGAGCGCCTTCATGTGCTTCCGCGCCGCCTCCGCCTCCGCCGCCTCGCGACCCGCCGCCTCCGCCGTCGCCGCCAGCGACTGCAGCTGCGCCGCCGCCGCCTCGCTGTCGTACAGCTGCGCCGTCAGTCGCGACACCTGCGCACTCAGCTCCGACACCAGCCGCCGCAGCTCCGCCACCTCGCCAGGCGGCCCCGCCGCCAGGCTGCATGCAGCACCAGCAGCATTCGGGTGAGCCCCCGTAGCTGCCGCCGCCGCTGTCCCTACCACCCCCGTGGCTGCTGTGCCAGGGGCTGACGACATCGGCGGCCATGCAGCTGGCGGCGGCGGAGCGCCCGTTACCGCCCCGCGTGGGAGCAGCTGGCTTGCACTTACCCTGTCCGCCTCGCCCTCCCCGCTAACCCCAGCCGGGAGCCCATGCGCCCCTCCCTGCTGCACCCCTGAGCCCAGCTCCGAGTCCGTGGATGCCATGCTGGGTGTCGCATGGGACTGCGCCGCCCTTCCCGCCTGCGCTGCGAGTCCCCCCAGGGGCCCCTCCTGCTCATCCGCCTCCTCCAGCACCAGCATCTCAGCCGCCCCTGCAACCGGCGCTAGCGCCGCAGCGCCCAAACCTGACGTTGACGGCATACTCCCGGCCCTGCTAACTGCAGAGCCTGACCCATGGGTCGCTCTGCCTTCCTGTGCGGGCGCAGTGACGTATGCTGCTGGAGGCGTTGCAATGGGCGCTGCTGCTGTTACCCAGGCGTCATGGGCCGCAGCTACCGCCAGTGCGGCCGTGGCGGCGCCATGTGTTTGTACGGCGCTATCAGAGGAGCTGCGGTGCAGTCCCGCCGGAGCCCCGCTGGAGGCGTTGAGCGAGCGCACGCGTTTGTTTACGAACCCACCACCGCCGCCTCCGACACCGCTCCTCACGCCTGACCCACTGCTAAGCGAATTCCTTCTGCTGCTGCTGCTGGGGCTGGGGCTGCTACCAGCCGGCAGGTTCCTGTTGTTGCTGCTGGGGCTACAGCTGCTGCTGCCGCCCATACCGTCACGACTGCCGTGGTCGTGGGTCGCATGTGCGGCATGCAGGGATTGATGTTGGGGCTGTGCCTGCGGCGGAAACCCGCCACGGTCAATCGCTGAGGAGCCTCCACCACTACCCCCACCGCCACCACCGCCACTGCAGCTGCCGCCGCTACTGCTGCCGCCCGCACCGCCGCTCAAGCTAGCATGGTTACTTCCGTAGCATGGTTGCTCCGAGCCCGACATAGACACCCCTGCGGAAGCCCCCCCTTGGTACGACACCATATGCGGATGGTATTGCGGTAGTTGTACGGCACCGGATCCGGACGCGCCGCTGCATTGTACGGCACCGCCGCCGCTGTGGCGGGTGCTGGCGACGCTGTTGATCGCCTCCGAGTACCCCCCAGCAGCATGCGACCCCGCCGCCGGCAGCGGGAACTGCTGTGGGAGCTGCTGCGAGGGCTGCCCCGCTGCAGTCGCCTCGGCGGGGTTCCCTCCGAGATGGTGTCCGACAGCAGGCAGGCACCCGGCAGCTGGGTTGTACGGCACACTCGACGTCGTGTCGTACATGTCGATAGATCCGGCTGAGTTGGACCGGGGGTGGGCCAGGTGCGGTAGGGGGGCGGAGGAGGCGCTTCCCAGCTGCGTATCGGTGCTTGTGCGGTGGAAGAGCGCACCGCCACCGCTGCTGCTGCCGCCGGCGCTGCCGGTAGTGTTGCCGCTGTTCGCATGGCTGGCAGGGGTGCTTTTGGATGGGGATGCGCGCGGGGAGGGCCATGCGGGTGCGGCCGGTGGGCGGCCAGCGGCAGAGGCGCTGGAGGGTGCCGGTGGGGTGCCGCTGGGACCGGCTGGGAGCGGAGGTCTGCGGCAGGGTGGGTGTTTTGGGTGTGCTTGGTGGCTAGGTTGGTAGTTGGTGGGCTGCTGGTAGGCTGCTGGCTAGGTTGGTAGTTGGTGGGGGAGGAGGGGTCATGTATGCGCAGGTGCTCACCTATCACGATGATCCTTGCTGGCGCCTGGCCCGGTGCCGAAGTGGTACAACACGGGCTGTGCGGGTGTGTTGCTACCATCCTACGAAGGAGGAAGCTGGATTTATGGCTTAAGTTCGGGTGGTGAAATTATGATATGGCAACAGTTACTGCGCATAATGGTCAGCTTAGCCCATCCCCAGGCCGCGGGCATGGAGCTTGACCTGCCTGGCTTGACGTCCGTCGCGCAAGACCACTGACAAGCCCTGATCCAGCTATTAAGTCTGCAAGCTGGGTTTGCCTTCGCATTCCTTTACAGGTACCAGGGGCCCTGGTTCAGTTTAGCCATCGATTGTTGCTTCAATACAGTTCACGATCGCGCTCATATAAATATGTACATTCATCATAGAGTACGCTTATCGCAGCTTCACACTCTGTGGAATTGTAAAGTGTTTGCCGTCGGGCAAATTAGCTTGGTCAGTATATGTGCTACACGACGAATCAAAGCAACCTGTACTATATCGCTAGTATAACACAACATACAGTAGATATCCAAACAACAAGAAAGACGTTAACACTGTTTCGACATACCAACATGCCGTAACACTCAACTGCCACAACCTCCAGCGTGCGCCAACCAGGATGCGCACGTCGGAGCTCAGCGGGTATGGAAAACACTTGAAACCTAAGACGTGCATCGATGCCAATGGTCTACCAAGCGCCTGGTCTCCTGCCTAGCCTGTCCAGACCGTCGACGAGTCCAGACAGCAAGGCAATGAGGTGAATTCCCCTCATTATTTGCCTACCTCGGCTTTCCGCCTTGCACTTTCATGTCAGTCTCTGCGCCAACATTCGAAAACCATAACCTGGCCTAACATAGGGCCCCAGGAGCCCTGGTTACCAACACATGTGCACCCTAGCTGTTCACAAGGCTACAGCTCCCTCGCGCGTTCTTTGTGACCTCTCTCATGTTAATCCCACACCTCCGGAGTTGCAGCCAACCGCTACTCCTCCATGGACGCGTCCGCCAACTCAGCCTTGGCACCCGCCTTCTTCTGCTTGTCTTTCGGGGCCAGGACGGGAGGAGGTCCTTTGATCTGCGTGCGCATAAAAGATACGGGTTGTAGCTTACGCACCTTCTCCCTCGGCGACAGGCCACAAAGAGCCGGCACAGCCAGGGCCAAGGCATACACCCAAACTCCACCCACCATTTTCAGCTTGCCGCCTTTCTGCTCCGCCAGCCCAGCAGCGTTGCTTTCATTTCGCTTATTGATGGCCTTTGATAGGTCCTGAGCAGCCAAAATAAGTACATCGGCAGCTGTCGCCTTCCGCCGGCAGCAATTCACAGTGTACCCTGCTTCTTACCTTCTCTTCCTTGTAAAGTTCAAGGGCCTTGCTCTTCTTGGGAGGCTTCTCAAACCTGCCTGCGCCCCCAAAGTAGCAGGCGACAGTTGGGACCCATATCACAGGCGGCTCTACTTGAAGATATTTGGGGAACGTTCTCTATTACCTTTCTTCGTCACTGCTCCCTTCCCATGCCTATTTGCCGCTTCCTTTTTCTTGTCAATTTTCTTGCCTGCCTTTAGTGGCTTCTGAGGCATTGTTGCAGTTTTGAGAAGGACAAAGAGAGGCCGTTTCTTCTGTAAGCGATAATGTTTATATGCGTCTGGGGGATAATGGACTCGTGGGTCCAAAAGGACGTCGACAAGGGAGGTTAGGAATAATACGGCATGCTGTGCGCGCTTTGCGCCAAGGAGGACCACGCTCCACAGATTCGTCATTCGATGATAGAAAGCACAACGGTAACGGAACTTTTCGATGTAACTATCCACTGTAATAAAAGCACATTTAATTGATGTGGCAAACCTTCTGCCATCCTGGCGCAGCTATGCGCCACGCAACACGCGTAAACATGGCACCACCCACCACACCGACTATGGTGCAAGTGCTTCCTCGGTGCGAGCGGTCCCGCAAATATTTGCTTTAGTTGCGAAGCGTCGAGGTGGTTGACGCGGCGGGGCATCACCATGGCAGCAACAGTTCCCTCGCATAAGGTCATCCCTGGGACCGGAGGCACGATTGTTGTCGATGCATTTCGCTACGCCCACCCTGGCATTAAGGCTTACTTCCTAACCCATGCGCATAGCGGTAAGTACAGCCGTACGGCTGCTTCTTCGGTAGTACTGAGTGAGATGCCAGGCGAGGAGTACCCTTGGGCGCTATCCGACCGTTCCTGTGGTAGTATAGCAGTGTTACGTCAACAACACGAGTCGTTGATGCCCCCTCCCTCCCTCCCCCTCCCACCCCACCCCCTCCAGACCACTACACCGGCCTGTCCGAGTCCTGGTCCGCCGGCCCCGTCTACTGCTCCCCCGTGACCGCCCGCCTGGCCGCGCACCTGTGCGGGGTGGCGCCCGCCTGGCTGCACCCGCTGCAGCTGGGCACACCGCATGTGGTGGCAGGTGGGTGGGTGGGGGGCTGGGGTGGGCAGTGGGGCAGTGTGAAGATTGCGGGGTGGGAAGCAGGGGGTGTGAGACAGTGGAAGGGAAGAGGTTGAGAGCCCCAGGGTTGGAAGAATGCTGGTCGCAAGCCTACTGCCACACTCACCAACCGCCAACCTGTCCCCGCCCGTCCCCCCGCGCTGGCCTCTCACCGCTCCAAACGCGTGCGTGCATGCATGCGTGCATGTGTGCGTGCGCGCAGGTGTGGAGGTGACGCTGGTGGATGCAAACCACTGCCCGGGCGCCGTGCAGCTGCTGTTCCGCCTGCCCGGCAGCGGGTCGCGCTACCTGCACTGTGGCGACATGCGGTTCAGCCCCGCCATGACCCGCTGCCCGCTGCTGGCGGGGTGGCGGGGCTGCGAGGGCGTGTTCGCGGACACCACCTACTGCCACCCGCGACACGCCTTTCCAACGCAGGTGGGGGTGGGGGGATGGGGGGAAGTAGAAAGCTGGCCGTGTGTGTGTTAAGAGAACTGGCCGGCAGGAGGAAGGTACATGTGCGGTGTGGGCGGGGTCGGGGAACAGGTCAGGGCTGGGGGTGGTAAGAGGATGGTGGACTCGTCTTCTTCCACTGCTCTGGGTGGCGCTGCTGCTGGCACATACAACATGGCGTGCATGCTATCGACCGGTATACCAGTGTGGCCATCAGCCGCTCGCCTCCCGTGCCAGCCATCATCCATCCCGACCTGCCCCCCCCCGCCCCACCTGCCAGGAGGAGGCGGTAGACTACGTGGTTCGCAGCCTGGGAGCGATGCTGGCGGAGGACAGGGAGGAGGGACAGCAGGCAGCAGCAGAGGAGGATGAGGGGAGGCAGCAGCAGCAGCAGCAGCACCCGGAGGCTTCGGCAGCAGATACGACCAAGGGTAGCACTGCAGCCGGCGCTGAGAGGACAGCAGCAGTGCAGGCGGCGAGGGCAGCTTGCGGCTTGGCGCTGGGCCCAGGGGAGGAGAGCGGGGGCGCGCTACTAGGTGGTGGGGAGCTGGGGGAGGAGCCGGGTGGGGACGCAAGCATGGGCGAGGGCGAGGCGGATGGTGGTGGTGGTGGTGATGCGGAGGAGGAGGTGATGGAGATAGAAGATGAGCCGGCAGCAGGGGGTGGTGGCGAGGATGCGGATGAGGAGTGCGGGCAGCTGCCGGAGCAAGGGGACAGCGGCAGCGGCGGCGGCGCCAGCGGAACGGTGTCAGCTGCTGGGGTAACGGCGGCAGCGGCAGCGGCGGCGGCTGGTGGGGAGGTGGTGGGCAGCGGCGGGGGGCGCGGCGGTCCCTTCCGGCGGCTGTACCTGGTGTCCACCTACGTGATCGGGAAGGAGCGCATCCTGCTGGCGGTGAGGGGGGTGGCCGGGGGAGTGGGGGGGTAAGGGGGTAGTGCTGCACCAGGCACGCACCATCCGCCCTTGAAGGCGCATGGGGCAAGTGTGGGGTTTCTGGAGGTATTGTGCGATAGGCGGAGGACCGGAGGTGGCCAGGGGGTTAGGAAGGGAGGTAAGGGTGAAGGGCAGAGGCTGATCAGCTGATGGGCAAGGCTCCCAAAGTGTTGGTCCCTAGTGGCACACCTGATTGCGGACGCTTAACGCCCTGGACGCTGGCCGCCCGCACGCCTGACACCACCTCGCATGCATGCAGATACGGCAGCGCTGCGGGGTGCCCGTGTACGTCCCCCACTCCAAGATGGCGGTTCTGGAGCTGCTGGGGCTGCCGGAGCAGCAGCTGCGGGATACCTTCACAACCGACCCACGGGTCACTCCCGTGCATGTGGTGGGCTGGGGCGTGCTGGGCGATACCTGGCCGTTCTTCCGACCCAACTTCAACAACATGCAGCGCATTGCGGAGGAAATGGGCGCGGAGCGAGTGGTGGGATTTTGCCCGACGGGCTGGTTGTACGAGATGCGGAAGGCGACGTTTCCGGTGCGGGCCCGTGGGTCGCTTTCAGTGCACCTGGTGCCGTACAGTGAGCACTCGAGCTATCTGGAGCTGCGGGAGTACGTTCGCTGGCTGCGGCCGCAGCAGGTACGGCGGCTGGGGGGTGGTTGTGGTGGTGGTACTGCAGAGCTGCAGCGCGAACGTCTTGATACATCTTGGCACGGTATGACGCCTGTTTCATACTTACCTTCTCCACCTTCTTGGCACCCCTTCCCGGCCTTCCTCATCCCACCGGATGAGAACCCCACCTCCCCGCCTAACCCCACCTCCCCGCCTAACCCCACCTCCCCAGGTCATCCCCACCGTGGGTGTTGCCCCGGGCGAGGAGGGTGAGCGGCAGCGCGCCGCCCTGCTGCGCCACTTCCGCACCCTGGTGGACGAGACCGCCAGCAAGGCCAGGTTCCTAGCGGCCATGCGGGGGGGAGGGGCAGGCGGCGGCGGGGGGCGACATGCGGCTGCGGCTGCGGCTGCGGCCGGCAGCACCGCAGCAGCAGCAGCAGCGGAGGGGCCAGGGCAGCTGCCCGCAGCGTTAGTAGTCGGTTCGGCGGAGGGAGGTGTACAGGGCGCAGCAGCTACCGACGCAGCAGCAGCAGCGTATCGAAGAGTGGCGTCCGCTCCTGCGGAGGTAGTGGAGGCAGCGGGGTTGGCGAGTGGGGAGGTGCCGGAAAGTGGTGGGCGGTCGGGGCTGCTTACGGCCGCGGACCGAGGCAGCGAGAAGCGGAGAGGAGGCGGTGGTGGGGGTCTAGCGCCTGCCGCCTCGTCGCCGCCGGCAATGTGTCGCGCCGGAGCAGTCCCTCCGCCCACCACCTGCGGGGCACCGGGCGCCGTGTGTCAGCCGGAGGCGCAGGTTGGGGCAGGGGCAGGCGGAGTGGGCCAGGGTGGCAGCCAAAGGGGCCAAAAGGGCGGTGGAACGTCGGAGCTGAGAGGCGGGCATGTCAGGTCGGGTGACGTGACGGCGGGGGCGGCGGGGGCGCAGGGGAGGCAGCGGGATGTGGGTGGAGGGTGCGGAGGGCTGCAGGGAGGGGGCTGCCGAGGTGCGGGGGTTGCTGGTCGTGCTGTTGGTTGCGGGGAGCAGGAGGGCGGTGGTGCGGGCTGCGGGTTGGGCGATGAGGGGGTGATTGAGATAGGCAGCAGCAGCGACAATGACAGTGGTAACGACAGTGAGGGGAAAGAAGAAGACCCAATGTGTGTGAGGGAGGGAGGCGAGGACAGTGCAAGACGCCGTCCCCACCAGCATCGGCACAGCAACCAGCAGCAGCAGACGATGACGCAGCAGAAGCAGCCATCCAGCCTCAGCCGCCAGCCGTCGACACTGCCGCCGCCTCTTACCCAGCCGCACCAACAGCTGCCAGAACCGCCGCCGGTGCCATCTTTGCCGCCTGCACGTCTGCCTCCTCAACCCCCTCCTCCTGCTCCTCCTCCACCTCCCACGCCGCTGCAGCAGCTGATGTCCGTACTCTCGGGCGCCGCCGCCCAGCAGCTAGCGGAGCAGCTGCTGGCGGCGGCGGGAAACGATGTTGCGGCGGCGCTCAACATGTTCTTCGACGGCGGAGGCGGCGGCGGCGCGAGGGATCGCAGTAGCGGCGGCGGCGGCGGCAGGGCCAGCGGTCCTCCCGGTAGCAAGGCGGCGGCCGTCAGACGCGGCTCACGTGCTGCTGGCGGCGGTGGCGGTGGAAGTGCACCGGCGGCGTCTGCCTCCGCCGCCTCCGCCGCCACCAGCGCAGCTGCTGGTCCTGGGACCCCCGGCGGCGGCAGTACTGCTCGGCCCGCCAAGCGGCAGCGTCTGGCCCCGGCGGGAAGCAGTCAGGGTGGGCGAGGCGGCACTCGACGCACGCAGGCGCAAGGGCAGGTCAACGGACAGCGCTCGATTACGGCTTTCTTCCTGGGCCCAAGGGCTGAGGCAGGGGGTCGGGCGACAGGGGAAGTACGGCAGGCGGCGGTGCGGGGTGACAGTGCGAGTGCGGCGTCCGCTGGTGTGTTGCCGTCAGGTGACATCGCCGGCGGTGGGACCGCTAGCGGCAGCGACGGCGGCGGCGGTCGAAGCAGTGGCGGCGGTGGTGTCAGTGACCGCGGCACCGGCGCTGAGGGGTGTGCATCTCAAGAAGATGCAGATCGATTGGGGCTGGCGGCGGCGACGGCAGCCGCAGCAGGTTCAGGAGCTGGCGCGGCGTCAGCAAGGGGGCCGTCACCGCCGGCAGATGTCGCAATGTCGGAGCCGCCAGGCTCCCCTGCTAGGCCGCCAGCGCCGCTTCCCTCTCGGCCTCCCTCTCAGCCTCCCTCGGGAACGCAAACAGTAGCGGTTGCGGCGGAGGCGGAGGCGGAAGCAGCTACCACAGGCACTGCGGCAGTGGCGTCGGACTTGGCGGCGGTGACGGCGGCGGAGGTTAGCAGCTTGCTGGCAGGTTGCTTGGACGATCACGGCGGTGATGCAGGCGGTGGCAGCGCAGTCCACAGAGGTCCGGATGAGGCGGCACCGTCGCCAGGCCCCTTGTCAGCTAAGCGGCTCAAGCTGCAACTACCCAAGTACTCCCCCACGGGGGCTGCACCGCCGACCGCCTCGGTGGCAAACTTGCAGACAGTCGCTTCCACGACTCAGTCGCCACAGCCGCCACCGCCGCTGCTAGCGGAGCAGGCCCCGCCAGCCGCCGTCCAGCGACCCATGGGTCGCTCCGGGTCACCCAGAAGCCATGTGGACGTCCCTCAGCTGGCCGACCCGCCCCCGACTCAGGCGCCATCCGTACATCCTTTCTTCGCCGCCCGAAACACAGCGCATGGCGGCATCACCGGAAACCGCACACCCGGCAAGGCAGAGCTGGCGTCGACTTCGCCTGGCGGGCGGCGTGCAGGGCGAGGAGGGGTCAGAGGCCGCAGCAGCGCCGCAGCTGCTGCCCGGAACCGCAGGCAGCAGGCTGGAGTCGCTCGGCCCTACACCACCATCAAGCTAGAGGAGGAGAGGGAGGAGCGAGGAGTGGGAGAAGTGGGAGAGGAGCGGCTGGAAGGACCGGCGGGCGAGAAGGGGCTGTTGGAGGCTAGGCAGGGGAGCGGCTATGATGGAGGGCCTCAAGGAGGCGGCAGGGGGGCTGCTGCCAGTCGCGGTGGCGGCGGTGATGGAAGCGGTGGCGGGAGTCGCAGCAGCTCTGATGACGGCAGTGGCGGCTCGACAGAGGAAAGTGGGGGTGCAGGTGTTAAGCTTCGGGGTGCGGAGGAGCATAGAGAAGACCAGAAAGGAGCACCTGGCCATGCCCCACCACCCCCACCACTACTAGAGCCGCCAGCACCCTCCTCGTCATCACAACCGCCCCCGGCCGCTGCGCCCTCCTGGGAACACGCCCGAAACGCCGTACTGCTTCCACTCGCCAAGTACGACCCAGTTCGACACGCTTGCTGGGGACCGACCCGTGGGTCCACACCCTACCTGCATGTCGCACTCGCGCTCGCAGCCATCGACTCCACCACCAAGCGCAACGCCATCTCAGACGCCCTAACCAACATGTTCCGCTCGGTGCTGGCGCTGGCGGCGGATCCAAATCAAGATCTCGTTGCCGTACTGTACCTGGTGACGGGCCGTATCGCGCCCGAGTACGACAAGCTGGAGTTGTCGGTTGGCGGCGCAACGGTCAGCGCCGCCATCATGGCCGCCACTGGCGCCAGTGCTGCGCGGCTGAAGCAGCTGTACCGGCAGCTGGGCGACTTGGGGGACGTGGCGCAGGTGGGGTGCTGGGCTTGGGGTGGTGGGATGGGCGGGTGGTGAGTGTGGAGGTGGGCATTGCCTAAGGTAGCTGGGAGTAGTACCCCTGTTAAGTGCAGTGCGGTGAGGTGCACACCGGCTTGAAATACTGCTCACCGGTTCGCCCCCCGCGCCAACCCCCCTCCATATCCCCCTATGGCTTCCCTAACCCCTAACCCCTCTTCCGTCCCCCCCTCTTCCGTCCCCCTCTTTCCGTCCCGCCCTTCCCCTTCACCGCCGCCCGCAGGCCTGTCGTCGCACCCAGTCCACCCTGCGCCCGCCCCCGCCGCTGCTGGTGGGGCGGCTGCTGCAGCAGCTGCGGGGCATGGCGGCGGACAGGGGCGGAGGCGTGGCGGCGCGGCGGCAGGCGGGCGTGCTGGGGCTGCTGCGGGCGTGTCGGGACTGCGAGGTGCGCTACCTCACCCGGACACTCATATCGGTGCGTGGGGAAAAAATGGCAGGGGTGATATCGGTACGTAGGGGGGCGTGGGGCGTGACGTGGGTGACACGTGGGAGATTCGGGTTGGGCGGGGGTTAAGGGGAATGTTTTTATTCGGGAGAGGGGGGTCGAAGGCTGGAGGAGGGGAAGATGGGGGAGGGGATGGGTGGGCGAGGGAGGGGTGCTGCCGCATCGCGACACCTGGTGTTACACTTGCTACATGTAACTCAGAAACGTCTTTGTCATGGTTGTTTCTTTCCTTTCCTCCCCCGCATTAGAATCTGCGAGTGGGTGCCAACTGGCGCAGTGTGTTGGGGCCGCTGGGTCGCGCTGTGCTGCTGCACCGGCGGCAGCAGCCGGCAGCAGCAGCCGCAAACGCAGCAGCTGCAACCACCCTGGAGGCCGCTGCTGCAGGCCGCGAGCAACCAACGCACCATCAGCACCCCCACCCCCACCACCTGCCGCCCCTGCTGGTCAGCAAGTCTGAGCTGGAGGGCGCTGCTGCAGCGGTGGTGGAGGCCTACCATCTGTGCCCCAACTTTGAGGTGTTGGTGGGGGCGCTACTGGAGGGAGGGCCGGAGGGGCTGCGGAGCAGGTAGGGGAGAGGGAGGGAGGATGGGTCGGAGAGGGAGCAGGGTGGGTTAAGACTGAAGGGATGGAGAGCATGCTCTCGCTCTCCTAGCTTTAAACAGCTGGCTGCAGATCGTGCAGGATACCAGTCAGTATGTTGCGCTCTGCCCGCAGCAATCAGGCGCACGCGCTAGGTGCACTTGAGCTCACCTCCCCACCCCCCACCCCCCTCCGCAACCCCAGGGTTTCCCTCACCCCGGGGGTGCCCGTCAAGCCCATGCTGGCCCGCATTTGCGGGGGGGTGGGTGACGGGCTGCGGCAGCTGGGCCCCGGGGCGCCCTTCCTGGCGGAGTACAAGTACGACGGAGTGCGGGCGCAGATACACCTGCTGCCGGGGGGGCAGGTGGGGGGGGGGCTGGGGTGCGGGAGGGGGGGGCAAGAATGAATGATAAATGCAGCGACTGTAGAGGGAGGGGGAGGGCAAGCAGACAGGGAGGAGGTGGGGGACCTAAGGCAACAGTAGGTTACGCTGCCCGCCCGCGTCTGCCGTCGCTCTCCGCCGCTGCTTACGTTATCCTCCTCACCAAACAACACCAACGGCATCAACATCAACAGCAACAACAACCCGACGATCATGGCCCCACCACCCCTCCCACCAGGTGTGCATCTTCAGTCGCAACGGAGAGGACCGAACCGACTCCTTCCCCGACGTGTGCGCCCTGGTGCGGCAGGCGGCGGCACCAGCACCACCCGCACCACCACCACCACCACCAACAACAACAACAACCCACCCCGGCACCAGCGATACCCAGCCATCAGCCACAACCGCAGCAGCGACCTCACCCACAACCACATCAGGAGCAGCAGCCGCACCAGCAGCACCAGCGGTTGGCCCCTCCTCCGCCGCCCCCTCACCGCCGCCGCCACCCGCCACCCACAGTTGCATTCTGGATGCGGAGATCGTGGCAGTGGAGTGGCTGCAGCAGCATGCGGAGGGGGAGGTGGTCAAGGAGGCGGAGGGCAAGACGAAGGCGGACAGGCAGGGCAAGGGGGGCAAGGAGGGAGAAGGTGATGAGGAGGGAAAGGGGGCTGCTGGGCTGCTGGGACAGCGTCAGATACTGGATAGTAACTTAGGAGTAGAAGGTGGCACTGATGGGGGACATGGCGGCGACAACAACAATAGCAGTAACGGCAGCAGCGACAACAACAGTGACAGCGGCGGCGGTGGTGGCGGCGGCGGCGGCGACGCCTCTGCTGCTGTCGTACCTCCGCCGCCGCCGTACCGTCTGCGAGCCTTTCAGGAGCTGGCCACACGCGCCCGGGGTCAGGTGGAGGAGCATGAGGTGGGGGCGGGGTGGGCTTGGGGGGGGGGGGCTTGGGGGGGTGCTGGGCTGGCGTTGGAGGGCTGACGGAGTGAGGTCAGAAACATGGGCGGTATACCACCAGGTGCCGGGAGCGGTACCGGTATGAATTTGCGAGTTGAGGAGCGCTGCCTGGCCCGGAGCAGTGTTGTGTTTGTTAGCAGTTCGACGTGAACTCCCTCACCCCCCACCTCCTCAACTTTTGGCGGGGGCGACCTTCGGCCTGCAGCTGCCGCCCTTTGTCGGCGTTTGGCTGGCTGGACTGTTTGATACCTGTATGAAAGGGTATTCCCGCCAGAGCTGCTACTGGAGTGGCCTTACCTTGTTGCCCTCTCCCACTCCCCTGGCGACCCCATCCCCCCCTTCCAGGTGACGGTACGCGTGTGTGTGTTTGTGTTCGACCTGCTGCTCTGGAACGGCACCTCGCTGCTGTCCAGGTGAGCGGCCGCGTCCCCACAAACTCCCCGTCCCTGCCCCCCTAAGGTGCTGCTGCGATTAGCGCCATAAACACTTTGTGCAGCTGGTTGCTGCGAACACATATAACCCTATAGGCAACACAACCCCCTCCCCATGTGCCCCCATCTACACCCCCTCAGGCCCCTCCGGCAGCGCCGCTCGCTGCTGCGCTCAGCGCTCCCCTCCATGTCACCCGGTCGGGTCATGCTGGCCACAGCGCTGGAGGTACAGCCGCTGCAGCCGCTGCAGACATCAGCAGCAGCGCCAGCGGCGATGAAAGGCGCCAAAAGGGGCCGAGCCAAGGCCGCGGCGCTCCCGCCCGCGACTGGGGCTGGTGCCAACGGCGGTGTTGGCGGCAGTGGCGGCGCGGCTGCTGCTGCTGCTGGTGCGGTGGCGTTGGATGCCTGCGAGGACGCTGCCTTGGTGCCGATGCGGCTGTGGCCAGCGCCGGGCGACGCAGGCGCACGGCAAGACACCGGTACCCACCCAGGCTCTCAGGCTACTACTGCTGCTGCCGCCGCGACCGCTGCTGCGACCATATCCGGCGCTGAGCCCGAGGTTGTAGACCTTGCCCTCGATAGCCCGGAGGCCCCGGAGGTCCCGGAGACCTCGGAGCCCAGGTCACCTGCCGCTGCGGTGCTGCACCTGGTGGGGGGTGGCGGCGGCGGCGGTGGAGGCAGCGGCGAGGGCAGCGGAGGCAGTCCCGGCGGCGGTGCGGAGGCGGGCTGCTCTGAGGAGGCGGTGTACGACATGCTGCTGCAGTCGCTGAACGCGGGGGCGGAGGGTGGGTGGTGGCGATGTAGGGGGCGGGCTGGGCTGGGCTGGGGCGATGGGGCGAGGTACCTGGGGGGCAGTGGGTGGGTGGGTGGGTGGGTGTTGGTGGGTTCGTGGGTGGGTCTCATCAGGTGGCAAGGTGCGCCCTCCCTCTTGCAGGCCATGTGAGGGGCCCGCATGCGCCGCTCCACATCGGACCAAACTACTCCAGACGCCGGCATGGCTCGGAGTCCTCTACCTTCCCAGACACCACCCTGTTTAATCTCCCTGTCACTCCCTGTCTCTTGACTTTACACTCCCCGCCTCGTCCTGTCTCTTCCCGCCTCTTTCCCGCAGGTCTGATGCTGAAGCGGCTGGACGGCGGGGCCGCCTACGAGCCCAGCCGCCGCAGCGATAGCTGGATCAAGGTAAGTGCGGTGTGGGGTGTGGGCTGTGAGGTGTGGGAGGTGCAGGCACACTGAAGGGGGCTGACAGCTGGTTGCAGGCCCGGGGGCACGGGACGCCTGATCCAGGAAAAGGGTGGCGGAAAAAGGAGCACAAAAGGGCTCCCTTGGGCGGGCCCCTTAAGGAAGAAAGGGGAGGCGGGAAGACAACTTGCCGGGAAGCGCTTACCGTAGCACCCTGCACATGGGTCCTTTCCACCAACCTCCTGCTCCACTCGGTTCGCCCGGGCGCTGCGCTGCCCTGCCCTGCGCTGCCCTGCCCTGCCTCTGCTGCTGGCTGTCCGCAGCTGAAGCGCGATTACTGCGAGGGACTGCGGGACAGTGTGGATGTGGTTCCCATAGGGGCGTGGTACGGCCAGGGACGCAAGGTGGGTGGGTGGGTGGGTGGACCGCAGTGGTGGGCGAGGAGGAATGCGGCAGATGGGGGAAGAGGTTATAGGTGTGGTGCAGGCGGGATTAGTGAAGTCAGGGGTGAGGCTCTTTGTTCTGTCCGAACCTGTGGCTTCCTATGGTGTGGTCTGCTCTTTGACCCCCGAAAAGGCCTTGGACAGCCGTTCCACCCCGACTGATCCCTACCTCCCACCCCCCGACACCCTGGTCGCACTCCTGCCCGCGCCGCTCCCCCCCGCCCCGCCCCGCCCACGGTTTTATTTTTACAACCCCGCAGGTGCAGTGGTTCAGCCCCTTCCTGCTTGCTGTGTACGACCCGGGCGCGGAGGAGTTCCAGAGCCTGTGCCGCTGCATGAGCGGCTTCAGCGACCAGTTCTATGCGGCAGCGCGGGAGCGGCTGGCAGCCACCATCATACCGGGTGGGCTGGGGTGGGGCACCATCATGCGTGTGTGTATGTACGTACGGTTGGGATGTGCGGCTGGGCTTTGTGGTGGGGAGGCAGCTAGGGTGGGTTGTGCTAGCCGTACATTGCATGCGTGCCTGTGTGTGCGTATGCTCGTGTAGCTGAGCCCAGCCCCCGTGTCCATCCGCTGTGTCCATCTTTTGGGGGACGCAAGGATGCGACTCCGCCCCCGCCACGCCACGCATGCCTGCTGTGTCCTACTCCGTGCCCCGCACCCCTCCCTGCTCAGGCCCCAAGCCCTACTACAACACGGCTGAGCGGCCCAGCGTGTGGTTCGCGCCCACGGAGGTTTGGGAGCTGCGGGGGGCAGGTGGGCGTGGGGGCGGGGGGGGGGCCGGTTGGGTTGCGGTGCCCCCAACATTACGGTATGTAACCCCCTGCTGGCTGCCCCTAGCTTAGCTAGCCACTGGCGTTCACTCCCGCTGCGTTCCCCCCATGGCAACCTGCCTGCTGCCTGCCGCCACCCACTGCCCCACCCACCGCCCCACCGCCCCTCTTCCCCGCCGCCCCCCCCCCTGCAGACCTGACCCTGTCCCCGGTGCACCGGGCGGCGGCAGGTCGACTGCACCCCGAGCGAGGTGTGGGCATGCGCTTCCCAAGGTGAGGGGACGGGAGGCGGGAGGCGGGAGGGGGGACGGGAGGGGGGGGGAGGCGGGAAGGGGGGGGGAGGCTGCCCCGATGCGGTGACCCAGACATGCGGGTGGCCGGTGGTGGCCTGTGCCGCACTGTGGCTGTGTGGCGCACTCACCTGGTGGCGCACGTGTTGGGAACTCTGTGTAGACAGGACATGCGGCTGCTTGGGGCTTACCTCTTGCTTGGCGTGTGCGTATTGTCCCTTGAGGGTGTTTGAAAATTGCACCAACCCCCACCTGTTCTACCTACGGACTTCTACCTCACCTACTCCTGACAAGCACCCCAATTCCCGAAACCCCTCTCTGCCCCTTACCGACATGTTGCATGCACGCGGCGGGGCAGGTTCCTTCGGGTGCGACACGACAAGCGGCCCGAGGACGCCACCAGCGCGGACGTCATCGTGGATCTGTACAGCCGCCAGACACGCAAGGTGGCGCCACAGCAGCAGCAGCAGCAGCAGGGGGCGGCTGGGGCCGGAGGGCCGGCGCTGAGGGCTGCTGCTGCTAGCGCCGGGGCGGTTGGAGCTGCTGTGGGTGCGGGGGATGCTAGTACTGCTGCTGGGATGACGACGGGGGCTGGTCTGGGCAGAGCGCAGAGGGGGGTAGGCAGCGGGGGACATGGGCAGGGAGGGGAGGGTGTTGGTGTGGAGAGTGAGGGAGTGGGCGGAGAAAGAGGGAGGAGCGGCAAGGAGGGGGGAGCAGGAGGGGAGCGGAGTGAAGAGAGGAGCAGAGATGAGGGTGGAGATGAAGGGGAGTGAGGGTGCGAGGGGCACGAGGAGTGGGGCGTGGTAGGGTTGGGAGCCGAAGAGGATGGGTGCGGGGGAGCAGCAGGGGGGTGCGCCCCTGTGCGCCCGTGTTCACGAACCCTTTCCCCAGTTGAACTGAGACTCATGCAGAACATCTCCAGTTGTATGTTTACAGGACGGCTTGTATGTTTGCACGACAAGTTGGGCTGGTATGTAGACATGTCCATGGCCGGAAGAGGAGTGTGTGTTTGCGAGTGGACCTTACTACGGTAACAGGCTGTTATGGGTGTCCGTGGATTGTTCATCTAGGATTGTGCATGCATAACGCTACCGGAGGGAATGCATGTGTTATTAAGAAAACTGTGTGCACCGTGCCGGGATCTGACCCGAGTGCTGAGGTGTGATGTTGCGCGCGGCGCCCTCCGCCACTACTGTGGAACTGAAGACAGGGTACTGCTCCGTAACGTGAGACAGAAGTGCCGTGCATGAGGGGCCGCCCTGGGGGCCGTTTCTTTGCCTCTGTACAGGTTGCGACAGTGTTCTTCGGATGTTGACACAGGAGGGTACGACAGCTACAGCTCGGAGCTGCATCTGCAATATTGCACAATAGCTGAAAACGCAGTTTGGTTTGTTACGGTGGAGAGCGACCTGGTCGGGTCTCTTTTGCAATGTCATCAAGCCCATACCAGGTGGCAAGCAACTCTGGGCAAGCTGTGAAGGGACAACGACCCACAGGTCAGATCACCCTTGGGCTTTGGAGGCTCCGGAGCATAACCCCAAACAGTGCGTCGGGTCCCTTGCGTGCGCTAGCTTCTGCGTGCTGCATTGCAGGTCTCTCCGGCTGCACCCACTTTGCAGTACGAATTGCCGTATCAGGGGGTATCACTTTCCGACTCGCGGCCGGTACTGTAGGGGTGATAGTTAGCCTTGCTTGGTGTCACCCGCAGACACCGTTTAGGGCCTCGAACGCAACCGGTGAGGCCTCCACCTGTGCACAACAGGCCACGCTTCCCTGAAGCGTGCGCCCATTAGCACCCTCCTAACTGCTTAGGATGCCAGATGCAGCAGTTGTCCGAAGAAGTCGATTATAGGATTTGCCGGCTGTAATGACATGCGGAAACCCTTAGTGCACAGCGACTGGTGCCGAGGCTTGAGGTCTGAGTAACAAAGGCCTTACTCAACCGAAACGACGACAAGGCAACCCAGTAGATTTGGTGAGTAAACGTACGGCAGTTAGGCCTTAAAGCCCGTCTAAATACCGATGCCGGGAGGCGATTTAGATGTCACATTCAGCTCTTGCTTGCGTTGTGCATTGTAGCAAGACCCACGGGTCTGACGCCGCCTTTACGTTTGTCTTGTCTACGATAATGCTGTGTGCGATGCGCCTCGTCATACACCGTCTGCTCACTGCATTGGAAGAACGCAAGGACTTCTTTTGCTGAGATTCTTTATGGGGGCATCTGTTTCCATTTACAGCGGATAAGCTTTGCTAACAATTGCTGACAAGCTGCTATGCCGAGGCGCGGGGCGCAAGGAGCTCGCGGCCGAGGTCAGGCGGGTGGCCGCCGCTCGGCCGCCGCCCCAGATCCGCTGCCTCCCCACATCCGGACCTGCTTTCAGCGGCTGCCTGGCGCTGTGGAGCGGCTGCTGGGGCCGCCGGCTAGCGCGAGCAGTGCTGGCCGGGCGCCAGCTGCAGGCCCGCAGCCGCCTCGCCCAAGGTTTGGGAACGGGGCGTTGCAAGAGGTCCACGATTGCTTAGAGATCATCTCTCCGTGTATCGAGAGTGCTGGAGCTGAGGTTTTAGCCGCGGCTTTTGTGGTTGAGTCGTTCCGTTTCGCGCTGCTGCGATTGTTGGCCGTCTTCACTCGGCAGCAACATGATCCGCTGCAGCCACTCACACGCAATGGCGAATGGCAGTTCAAGGTTTTCGGAGGAGCCTGCTTTCTAATTGCCGATTTGGTCCGCGGATTGGCCGACAGCAGCATCGCTCCGGTATTGGACCTGGCGACCAAGCTGCTGCGCTCGCACAGCCTGCACGCCTGCAGCCGCCAGCTGGCTGCCCTTGCACAGACCCTGCAAGCTGCGGCAAATGCAGGACCGGAAGCGCAGCAGTGGGGGCGGCAGCAGGAGCAGCAGCGGCAGCAGCAAGAGTGGCGCCCACGCGAGCAGGGCCAGCAACCACTACCGTCCGTTGAAGCCATGGCTAGCATTCGCTTTGCCGGACATGTGCTCATAACACAAGCCGTGTCCCTCGCAGAATGCCTTTCCTTCCTCAGCCTCCGGCTGCTCGAAGGACCCATGGGTCACCAGCAGCCGCAGCAGCCCCTCCCGGCCGCCCACCTCGCCTTCATGTCGGAGTTCGCGTCCAGCCTGCAGAGCAGTGCCGTGATGGAGCACATGGCTCGGGTGCTGCTGCTGCTGCTACCGACTGCTGATGTGGCGGGCCGCAACGGCCTGGACGGGCGTGACAGCGATGCCAAGAAGCTGTTCCTGTCCACGCACCAGGTCCTTGAGAGGCTGGCAACCTTGTTAGAAGGTACCGGCGAGGGACCGCGAGCCCAGCTGCGTACGGTGCTGTCCGGGCGCTGTGTACGGCATGCAGTGCTCGTGTACGGAGTTGCCTGCCTGCACGCGGCGGACGGCGGCCCGACGTATGAGCTGCCGCTGGAGGTGCTGCGGTGGGTGCCCGTGGTGGTTGAGACGGAATGGAGCGCCAGCGGTGGGAGGACTGGCGGTGTCGGCGGTAGCAGCTACAGCCAGGTCCAGGTCGTCGAGGTTGGCCCGCTGATGAAGGCTCTGTCTGTCCTGAGACCGGGTTTCGGAGACCCGCCGCCGGGCAGGCGAGCATCCCGGGCACTGGCGATGCGCATGGGCCGCCTGGCGGTGGCATCGGGGCGGGTCTGGGCCGGGCGGATCGAGACATTGGCAACCCCAGCACGTGGCGGCAGCTCCAGCGGCGGTGGCGGCAGCCCTTCCTCTGCGACACAGCAGACCGCCGCCGCAGCTGAGCCACTGCGGGCGGTGGTGCGACGTGAGGATGCCCCGGAGCTGGCGGTGATGTCCCTTAGGATTGCCGGAGACCAGCAGACCCGGCGAGTCGGTGGTGCCGGGTGGTGGGCGGAGGAGGCGGAGTGGTGGGGTCTGGGTGCTGCGGTAGTGCGTCACGTCCTGCAGGGAGCATCATGGGGTGACGTCATGCGGGGCGCATATCGGAGCGAGCGAAGGCTTATGCTTGTTATGGTTCGCGAAAAGCTGGCCGAGCTGGCTGTTCACGGTAAGGCGTCAGGAGACTGGGAAGGTGGAAGGGGGCAAACCGGCATCGACCGGTGCCGCATGCACTCGACAATCCGCAACCCAACAAGCGGCTGTTCAAGAGGCGCAGTCCCCATGCTCGCATGTGCTTTGCATTGGCTTTCCGGCGTGAAACAACCTTGCTGCTTTCGCCGCATGCCGCAGGTACCTCCCATGCAGGCTCCCTGCCATCCTCTTCCCCGCCCTCCCCGCCCCTGCCGCTGCCCTCCCCCCTGCTGCGGGACCTGGCTGGCTCGCTGGCGCTCTGCCTGGAGTGGCTGCTGCGGCGGGGCGGGGAGGACACGGGGGGACCGGAGGCGGAGGTGGTGATGAGGCCTGGCAACTCAATCAAGGTGCTCCTCACGTCCCTGGTGGTGCCGTACGCCGAGTCGCGCCACACAGCCTCACTGGCAGCCACGCTGGGCAAGCTGCTGCTGCTGCTGCACGGGAGTGGCCAGGAGGCCGCGTTTGCTGCCCGGGTCCGCGAGCTGATGGATGCCCTGCCGGCGGAGGCTCGCGACCAGCTGCTGCCTCGCCGCTGCGGCCACCCCGGCTGCGTCAACCTGGCGGGGGTGAGTGAGGCGGAGCTGCCGCTGCAGGCGTGCGGGCGGTGCGGGGGGGGGTGGTACTGCGGCCGGGAGTGCCAGATGGCACACTGGCGGGCGGGGCACCGGGAGCAGTGCGGCAGCGGGGGCAGGCGGCGGGCGGGGGCGGCAGGGGACACGTGAGGGGCCATGGCTGGGTGTTCGTGACGGCCTGGTGTTCATGACGACGGAGGGTGCCTGCGACCCTGGGTTGGGAACCTGGGCCACACGATCCACATTGCCTTGCTGGCCCTCTGAAGAGCGCATGTGGCAGGGTGGGGCAGACGCGGTGACAGGGCCCGAAGGTATGGAGATGCGAGTAAGAGGTATATAGGGATTTTCGCGGCGGTTCAGTGTGTAAAAGCCTAGAAGTGTCGAATGCAGGCGCCGGGTTGCAGCGCGGGAGCAGGACGTGTAGTTCCGGCGCGGTTTAGAGTGCTTAGGTGCGACGCTTTACGCTCTCACGTATCGCGCCAGGGGGCTTTCGTTACGGTCAAACTCGAAAGTGACCTGACCCATGGGTCGCTGAATAGGATTGCCCCATGCATGCGCCACCCGACAACATGCAGCTTCTAGTGTTGAGGAAAGCGGGTAAGCAGCGTGTATTGAAACGCGCCGCAGAACATTGCGTTACTTATTGGGACCTTAGTCAGGGCAACTAGGTACGGTTGCTGTGACGAGCAGTGGTGCAGGGACGCGTGCGGGAAGGCGCGTACTACGCACATCTTAGCTACACACACATTTTACTGCTTAAGCCGGTAGAGCACCCAGGTGTCGCAGGTAAGCTGAGCTCCTTGGCCGACCCCTGTACATACCAGTATGTCAAGCTCTGCATGTTGTTTAGCGGTGGGTTTACCTGCCACCTACGCCAGTGGGCTGTACGGCAGTCGGGTGCGATGTACGGCAGTGGGGTAGTGGCAGTGGTAGCAGTGGTGGCGGCCGGTTGTGTGTAATTGCGAGCACCTA